CCAAAAACTTTCGAGAAATTCATCACGCACTTCGATGTGGAGCTGAAAGAGCACCAAAAATAGTACCGAAAACCGTTTCTTCTGAAGCCCCGGAGGCCCTGGTTTAATTGCTACGATTTTTTGAAACTTTTATTTTTGATGGTTTACGACTAAAGGGGGGACCACATGGATTTTTTCGGAATTTACCAAAAAAATTTCGAGAAATTCATCACGCACTTCGATGTGGAGCTGAAAGAGCACCAAAAATAGTACCGAAAACCGTTTCTTCCGAAGCCCCGGAGGCCCTGGTTTAATTGCTAGGATTTTTTGAAACTTTTGGTTTTGATGGTTTACGACTAAAGGGGGACCACCTGGATTTTTTCGGAATTTACCAAAAAAATTTCGAGAAATTCATCACGCACTTCGATGTGGAGCTGAAAGAGCACCAAAAATCCTACCAAAACCGTTTCTTCCGAAGCCCCGGAGGCCCTGGTTTAATTGCTAGGATTTTTTGAAACTTTTGGTTTTGATGGTTTACGACTAAAGGGGGACCACATGGATTTTTTCGGAATTTACCAAAAAATTTCGAGAAATTCATCACGCACTTCGATGTGGAGCTGAAAGAGCACCAAAAATAGTACCGAAAACCGTTTTTTCCGAAGCCCCGGAGGCCCTGGTTTAATTGCTAGGATTTTTTGAAACTTTTGGTTTTGATGGTTTACGACTAAAGGGGGGACCACATGGATTTTTTCGGAATTTACCAAAAAATTTCGAGAAATTCATCACGCACTTCGATGTGGAGCTGAAAGAGCACCAAAAATAGTACCGAAAACCGTTTTTTCCGAAGCCCCGGAGGCCCTGGTTTAATTGCTAGGATTTTTTGAAACTTTTGGTTTTGATGGTTTACGACTAAAGGGGGACCACATGGATTTTTTCGGAATTTACCAAAAAATTTCGAGAAATTCATCACGCACTTTGATGTGGAGCTGAAAGAGCACCAAAAATAGTACCGAAAACCGTTTCTTCCGAAGCCCCGGAGGCCCTGGTTTAATTGCTAGGATTTTTTGAATGTTGCAACTAGGCAGCCCTCGTCGACCAGGCCTTCCAAGCCCGATTCCGATGAAAATCGACCGTGCCAGTCGCTTTCATGTGTGCACCTGAAAGAGCACCAAAAATCCTACCAAAACCGTTTCTTCCGAAGCCCCGGAGGCCCTGGTTTAATTGCTAGGATTTTTTGAAACTTTTGGTTTTGATGGTTTACGACTAAGGGGGACCACATGGATTTTTTCGGAATTTACCAAAAAAATTTCGAGAAATTCATCACGCACTTCGATGTGGAGCTGAAAGAGCACCAAAAATAGTACCGAAAACCGTTTCTTCTGAAGCCCCGGAGGCCCTGGTTTAATTGCTACGATTTTTTGAAACTTTTTTTTTTGATGGTTTACGACTAAAGGGGGACCACATGGATTTTTTCGGAATTTACCAAAAAATTTCGAGAAATTCATCACGCACTTCGATGTGGAGCTGAAAGAGCACCAAAAATAGTACCGAAAACCGTTTTTTCCGAAGCCCCGGAGGCCCTGGTTTAATTGCTAGGATTTTTTGAAACTTTTGGTTTTGATGGTTTACGACTAAAGGGGGGACCACATGGATTTTTTCGGAATTTACCAAAAAATTTCGAGAAATTCATCACGCACTTCGATGTGGAGCTGAAAGAGCACCAAAAATCCTACCAAAACCGTTTCTTCCGAAGCCCCGGAGGCCCTGGTTTAATTGCTAGGATTTTTTGAAACTTTTGGTTTTGATGGTTTACGACTAAAGGGGGGACCACATGGATTTTTTTCGGAATTTACCAAAAAAATTTCGAGAAATTCATCACGCACTTCGATGTGGAGCTGAAAGAGCACCAAAAATAGTACCGAAAACCGTTTCTTCTGAAGCCCCGGAGGCCCTGGTTTAATTGCTACGATTTTTTGAAACTTTTATTTTTGATGGTTTACGACTAAAGGGGGACCACATGGATTTTTCGGAATTTACCAAAAAAATTTCGAGAAATTCATCACGCACTTCGATGTGGAGCTGAAAGAGCACCAAAAATAGTACCGAAAACCGTTTTTCCGAAGCCCCGGAGGCCCTGGTTTAATTGCTAGGATTTTTTTGAAACTTTTGGTTTTGATGGTTTACGACTAAAGGGGGACCACATGGATTTTTTCGGAATTTACCAAAAAATTTCGAGAAATTCATCACGCACTTCGATGTGGAGCTGAAAGAGCACCAAAAATAGTACCGAAAACCGTTTCTTCTGAAGCCCCGGAGGCCCTGGTTTAATTGCTACGATTTTTGAAACTTTTATTTTTGATGGTTTACGACTAAAGGGGGACCACATGGATTTTTTCGGAATTTACCAAAAAATTTCGAGAAATTCATCACGCACTTCGATGTGGAGCTGAAAGAGCACCAAAAATAGTACCGAAAACCGTTTTTTCCGAAGCCCCGGAGGCCCTGGTTTAATTGCTAGGATTTTTTGAAACTTTTGGTTTTGATGGTTTACGACTAAAGGGGGACCACATGGATTTTTCGGAATTTACCAAAAAAATTTCGAGAAATTCATCACGCACTTCGATGTGGAGCTGAAAGAGCACCAAAAATCCTACCAAAACCGTTTCTTCCGAAGCCCCGGAGGCCCTGGTTTAATTGCTAGGATTTTTTTGAAACTTTTTGGTTTTGATGGTTTACGACTAAAGGGGACCACATGGATTTTTTCGGAATTTACCAAAAAATTTCGAGAAATTCATCACGCACTTCGATGTGGAGCTGAAAGAGCACCAAAAATAGTACCGAAAACCGTTTTTTCCGAAGCCCCGGAGGCCCTGGTTTAATTGCTAGGATTTTTGAAACTTTTGGTTTTGATGGTTTACGACTAAAGGGGGGACCACATGGATTTTTCGGAATTTACCAAAAAAATTTCGAGAAATTCATCACGCACTTCGATGTGGAGCTGAAAGAGCACCAAAAATAGTACCGAAAACCGTTTCTTCTGAAGCCCCGGAGGCCCTGGTTTAATTGCTACGATTTTTTGAAACTTTTATTTTTGATGGTTTACGACTAAAGGGGGGACCACATGGATTTTTCGGAATTTACCAAAAAAATTTCGAGAAATTCATCACGCACTTTGATGTGGAGCTGAAAGAGCACCAAAAATAGTACCGAAAACCGTTTCTTCCGAAGCCCCGGAGGCCCTGGTTTAATTGCTAGGATTTTTTGAATGTTGCAACTAGGCAGCCCTCGTCGACCAGGCCTTCCAAGCCCGATTCCGATGAAAATCGACCGTGCCAGTCGCTTTCATGTGTGCACCTGAAAGAGCACCAAAAATCCTACCAAAACCGTTTCTTCCGAAGCCCCGGAGGCCCTGGTTTAATTGCTAGGATTTTTTGAAACTTTTGGTTTTGATGGTTTACGACTAAAGGGGGGACCACATGGATTTTTTCGGAATTTACCAAAAAATTTCGAGAAATTCATCACGCACTTCGATGTGGAGCTGAAAGAGCACCAAAAATAGTACCGAAAACCGTTTCTTCCGAAGCCCCGGAGGCCCTGGTTTAATTGCTAGGATTTTTTGAAACTTTTGGTTTTGATGGTTTACGACTAAAGGGGGACCACATGGATTTTTTCGAATTTACCAAAAAAATTTCGAGAAATTCATCACGCACTTCGATGTGGAGCTGAAAGAGCACCAAAAATAGTACCGAAAACCGTTTCTTCTGAAGCCCCGGAGGCCCTGGTTTAATTGCTACGATTTTTTGAAACTTTTATTTTTGATGGTTTACGACTAAAGGGGGGACCACATGGATTTTTTCGGAATTTACCAAAAAAATTTCGAGAAATTCATCACGCACTTCGATGTGGAGCTGAAAGAGCACCAAAAATAGTACCGAAAACCGTTTTTTCCGAAGCCCCGGAGGCCCTGGTTTAATTGCTAGGGATTTTTTGAAACTTTTGGTTTTGATGGTTTACGACTAAAGGGGGACCACATGGATTTTTTCGGAATTTACCAAAAAATTTCGAGAAATTCATCACGCACTTCGATGTGGAGCTGAAAGAGCACCAAAAATCCTACCAAAACCGTTTCTTCCGAAGCCCCGGAGGCCCTGGTTTAATTGCTAGGATTTTTTGAAACTTTTGGTTTTGATGGTTTACGACTAAAGGGGGACCACATGGATTTTTTCGGAATTTACCAAAAAATTTCGAGAAATTCATCACGCACTTCGATGTGGAGCTGAAAGAGCACCAAAATTGGTACCGAAAACAGTTTCTTCCGAAGCCCCGGAGGCCCTGGTTTAATTGCTACGATTTTTTGAAACTTTTATTTTTGATGGTTTACGACTAAAGTGGGACCACATGGATTTTTACAAAAACGGGCCGCGCGCTTCCGATCAATGTAAGCAGACCATTCGAAGCGCCTTGAAACGCTGATTCCGGGTTGCTAACTGGCTCGGCCGTCACATCGCTCCTTGGCGCAACAGCAGCTCGAAGACCCCTAATCCTCAATTCAGCCAAATCGGGCGTTTCCGCATTCCGGACGCTATTTCGTAGCGGAATCGCAGGGCGGGCTTCACTGCTTGCTTCGCACCCGCCCCCCACCTGGCCCACTAGTGTGAAGGGGGTTCCCAAAGCTTTCCACTGAGTAGGCCAACGATTGACCCTCAGCTTAGGCTTAGGCTTAGGCTTAGGCTTAGGCTTAGGCTTAGGCTTAGGCTTAGGCTCAGGCTTAGGCTTAGGCTTAGGCTTAGCTTAGGCTTAGGCTTAGGCTTAGGCTTAGCTTAGGATCAAAACAAGCAGAATCGTCGGGCTCATGCTTTCTTTACAAATTGACAGTGGGCCAGATGAGTGGCGGGTCGGCCTTTTATCGGAAATCTCCTGTTTTCCCTTGGATTTAGTTCCCATTCAATTAGCAAAAAAAAGCGATTGTTTGGGTAATTTGATTGCTTAATTGTATACAAATTCAAAACAAAAACACTTTATTGCCTCCTGAAACTATTGGTCAGGCTGGTTTTGCAAATAAAGTTCGGGTAAACCGTAGACAGTGGATGCCCGCTGATTGCCCTAAATTGAATTAAATTAAAACTCTGAGGGATCTGCCACCATTCTCCATCCGAGCAAGTCCCACCACAAGTCGAGGGATATGCCTCGAGCTGAGATATTTATGCAAATTAGCGTTTCATTGGCATACCAATAATGGACCTCCATCAGCCGCTTTCAAACACATTTCGTGTTGATAATCGGTGATTGTACCATCCTCCCAAGTAACCTGATCAGCTAAAATGCTGTTTAGGTTTAGTTAAATTTTGTATTCACCTGCTCGCTTATACTTTCCACCCAAAATTGTGGTCCCGGCTAGCCAGACATCGATTTTCTTGACGCATTCAGCACTATAGGCAAGCTCTAAAACATCTAACTCCGATTTTTGAGCTCTTGCATACGGTAAATGAACTCGTTCTCGTCAGCAGAATGCACTGAAGCCAGGTTTCCGCCAAAAGTTTGACAATAGGTTTGAGCGTTTGCATAAGTCGAGTTTTGGCCGACCTAATGCCACCGATCAAAACTAAATTAATGAACCTACGTGATAGCACATACCAGTCTTTTCATAGAACGTCCAACTGGGTGCACAGCGTTGTTTTTGTACTAATATAGATTAAACGAAAATTATGCAGAATATACCAGCAAATTTGCATAGGAAGGGGAAGGCGGATTGGCAATCAGCACAATACCAAACCACACCATCAGTTTCTAATGTTGCGCACGAGCCCTCTCCGGCCATATCTGTAATAAAAAGAACTTTAGATTCATATTAAATTTGCACAGAATTAAAAATGTAAATTAATTATATCTAAATCAGTTTTATGGATGTTAAAAGCGTTCAAAATTCTTAGATTTACCTGCCCATCGCCAATAATTCCCATCCGTCTGATCGTTCCACTGCCACATACTCCCATTATTCCACAATCCAATCAGCGCCTTATTCCGATCCATTCCGGCTGACCTTTCTTTTCAGGGATACCGTACTCAAGCTACCTCTTGACATATAAGCCGCATAGATGTGGTTCTCGAAAGCACTGTGAATCGAAGCCAAATGCCCTCCATAAATTGAGCAAATCTTTTCAGCCTGATCAAAAGTAGCGGCTTAATTCGATTTTGCGTTTTATCCTTCAGAAACCCTTACGGTGATTATATACCAATAAACACGAATTTAGCTCCCCAATATATTGACTATTTGCAGGGCATTGGCCATAAACGATGCCCACAATTCCGCACAACAGCAAAATTCCATAGCGGCTAGCCATTCGGAAAAGTCGGAAAAATGAATAGCGGTCTTCGCGAAGTGGGCAGCTTATGCCCCAAATCGCTCGATAAGAGCACGCCGGCCTAGTTAAGCGTCTACCGCGCCAAAGAGCATAGAGAATTTTTGGTGAGCAGCGGTTGGTTTTGTGAGCTTTGCTGCGTGGGGTGTTGCATAGGCTAGATTTTCATCTTAAAGGCTATGAAATTTGCATAGGAGTTTTATTAGAATGGCTTGTTGAAATCTAGATGAGCTGAATGTCGCACTACTCATAAATTATGTTTTTCTTTGAGCTATCAGCTTCTCTAGGCTTAGGCTTAGTCGCAGACTTGGTCTTAGGCCGATGCTTCGGCTAGGCTTGAGCTTAGGCTTAGGTTCAGGATTAGGGTTAGGCTTAAGCTTAGGCTTAGGTCTAGGCGACGCTTGGTTTAGGCTTAGGCTTAGGCTTAGCTTAGGCTTAGGTTAGTCTTAGGCTTAGGATTAGGACTAGGCTTCAACTTATAAGGAGTGCTTTTTTTGAGTCATACGCAAATCATTTCCAGAGATAGTGCATTCGATAGAAAATTTTATTCTGAGTAACGCTATAAGGTTCATTTTTGCAGAATGGCTGTCCCCGATTTTATAAAATTAAAAAACTAAAACGCTGTATTCCTACATCCCTCGGCGCCCATCCATGGCAGCCTTGGCTAGACACCGGGACAAGAGAGGCCTAGAGGGCCTCCCAACCACGATGGACGATAGCGCAGTCGGTAGTGCGGTTGTCTTTGAAATTTTTTGGACTTCTCTGGGAGGTTCGATTCTTCTACATGTAATTTCTTTTGCTTTTTGAATTTTTATAGCGTTGAATGACTTTTTGGCTTCAATTACCATGGAATCCGCCATATGAGCAGGCACGACTATAGTGAGATCCCAGTGAACAGTGACAAGGCTCGGGCCTGGAGACTTCGCTTTGATCAACTTTGAAGAAATTGCCAACTCAAAATCGCAACACTCTGATCCCTGTGTATGGAAACGCAATTGACCATAAAAAAGCAAAAGAAATTACATGTGGAAGAATCGAACCTCCCAGAGAAGTCCAAAAAATTTTCAAAGACAACCGCACTACCGACTGCGCTATCGTCCATCGTGGTTTGGAGGCCATCTAGGCCCCTCTTGTCCCGGCGGCTAGCCATGCCTGCCATGGATGCGCGCCGAGGGATGTAGGAAAACAGCGTTTTAGTTTTTTAATTTTATAAAATCGGGGACAGCCATTCTGCAAAAATGAACCTTATAGCGTTACTCAGAATAAAATTCTCTATCGAATGCACTATCTTTGGAAATGATTTGCGTATGACTCAAAAAAAGCACTCCTTATTAGCCTAGGTTTATGCTTAGGGTCAGCTGACGATTAAGCTTAGGTTCTAGAAAATTTTTGAATATTTTTGCAATTGCTGAGATTCTAATTCCATGCCTTCCCCGCTCTCCTTTCTCTAAACATTTCTTCCATACCTCTAAACATCAACCCCACTTCCAAAATCCCATAAGGAAATTGCTTTGATTACGCCCGCCCACGATAGAGTCTCTAGCTAACCGTGATGAGGGCAGTAACAAGGGCAGGGTTCACCGGATATCAGCCACTAATTGGTAAATGTTTCCTGAGAGCCGCCACTGCCCCGGCGGCGACACACGTTTCCAGCTGCCACCCTCGCAGGAAATTGGGCCAATTCGTCCGGGGCGCCTCTTTTAGGGGCGGCTTTAACACACAATTTCCTGGGGAAGTGCGTTTCAGATTAATTGGCGCCCGAAACAAGGTGGGGCGGGTGGGTTAGGGGGAAACGACGATAATTTGGTACTGAGAATCACAGAATTTTGTGAAGAGACGAGAAGTGGTCGTTGGTCTGGTATTAATTTAATGAGAGTGAGTGGTTGGAAGGTAGAAGGTGAAAAATCGTAATTTTGTAGCTAACGTAACTTATAACGTTAAGACTACTTTAAGTAGTCATTACCTTAAAAATTATGATTTTATGGTTAAGGCCAGAGGTTCGATTAGCTTAAAAAAGTAATTTGCTAGAAACGACAGATAAACACTTAACTTAAACTTTAAAATTTTAGAATTTTAAAAATCAGGATTTTATACTTTATGCTTAGTCTAACTTAAAAAATTTTAAAATAAGGATTAGCTACCTTAAAAATTCAGTCCAGACCACCTTAAAAAGCATACGTTTTTTCTCTTTTTCCAAATGTCTTTTAGCCTGTAACAAAGAGTTTATTTTCAGCCATTAATATAGTTTTTTGTAAAACTATTTTCCATAACTACACAACCATTACAACGGTGCAAAACACCCAAATTCGTGGGGCGTGTAATTCTATCCCAATCCCTCAGCTAATACAAAAATTACATATGCTTTGGCGTCAATTCACGTACCCGCGCGAATCCAATCAAAATCCGGGTCATTACCAGCGCCCCCCCCCTCCAAATCTGTTCTCACGTCGACCCGAACCCAGGTTCGGCAGTGAAATCCTATTATCCCCCTGCAGTCCCTCCCCCTCCGAGCCAAAAAGTATATGATACGGGTAATTGAATCGTTCAAAGTCATTTTTCGAGGATGAAAATGTCAGTGGCGGGTGATGCGGACCGGGGGGAATTGGATAAGGTCATAAGTGGGTTGCGGGTCGGGGGCCAGTACCTATATAGAACTGAACTTTTCAGAGGCGTCGGCTCGTTATGCCCCGGTTGTTTTCGGGAAGGAAAGTGGGTTTTTGGTCGAGGTGCTAGCTTTTGCAGTTGATGTCTAAATTGTCTCGTTTTTTTCGGGGGGTGATGGTACTTTTAATGATCGGGGATCGAAAAACAAGTAAAACTAGATTGTAGTTTGAGTTACAGGGCGTTGTTATACTAACCAAAACTAAGCTGAAATTTCAAGATTTGCTTAGGCTAAAGTTCTGACCAGTGTTTATTAAAATCTCGATTTTTGCATATGAAAAAAGCAAAAATTCAGCTAAAAAGCCTATTTTGAAGTGATTTGCAAGCAAAAATTTGGAGATTTGAATAAAAACCAGAACCTCAAGAAAGCCATAAGATTTTAGGATGGTTTAATTTGGTTAAAATTAGCTCTTCTATAGACTATACTGCTCCGAGATCTACCGTATTTTTCCAAGAAACCTTTCCTCAAATTACCTCAATTACCATCACCCCCAAAAACACCCCACAAAAATGATGTCGACCCCACATTTCGGGGCACACTTTTTGACAATCTAATTATCGCCCCACCACCCGCGATTTGCGTCAAAATATCTGCATAATCGAGCAGCCGGCTCTATTAGTAGAGCCGCTTCACCTGCCCGTTTGACGCACGGCCACAGTCAAGAAGTTTTGCCGCCCCAAAAAGTCCACACGGCAATCCAAAATTCACGGGGACTACGGTACCCGCTGGGCTCCCAATTAGGGTAAGGCCAATATCAGGGAGGTGAATAGTGTGGGTGGGTGGCATATTTTGTTATTTGCTTTCGCTTGTAGCCGGAATTCTTCCACGCTTGATTTATTTTCACGAATTCTGAGACGTGAATCTTCAACCTACCACCCACACCCCGAAATCCCAAAAGTAGCTAGCAAGCTAAGTATTTGCAGGAATTCTAAAAATAATTTTTGGGTTTTCCCGCCAATTATCCGGTAGACTGGCCCCCGATTAGAAGCCAACACGCGGTGAGATATATGGCCCGAACGGGTTTTCACGGGGAGATGACGCAGTATCGTGGATTAGACGATCCGGAAATGCACCGTTGTGGAAAAGGTCTTCTAAAATCGTCAGAATATTGCTGTAAATCCCATCAAAATTGGACTTTTGTGCCCGGGGTGAGTGGCCGTAGCGTCAGATATTTTTTTGCGAAGCCTAGATAAATTGACCTGGTCTTAAGGCCGTGACGGGTTTTTGATGACTTTTTGGGATTAGATTATAGTGATTACATTTTTTACATAGCTGGAAAACGATAGAATTTAATCAATGCCTTCCGGAGGTTGATTCTTCTTAGAATTCTGATTAGAATTTTCCAGAGCTAATTTAGCATGTCAGCATCTCTCGGCATCTCGAAATAAATAGAAATATAAGTTTAAAATTCTTTGTGCGTTTTTATCGCTACAGTACAACCGAAAAATTGTCAATACCCACCTGCCTTGCACTCTTTCTCAATTTTTGCATCCAGAAACCTGTAATTTCACTTCAGCAACATTTCACTTCATTTTTCAGCAATTTCCGAACGCTTCGCATGTAGCCGTACGTACCAAATTCTTGGTCTTTTAATACATACAAAAAACCACGAAAATCCTTCATTTGGTGTCCTAGGCTTGACCGTGCTCTCGGCGCTAATTCAAGCCCAAACTCACCCTCGGGAATTCACGCCCAAAATACTCGAAACCCATTCACAAAACGCGTCCCTTACGCTTCTAATTACAATTAGAAAATCCAACCCATTTCTGGTGCTCCACGCAATTAGAATTTGCAAGCAAATCAAGTGACGAATTAGGGCAAGCACCTAAAGTCCGGTTTACATTTTTCTCCCCCGAAAAGCCTGCAAATCCACAAAAATGCAGATTGTGATCACGGGGATCTTTGGCATGACATTTAGCCCGGTTTTCAAATATACAGGTGCTTTGCTTTAGCAGACACGCAAATTAATTACAGAAAAACGGGCGCATGGTGTTGGCCAATAGAGAGAGGGAGGGGTGAACCCAAAGCACGGGTTCGGGTTTGGGCCCGGAAAATCACCCACTTTCGCACGTTTTTAGGGTCAATGATTTGCGTAGCGTTGTTTATGAGCTGGCTGTTTCATTGAGAAGCGCGTGGGGCATACTTTGTGCCTTGATGTGAATTTCTGGAAATCAGAAAAAAAATCGCACGCTTGGGAAAGTAGGGGGTGAGAAGCTCTGGGTTTCACTAGATTGGGTAGACCCATACAATTGGACCCGGAAATAAAGGTTCACGACTTCGTGGAAGGTATGAAAATAGTATTTTTATCATTAAACATTCATCTGAACTTAGGGTTCAACTTTTTAACTTAACTCCATCTACGTAAACGCTAATTGCATAAGCCATTATAGTCATTTAGCGAAATGACGATAACTGGTCCGGCCGGCGATATTTTTGGCTGATGCGATTAGGGCAAACTATGAGTAAAGGCCGATTTTAGTTCCCGTTAGACAGACTAATTCGGTGGCGTCAATTCGGCGCCCAATTAAACGGGCGACGTTTGGAATTTGTGAAATGAGGATTTGAATTCCCGGGGGGTGGCGCCGTCATTTTTTCGTTTTAATTCTGAGAATTAAGTGTGGGCAGGGTTTGAACAAGGAGAATTTTGTAAAGTATGTATACTTTTGGGGGAAGAGGTTGGGATCTCCTAGGGGCTTTAAGCTCTTCTTTTAGACTTCGGCTCAGGCTTAGGCTTCGGCCTAGACTTAGGTTTAGATTTAGGCTTAAACTTAGGTCACTAAAGAAAATCAGAGCTTTTGAATTTCCACATGTCCCCCAGACACTTCCAAAATACTTCTCGGAAAGCTCAGGAACAAGCTTTCTGCAGCTCTGTGAAGATTTCTGATCCAAATCACACCGGCCCGAATGATCACCCAGCGTCTACCCACTTCCACCCGGGAATTTTTCCACGGAACGCAAAAAGACAACGCCCCTCGCAAACAATTGTAAACACCCGAAATAGACGCAGCTTCCCCGAAACGGCCTGTGAATTTCCAAAATCATCTATAATTGGGTTAAGGGAAGGGGAAGTATGGCTGTGGCGGAGGGAAATACCCACGCCCTGCTGCGTGATCTACGGGCCTTTCGGAGATGACCACAATTCACGATATGGAGTTTCGGGCCGGTTTTGAAATTTTTGTAGACGTGGGATGACGTTATCGATCAAAGGAGTTTGATCAAAGAGTTTTAAAGGGACAGGCAAGTCATAATATGAGTCGTTGCGCATGCGCGAGACGCCACGCGAGAAAAGAGGAACGGCTGCGTTGCGGGCCGCGAGTGCTAGTAAATCTATAGGGGATTCGTAATCCCATAAATGTATAGAAATACCCCTAAAATTACTGTAGATGCAAAAATAAATAATTATATGATCATCGAATTTTTATCGACAAAAGTATTTATCAACAAAAACAAAAAATTATGTAATATGCATTAATAAAATATTTAAAATGGTACCCCTGCTCATCCCCCCAAACTACCCTCCCGAACCCTCTAAACCCCCAATTACAATGTTTTGGCCCTCGAACCCAAACTAGCCTGTTACTTTACACCCAAAATTTTTCCGCTCCGTAATTCATACCCACCATTTAAAAGGCCCCGACCTGGAAACCACCCGCCTTTTTCCAGATAATAGGCGAGGGTGGACCCGGAATTGAAACGGGCTACTTGAATGGGTAGTCGACCATTTAGCAATTATCAGCCTACAACACCCCGAATCTTTGCCGGTTTTTCGGCGGGTTTGGATGGGTTTAATGATAGCCTGGGGATGGCCGTGCAGACATTGTTGATTCGCGAAACGTTGTAATGTGTTCGGGGTAATTATATAGTTTAGGTGGATAATTGCACTACATTGTTTGCCCTCGGAACATTAAGTTTTTGAACGGAATGGACGGAGGTTCAAATGAATTCGGGGCACGACCCGGAGAACTTCTGCTAAAAAGTTCATTTACATGGGAAAGTACTTAGGCTTAGGCTTGGACTTGGGCTTAGGCTTAGGCTTAGGCCTAGGCTTAGGCTTAGGCTTAGGCTTAGGCCTAGGCTTAGGCTTAGGCTTAGGCCTGGGCTTAGGCTTAGGCTTAGGCTTAGGCTTAGGCCTAGGCTTAGGCTTAGGCCCAGGGTTTAACCTTAGACTTCTTGCTTCGCAAAACCCTCCGTACAGTTTTTTCCCATAGCGTTCCGGTCGGGTTTTCCCGATTTTCTATTTAGCAGATCTACCCGGGCCTTTCTTATCCATTTAAGCTTATGCCTTGCCCCGCCTTTCCATTTCCTCAAGAAACCGAAAATTTGGTCCAATTTCTGACTTATCCGCCCAAATTACGGTAGTGCCAGACTATGGGGCCCCAGAGGGGGCGTGGCCTCCGAGGGCCCGGGTATTTAGACGACCCACTCCTGGGTTCAGCCCGAATAGTTCTGAAATCCACCCTCAACTTTTGGGGCAGCTGGTTTTTTCTTCTTGATACATTGGTCGATCCGGTTTAAAGGGATCGGAAAGGCCGAATTGCCTTGGTTTGATGGGGGTTTCTTGAGGTTTATGTATTCATTAAGCATACGCTAATCAAATCTAAGGAATTACGGTAGCAGACGCAATTCGTAAAAGTAGATAAAATTTATATTGATTGTATACGCAGTTATACAAAACCCAGATGGTTGAAGAGGGGGCAGTTTTTAACTTAACGATTATTTCTTTCTATTCGGACCTACGGGTTTCTATTCGGGAATTTCAACTATACGATACCGTAACAGTTTCATGAATTCATGTTTTCTAAAAGTTTATACAAAAGATCGATTACAAATTACCAGATCCTACCGTACCCCTCAAACCACACATCCCCATATCCATGCACCAGACCTTTTGTAAATACCCGATTTATGCCTTATTCTACTTCTCTCTCGCACGCACAACCCTTGCCATTTGTTGGCCGTACTCATCTAATATTAATGAGAAAATGAGGGCTAAAATTTTTGAGGCGGCTCCCGAAATCACCTGGGGACTCTGGGCCCCCATTCATCCCTAAGTTTCAAGGCCCCTTCCCCCTGAAATTCGCATTAAATTCGAAGCCTGAATTTGGAAAATATCGTTTGCGAATTGTCAATGGATATAAATCATTTATGATTTTATTAGGAGCACTGGATCCCTCAAGCCTCGCCCCTTGGATGATCTACATGATGAGTTCGACTCCGAGCCCGAATCCTGCTACTCAGCCGAGCCTTCCCGTGTCGCCGCTGAACTTGCTGGCAGGTTGGTTAAAGGGGTGGTGACAGAAAAATATTGTGTTTTCCAGCGATGCAGCTACCAAACCCGGCTGTAACTACACAACAGCTGATCGCTACGACTTTGGCGAATCCAATTTTGCTACAGCAGCCTACTCCACAGGTATATATAATTTTTAGGGTTCAAATTCATATTACTTTAGGTATCGCTACAGAGCCCACTGGAAAGTATTTTGCAGCAGGTTGGGCTTTATTCGAATTCGCTTCAAGTGCAGATTCCGACGGTGTCGACAGTGTGAGTTTTTATAACTTTTTTTTAGGTTGAACTGAATAGCTAATTTTCCCCTATTATCTTAATAACTCCTATAAAACAGCTTTTCTCCAGATTCTAAATAGCTTCATCGAAGCAGTTTTTTCTTTAGCCCTACCACAACCTGCATCGATCAACAATTCGGCAACGTCAGCCTCGCCCAACTCATCTCCCCATTAGGTAAAACTTTAATTTCGTTCTTTCCATCATCCTCTCCAATTCAACGCTCAATTTTCCTTCTCCAGGCCAAATCTCACTCCCTTCACCGAACCTCTCCGTCAGCCCATCAGCCTATCAATTCCCCAGTGCCACATCGGCCTTCCAAGTACCAATATCCCCCGCTAATGTCGCCAATCTACCCCTGGGAATCCCGCAAATCGTCACACCGATCCCGGTACGTATTCGGCAATTTTGAAATTCGTGGTCCACGACTGATATAGCCCGCGCAACGGTTTCCCTTGAGGGAACACCGATTAGCGGGCCCTACAGTACGATTGTCGTCCTGAAAGTACGGCTTTGTTCTAGGCGCTGTCCGTCTCGCCGAGCTCTGCTAATGGCTCAACTTTTTCGCTACTAGCTTCTCCGACAAATGCGGTAAGGTTGCAAAGAGCTAACGCCAATCTTGAATCTCTAGGCCGATTTCTTCCAATTGACAACCAACAAAGACGAGCTTGAAATCCCTACTTGCTCCTTCAACCGTAGACTCTCAGCCCCAGAAGCGTGTCGCAAACGACCGCGAAGCCCGGAAAGAAACCGCAGGTACAGCGTTTTTCGCCTTTATTTATTCATCGGCTAATAATAACCGACAGCTGAATCTGGGGCACTAACTACGTAGAACCCGGGTGTTGGTAATCGAACGTTTTTATCTCCTCCCCGCTTCCAGGTTCTCCGATTTTACCATCGGACAGCTTTTGCGTGTGCCAGCTATGGGCGGACAGTCGGTGCAACAGCCTAGGGAAAAAAGTCAAAAGCGTAAGAACAAGCTTGAAAGCTTAAGTTCAAATTTTTTAGGTCGAAAGCAGCGTACCATCTACGGCATGAAGCAAACGGAAGTTCTTGAGGAAGCCTTCGTCTCGCAACGCTATATGGTTGGCGCTGGTTAGTTTTAAGTTTCATTTAATTGGTGCCTTGAGTAGACATAGTGTTCTTTGGAATTCATGAAAATAATTAGTGAAGGTTAAGAGGAGAGTAATGAGTGGTTGGCTTTGACGTAGAAGTCGAACCCGGACAATTAATCGGGGGGCTATAATCCTATCATCACGTTGTGAAATAATTCGGAGAGGGAAGCGGCCCGAAAATGGGGATTGACAAATTAGAAGCCATAATCGGGCATGTAGGTGAGGGTGAAGGTTATTTTAAGGATGTCGGAATTGACTTGATGACTACAAGAAAAATAGAAAATATTCTGCCTTGGGATACTGTAGCTCCCTAAAGCGCTAGTTCCAAAAATGTCTAAGGCGAAGAATATACAACAAAAATAGTAAGTGAACTTATAGCCAGACCACATAGTTCATAAATTACCCCTCCCTGCCGCATTTTTGCGTCACAGCGCACCAAGATTAGCCTCAAAAATTGGGTAATCCTTCTAAATCACTGAACCCGACTCGGCCAGCACAACAAATCCAGCAGCTCTCGTCAATGTGAGCACCACATTGACAGAAACCCGATAATGAATTGCGTACGCCGGTCAACGGCAAAGGCCAATCCTAATCCGGTCGGGGGGCCCAGGAATAGACAACGCGTTGCATTTTTTAATGCACCCTAGGCAGACGATGGCCACGTGGGACCAGGATCAAGCTGGTACGAATCGGTCAGGATTTGTTCAGGTTTAATTTGCCTGGGCCTAGGCTTTGGCTTAGGCTAGGCTTAGGCTTAGGGGTAAGGCCTAGGTTTAGGATTAAGCTTAGGCTTAGGCTCAGGCTTAGGCTTAAACTTAGGCTTAGGTTTGGGCTTTTCGGCTATTACTTTTTTTTGCTCTTCAAAATCCCTCCTTTTGTGAATATTGTGCCTCCAAATCCGTGCAGTTTGAGCAACATGTGAAATATCATAATCCACGAGACCAACCTCACCCGCAGCTGGACTTCTTGCAACTGCTTTATCCCGCCCCGCCTAACGGTTTCCGCCTGGCCCCCAAGTGGGCCACTTTTGCATAAATGAGTGTCCGGAGAACCCGAGTTTTTCGATTAAACGGCTCAGCCTGATTTGATGTGTGGGCTGTTTTCGCGACAGGTGAAAATGAGGGCGGGACATTTGCTGCGCTGGAAATGTCAAATTGCGAAAAAAACTTTCGCTTAGGCTTGGACCACAAAAAACACAAGCTCAATGCAGCCGACGCAGATCTAGATTTGCAAACGTGCAAGAATTACTTAAAAACTGGGTTTCTAAAAACATGATAGCCATCGTATTTTGGTAGCTACCTACCGCTGCGCTGCTATTAGCAGATTGACCGGAAATAAGGGTCATTTTGTGACGCAAGCCGCCCGAGTTATTGGGGCTAGGAACAACCTGGAAAACGGCCATTAGTGATTAGCTATATATAGAAAAATTAGCGGCGGATATGCAAGCGATCCGTGCGGAATGGCGAGCTGCAAAAAAGGGGGCTTGTCGTTGTTCGGAAAGGTTTATGGGACTGGGTCCGGTTTAGGCCTAGGCTTAGGCTTAGGCTTAGGCTTCAGCTTGGGTTTAGGCTTAGGCTTAGACTTAGGCTTGAAGTTGATTTCGTGGAGCTTTATTTATATATTCTTTTGCAGAACGCGAACAACTCGCAAGCAGCCTGGCTCTGAGCGAAGCCCAAGTCCGAGTCTGGTTCCAGAATCGTCGCAGCAAACAGCGCAAGCTCAACCGTCAAGCCGGAGAGCCGGAAGTCCCAGGAGCACGACTCTAAGATTTTTCACTCGTTTCCTTTAGCCCAAATGCTGTCGAAAATGCGTAAATTATTAGCTTCAAGTGGTAGCGAGTAATTTTGGGATATCCCTACCGTGATTATATAGTTTCGTGGCAAAACTTCCTTATTTTATGATTGTGACAATTTAATTGGAAATTTTCTAGCTCTTGCTATCTTTGTTACAGACAGTTCAATCATCCCGGTTTCTTCTTCTTAGAAATTTCGATTTTTTTTTGTTATCTATTCTTTATGAATTTGATCTCCCATTTGATTCGTTCGCATGTTACAATTTTTCGTGCATCGTTTCCAAGAAAACCATATCAATGAACCAATTTTGTTTTATTTAATGTGTTCTCAAATTGCCCTGGTATTTTTTGTAGTCACGTTATTCACGGAATATTTTTGTTAAGGAATAAATATTATCATTGAAACGCTAGATTACAAAGCACGCTGAATTGTTCTACAAATCAGACCAATTTACATAAGGTTATTGCTTTAAGAATAGCTTCGACAATTCAAAGTTTTTGACGTCAAACGTCAATGAATACCCGAGTTCAAAATCTTCATCCTTTCTATTTGACATTGATTTTCGGGAGCAAAAAGCGTATGTGGCTGGCCGCCCTGCTGTGTTGTTATGCTCCTGCGAGCAGCCCGGGCTCCGTTGCGCAATATCGACGCTGGTTCGCCCCACTTCCCAGCTGTTGCGCTCACCAACCGGTGACGGGATATAATGACTACCCTTTATAAACTTGACATATATGCTTTTTTACTTTAAAAATCATGTTTTTCTTTGCAGAGCTGGCTCTCACCGGGTCTCCACAATGTTAATCAAAATTCTCCCAAACACTCGGTTAGCGGTAGGATGCCAGGAAACACTTGTAAGTTGTGGCATACTCATACCATATCTTTAATGCACGGTTTAGAACTCAAATGTGACAATTGATGGACTGCCAAATGAACTGCTAAAACGTATCTTTGAATCCTTGCCGAATCCAGCTTCTGTATCGATGGTTTGCCGACGTTGGTTGGCTCTTTCCGGTAAGAAAGTTATAATTTAAAATATTTTTTTAGATTTGCGTCCCACTGAAAAACTGGCTTTTACATTTGGATGTGGTCAGAGCCGCTACAATTGTGGAGCTGAACATGCGTCGGTTGAGGTTTTTTGCGTCCTATACATTTTAAAAACCAAAATTTTTAGCTTTGCCAATGTAATGGAAGTGATGCGTGTCATGTTTTAGAAAGTCTTCTACCCAAGATCTCAGCCAGTAAGGATTTATCTTAAATGGTATAATACTTTTCAGGGGTCCGATCACTATCTGTAGATGATGATCTGCTGCATGGAGAGACGGTAGTTTTATTAATTACACCAGGAAACGTTATATTTTAGGTATCAAATCAACAGCTCTTCCTTTTAATCACAAAATGTGGCACTGAAAGCTTAAATGAACTACACTTCACCGGGGTATACATTAAAAACTTAGCGTATTATTTTTTCAGGTCAATTTCTCTGCCATTCAGCCCTGGACATTTATCTTACTAATTAAATGCACCAGCCTGCGCGAGGTCTATTTTGATGACTGCAGCTTTGGACGCTGGGCCGAGGCCGAATTCTTTCTGGGAAGGATCCTGTCTAGCTCGTTTAAAACGCTGACTACTGTTTCGATCACGAACTGCCCGGCAGTATGCAAATTTTTAACTTTAAGTTTCTTTTTTACTTAGATTACGGATAAAACAGCCAACCTGATCTCAAAGGAATGCCCAGAACTGGAGAATTTGAATTTGTCTGGATGTGAAAATGGTATTTATTTAATGACTATGGTTAAAAAGACATATATAGTAACTTCCACATCAATTGTATCGCTCCTTGAAAGGGCTCCTTTTCGGAAGAAGCAACTTCTGAATGTAAATCTGGAGAGGACCGATTTCTGTTTGACCCTGGTATGCTAAGTTTTAAAACCTCGGAATCATAGTTTAGCTCCGCGAGCAAATCAACTCTCCCTACAGTATGATGCGTGGAAAGTGGAAGTTTGTAGTGCTGAACACACTAATTGGCTATGAGAAGCCAGTTCTCTATGGAGCTTGTGCTGATGGGTATCACATGTATATTAATTATACCCCCAGGTAGGCAAATAATGAAAAATAACGATTTTATTTAGCTCCGAACGACGTCCGAAACCCCATTGATGTACACAAAAAATCTGTAAAAAAATTGGATTTAGACAACGATTAGATTTTAAGTAATGACCAATATGCTTGCTGTTTCCATTCCGCTTCCGCCTTTTTTATGAACCAATTTTCCGGTAGTTGTATACTTTGGGGTTGGTGTTAGATAAAGATTCGGTTTCGAATTTGCATAAAAACACAGCAAAACACACTTTCCTGGGATACAAATTTGGGAATTGGCAACGTTGACTCATTGCACTCACTGTTGCGTCTTCAGGCTCGTCCGAATCCACTGATAAGAGACGTCAGGCCGGCTGCGCTGTACTAATTTCCGCGTCACACCCTCATCTCCATTTTTTACCTCTATTCGTATGGCTACAAACCAACTAGCAAACAGAAAAGAGGAATTATTAAAGCTTATTACGCAGTTAGAGCATGAGGTAAGATTCAAGGAGCATTACCTCAACCTCATTTGCCTAGAAACCACTTTTCTCAAAATATGGTTTAATCCCGGATGATGAGCTTGGGAATAAAGCCCAACCTTCCGTTGCTGAACAGCCAGCTCCAGATTTGAGTGGCATCGAACTGCTTGAAAATTCGCAGCGGACGATTCAAAGTAGTGATGAAGGGACTCCGCTGATGGATGAAGAATCGACGATGGAAGTTAATGAAGCTGTCGAACACCAAAGCCGATTCACCGTAGAACACGTTACCGAAGAAGCTGCTCCCTTAGCGAAATTCTCGATTGATGACAGTATTGATCGTGATACCATTATTGACCTTCCAGAAAGTTTGAAGCTCAATCTTTTTCCAAAAAAAAATTTAGGTGCAAATCCGTTGACCCCGAATTCTCTAACAATCGGTTCTCTCGGCGCGCCAAAGAAAGTCAGCATATTTTGTAAGCAATTCAATTCTATTTTTAGTTTTTATTTTTTTACATTATTAGTTTTGATTTCTTCAGTTTAACAAGCTAAACTTTAGCATATGAGTCCGAAAACCTATTACGGCATGCTCTGACAAAACAACCAAACGTACAAGAAGCATCTCCAACCCGTTCTCAAAGCTTGCCCCTGGATTTTCATCCCGATCCGGACAACCATACACTGTTCGAATGGAAAATAGATAGACGTATGCAAAATTAGCACATTTTTATATATTTTTAATTTAGCAGATTTCCGAGCACGGAGCTCATCCAAATTAATGGCCCTTCATCCGCCTCGACATATTTTGGAGAAGATCCCCTGTAATCCGGAGCGAATTTTGTATTACATAAATTGGGTGTTGAAGGAGATATTCAAAAATGTAACAGAATTCATGCCAATTTTTACATGGCAATTTTAGCAACGGATCGAAGTGCTGATCGATGATCAAATGGCTGATTTGCTATGTTATGCATTTTATGGGTATGGTTTTTGTCGTAAAAATACTTTGTTTCCTAGAGATCCGAGAGTCGTGGAGAAATGGAGATGCACAGAAGCCCCTCTATTCTCGGCCCTACTTTGCGTCTTTGTTTCCGAGATTATGGAAGCGGAATTTGACGATTTGTACGAAAATGACATCGTTGAACTGTTTGAGCAACAGAAAAAGTTTGCATTTACAAAATTTCTTATTTTTTTTTGTTAGAAACTTTGATGGACTTAGCAAGCGCTTGATAGAGCACTATCACAATGCAGATTTCACAAAGACGAGGAGGTTATTAGCTGAAAGGTAAGCCATTTTGATATTCAAATTTTGGATTTAAGATACATCCCCTCGAGATCATTGAAAACCAAGGGTATTGCGTTGTTGAGAATTGCGAATATGGCAAATGCAGATGTGAAAATATGCTAATTTGCGATTCTATAGATTTTCAGGAATTTTTTGCCCATGTCAGCTGCCAAAGGGCTGTTGAGGATCGCTGGAAGCCTGGTTTTCGGTAATGTTTCTATGTATAGTTAATAACCGGCTTTTAGTTGCGACAAAATAGCATTCTTCATGTTTTTCATCTCTTTTGGGATTCCTTTACTTTACGCTGGCCCACCCGGGATTCAATTTGATGGAGATCTCCAATTCAAGCCTGAAAATATGACGGGTCTGAAGAGACGACGTTTCTGGGCCTTTCACACATCTCCTTGCGCCAAATTTGCGTGGCATACGGTATCACATTTTTTCAATTTTTACGCCCAATTTAGCTCTTCTACCTGGCGTACGTTGTGTTCTTTACATTTTTTATCAACCAACTTCAATATCTGGAGTCGGTGGTGAACATTGTGACGGCGTTGGCGGGCTGGCTTTTCTTGTAAGGATCGATTTTCCAAATTAGTTTGAGTAGCATTTTTTAGCTGGCAGCTTATGTTCCCAATCGAAGCTTGGTTTGAATACATTTTGCATAATCGTGGAAAACAAGAGTTCAATAGTCACGTGAGTATTTTTGCCTTAAAAGTTAATGATTACAACATCAGATCTGGAAATTTGTTTGGAACAATCATAAAACAACCCTAATACATACCTTAATCATGCTATTAAATGCGGGTGCTTTTATTTTGCCGTTAATTCTCGACAACGACCGAACGAAATGGATGAGGTTGCAATACCCAACTAAAAATATGTTTTTACAGTACCTCCTTTGCAATTCCGTCGACGCGAGTTGAGAATATACGGTAATCCGACATTTTCGGGATTTGATAAATTAAATTTTAGCTATTATTCACTTTCCTTGGCTGAGGCCCTATTTACCATCTCATTTATGTTTTCTTCTCTTCGGGTGTTGCGGGTTCTCATTGTTGATCCCTTTTTTGGTACAATTGTTATGACAATACGGAAGATGGTATGCAAATTAGTATACTTTTAAAATTGCGCTTTTAGGTCCGGCTGTTCATCTACTTCTTTGTGATCCTCGGCACTTTTTGGTTTGTTTATGGATGGTGCCAGGTAGATTCCAAGCTTTCTTTCAAAATCAATAATCATTAGATGGCACTACAAACTACAAAACGTAACAAACCGAAATATGGAATAATGTGGAATCTGTTTATGTAAAAATTGTGTCCAAGGACTATTCACGTTTTTAGCAACGGTGCTTTTGAGCTCTTTGGAGAATTAAGCGACCCAATCAGACAAGGTGAGCTGAATTGCACAGATATCGATCCGGAAGGTGTCATTACCGGCAGTACAATTCAGGTATCCACATCTACTTTCGATCTACCCCTTATTTTAGTGCCAATTCCGAAGTTGGATGGTACCCTTAATCCTTTTTATTTATACAATGACCACCTCAATTCTTATTATTAATATTCTAACAACCCTTGTCAAGTAAGGTCTTACATAAAATGTTTGAAACGCCATCTAGCCAAAAATACGAAGACGTCAGCGACCGAGCTGAACAAAACCTACGCACGTTGCGCTATAAGCGGATGCTGGAATATGAATCCAAACCGTTCTTCCCAGCCCCGTTGACTCTGCTCAATTTGATATTCTGCTTCACGTAAATTTTTGAATTCATACGATAACTTCCATTTAGTCACTTCTATCACAAGAAATATACGCCTGAAAAAGGCAAACAAATGGAGAAATATTATTACTGGTGAAAGCATTGTTTTTATCCTAAAAACCTGTTTTTAGTGTGGATCCCGAACCGGAATATAGTAAAAAGAAGGGAAACAAGAAGGACGAATCTCCGATACAAACAACTGACAACAATACAATTCCGGATGCGAAGTTAGCTTATATAACGCCAATTATTTTTACAATTAAGTGATAACCAACCCGAAACGCTAAGAGACTTTGAAAGGGCCTGCATGTTACGCTTTTCCTCCAAACCCGGTTTGTTTAGGCTTTTCTGTTAAATAGAACTTTTTTTTAGTGGAAGAGCACATCTGCTCCGAATGCATGCGTTCAAGGAGCCGAAACCACTCGAAGCGATTTATTCCTTGACTGCCAGATCTTGCTCAAAAAGCGATGGTCCGCCATATGGAACGGCACCAATTTGCGACAGTTAGTAAAGAAATTGATGTGTTCAAAGACTTCTATAAACACTAAAAGTTTCCGAGAGTGAGAGAGAAAAAGCTGATTTCCGAGAAATCAACGTTTCCAAATCGTTTTTAAATTGAGCATCTGAAAGAGCATCTAAAATAGTACCGAATCATAACCGAATAATTTGTTGTACGCAACTTGTGAGGCCCTGGTTTATTGCTAGGATTTTTCGAAGCGATCATTTTTTGTCGTTTTGGAGCAAAGGGGGACCACGCCGATTTTTTCGAAAACTCGCGTCAGCCAGTCGAGCTTGTCAGAATTTCGCCCTAGACTTATTCTAACCAGTTTAAAATGCTGATTCCGATGTGCTACATGGCATGGCTCAAAAAATGCGTTTGTAGTTTTTACGATTTTTTGAAGTTTCACCTACAGGGTGCGGAAAAAGTTTTGGGTGGCTCAATTTCATCACGAAAAATTGCCTTTCTAAGCGATAGAGCGCTATTTTTTGTAGTGTGAACGTAGATTTGGAAGTGCTCTATCCGATTCTGCAAACCAGAAAGGTTCAAAAATTAGTTGCCGCATGATAATCGTCGTGGAAACACGACCGCCCTAAGAAGGTACAGATGTGGTTGCTAGGAAATGGAGGTCATAACTCTTCGGATCCTATTGCCAGGCTTTTCCCGGTCTGGGGTTATGTTGGGCTAGGGATAAGCATTATCCTATGCTAAAAAGTTATTTGTTTTGACGAACTTTGCTAAATCCAGGGCGGAATCAATCCAAAAATCAGCCCCGTGCCGCGGTTTCCGACTATTTTGGCGTTTTGTGAAGCCAAACCTGGAGTTGTTTCAATGTCTACCCCCCAAATTTGGTCGTTAAACATCTTGATATAAAATAATCATATGTATAACCTATCATTAATGTGGCGTTTCGCGATTTATGGGCTGTAAGTCCCCCAGCTGCGCGGCTGTTTCCCATACCGCTAGGGAAATTGGCCAGAATTAAAAGCGCCAGAACTCTTTGAATTGAAACCGAGCGAATTTGCCATTTCACGGGGATGATGGAGGATAGGATTGGCAACATCTTGACCAAATTCGTGAATTTTGGTCAAGAATGGTGCACGGGGCATACGGTAGGAGCAGCAAAAAACCTGCGTGCCGACGGCGATTTTCGCCCGACACTTTTAGTACATTGACTCCAGTAAATTGAAAAAAATTTTGTTGATATGTAGATGCCCAGTGCTTCTGAAATCGCCACTTTTTTACTCTCCATTCAAAAAACCCGGGCGGGCCACGACAGAGGACCCGGATTTCTGACCGCGAACTGACTTTTTGCACGAGATCTTAGTGTACCTTTAAGCCTCCCGATCGGTCGTGCCTTCCAAGGCCTCCAGGTGGCCAATCGGGCCTTTTGAATATGCACTTCAAAGTTCAGCTGAAAGAGCACACCGAATAGTGTGGAAAACGGTTTGGTACGAACCCCGGGACGTCGCTCGTGTAGATTCTACGATTTTTTAATGTGTTGACTTTGGTAATTTTGAGCAGCAAAAGTGATTTTTGGTGCTGTCTTGCCGTGTGTTATTCTGTATTTTCCAGACACTTTGACCCTGGAATCTATTCGTAATGTTGTACCCCACCTACAGCGCGGCCAAACCCTTGATGATCCATTCTGGCATTGTTGCAGGGGTGCGGCCCCTTTTCTGGGGAGGTGAACGCTGTTTATTCAGATGATATTCGCCGCTCAGCCGCCACACCCCATCGTGGTGTTCACATCCGCTTTGTCAGATTGGTCACTTCCAAAATAGCCTTAGTACACAAAGCCCGGCTTGATATAAAACCCGGGAGGTTGAACCGGAAAAACCGGGCCGAACCGTTGCTGGGGCAAATGCTACCATTCATTTTCATTCTACCCTTGATTACCCGCGCCGAGCCGATCTTTTCGGTGACCGGGGTGAAGCCGTTTGAGGTCGAGAAGATATGGGTGCAGAACTTTATTAAATTCCAAAATATTTTGGAGAAGAATGGGAAAAAGAAGATTATACCTTTAGGTGAGTTTCGTGCTACGATAAAATCTTATTTAAAATGTTAGGTTGCGTTCCGACAAATTCGGAAAACGGGACGCTTTTGGCGATTAACGAAACATTGAGCAATTCCGACTTCTTGTACACCTGCAAACAAGATGAAGACGGAGTGGTCAATTATGAAGCAATCGGTATCGTACAATACCTGATGCCAAGAAAGGACTTAAGGGTGCTATTCACGAGATGGACGTCTTCTAAAAATCGGGCAAGCCCGTGTCCTCGATAATGGAACGACGATCGAGAAGTGTGACATTGGATTGAGCGGGGCGGTGGCTAAATCGGTAGAGACAGGTATCGGGCTTTTGGCATTGGCCGGATTTTTACGTATTTTCCAGCTTCCGGCTGTTTCGGAAAGAAGGCCGTCTACTTTGATGGGGCCGAATGGATCCAAGAGATCGAAGATCGAAAACCGACCGACATGGTGAGCTCTGAAATTGTATATGTCTCTTTTTTTAGCTTGAGGGTACCTGGATGAAGTGCTTCCGGCCTCATAATGGATATTATGAAAGCCACGTTATTGGTAAGTAAGAATTTTCTAGGTGATTTAAGGAATTCCAGGATGTGCATCCGATACGCTACTTGTTGCAACTGGCGATACGGCAGAGTTGACTGGGGGAAGATATGTGAGATGTGTCGAGACCGCTTCAAATGTTGTTGCATTTGTGACGGTTGACAAAAAAGGTATCAATAATCTAATTCGATTCTATTTTTGGTCTCAGAACTTAGCTGTGAGCATGAGAATGCGAGAATCGAGCATGGTACCACCTGGAATGATACGTCTCGTGGAGCTGTCTTGCTTTGTCAAAATACTCAAGTCATCAAGACCGGTAGGTTCATGCAAAATAAAATAAAATGCTCAATTTCAGGCTGCCTCCTCAGCGGCCAAGTCCTGGACCTCGGCCAGGAGGTGACCATCGAGTTGGGAGCGCCCGAAAATTGCGTTTTCCTGTGCCACGAACAATCTAACGCCTACGTCTGCCCCCGCCGGATAGGAGACTATAAAATTGTGCAGGAGGGCGATGAGCAGACTACCGTAAGATTTTAAAAACCCAAGTAATTTATAAAAATTTTAGACTGCTTCAACAACTCCGGCCGTTGCCAAGCCGTCCAAGCCGACTCCAGCCCCGCTGTCTCGTCTGCTCGCCATGAGGAAGTACAAGAAGAAGATCATCAAGTCGAACTAGTTCAAAAGTTTTTAATGTATTCTCTGATGTCTGTAAATAAATGGTCTCTTAAAGAAAGATTCTGTGGTGGAAATCGCCAACTGTTTGCCTGGGGAATCGGCTATCTTTGAGTGGACCTTTGGGGAGAAGAACTAGTTTTTTTTTTTGAAGATTTATCAAGGGCTTTTGGCCTGGCAATAGCATTTTACTATAAAATAGGCTAATATAAATATTTTCCGCTTTCAATTTCAAACCATCCTCCTTCAAATTCAATGTTTGAGCGTGTGTGCCCTGGAAAACCCTTTTTCTGCCGGAATCGAATGGAATGGCCTGCCCTCGTCCCTCCCTTTTTCTCTCTTTCTACGTATGCAAATGAGGCTCGCCCCCCGATCGGTTCCACCAAACCTGCCCCCTTATACAAATTGTGGAAGAGGAGGGGAAGAGGTAGCAGATTGGATACGGTGTCCTTCCTCCTTTTGCAGACGCGTCCTTCATCCTAACAAAAGAATTGGAAATTCTTTATCGTGGTGAAATAGAGGCGGGAGGTATGGAGATGGTGGCAAACGAAAACGAAATAAAAATCGGCATGTAAATTTAAAATTTTTAAGTTATTTCTAGTTATACACGAGACTAGAATTAGACACTTGTTAATACCAGCCTCATACCATTTTTTACATACCTGATCAGCTGTACCTAACCAAATTCCAAACATTTTGAGCATTTTCTACCCCTAGTCCGTCTTCCATCATACTCAACTCGTGCTCGATTACCAGCTTTGCCAAACCCAGCCCTCCCCCCGCTTAATCAGATCACAAAAAGTGGCCGGGGTAAAAGTAAGCGAGAGTTACCAGTTGCCCAGATTTGCCAGCCGGTATTAGGCAGATGGGGGTGATGAAGGACGTTTCGGTTGAGGAGCAAGTGGGGAGGGAGGAGGAAGAAGAGGAGGAGAGGGAATACCAATAGGGGGGCGGGCACAGACAACACTTGGTATTTAAGGAGCATCAGTCTCCCTCAGCCCTACCTTCCGCTCATGGATCTACAGACACGAGTGAAGGTTAGCTCTTTAATCTATTCACAATCTTTAAATTAAAATTTCAGGCGTATCGCTTCGTCGCCTATTCGGCGGTGGCCTTTTCGGCCGTAGCTGTACTCTCTGTTTGTGTCACCCTACCACTTGTCTACAACTATGTACATCATGTGAAACGCACCATGCAACAGGAGATTGCCTTCTGCCAGGATTCTGCGGAAAAGATTTGGACTGAGGTGATTTTGTGCTTTGACAAAACAAATCATTTTTAGGTGCGTGAGCTGAAGGACATCCCCACCGCCCGCAATCGTACCGCTCGCCAGGCTGGCTATGATTTTGCCGTCACTGGAGGACAACAAGCTCAAGCAGGATCTTGGTATCTCAGTCTCAAATAATTTTCACCAATTTTTCTAGCGACTCCTGCTGCCTTCCCGGCCCTCCTGGCCAAGCCGGAACTCCCGGAAAGCCCGGACGCCCCGGAAAGTCTGGAGCCCCAGGCCTCCCTGGAAACCCTGGACGTCCCCCACAGCAACCTTGCGAGCCGGTTACACCTCCGCCCTGCAAACCTTGCCCTCAAGGACCTCCCGGACCCCCTGGACCTCCCGGAGAGCCCGGAGATGCTGGAGCACCAGGTCTCCCCGGATCGCCCGGCCCCAATGCTGCCCCCGGAGAGCCTGGACCAAAGGGACCACCTGGTGAGTGTGAATAAGTTTTATTTGAAGGAACAGGAATATGCCAAATTTTTTTCCAAATTTATTTTTACTTGGATTTCATAAAATTAGAGAATTGAGTTTTAGGAAAGTGGGTAAAAAATTAGAATTGACAAGAGCAATTTTTCAGGACCACCCGGAAACCCCGGAGCCCCCGGAAAGCCTGGACAACCCGGTGTGGACGCACAGAGCTCACCGCTCATCCCTGGAGAACCTGGACCTGCTGGAGACCCCGGACCTCAAGGCCCCCCTGGTGCTCCCGGAAAATCTGGGTCTCCTGGAACAGCTGGTCTCCCCGGACCGAAAGGACCGCCAGGTTTGAAAGGATCTTGCAACCGTAACTTTTTAACGTTTAGGACCGAATGGTCAACCTGGCGCGGATGGAAACCCCGGTCGCCCTGGACAGTCTGGACCTCCTGGACAAGCCGGAGAGCGTGGTATCTGCCCCAAGTATTGCGCCATCGATGGCGGAGTGTTCTTCGAGGATGGTACTCGTCGTTGATCGATATCCGACGGAGAAGAATAAACCATTTAAAGCAGGCATCGTTTTGATACACGTTATATAGTACATGGTCAGAAAATCGAAAAAGTGCTTCCTAGCGGATGCGGATGCATATCGCGGATGAGTATCAGATTCTTATGATTAGGGCTCTATTAAAGAAACCAGAAAACAAGCCGGCTTTTTTAAATTAAACTATTTAGGATACACTGAACATGTATTCACAGCAAGCTAATAAGCAGCTAAAAATGTATTTCCGAAGCATTTTTGGCTTCCGGTTTCTCGGCTTCTTTTTCACGTTAGCAAATGGGCAAATGGCGATGTACAAATTGATCTTTATGAAGACCCCAGAAAGGACAACGGATTTTTTTGGTCTTTGGTTGTGAACTTGTGGACTTTTTTATTAATAAAAGCTGGCTATGCACAGGGGTCGAACTTAACGCAGAGGGGAGCTTTTTTTAGTCTAGAAACCCACAAATTTCCAAATGCGCGTTGTACTTTCGGAATTTGTCAACAGGAAACGTCGCGGTTTTGGCTGATTTTTCCCGAGTTTCCCAATTTTTTCGTTAAATAAAAAACTAAATTTTTCCATGATGATTAGCCCAAAAATAGTGCAAGACATTCATTGTTTTGGCTACAGCATTTCAAACAATTCCCACCCCACCCCCACGCCTACCGCTTCCATCAGTCTTTTACCATGACGAAAATGCGGCCACTTGCTCTCTTTATTCTAGGCCTTGCCTCGACCTTTGCTTTCAATTTTCGGGATACTGTAGGTTCCGATTTTGGATGTATCCGCAAATTTATACCAAGCCGAGCTATCTGCTCTGCTAGCTTCAAATGATATCCTGTCTTCATTCAATTTCGCGACCCAACCACCCGCCTACAACGATGGCGGCGACCGATCTGCTGATATCATTTTTTGCCAGTAAATAAGTTTCGTAAAGCTTTTCGGTGCAACGATTTTGTAGCGACGACTTTCCACTGGGGCCCGATGATTCGATGCGCGAAGACATTCGCACCATTCAAAACGAAACCACTGGCGCGGAAAACCGAACTGAGCTCGTGCTCTCGCTGGCTAGCTTCTTAGAATTTACCGAAGGCATCAAAAATCTTCGCACCAAGACCAAGGTTTTTGCGTGCGATGGGGGCCGATTGAACGCTAGATGTAAGCCCTAAAGTTCTGCTTTTTAGTAATGTAATTCTTTTAGTTGCACAGCTGTACTCTTGCATAAATGGACTGAATCAGAGTCAGGTTTTTCAGCCATGCGAAAACTTGTTAAAAAACGACAACGGAACTTCCGAACTAGCAGCCCAATTGTGAGGATTACGGCAATAACAGCACATATTTGGGTATTTTATCTAGGAGCGGGAAGCCTAAAAAGCGGTCGCAAAATTTTGGGAGAGATTTATGGTGCGCAGATTTTACCAGAACAGTTCAGACACACCTTCATTCCATGCGCTCTCACAACCCTTGGTGAGAAATGCGGCGGAAAGCGGGCAACTTTCGATGCGGCACGAATTACACTGATCGTGGTATGTTGCGCTAAGCTAAATCTTGCTAGTTAGAAAAGCGGATATGCACAGAATCTAAAGCCAAACTTTTAGGTGCAAGCGTTCCAATATATTACTAGGGCGGCAAGCAAGGATGCCGAAAAGGACTTGGCCGTGGCCGCCGGCATACTGTATGAGCACATTTTTGTAAATGGCCCAGAAGACATCCGTGATATTTTTGCACCATGATCGACGCCGTTGTAAGCTGTTGTTGTAAATAAAAATATGGCACCCTTTCCTGACACACATATACCTAAAGTGCAAAAATTAGAACGGCTATAGGGGGGCCTGCTTTTGACTTGTGTATGTACTTGCATTCCATAAAACGAATTAGGCGTGAACCCATTTATTAGGCAAGGGCAAACATGATGTTTGTACATAAATACATAGGCAGATTAGTGGTGGCCGCCATGATGTCCGTGATGGCCGTGGTGGTGACTATCATGATGGTGGGTCGGGTGGGTGATGTGGTGGATGACCTCGGCCACGGGGTTGTGGTGATGGTGGTGATCGTGATGTCCGTGGTGATGGGTGTCGTGGACGATCACTGGTTGCACAACTGGGGGAGGCATGTAAGGAGCTAAAAATATAGTTTGATTCCTTGTTTTATAGATTTTGGTATCTTAAACTACATAAAACTAAATGTAAAACCCACCAGCTCCATATCCAATACCACCGGGCTGGCAAGGCGCCGCTCCGTGACCAATACCATTATTGCAGGTGTTGTTGCCGTAGGGATTGTAGTAAGACATCTTGGTCTGGGTTCGCGTTGGCAGAACTGAAGAAAACACCTCGATTCGACCCTTTTGAAGCAAAAGCCAACCTGGGCGGGGTGTAGATAACGCAGGCCTACCCCCTATTGGGTTTTGTGAATTGTTGGCCCAGATGGGCTTGACTCACCTGACGCCCACCCCCCGGTCTGTCCCTCGCACACATGCATGACCAGCAACAGTCTCGTCTTGTGCAATTCGGGTGAATCATCAATACGGGGATACGTAGAAATGAAATAAGCTAAGGTCAGGTCCAAAAATTGACAATTAGTCACTGGTAGGGAAGAAGACGTGAAAAACAAGGCTACAATGTTGTATTGGGTAATTGAATTCAGGAAAGAAAATGCTAAAAATGGGAATTATACTAGCAGGCTTACCACTACGCAAAAAAGCACTTAGATTTCGCCAAAAGACGATTATTAGCTGCAATACTTTTGGAATATGTCTAAATCGACTTTCGCAAAGCTTGTAGTCTTACAGGTATTAAGGTATCTTGCTATATAATTTTTCATCTTTCCCATTACAAGGACAAGTTCAGGAATGACCACGTATACACCTAGTTACGAAAAATAATGAGACTTAGAGAGCCTCAGTTTTCATAGAAAACGTACGACTCGCCAGCAGCCCTTTAAGCAACCCTCCAAGACTCAAATTCTCCCCTTTCACTACCCATTTCAAAATTAACATAAAATCACCCATCCTCCCAACCCATTGTTCTCGCACCTAAATTTTATCGTCGCGCCAAGAACACTGTCCAAGACACGTGCCGTCATTTCCTTATCTGGAAAACGCCTCCAAAAAGTTGGGCCGCGAAAGCGATCGGCCCGACCCCGCGGGTTGGCTATAAAATTTTTTGATACCGCCTGTCACCCAGTGCGCTATTTGGAAAGCGGATCAAGGGGCCATTCGCCCACATTTTTCGAGCTCATCTTTTCGGCCTCGTCTGCAAGCTCAAAAAAGCTTTAAAGTTCAGAATGCACTACTGCCACGGAGGTTGCCGTCAGGGATGCCCGCATTGGCACCATATGCATCATCATCATGGCCATCATCATCACGGGCATGGACACACCACGACTTATATTACCCCTGGTTTTGTGGCGCAACCAGTTTGTACGTTTTATTTATTATATTTATTCTAGCTATATATTTAGACCCTGCGATGCAACCGATGGTGCAGCCAATGGTTCAACCTATGGTACAGCCAGTCATCCAGCCTGTTGTACAACCGGTAGTTGTACATGATCACGGACATCATCATGGTAAGTCTCAGAATATTTAGCTCTCATTATTATTATTAATTCTGTGGTATTTAAATGCAAATTATTTTTAGGACATCACCATCACCACCATAATCCGCTGGCTGAGATTGTTCACGATGTTGTTCATGCGGCTACCCACCATCATGGTAAGAAAGATCAAAAATTATTGGATCAGATTAGAAATACAAAATATTTAATAAGAGGCAGTAAAAATCTATAAATCCAGTTAAAAAGTGAATATCCTTGTTTCAGGCCATCACCATCATCACCATCGCCATCACTGCTAATTATATACCAAAATTGCATTTACCCTATGCATATATTCCATAAATCATCAAAAATATATCCATTCAGGCATCTTTATTCTCTAACAGCAAATCCCAAAAAATTCAAATCAAAGTCAGATTATGCTCTATAGAATTCGATAAGAGCGAAGTTCCCACCGCGAATGAACTGCAATTGCAAGACCAATACATGCACATAATCGAATACAATCAAGGGATCCGGGAATTGTGGGGGTCTCTAAGTAGCTGAGAGCTAAGATACCAAGACAAATGATGATGGAAATATCGGATAGAAATTCGGCTTTTAGGTAAAGATTATGCCTTGTGAAAAGACCTTGCGGTGGCTTGATGTTAGAATTGGTTGAAGAGGTGAAGGGCGAGTTTTCGGTTTCTCCGTAGCCGAATATTTGAATGATCTGGAAAAATGCCGATTCGATGCAAATTACGCATGCATTGCCGAGGTTTGTATATTTTAAAAGTGAGGCATCCCCCAATTTGTTATGGAATACGATAATTCCAGAGGCAGAGAGAGAGAGAGGGAGAGAGTGAGAGAGAGATCGAAGAATAGATCGACAGACGGAGAATGAGAGACCTACTTGCGTATCGCAATACAGTATTAATTACACCAATTTCAAAAATTTTCCTTTTTTCGCTAACCTCCTCTGCCATGATGCTCTTATTGCAACCCGGACAACGTGGATTCTCCGCCGCCACCTTCAGCCATTTCTCCATACAATCCGAGCAGAACATGTGGCCACAACGCGTCACTACTGCCCCAGTCACACCACAACGACAAATTGGACATTCAAATCTAAGAAAGAAATTTTTTAAAGATTCAAATCAGCTCTTACCTACTGCCATCATCATCCGCCTGGGGCTCTGAGATCGGGGTCTCAATTGTTATGATGGTATCCATTAAAATTCGGGCGAGTGGCACTCTTCAAATAAAAACCGAAGTGGCTGTGTGCTTGGCAGATGTGATGTGAGTAGTAGGTCATTACTCGATATTCAAATATCATACCTAGACTGCATCTGTCACGACCCTAGAAACCATGAAGCGAAAGTGAGCATTAAAGTGAGCGAGCAGCAGCATCATGCAATGAACTTCTTTACTATTTTCATGAAGGAAAAATAGCAGTAAGGGTACTAACAGTGAATTATAAGCCGGAGAGACATACACAATCTAAAAATAATATTGGTTTGAGAGCCAGAGGCTTGTACAGCGGGTTAGGCTTATTAGGCTTAGGCTTAGGCTTAGGCTAAGACTTAGGTTTAAGCTTAGGCTTGAACTCAGGCTTAGGCTTAGGCTTAAGCTTAAGCTTAGGCTTGGGCTTAGGCTTAGGCTTAGGCTTGGGCTTAGGCATCGACTTCTAATTACACTGCCTTTTTTGTTCTTTTGACTTAAGGTGGCGATCTTTCTTCTCATGTGTGACTTGATATCATATAGTTTCAAGAAAAATCAACTCCTTGTTACTTTGGTTTTCTGTCCAAACCGTCACAGTTTCCGGTGGACTGACACCGAACGCTTTATGCCTTTTGCCAACGCTTCAACTCCAACATAAAATCACTTCTCCGACTTCAACCCCTTTATGCTTGAAAGTGATTCCCCGAATTCCTTTCCCTAATTGGCCGAAGCCCATCAAAAGCTGGCCGAGAAGAGAAGCGGAAAAGAAGCGGCGAAGAAGCGCACTGGCCGGGTTATCTTTATAGGTGTGAACGAGTTGTAAATGGGGCTGACGGATAGATGGCAGATCGGTCGTTTCTACTTCCTTCGTCTACATCGGCATGGTAGGGGCATTAGCGATTTGCATTTATCGATTAATAACAGGCTTTTGCTGTTGAAGCACCACCAGATGATAGTCGTGATATCAGGGACCATCCGGTAAGTGAAATTTTATTATTTTCAGGAAATTTTTTGTTTTCTGTTTTGCGAAACTTGATGTTCTTTGCGAGCGATTCATAATTTTGCATAATTTTTTTTTTTGTTACTTAATATGCAAATTTCGTGCTGTGCTTCGTATGTATACCTTTTATTTTAACATTATTAAAGTGTATACCTTGAAATAAAAACAAATTGAAATCATAGGCTTAAATTATTTGACTTTTTAAACTTTATGAATTCACATTTTTCTTCATCCGCGTTTCTGATCTTTTATGTTCTCGGAACAAGAGGCAACTTGCTATCAGGACATTATAATGGGGTGGAATGATTCCAGATCTCGTAAAAGACCCCGATTTTTGAGTTCGCCAAGTATGAATCATAATCAATCAGAATACAAACAAGTATTAAAAAAATCTAGGTTCCACTATGGCGGCGCGTGGTCTCCCTCGTGCTGCTCACTCTGCTTCATGCCATGACATTCGCAGATCGGTTTGGAATTTCTGGTGAAGAGATCTAGAAAAATGACTAGGTAGCATCCAAAATTTAGGAGTTCTCTCCGACATCATCGACTTCTACGACATCAGCGATTCCACTGCCGGTCTCCTCAGTACGCTTTTCATGGCAGCTACAATCGTTGGATCTCCACTAGCGGGTTATATCGGAGATCGTTACAACAGGCAAATTAAAGAAAAATATAATTACAATTTAAATCCAGAAAAATGATACTGATAATCGGAGGGATTCTTTGGATTGGGGTAATGCTGGCAGCTTCGTTTGTTCCAAAAAACGTACGTCAAAATCGCATTTTTTTAAAATATGGTACTTTTTAAGATGTTCTGGCTTTTCCTAACCATCCGCTGCATCGACGGCTTCTCCGACAATATTGTATATTCTTGTGCTCCATCGTTGATCTCGGATTACTTTTTTATTGGTGAGCTTTCTTTCTCGCGCTCCCTCTCTCTCTCTCCCTCTCTCTCTCTCTCTCTCTCTCTCTCTCTCTCTCTCTTTCTATCTCTCTCTATATCTTCCCTAGCCAGATTTATTTCCAGGTAAATATCGCAACTACGCATTTATGTGTTTTTACTACGGGTTGAATTTTGGAGGGTATTATTTTATCACTTTCCCTCAAATCAAATTCAGACAATTCGGTGCCATTTTTGCCTCAATCATCGCGGAAAAGGTTGAGTGGCAATGGTCTTTGCGGTAAGTAATCTACTTTTTTACATTTCAAAAATTAGGTTTGTTCCTGCTCTCACGTTAATACTCTGGGCGCTGGTTCTCCTCATCGTCGTCGAGCCACCTCGAATCAAGAGCGGATCGACGAAAAAGCTGAGGGACGACGGAGCGTTGGGAGATGTGAAGTATCTACTTTCGATGTAGGGCGATTTTTACAATACTATATTTAAATCATAGTAAAACTTATATATTTATTGTGTTGGCGCGCGGAATGGCCGCCAGTTCCGGTGGTGTTTCGGTAAGTGGAAATAGACTTCGGTTTAGGTTAAGGCTTAAGCTTAGGCTTAGCCCTAGACACAAAGAACCTTTTAGGGCTGGTGGAACAATGATCTAGCTGAAAACACAATGAAGTGGTATAAAAACGAGTCGATGGACAAGTTTTACAAAACCTTTGATCATATGGATTACAAAGAGTAAGTGTGGGTGGAGGCCTTATTGGTCGTAGCTATGTTATAGCTTGTATGCTAATGACGATGGTTGCGGGTATAGCCGGCAATACGTTGCTCACCGCGCTTGCGGAGGTAATTTTTGATACTCTACTTCATAACTGATTTAATAAAAGCTACCATGCTAATTTAGGCCTGGAAACAAGGTAGGGGTCCGCTGCGTCGTATCAAAACTTATCGAGGCTCGGCAGCGACTCTCGCGTTGTGTAAGAGTTTGAAAAATTCCGAAGTTACTTAATTTTATAGGTTTTCTTCTGGTAGCACCTATCACCTACTTCTACCAATTGCTCGTCAAGGAAGAAGTCTGGATTTACATTGTAAGTTTTTTAGTTCCATACAAAGCGAGGGAATCTAGGGAGTGCAATGTGTAAATTCATTCCTCGGAGGTGGCGTCTTTGTGTTAGCAACCGATGTGATGTATGTAAGTATAGAATTGTAAACATTTTAATATAGCATTATTGTTGTAGTCAGTAACAACAAAGGATAGACGTGCAACGACGATTATGTATTGCTATTTGGTTGAGCATTTTATCGGAGATGGGCCTGGGCCTTACATTGCGGGAGCTGTATGTAAAATTAGCATGCAAATAATACATCTTTTTAGATTGCCGATGCATACCGTGGAGATGATAAAGGGCCGGAAGCGGAAGTGGAAGCGCTTTTGAAAGTGGAAAAGCTTCTCCTCAAAATATTATTTTTTTTAGGCTTTCCGGATAACAAATCTAGTCGTCATTCCAGCCGTGGTATTTACAGTGTTAGCTTGCTTCTTTATGCCGGGTGACTACAAGAGAAATGTTGAAGCGGAAATATTGTTAGATGGTAAGAGTCAAAATCCATTCTAACACCCCAATTAAAGAGCTAGAAAAAGAAGAAGACCCCGAGGGATATCAAGAAAAGCACAAAAGCCGGTAAATACCCTAAATTTTGATTTTAAATATTATTTTAGCAACGGGACGGTACTCACTATACAAAATGGGTTCGCAGAAAAAACCAAATTATAATTCCGTCTCCTCCGATGCTTGAAATGCACAATAAAAGTTTCAATTTCCACGTTTTTTGCACGAAAAAATACGAATTGCAAAAATTTATCGACAAATATAGAACATAGAAGGCTATCTATGGAGACGGTACCAACGTGTTGTTTTGAGGGGACTACACTCGCAATTTTTCGCCTATAGATTAGTGGCCTCCAACCTCAACATCACCGGGCTAAAAACATACATTATTAAATGGCAACTGGAAAGGGACATACCTTCTTGAGGGGATTGTAGGTCTTGAAATATTCCTTGTCCTGCTTCTGCTGGCGGATACCGTACCAGTGCTCGACCTCATGGTGATGGTGGTCATCCTTGCCCTTGGCGTAGGCGATACGGTGGCGGGGCTTGACTGAAATGGGGGGAAAATGAGAAAGTTTTTGTAAAGTTTGTCACAGCACGACTAGGCTCCATTATGACTCTACCAATGGTTTACAAAGTTTTAAAAGGCTTAAAATCAGGAGCAACGGAAAACGTCACTAAATAAGCCCTACAACAGATTTAAATGTGACAACAAGTAAGTAAGTAACAATAAATAAAATTAAAATTAAATTTTCACTATTCTGTACTCACTTGGCAGAACAAATTTGTAGATGCCATAGACGATGGCGGCGGAGTAGACGTAGAAGCGGAAGACGGGGATGTACTTCCAGTTGTACCGCCACGACCACATGCGGAGCTGAAGGAAATAAATTATCAGGGTTCTACAAACATTTTCTAGGAGTTTGGCTTGCTTTTGATCAAAGAAAAAGCATAATGCCGTCATTATAAGCATCGGAAAGCCACCAAAAAATGTAATTCTAGATGGTAGAAGCTTTTGAATGCGGAAACTCCTAAGTTACTTCCGGTAGCAAGAGTAGGAATTTGTGAATAACATGAGTAAGGTTTTGAGATGCTAAATAATTTGAGAATAACGTACTGAAGAAAGCGGCAAAGCTAATAGTAAGTTGTAACTATTTTTCTTTCCCAAGAGATTTGTGTGCGCTTCTAAAGACGATCGTTTTTGAACGCTTCGGTTCTGAATTCTTGTGTTATGGTCTCAACTAGAACTACCAGGATTTAGCAACATTTCCATAAGTTTACATATAAATTTAAAGCCAGGTTTCTACCATCTTTGTTCAATTGTACTTTTATTAACTTCAACCCACGTATTCGGCGGCAGTCCATGGTCGGGCCATCATCCTGGGGTGCAGATCGGTCTTCGGGATCGGGGCATTGGGGCTGATCAACACGTTGACAGCTCCCTAAAGGTAAAACAATAAATATAAGACCCAATAAACACAACTCGTCAAAAAACCAAAATTAACGACTTTTTACTGACCCTGGCCGTCTCGACCGTCCAGGCGGCGGCGTTGTACACTGCCTTGACCACCATGGTTTACCTGAAAAGGAATAAATTTTAATTAAAGTGGCTGTTTTAGTAAGGATAGGGTCTTTTCGGGCAAGGGTCGCTGTTAGCGGTAGGAGGCTGCCAGAGGAGGACATTTACAATCTTTGGGCGAGAGGAAACGTTGCGTGTATTGGCGCGTTGCGGCGAGGAGCCGCGGTAGGGCCCCGGGAATGAAACGGCTATGAATGCATGTTATCTGATCAATAAATGGCAGATTTCAAGGAAGGAATCGTTGGTAATAGGTATTTATTTTTGGTAATCAGATAATTGTGTGTTTTCGAAGACATAATGTACGTTCTTGGTCCTCAATAAATGTTCATATTTATTCCTTGGGCGACACCAGTAGCGATACACAGAATTCAAACACTTTAACTAAACATAACTAGGCAGATAATTGATTTTCTACAATCCGGGCTGCATTCCAAATCCGGGGCCTGGAGGATCTTCCGTCAGTGAGGTCAGCTTTCCCTGTGGTTCAGCAGCCAGTCTTCCGGAACGAGGGCCTGAAATATCGGAATGAAATTTGTCCTGAATATCTGTCTATATACCTCGATTTTTAAAGCACCTTTGGATGGATAATATACCTGGTATTGGTCGCTTTCCAGCCTTGAACTCGTCGAGAATCTCTTCAATATCCTTCGGGGTCAAATCCTCATAATAGTCGTCGTTGATTTGAACCATAGGCGCGTTCACGCAAGCTCCGAGACATTCAACTTCCGCCAAAGTAAAGAGTCCATCCTTCGTCGTCTCGCCGGCATGGATTCCCAGCTTCTTCTCGATTGCGGAAGTAATCGTTTCGGCTCCACGAAGCATGCACGGAGTCGTGGCGCACACCTGGAAGAAGTTACTTTAGTTACAAAAAGGAATACTTTTATAACTTTGTAAGAGTGGGAAATCATGTGATTTAGAGTAAAGGGGAGAAAGATGTATCATTATACTCACCTGGAGAAAGTACTTTCCAACGGGTTGTCGGTTGAACATTGTGTAGAAGGTGGCCACCTCGTATGCCCTCATGCGTGGAATTTCGAGAATCCTGGCGACCTCGTGCATGGCGCTGATTGGCAGCCATCCATGTTGGCGTTGAGCCAGATCCAAGACCGGGATCAGGGCCGCGCTTTTGTGTCCTTCCGGGTAGATGTTCTATAAATGATGGATAGTTTTAAAAGCAGCTAAGAAAGATTCGGCATGAAATTGAGTTTTTGTAGGTATTTCCGCCAACTCTAGCTGCTTATACTTTGCATTTTCTGTAGAATATCCTACCTTGATCGCCTCAATTCGCTTCATATTCTCCTCGGTGAACTTGAACTTGATGCCGAGGTTGTTGTCCTTCGACTCGCGGTGGACCATAAGCCCGGTGCCGCCGAAGCGCACCTGGCTGAAGGAGGCGCGGCCCTTAGCCGCTGACAGCACGGCCTTCATACCCTAGAAATCAAATTCTGTATGTTAATTAGGTTTTGATACAGCATGGGTTTTACATTGAAAAATAAATTAATAAGCATAAAAACAATATATTGGTTCAGATCGTTATACAGGGTGCGGCAAAAGTATTGTCGCCACTTTCCGCCGACTTTATCTGCGAGGAAATTTGACAGATACTCTAGCCAAAAATTTAGTTTATGCAGTTTTTAATGCTTTATCCGCGGATCAGATTGACTTCTAGAATTTTTGCTTTTTTTGTCGCTGGGACAACTTTTTCCAAAAACCCTGCGCTCTCAAGCCTAAAAACTGCTTTTTAGACGCACTCTAGGTGGCCAAAGAATTTTGGACGATGGAGAACAAAGCAAATGCTACCAGAAACACATATGAAAAGTCATCGTGACACATAGTCCCCGAACTTAGGACCCTATTTCTACGGACTGAAGGTGCGGCGCACCGTGATTTTTGGTCGTGTACATCATGCAATGAAACTCGCTCAAAAATCATGATTCCAAAAAACTTTCAAAAGCAGATTTCTGCCTTGGACCTGTCTAAAGCTAGCCCTGTTGACAAAACTTCCCGATTTTTTGTCGCGAATCAGATATGAGGCAAAAGCCCGCGACAATACTTTTGCCGCACCCTGTATAACCTTTTAAACAAGCATTAAAAAGCCATTCATGTAGGACAGATTGAGCTTCTACACCACAAAATACATATCCAAAAACTTATGTTAGTTAGAGGCCAGATAGCCTCCCGTCAAAACGGAATACTCACAGCATCATGACGTCGATAGGCAACGGCGTACTCGACCCCTTTTACCCATGCTAATCGCACAAAATGATATGTTTATCCTTACTGCACCAATGATATATACAAAGAAAATTATTATTTATGTAAATTCCAAATTTAATAGATTTATTAATAAGAAAAGACAGACCAGAATAGTAGAGGCAATTCACAACCGTTGCTGTTTTGAGCGCTATAAGACAGGGGAGACACGAGAAACACGGGGCTATAAATAACAATCGTTGACTATAAATGTCGATGCAAAGTGATTGGAATGTAAGCAACACGTAATATGGCAGATACGGTAATTTCAAAGTACAAAAATGATATTATGTAATAACAATTATGAACTAATTCCACTGATGGTGTCGAGGAGATGAATGGGGGATCGTTGAGTATCGGGTTTTTCTTCGAAAGAGCGACGGAACTGAATTTAAATATAGGTTTTATTCAATGTTTTTTTACCGAAGTTCCAAAATATCCGGCCAATCGCTCCAGCATCGCTTCAGCACTTTTTATGAGAACTTCATGGTATTTCTGCTGATCCGGCCCTATAGCCTGACCATTGACCGTTAAGCCTTTATCACAAGCCATCATCAGATCCCTAAAATTGGGCTGCGTTTTGGTTGATACATTTCCTTACCTAAAGGCTTCACATAGCTCCTCAATCCCATGTTCTCCATAGAGTTCACGTTGGTCTGGCTGTGAAAAGGCTTCGGCATAGGCTAGCGGCCCGGCATTTACCTAAAATTATTTTTATCTGATGTTTTAAAGTTAATGAATGTTAAATAATAAAAATTGTGTTTATTAAATTTACATACCGTAGGCATAACAGCTCCTTGCAACAATAGCTGAAGCCCCTTCAAGTCAAGCTGTCGGCCCTCGGTTGTAGCATCCAAGACTTTGGAAATTTGACGGGCCTAAGAGGTCCATGATAGCGATTTAATAAAACGATACCTTCGTTTTCAATTTTTGGCATGCAAATTTGATGGGCGACAATATTTCGATTCGTTTCTTTTCCTTTACGACTGGGAGTCGTCGTCGATTGCAGGGGAAGGATTCGCTCACTGAAACAGGGTTTTAGCTCTTGAATTATATATTAAGCTTAGGCTTAGCTTGGGACTATGCTTAGCCTAACTTGGCTTAATTTTATCATGTACCTATTAGGAATGTTTTCTTGAGGCCCTGCTTATGCAGAGGTGGTTCTCCTTTCTCTTCCATAGGCTCGCCGACCATAATTGGACTTTCATAAGTAAAAGTACTGTAACAAATATCGGTTCATACGATATATAAAAGTGATTTACCTGCAGTTTGTATGCGTCTCAAAGCTAAGCGATTCCCTCTCATCCTCACAAACCGGCTCGACGTGTGTTACTTGGATATAGGCCATCGTTGAGTCCAAGGTGTCCGGGTCCAACTTAAGATCAAACTCCTTCTAACCTTTTATACAAACCTCAGACTCTGGTTCGATCTTTATCCTATCAGTCCCAAGAAGCTGTTGACAGTTTTCCCGGAGCGAACAGCTAGCTTCCGCCAAGGACGTAAGCCCAGGCTCACGATAGATCCATTCGCTCATATGCAAATCTTTCCTGTATCGATACCTTTAGTATTACGCTTCTCCTGCTCACCCAAAATGGCTCAATCCAATGAACACCACTTTGAAATAGGCGCCCAAATGTCTTCTTCCACTCATTGCTGCTTCTAGAGCTCTTGATGACGATTGGTTCAGGTCAGCATATACAGACCGGAGGGACTAAATTTGTTTTGAAACGTGAAAGCTATGATTCTGACATTATAATTCCTATTCTTCTCTAGAGATGGTATCAACAATCGGTAAATCGGTCCAATGGCTTCGTATCGCTCAGCTAGGGTCAATTCACGAGTGCAGCTTTCGATTTTTGTGGCGAGATTTTCCTCAAAAAGCTGAGACATTTGCGAGTTGACCTACCAATGTGAACTCGGCTGGTTGAACGACTTCGATCCCCTTATTTCGTACATCTTCTTTGATACCGATCGTGGAGGATATCCAATCGAGTACAGTCCAATCTGGGGAATTCAGGGCTCCTTTGAGAGCCAACTCCTTGGCGATGATGGCTACTGAGTGGCCATAAGCTACAGCCGCTTCAGAATGCCATCCATCTGCCGCGTGGGCTTCTGCTAGAGTGTCAAACCAGAGGGAGCTGAAATCAGTAACTTCAAATCTATATGTAGTCTATAATTTACCGATAAGCCGCAGAACCTCGATAGCTGTCAGCAAGTTGAATATGAAGATCGGCTAGTTTAATCAAAAAATCGCAAGGGTGGAAAATAAAGTTTAACGAACCGGATCATTCGAAGCTGGAGCCAAAGCGCTTGTAGCTTCAAGCACTCCTCGCAGCTGTTTGACAAGTTCCTAAGATTTGAATCCAGAATTAGCTAATCTTTCCTTACCCTCACGGACCCTTCGAAGTCTCCCACTTTTTGTCGCTCCCTTGGAATTAGCGCCTCCAGGTAGCAGAGCCCACGCTCGAATCTAGTTACGTTTTCGCCAGTTTTTTAGTAATTATTACCTTCCGACACATCCAGCCAATCCTTGCTGCGTACCAAGAAGCCGTGCCAATGCAACACCAGCTTGGGTACCCGGTCTTCCGAGCCGTTCGGCAGCCGAAAGATCTCGTTTTGATTCGCCATCCTTCCCGGCTGGGGATACAGAAAGTGCCATTGCTTTATTTGCTAAATTCAGTTATTTCTATTTATCGAATTTTCCTACATAGCGTATTCTGTACAGTCTCGTAGCCAGCTCTCAATACGAATTGGAATAGGGCGGAAGAGGCTGATTGGATCGTAGAGAGTCGGGAAGCCATCTCAAAAACCCGGTATTTCCCAATTTTTTTTGTTCAGCTCTACCTGCAACAGAAGCTTTTCAATAAGCAACGCCAGGGCATCCAAAGACCCCGATTCGAACAGACGAGGTCGGAACTAAATTTGCATTTTTTTTTAATTCAGTATGCTTGTTGTTCGTACCTGATTGATAAATGCTCCCAGCGAGGCCAAGGCGTTCAAGCGAACCCCCTCGGGCCAATGGGTCTCCAGCAGACTCAGGTGGATCAACAACAAATATCGGAAGCTCTCTTCCCAGGTAGTGGAGCTTCCGACTTGCCATTGGGCCTAGAAATTGCCAAATTAAAAGCAGGAACTAAATCAGGCGGACCGCTAACTCTCGTAAGAAGGTGTCCATCGTATCGAGCACTGTCATGGCAACTTCTTGACTAAAATTTTGAATGCTTAGCTGTGATTTTGTAAGGTTACCTGAGATTGATAGCTTGAAGGACACCGAAAGGCAGCTGGCTAGTCCCATCATCACTTCCTAAACTTTCGTAAGCTTCTGGGCTTGAATTTACCATCATTTTCCACCATTGGTTGTACGGATGGGACTTGAATCAAAGCTCGGATGCTGCTACGTTTTCTGAATTTTTGCATGCGCTGTAAAAATTTATTGGATCTAACTTACGTTGGTCTCGACGTATTCAGCGCGTGCTTCCGGCCACGGTACCGGAAGACCTCGAGGGTAAGCTCCAGGAATCTGCAACCACTGTTTTTTCATCATCTAGGCAACTACCGTAAGAATTTCATCGCGCCTTTATCCACACATTCACTCCACAGTAATCCCAGAATTCTTGGTGGTATCCGGTGTAAAACCCATAGACTCGAAATCAAGACGTCTTGCACTTCATCCTAAATTTGCTTTTCAAAATAAAATGTTTTTCTTTACCAAATCCAGTTTCTCAGCTAGGGGTGCAATTTGTGGAGCATTTTCTCGAGACGTAGTAGGGTAGTTCGGAAACCGATTTGATTCGCTGCCAACTTTTCCGCTTCTGTCCAAAGAGTGCCATTTCGTACATCCAAGAAGATCTAGACAAATAATTCTTTCTTTTTTTAGCTATTACTATTAAGGGATGGATTTGTGTCCTTGTTCAGCTTCTCCACAGCAGCTTCGAGCTCCGAGATATGGTCGAGAGCAAAGCGGATCAATGGAGCGTAGAGAACAGCAATTCTTCTCCTCGTGTTCTAAAGGGGTTGATTTTTCAAAACCAGCGTTACCTACCGTCTCAACATATCGAAAATCGAAGCTATGCTTTGCTAGCAAATTTCTTAGCAGCATGACAGGTTTTCGTCTATAGTCCCGGGGTTCGCGCAGGGATTCGTACATTTCCTGAGTTTGCTTATTTTGTGTTTATTTTTGAGTACCTGTAACAACAATGCGACTGGGAAATGGCGGCTGAAGTAGTCGGGGCTCAACCACCATTCTCGGGAGCAATGAGAGTCTAAAAAAATTCGAATATTTTGCACGTAAGAATAAATCGTTACATCTTTCCGTTTCGTTCTGTTCACCGAGTGATGGGGCGTGGAATAGCTTGGTGATGAAGCGGGCTAGGAATCCGGCAGTGTTTCCTAAAATTAAGATTTTCAGGTTTGAAGTAGCTAAGTTTGTTGAAATATTATTTTTAGAGCACTATCACATCATCTATATTCATACCAGCATTAATGGTGGTTGGTTCTTGCTGGGCCGTAGATGAATAGTTGATCCGTTGAATGGCATTCTTCTCATCAAGGAGTACAGGTAGAGACAGGGGTAGTAGATGCTCGTGTTGGAACAAAACGGCTAGCAGATCAACTTTGTATTGTCGCATCATCTTGATGAAAAAGTTGATGGAATAATGAATTAACAAAACCTTTGCTTCCGACTCGTCCAGCTTCAAGATCGTCGTATATATCCACCGGAAGACAGCACCACGATCAATCAATGACAGGCAACACTAAAATTTGAAGACTTTACGAGGTACACGGTAATCATACTCGATAAAAATTAGCCAAAGCTGTATTTGCCAATCGCGTCTCTTCCGGAAAATCGGCGTGTTTTGTGACGATCTAGAAAAAGTCAAAATATAGAATTCCATGCATTTAAATTACCATTTTGATACTGATATCGACAAACGCCCCAAATTGATCCAAAAGCTCACGAGAAAGCCGTTCATTTCTCGGATTCTAAATAAAATTAAGGTCTTGATAAATTGATAATCTACCCTATTCATCCCGTTCCTCAAAATATGTTGCGTAAGCGTTTTTACAGTAACATCCAAGAGGAACCACATTTGCCTCAGTATCGTGCTCAGCTCCTCGTTCGGGTTGGCTCTTTGCAACTAATAAATTCATATTGCTTTAGAAACTTAAATGTCTGGAAAATTTATGGCATGCAAAGTAGGTTAGACCAACCAGGAGGGGGATATATTTGACGACGGAGGCATGCACGGTTTCTTGGCCGATTGGGACTTCCTCACATTGCTTCTGGATGAATTGACGCAAGAGGGTACGGTATCCGGACGAGGTTAACCGGTTGCAAATGAGGGTTATTGAACTAAATATGTAAATTAAAGGAACTGGATTTTTTTGTTTACTTCAAGCAAGTCAGGGCGAGTCTGTCGGTGGGAGAAGCAGTTAAGAGAATAAGGATCCTTCGAAGGAGGGTTGGGAGGAAGAGGAGGAGTCTTCGGATGTCGATAGTAGCAAGGTCCTAAGAATTTCTAAGGTTTAGGAGATCCAATATACCTCTACTCTCGATTCTAACTCCCGAACAATCCTGTTTTCGTTCTCAGGCGACCTCGCTAAGGGTGAGCACGAGCGTGGAGAGTCGGTTGACTAAAACGGAGAATTACTCCCAGGCTAAAATCGATACCTTTTGCAAATCCATCAAATCATCGCCATTTTCTAACGTCTCGAGCTTTTGACAAGCCTAAAGGTATCGCTAGAATTATGAAGTAATTACTTGAATACCTGGAAAAAGCTGTGTAACCTTGGCTCTGTCGTAAATGCTGATGAAACCATCCGCAACCTGACCGAAAATAAGTGCTTTGTGTCCACCCATCGAACATCCACTCCATCATCCTAAAGGATTTTTTTTGTTAATCTAAAAAGTATCTTCATACTTTTGTAGCTGCCAGTGGGTTGCAATTGTAATAATTTTGGGGCAGCTCGACCGCAACGGGGAGTGAGAACTCTTGCTCATCGCATTCCATCATTAGGCGATCCTTGCGGGACAGCATTGGGAGCCAGGAGTAGCCCACCGGGGTTTCCACGGACTAAAAAAATCGGATTCCCATGATATTGGGGCTTTAAATAAAATTTTTTTAGTTTTGGGACCCACCTCTCCCGGGCTCTTCACACTATTCACCCCAGCCACGGAGACGTGCGAGAATTGGAATAGTAGATGATCAACTGGTTGTAAGCAGAGCGGCAGTCTCATTTTTATCTAGAGAAAATTCGGATCGTTTTTGTGAGCGATTCAAACCTCTTCACAAAAGACCGGGCACTGTTGATGATGTTGTACTGCGCAGGTCCCTTGAGAAACAAATGGGCCGCCGATGCCAAGACGGTCAATAATCGCACCATCGACCACTTCACCGGCTCTCATATATTTTACAGTGCATACGATGTTTCGGGCTTTTCCGAATACTTTTTGGGAGTCGTATCTAAAAATAATGATTAGATAGGGTTTTTTAAAGGCTTGAGAAAGTTCGATTTGAGACATTGAGAGGTCAACCATGGAAATCGACTATATCGATAGGCTTAGGCTTAGGCTTAGGCTTAGGCTTAGGCTTAGGCTTAGGCGTAGGCTTAGGCTTAGGCTTAGGCTTAGGCTTAGGCTTAGGCTTAGGCTTAGGCTTAGGCTTAGGCTTAGGCTTAGGCTTAGGCTTAGGCTTAGGCCTAGGCTGAGGCTTAGGCTTGGGCTGAGGCTTCGCCGAGATTTCAACCAACCCGGTTCGTTTTCGCTTTTGGAGTTTGAAAGGGTTTAAAGGGTTTTTTTAAAGGGACTAGCTTAAGAGAGAGATAGCTAGCAAGGGAGAGAGCGAGACAGAGAGAGATATAGATACCTACTTGAGTTTCAACGGATATACATAGAGCAAGTTGACCAAATCCGAGTGCGGCTCCTGGATATCGTCCCCAAATGTTTGCATCTCGAAACAGGGCGGAATCGGGGAATCCTTCGGGCTCTTCCATGGCCTCAGAGGGAGAAGCGAGGGTGAGACCCGGACTAAAAGGGTTACGCCGCATAAATCACCCCCAATCGCCTCATGACTCACAAGGAATCGTTTCCAAATCGTCCACGGTTTCCACTGTAATCGTCGCCGTTGCCCCGGGGATTGTCATTTTGCTGGCTTTTTCGATCCTAAAAACCTTTTATTAATTTTTATGGTGTACATTACTTGTTATAATCCTGAAGGTATCTTTGCAAATCCGAGTCGCTCAATTTATTCCCTTCACACCGGAAAACCGGCATTGTTGCGTGGGTCCCAGGAGGTCCAGTTGTTACAAGTGGCCTGAAATAATGCAAATTAGGTTTTCTAGAGTACAGTACCTGGCTGTCCACGCAAAACGGGTCCGATAGGTCCCCAATCTGGTACAGGCAGCTGCCACCATTTTCTGGAGCTTTACCACAGCCTTTGGCTCGGCACTCCGCATGTAAAGCTCACCCTAAAAACTTAATTTTAAGAAATAGCTAGTAATTTACATACCTGAACATCTGGATTAAGAACCCGATCCACCCTGGCCACCACCCATAATTGACGATTTGGTGACTGTATCGTGCAGCTCATCGTCCTCGCCGTCCCACACCCAATTACGGTAGACGGAATTTGGTTCACCGTGTAGCTAGTAGACGAACTAAAATAAGATAATTTTCCCTTGATCCAAATTTCCCCACATTTTCCGCTCTCGATTGATCTTCCATATCGCTGTCAGATCGGCGGAGTTTATGTCGATATGAACTTCTTCCGTTATCCTCCGCCCAGAAGAGCAGTCAAAAAGGAATACACGCAGGAAGAAGGGTTCGATCTGCTTTGGCTATTTTTACAAGCATCAACCTCATTCTCACCTGTTCCATTTGAGTAGCAGCTATCGGGAGTCTCAAGTCAATCCGCTTTACCTCAATCTTATAAGTGATTTGTGGCACGGTAAGACGATCCGAAAACGAAATTCTAGTATCTAAACCCCAATTTTAATGTTATAGAACTGGTTACGCACTAATAGTAGGTGTTGAAGGTACGGTAGATTGTGGCGTTGGCTTTGAATCTGGGGTTTCCAATAGAGAACAGCCATCCCCTTTCCAATCGACGAATGGCTAAAGAGCTAGCTTGAAGTTTTTAGGGTCTAACTTACCTCTAAATGATTGTACAATGCAAATAAATTCCTTCTTTCTACTATCGGGGGTTGTAGGGCTCGCACAGCTGTATTTCTGCCTCTCCAATAGGTACTCTCGCGACCAACAGACCCTAAAAATTGGAATACATTTTTGAAAAGCCGAAAATACCTCCGCTATCCTCGCTGTGAATACTTTCCGAATCTCCCTGATTTTCCTGGCGGCTTGTTTTCCTTTCAAGCGCATCGAGGGTGCCATTCGATTGGTCTCCTATATAATATTCAAATTTAAGAACGCTATTTTAAAATTTTATACCTTTATCTTTAAGTGATAATGCCAAATTTACAGTTGTATTCCATTCTTCCAAAAAATTCGGGCTCTCGCTCATAAAAGAAATCCCCTTGTCTTTCGGTTCTTTATTCCCGCTCAACGTATCATCATCGGCTTGCGATTTCATCTAAAAGCTCACTATTAGATGTTATAATGGTATTCTTACTTCTAGAATAGTTTTATCCTTTTTCGTCTTCTTTATTTGACAACTACTGACGCGCAGGGGGAGTTTTGTTGGGGGCATATTTGGACCTCTTGAGATCTAAAAATATATTTTTCTAGGAGTTATACATTGGAAACTTACTTGCACTGTAATATCTCCATTATCCGTTCGCTTCAACACACAGTACCTCTTCTTCTCTGATTTATATTTATCCAAAAGTGTTGGGTCCGTTTTGACCACCACGAGCCAGCCTTCTTTAATCTTTTCTTTCATCAGAAATCCGTCTCGAACCTAATAACAATTCGTTAAGCAGTAATTTAATATTAGCATACAGCTTTTTCCTCTTCTTGTGCAATATCGGACTCGAAAACCAATGACGCCAATGCAGCATCGGCATCCGAGTTTGTACTAAATACTTTATCTGAGGAAATAGCTGTAAAACCCAACTTTTCAAGGACGGTATTGTAATCCCCGGCAAAACGTAGATAGTTAAACTCAACGGTACTGTAGGGAGCTGCGTATAACTAAAAAAGGATGTTAAATTAGGTTTCCTAACGTACTCGAAGTGCTTCTTTTGTCAAAAGCCATCTTGCACTTTCAATATCCGCCTCTGTAGCTGAGGGTACTTCCGTCGGTGGCTCAACTTGATGTGAGGTTTCCTATACAGTCTTTTAACTTGATTTTCTTGGTCTTACCGCAATATCATCTCTCGGAAAGAGCAGTAAATCTCTTTGAGGGTCATTCTCCAGTAATATACTTTTTTCTCGGACGAATTTTTCGTAGTCAACCGGCTCGGCAAGGGGTGGTTTTCTCTGAAAATCGGCGATAGTAATCCTTAAGCCCCAGATTTTCTTTCTATGTTGTTTTTCCTTTTTTTCTAAAAACAATTCCCGATTATAACTCTTGCTCACGAGAGGATTGGCGGTGCTGATGGCCTTCTGGACGGCTTCCCGTGCCTCCCTCGCTAATCCGGGTCGACCCACGGCGGCCGTAAATCTGAAATCGATGCTTTTTTATGTTGGGTTGAAGCCCCGGATGCCAACCTTTTGGGGGAGGACAAACCACCTAAATTCTGTTGTTGGGTATAAAGGGCCGGGGGGAGGGCTAAAGGGCAAGTAATTAGTTTTCGGGGTGGATTGGATTTTGGGGCGGGAAGCACTTCTAGCTGCATCGTACCTAATGATGATTCGGTTATATTCAAGCCAATCGAAGATATGCATTTTGGGGATTTGGAAGGTAGCAAAAACACAAAAGTTACGGGTTTTGAAGGGCGGATTCTAATTTTGAGTATTATTGAATATTGACAGGAATAATTTTGATTATATTTAGCATATTATTCTGAAAAATGCCCCGAATTTCTAATACCTTTGCCTGTTTATATCAAATAATATTGCCATATTGGGTATGTTATTCTGAAGGAAGCTTTCTAAATTTGCATATTAATGAGTATTACAAACGTATAATTCATCTTTTTTTAAACCACCGAATTTTAAGTGTATTATTCCGTGGGATTCGCATCCAAAAAGCCTGGAAATTCGCTTCTGTGGAACAGCAGACTCCCCTTGAAATTTCTGTATATTTTCAACTACCATAACAAAACCCTTGTATCACCACCCTTGACGTCACAAAACAACGATCCCCATCCTCAATTCAAGCCCCCCGAAAAATTCGCCTCATTTGCCTCCCTGCCTGCCCGGTTTCGATTGCCCAAGGGTGAGCCAATTAGGGCCCCGCCGACCTCAGCCAAAAGAAACGAAAGCCCTTGGGTCCAAAGGTTGCACGGGTTAAGCCCCCTCCCCTCCTTTAAAGTATCATCTTGGCCATTTCGAACCCCGTCATCTTGGCCATTGTGTGGCTCCCCAGCAGTGAGCTATTTTGGGGGAACAGCGGGTTCGGCCTGGCTGATTAGGGCCCAAGAGTAGTCGAAGAGATGCACCCACTCGTTCTCCTTGCTCCTCCAGAAGCGGAAATTGAGCGATCCGGACTGAGGTAATAGTGGCCGAGACCGTGATCGAACCGAGCCACAATCCGATAGCTCGTCCGTAGAGGTGAATTCCATCGACCTGCTGGGGTGGCTGTTGTGACCGGTCGAATAATTTTCAAGGCAAAAAATCGCAACTTGACGCGGGTTATGATTCCTTGGTCAAAGGACAGGGTGGGGCACAAAAAAAAGAGCATGGCGAAAAACCGAGCGCGGCGTCTGGGTAACGAGTGTTTACTGTTGCCAGGTGGGTTGTATTGAAAGGTTAAAGAGGGGGAAATTGGCTGGGGTCCATTTCGGGGTTGCAATCGAATTTTTGGCAAGTCATAGGGTATCGAGTTCAAGTTGCGATTTTTTTTTGCTTTAGGATGACGTGATTTCGGGTTTGGGGAGCTTTTTAAGGTAAATGTTGCCGTATTTATGATTTTCTCACGAGTTTTAAAAATTTTTGATACGATTTTTGATCTATGCAAAAATGTTAGAAGCTATATAAAATATGCATTTAAGCTATATAAATTCTGGAAAGGTATTTTTGAAACATTAACTTTAGGTGGCCCCTAATTTTGTTTATTTTTAGGCTTTAATGAGTGTGTTAAGAATGCATCTGGCGGCCTTAAGTTATATAAAAGAAGATGTAATAACGATATAAAAGATGCCAGCAATCTTAAATTACCTAAAAATGTGGTAAAAATATATATAAACCCCCAAAAGCTCATCCCCACCCGAAAAACACGCCTCTGCCGCAAATTATCGAACGGTCACAACCAGCCTACCTGGACCAGTCGGCCCGCAGGAATTGCTTCATCTTAGCCGGGGAATATTCATCACGAAACGTTGTGGTCGAGACGACTGCCGCCTCCTGGCCAACAGCTTCGAACACCCCCCTTGCCACCCTCGTCGTCCCCCTTCTTTTTCTGCCCCCACCCCCTTCCGCCCGCTTTTCCCTCTCTGCCACCCATCCACCCCCCTCTCCCTGACCATGTCCTTTCAAAAGCACCACATCCCAAATTCATAAAAAGCCCTGTGGAAAGGCCACGCCGTCTGCAACGCACACCACCCCCATATGCAAAGGGCGACACAGCCAGGTGTTTGTTTTGTTTAAAGGGATCAGGAAGGCCAGGAAAAATTAGCACAAAATGGACCTTCTTTCTAAAATAGCATAAATCGTTTCTGCTCTCGCCTGCCTCACCCCACTCTCTGCACATTTTTTTGCATTAGCATTTCCGAAAAGAAACGGCCGCTTAAACACTAGAAACTTTTTGAAAGCAAATATCGAGCCAAATAGTGACCAGAAAAGTAAATAATGGCATGCCAAAGCCCCCAAAAAGGAGAATTTAAAATCCAAAAGAAGCGATATGCTATTTCCTATAATATTAAAGTTTCAGCACTGACTTCCTGAGCTTTTCGGTGTTTCGCGACGATGTAGCGCTTTCGACAACCAACGTCGACGTCGCGGGTGAAGAGCCACCGGATATAACAGAAGCGCGCTCATCCTGTAATATGATACGCGTTAGCATTGCTTGGTCATTGGGATTTGGAATCCGATAGCTCGCCCTTGTTTTCAATAAAACAATTAAGAAGAACTTGCTTGTGATTGGGAGAAGCGGCTGGATTGACTCGTCGATGGACATTTCATCCCACGCCAAGATGGACGATCTGTAAAAATCAATTAAATTTTTAATTTGCATATGGAAAATTGTGAATTATAGATTTAAGAATTATAGATTATCTTACTGGTTTATACTTGCAATTTAGCATCAAGGATAAATTTATTCGAAGATTTAAAAACTTGTATGGAAGCAGCCAGGTTTTATACGTTTCTTGGCAAAAAATTTCGAATTTGCATATGGTAAAAAGTGAATGTTCTAATTTCTGCAGGTAGTTTTGTTCATTTATGATTATAATTAACATTTAGAGGAAGTACACATTAGAATAGAAAAAAGCTATTAGTGCCCAGGCTATTCTCCGTCTAGTTACGCTAGGAAATAACGCGCTTTTTAAAAACTGGGAGTTGCTTTGAAAGGAATATATTCAAATCCTGATTTTAAAGCAATAAAGAAACAATAATGAATTGAATTTAGAATTCCCTGCGCAGAACCCTCGTTGGCAAAGCAAACATAGAAAGCCACAGCCAAATGCAGCTTTTTCCCCGCTTTTTCCCGCCCCACTCCATAATTTTTGTGTATTCCACTAATCCCATTTGTTGCAACGCGATGCCGAAGAGGGGAGTATATGTTGCATAATGGGCGGAGAGTTGAAATGGGCGCGGGAAGCAGGAAAGTAAACAAATAAAAAAGCACGGAGGGCAAGATCAGGGCGCGCTGGGGACGGAGATTGGGCAGCAATGGTAGAGAATAGGGTAGAGGTGGATGGGGATGAGATGTGAAAGGGTTAGGCCACATTGCCCAGTGTCATCCATCTATTGGAGGAGGAGGACGAGGAGGACAAGGCACAGCTCCCGTCCACTCTGTGCGGACACCATTTAGGAAAGGCCCGGAGGGCCCTCCCCAATCGACATATAGTGGCATAAGGGGCAGCATGCATCCGTTAGAACGAACGGCTATATGCTGGTGCCATTCACGCAACCAAGCTAGAGGCCCCTCTTTTCGGCACAACAAAGGCAGGCGCGCAGGAAAAACTCGCCTAACGTAATTTCCGGTTTTCTTTGAGGCATTTCTTTTACAAATTAAATAATTTTTGCCTTTTTAATTACAAAATTCTTGCACTCTTTTTGCAAATATCTTAATAGGAGTGAAACAGTTCGAAAACTGAATAAATTGTTTAAAATCATTTAAACTAACTTTTTTGTAATTAGTCCTGCAACGGAATAATCGAATAATTTAAAGCCTGACACCTAAGTTAGAGAGAGAAGAAGAGAGAGAGAGAGAGAGAGAGAGGAGGAGAAAGAGATATAGCGAGAGAGCCAAAACCCACAAAAAATTTCTCGAAGTTCAAATTCCTTACAACCATATCGTTTTCACAACTTTTCACCTTACTGGAATGATAACAAAAGGCCAGTGTTCTGCCAAACAGCCGACGTTTCGGCGAGACACAACAGAGTTGTCAAATGAAACCAGTTTCGCCCGAAAAATTAGACATACTCTGTGTCTTAAAACCTGTAAAAACTAGAAAACCTAAAAATAATGAATAGTATAGTGGAAACGCAGCCCCAGAAGCGAAATAGCCGGCCGTACTTCAATTAAGGACAACCCACCATAAAATTCGAGGCGCGGCGTGGATAGGCGACTGCCGGAAGTGCGCCTGATGGACATTTAGGGCCGTTCCACGAGACCCGGAAAACACCTTGCAGCTCAGAATTTGAATCGAGGTGTATGGATCGGCCACCGGGGGGCCAACGGGGGAATTTATTGTTTATCCTTCGAACCCGGCAGAGCATCTGGTAAGGAGCGACAATCCGGCGGGCAAATAGAGACCAGCTCCATCGGGGTGTTTCGCTACGGAATTTCTGCCCGATGGCTCGGTGGCAGTTAATTAAGATGATGATCAAGCGCGATGGTGGGGGGATTGAAAACAAAAAAGTCCTGCGAACCTAAAACTGATCAAAATAGACTGTAGACTTACTACAGCTTACTACAGAGCACAAAGTACCGCTGATACCAAAAATAGCACCTGATTATACCACTAGGTCACTTGGCATCTATTTATGCAAAGAATTTTTCAAACAATAATAGGTGCCATGTTTAATCAACTGATTGAAAAGTAGCCTAAATTCTGTTCTTACAGAGATATACTTCTTAAGTGAAATATATCCTCCAATTCGGCAAATTTAGCAATATATTTAAAAATTTAATTTAGGTCTACAAGCAAGCTCAAAAGCTGAAAAAACCTTTGAGCTTTGTTTTCGTGTTTCCCAAGTAAAAGCCGGGAGCGTCAAACGCTTACAAAAACCCTTGAAACCCCCTTGAACAGTTTTCAAGTGCCATCGAGTATTTGTGTTTTCAGGGCGTACAGACTCGAATTGTGCTCTTCTCTAAAAGTTGCTATCTTTGGCTCCACTGGCTAGATGGGCGCCAACAATAGCTGGAAAATATTGGTTTATGGTTATATCCAGTACCCTTGATGAGGTGTACCGTATTACTACACATTTTATCCCCTATACCTTGACCATCACTCCATCCCAAAAATGGCTCCGTGTCCAGGTTTGAAGGCTACACAAGGCTCTGGGCTGGCGGGGCATATCTTTGTGGTAATCCGTCGAGAAGGGGGCGGCCGGACCAGGGGGTGAGGTGGGCGCTCGGCCAAGGTCGTTGACCAGCCAGGGGAAGACGGTCGCCCCGCACACGCGCCACTCACTCCAAACATGTTTACTAAATAATTGACTTACTTGGTTTGGGTTTGATTTCATTGTATTGTCGAGAAAATTTTGGGTTTTATGTGATTTTCGAAAGCGCTGACGTAGAGGCTTAGGCTTCGGCTTAGTCTTAGGCTTAGGCTTGGGCTTAGGCTTAGGTCTTAGCTTTGCTTAAGCTTGGCTTAGGTTTAGGCTTACGCTTGGGCTTATGATTAGGCTTAGGCTTAGGTTTAGGCTTAGGTTCAGATTTATCCTCACCCTAGTAGCTTCTAGGATTTACCCCTATGCCACCAACATCTTCCCCCACCATGCCAACCCCCCCTTTTTTCTAGTATCCACCCAGCCACATACATATGCATAAGCGGATCCGGCTCCCCCACCTTTGACAGGTGACATTAGCCAAACGAAAGTTGAGGCAGAAGCCTCCGGCTCCCCTTCCTACTCGTCCCTGCCTCCCATTTACCAGTTCCTCCTCCGTTCCTTTGCCACCATTCTAAGGGCATCCTACCACCTCTTGCTCCTCTCCTCCAACATTTCCGCTCCCCTGCAACCCTCAATCTTTTTTTCCGAAAAGTAGCAAAATACAGGGGGGGGTGATGGTGTCTGGGTGATGCATCCCTTCCACTCATTCCATATCCGTTCGGTGGGCCCTTCAAGGCCGTCGTGCTCGTGCTCATTCCGGCCGGGCAATCCGGTTCTCTTCAGTGTCCCTCGCCAACACACACGCGAGGTATTTTTTTGTTTTGCTCTCCAACCTTCATTTCGGGGGGATGCCGCGCTGAACGGTGCCCGAAAAAAGTGGGATCGATCGTTTGTTCATTTTATCACGAGGGTGCGGGTAAGATTGAGGAAGGGGAAAATTTAGGATTAAGGAGATGGTTGCTATTTTTAGAGATTTTAGACAATTTTGTTGATGCCAGTAGGATACAGACTACAAGCTCGCTGTTCAGTTTTTTAGCTCCCCAAAAAGCAAAATCGGCGAGCCTGCCCAGGCTGAAATGCCAGCCGGCTAATCGAATTAGATTTTGCGTCATTCTTCGGTCGTTAAATTGGGTTTTTATGGTATGTAGTTTTTCAGGAATTTAAGGGGTGATTTGAGTATACGGTACTTTTTCGATAGAGGTTGTAACTTAAGTTAAAGGGACTGGTAATCTATAAAAATCAATGACCTCGAGAAACTGGTAGTTTTTATTTCCGTAATATCTAGATTTATCGATCAAGGCGTAGAAAAATTCCTTGTTACTCATGCGCATGCTGCTCATGCTCACTACGAGACACGATTTTCTATCCATATATATCGAAGAATGTACGAGAATCAGCTTGTGTTGCGTTCCCCCCGCGCGCGAACCTCAGGATCGATGGGTGATAAGTGCTTGTTGGTAGGAATGGGGGGGGGGGGGGAGAACGGCTCAACGGCTGCGATCCTCTGGATTGTATCTGACCTGACACACAATCCCTCTAGCTCGCCAGCTTGGGCTTTTTCTTCCACAACCCCCCGCTCCTATCCGATCCTATGCGGTTTCATATGTGGGACAGCAACGGATGGTAGGCGCAGCACATTCCCGAGTCGCCCGTTTTTGAACCATCAATGCGGACCACCGGGGGTTGTATTTCCGGTCGTGGAAACTGCACACCATGACCCCCTACATTCACACCTCATTTCACCGTATACGGTTGTTAGGGGTGGGGTTTGTGTGGAATTTCAGAAATTTCGCTAGCTTGACCGTTTTAGCATAAAGTACCGAGGTAACTGCATACTCTTAAATACTTTTAAGGTATCTGCAAGGTGTTAAGCTCCATTTTCTGGACTCTGAATTTCTCCGAACCGCGATGCGCAGCGCGTACGCTCGCTTTCCATTGAGTAATGGATTATTGCTACCTTTCGGCGACATTACGATCACGATTTACGTAATTCATTTACATTACGATTTTATTTACGACTCCCAGTCGCAGCAAAAGTGATAGAATCAAAAAATCTATAGAATTTTATAGAATAAGTTTTTATTCATTGATATATCTTTTTTTTCTTGTTTTATTCGTCGAAAAAACTTACGTACCCTTTTCATTTCTCTTTTTCCAGATGGTAATTCCACTCTGCCGTTGCCGAGTCCTCTACATCGGCTCGGCCGTCCCAATCGTTACAAAAGACGGACTCCAGGTATCGATTTTACCCCCTCTTAATACCGATCCATATTCAGGGAATCCAACAACCCCTCCGTGAGCGCTACCCAGTAGAAGATGTCACCGACACAAAAGGCATCGATAGCTGGTAGAGTCATATCCAAATTTCCTTATTCATTGACTGTTTAGGCTCTCAGTCTGGTCGAACGGCATTTTGCTAGAATACATTGAAGGCGAGCAGAAGAGCGAGACGGCCTTTTTCCCAATCAATACCCTACATTACTGCGCGGCTGTTCGTTATGTAAATGTTTCGGGGTACGCTATCGAAGGAGGCGGCGAGAAGTGAGTAAAAAGCGTATTTTAACATTGTATACTTTTAGGTTCCTCCCTCTTGACTCTCCTTTTGCCAACCTACCCGATTCCCCTCATCCCCCATCTTTTCGGCAATTTTCCGGCGTACTACCGGGGTTAAGGTATGGCATAATTGGCGTAATCACATATCATGAATTTTTCTTAGGTCTTGGAATGCCACGGCTTCATCTGCACCAACAATAAAGCTGCCAACGCCCTTGTGCGTTGCTGCTTCCACGCTTATGGCGACTCCATCTATCTCAAGGTAGTCGACCCTTAAATACATGATATGTCGACCCAGATGGATGACAAAATCCCTGGGCTCAAAGCGATTCGAGGGCCAGATGGAGAACGATCTCCAACTCCTCCTCAAAATGTTGGCCGCTCTCCAACACCGCCAAATCTAGACGATCCTGAGCACCCGGATGGTAGGGCGGCACATTCAATTTACATCCTTTTTAAGCCCGGAAACTGACAACGTTGGCCGGATGGGAGAGAAGGCAACAGAACGGTGATTACGATTCAGTGTCCATGTCATCAACGCTCGATCGTGGCGCAGCGGCTGGAAAGCGGCCCGCAAGCGAGAATGGTTCGTCTTTTTTACAGTCGTTTTTTCTTTCCGCCTGAGCTAGTAGTAATATCTATACATGCGTCGGGATGCCCTAGAACCTTCTAGGAGACAGCGGGGGTGATCTTATCTAAGATCGTATGGGGGAATGTGCCGTGTCAAGGCCGGTCGGACCCATCATATTTGGGCCGCCTGGCTGCTGACAGAGTGATGGTCGTCACTACGATTAATGGATGAAAAGGGGGCAAAAAAGACGGGGATCGCATTTATGCATGCAAATTATATAAATTGAAATATATAAATAATGTTGGAAATTAGAAAATACTCATTTACTTTAGGAACAATGGCTCGACATGCAATTGTGCCTTACGGAGGTCAACGTCGCTCCGGTTCGGAGGCTGATGTTTTTGGGTATGTTTTTGAATATTAACGCTACTAGAAGCTACCTTAAAAATTGGTATAACCAATTGCTTTCAGCCCACCTTCACCTGGAGTCCCACCTCGATTTGGCCCTCCACCCCCACATGGTCGACCTCCGATGCCTCATCCTCACTTCCCCTTCTTCCCACCACCCTTCATGCTACCCCCAGGTATCTAAAAAATTAATTTATTAATCGGTATACCTTTAGGAATGCGCCCACCTCTTCCTCCACCTCCACCTCATCTGCGCGGTCATCCGCATTTCATGCCACCACCATTCGGTAAGTTTTTAAAGTTCCGCAGCGGAGCAGCAGCTCGGAAAGTCAGCATTTCGTACTTTAGGTAGATATGTTAGTTCTAATAGTAGCTGTGGTATATTCTTAGATGCATACTTTAGGCGGACCACCACCACCCCATGGAGCTCGTCTCCCACCTCCTCCGCCTCATATGCGAGGCCCACCACCTCATCCGTTCTTCCATGGCCCTCATGGGCCCTTCTTCCCTCCGCCCCCACCCCCGCACATGTTCCACTCCATGCATATGAGGTAATTCAATTTATTGGTTTCAAATTTATATAATAATCTTAGGCCCCGAAGCCCAGCGGCCGAATCTGGTACTGGGCCAATTATTACTTCTGCTGATAGCATGTATGGTACTATTCCGAGGTAAGCTTTTTTTACATAAAATAGTATAAACGAAAATATGACTTTACTGAAGTTTTCAAAACCCAAATTCCCTTACAGTTTCTTAAGGCTATATAATTGGGAAGCGTCCCTGGAAAAAACTCAAATTGCCCGTTTCAGAGGCCGCGCCTACGAAGAGCCCGCCTACGTCAGTGGCGGGAATGGTGCACCAGAGGTAATATAATTTAACTATTGTTTACGCACTATCCTACACTTTTGTCTCATTTTTGTTGTCTATCCACAAAAATAGGCCAGCTATGCGCCCCGCGGTTTTCGGCACGAGCACTATGAAAGCATGGACACCATCCGGAGAGCACAGAAAAAGGTTGGACATTGGCACACTTGATTTTTTGGATATTTGTCACTTCTCTTATTTAGCTTTGCTTCAATAAAATTGAGTTTTTAGGGCGCTGGTTCCTCGGCAGCTTCTTTGCGTGGTGAGACGTCTTCTGGCGCGGCTTGGGACGCGTATGAGGCTGGAATCTATCGCAGACCTCATATTAATGAGAAGGTAACTGAAAAATGACTAGCTTAAAAATTATGCAAATAGGCCTTCTCCGGAACCCTACGCTCGGAGCGCGAACGTGAGTCTCAGACCGTCGAAAGCGAACTTCGTGGAGAGGTAAATGAAACCTAATAAAATCCAAAATTTGCAAATTAACTCTAGGCTCGCCCAGATACTCCTCCCGTCGACTACGAGGCTTTCGAGGACTCCACATCTCCGAGAAGCCGAAAGGCACGGCTGCTCAACGCCCGGCCGTCTATTAAGCCGAATTACAAAGCGCAAGCCATATTTGAATAATCATACCATTACCCTTTTTTATTATTTGCATTTTCCAAACGCCTTTTTTGGACACTTCTGATGTCTCTCGCTTCTCTCACTTGCCTTGAAAATATAAACTTCTTGCCACTGCTTGATAGCTACAAACAAACCCACGCCAAATCTGCCTTTCTAAGCATTTCCTAAGAATTTGTGATATTATTTTAATTTTGTGATGAATAAATTTATGAAGATATATATTTTAATGCGTTTTGAATAATTAAAAACACATGACCTAAAACAAAAAAAAGTGAGAAAATCGTACCAAAGTTTTGCCGCCTACAGATTTTGAGATTTGGGTTTTGTAAAAATAGCATTAGGTTTTGGGAATATAGAAGTATTTGCATCATTTTAATGCTGTGAAGTTGTCGAAAATATTTTAAAGCCAAGAATTAGCTATGAACTTTGAAATTTATTACCATTACAATTTTTATAACTAAAAATTATTTTCAGTAAAAATGCAAAGTAGCTAGAGCCATGGCCATATTTTAACCAAGCAAAAAACCCTTCAGCTTAAGTTTTTTGAGGTTTAGAATTGTACTAGTAAGAATTTATTTCCTCTGAAAAATGCATTATGTACGATCGGTGACTCAATTGATTTCTAATTTGCATTTTTTGTTCGATGTTGTCAAAGCATATGTTGCAGAAGAATTTATCGTTACTAGACTTGAGGTTGATCTGTTGTGGGTTCGGTTTAATATCCCTCGGATCCTCCGGCGGCTCCTCCCTGGGAGTACGATCCCGAGAGAACGGGGCTCGACTGTCCGCGACGGGGGCAGGGGCAGTACTCGGCGTCCTTGCCGGGCTCTCCCTCCTCTCCGGGCTCTCCAGCCTAAATTAAATTTTGTTATTAAAATGATACTATTAAAATACTCTATTAGCATCCGAGTAAAATATTACAGTACCTGTCCAGCAGCTCCATCCTCTCCCTTGGGTCCGCGAGGTCCGCGCTCTCCGGGGGTTCCCTGAGGTCCTGGGGCTCCCTAAAAATCAAAAATCAATCAGAAATTTGCATGGGCCTTACAGTATCTCCCTGCTCTCCCTTGTCTCCCTGCTCTCCGGGGGGTCCAGCCTCTCCCTTGAGTCCGGGGAGTCCGATCTGGTGCTCGGTGTCGAGACCGGGCTCTCCCTGGGGTCCATCCTCTCCCTGGGGTCCGGGTGGGCCGTTGGGTCCGATGGATCCGGGGAATCCGGGCTGTCCATCGCGGCCGGGCATGGCAGCCTGTCCACGGGCTCCGCGCATACCTGAAAATTTGCATATAAATTAGTTAGAAGTTGATTCAGACAGTTTTTCTGGTGTTCACACCGAAATTCTGACTTTCTGTTGCCGTACAAAACTGCAAAGTATACCAAAACCGCCAAAAAAAGACGGAAAATTGGTAGATCTTACAACCTTCTAGACCAACGTAGAATAGATAAATGCATTTTTATGTGATTTATACTCACCACGGGGTCCGGGCTTTCCAGTGGGTCCAGCGGGTCCCTGGGGTCCCTGGGGGCAGGTGAAGCATCCGTCGAGCTGCTGGGTCTGGGCCTTCTGGTCCTCAGCATCCTGTCCATCGACTCCGGGGATACCGGGGAGACCGTCGGGTCCCTGGTGTCCGTTCTCTCCCTTGGGTCCAGGAGGTCCAGCGGGGCACTTGTTGTCTGCCTGGCAGTTGCACTTGCCCTGGTTTTCGGGGGTGGCGGACGGGCTGCCGTCGTGGTTGAAGCCGTTGGGGGTGATGCTGGGGGGAACTCCGACTTGTCCGGGGACACGTCCCTCGGGTCCGACCTGGAAACGTAGATGTAATATGTGTATAATAGTTAACTAGCGAGAATAGGCAAGATACAGGATTCTAGATGTACTTACAGGTCCGTTAGGTCCTCCGAAGTTGGGGCCACCCGAGTTGCCAGGTCCGTATCCCTGGTCACCACCGGGGAAGTGCGGCGGCTGCTGGGCTCCCTAAAACAAAACAGAATTTTGAATGCCGGTGCTCAAACTTACGGCTCCTCCATATCCTCCATAAGCCTGACGCTTCTTGCGGGGCATCCTGTTCAGATCCCTCCACAGGGAGTCGGCCTGAACCTTGAACGCATCGATCTCGGTGTCGAGCTCGGTGCGGATGTCGTAGATGTCGTTGAAGATCTGGTTGACGGCGAAGAGAGCGAGGAGAATGGCCGAAGCCGAGAGCCCAACGGCCGCCAATGAGGCAGCACGGGTGGTCATCTACAAAGCGATTTTTAAGGTGGTTTTAATAAAAAAATATAGATAAGGAAGCACGCCCAGAATACCGAAAAGTCGAAAATCTACAACGCGGATTACGGTAGCTGTAGCTGGAGGTGGTGCTCCGACTGAATGGTGCTCCAGATCGCCGGCTTTTATAGGCGCTGGAGATGGGGTCAAGGAAACGATGGGTATCTCCAGATCCAGCCCCCTTATCAACTCGGCCATCCCGCATCGGCTGCCCTCCCCCAACCGGTCCATTTGCATATTTCGTGGAAAGGAGCAACATCCACCACACGCACTCCCAATAAGGACCGATCGGAGCTATTTGAGGCAATATGGGTATATATGCAAAATTAAGTAAAAGATGATGTTAAGCCGAAAAATATAGTGCAGAATTAGTTTACGAAGTTTTTCAAGAAGACTTCAAACATGCCTCAAAAACCCAAAAGAAAGTAACACTTCAAAAAAAATCGTAGCAATTTCCACAGGGCCTCTCAGGTGTCGTAGTAAACTTTTTTCGGCAGTATTTTTGGTGCTCTTTCAGGTGTAAATCGAACTGCGTGTTGAAAATGCCCGATCGGCCGCATGGAGGCCTGGAAAGGGGGGAGTGGGTGCCCGGTGTCTAGGCAAAACTTCAAAAAATTGTAAAAATCACAAACTCGATGTTACAGCTAAGCCATTTAGCACATCAGAATTAGCGTTTCAAGCCGGTTCGAAAGAGTCCAAGGCCAAATTTTTGAAGACGCGAATTTTCAAAAAATTAATGTTCCCCTTAGCTAAAAACCCACCAAAGGCATTAAAATTGACCAAAATCGACCCTGAATCAATAGGAAAGAAAGATAAAATTATGCCTTGTAATTTAAGGTATAGGTTAATGCAAGCTAATTAGCATAAAAATCCTTTTTACAATCAGTTCTTGATTTTGACATCGCGATTAAATACCGTCTAGTCCCACTCTCAAACCCTCAAACCCCCTTCGACTTTTCCAACCTGCTCCTCGCCATCACTCACCCAAGATTAGCATAAATTCCGTGCATGGACTGACAAAACAGTACCCGACATCGAGACCGATTACTTCCCGAGATCCGATACTAGATTGATTTTTTGACCGGTTGCTCTCTACATCCCCTACCCGCTAAATGCCCGTCAACTATAATTTATCTATCTCCACCTCCAGGCCATGGACCTTTATTAAATTGTTTTTCAAATGGGAGGGGTCAGTTTGGAAGGCGGTAAGCTAAGTATGTTTTCTCATTAAATTTGCTTAGGTATGGATGCAATACTTCGTTTGGTTGTTGTTATATTTTCTATTGAGCGCCTACTATCGTTGGGCGATGAGCGCCGAGCAGAGAATGTAACTAATATATGCAAATTTTATTCAAAATTAATTTTAGTATTTTTTCACAAATTGTTTTATACACGGACAATCGTATGAAGTACTTTCCGCTGTCCTGGATGCTTGGGTTTTATGTGACGGCTGTAATGGCAAGATGGAAATATTTATACCATATTATTGGATGGTTAGATAAGTAAGGGATTGATTTTTAAATGCCTTGAAAACATTATAGTACCGCGTTAATGGTAGCCATGTATGTGCGTGGGACTAGCGAACGGGCGAGGATGTATCGGAGACAAATCGTTAGACATTGTATGAGTACACAGGTATTTTTAAGGATTTATATACCAAATATGCAAATTTTGTATATTTTAGGCATTAGTATTTCGTGATCTATCAGTCAGATGTCGAAAAAGATTCCCAACTCTAGATACCCTCGTCGCAGCAGGTAAACCCTCTTTTTTTATCCCAGCAACGCTACAGGCCTATTCACACGTCACGAAATGGATGTATTCGATGAGATTCAATACCGCTATGCTAGATACTGGGTCCCGTTTCAGGTTTCTCACATAAACAAGGGGTTAAGTTTTTTTCTAGTGGTCCTGGGCGGTAACTTACAATGCTTGGAAAGAAGGCTTTATAGAAAGCCCATACTATCAGCAAGTCATTTCCGAGGTGAGACTGATTGCAAAACTCTGAATACCATGCTGTAATAGACAATCAAAGAATTCCGTACGGCCCTCGCCTGGTTGTGCAATTATGATTGGTGCCCACTTCCGATGGTCTATCCAACCATTGTGTGCTTTTCAGGTTTTTACAGTACTCTTTGCATTATTACAATTAATTTTCAGTGCATATATATTTTCTCGTCGCAATTGTGGCACGTCAGTATGTCTTGGAAAGTGAAAATTTTGATGTATATCAATTCTCTATTAAAATAAAGAAGTTTAGATCGATTTAATATTTCCCTTCATGACCAGTTTTGAATTCATATTCTATATGGGATGGCTAAAGGTACCTTCAAGCTTGGGATAATCCCCCTCTAGGTCGGAGAAGCCATGCTCAACCCTTGGGGAGAAGATGACGATGATTTTGAGACGAATATGCTGATTGATAGGAATTTGACGGTTTGCAAATAACTTTCTCAAAAACGACGATTTCAGATGGCGCTGAAAATTGTGGACGAAGGATATGGTAAAACGCCATATTTGGCGAAGGACAATTTTTGGGATCATGAATGGCAGCCAATGTAAATTTGTATAGTGTTTTATGCTAATTAGCGCTTTTTTCAAGGTATCCAGAAGATTTTGATTTTTCGACTCAAAAGAACCCGAGGATGAGCATGGCCGATTTACGGTATCAGAAGAAATTATGATAATTTAGCATCATTTAGGCTACCATCTTCTGTAAGTGAAATTAGAATGGTACCCCTGCAACAACGAAACGGAAGTGTGGCTCGGATAGTACGAGTTAAACCGTAAACGTTCTATTTTTCAATTTATGCCAATTTAGTGAAGAAAAGAAACCGACAGGCAGAGAGAGCAACAGAGAGGTTAGTACTAAACATTAGAGTACTGTAACAATGTCATATTCAAATTTCCAGGATGACAGCGAGCCGATTTCGACCTCCCTCGGCAGTCGTCTTCGAAGATTTTCGCGTTCTTTTTTGAGCAGAGAAGAGCCGAACCCGGAATTGAAACTCCCGAAGAGGAGTGCGAGTGCCAAGGGTATACAAAAATATTTTAATCCGGAATTAACCTTCAGAAAAAGTCCCTATAATAAATGAAAATGAAAAATCGGCGGCGTCTATTGGAGAGGGGATGCCGCGGCAAGACAGCCTTGTACTACCAGGTTTTGAATAGAATTTTTCAGAAAATTTTGGATTCAGGCGTAACGTTATTTGAAGAAGCGGCCCGGAAAATCTCCTATGGTCCAATGCAAGCACCAAGTTTTGAGGTGAGCTTCTTTATACATAGCTTATTTTTGCCTTAGAAACGGAGCTCCAGTGGTCTCAACCTCAATTTCCTTTCACCAAGACCGAAAGACCAAACTGAAGACTTGATCGACCTAAAATACATCGATGCAAAGGACAAAAAAGAATAAGAATAGATGTGGCAATTCCAATAAATTTATTCGAAATATTCAATATTCCAATCCCAACCGGTGAAGAGGTGAAGCTGAAGATCAGTGTGTTAAAGCCAAGTGAAAGCCCGAAAAATGGGTTTTTGCCTTCCCTGCATAGTGGGTGGCTTTTAAAGCCGTTCGATGATTGTTTGGGCCATCGCGGCAGCTCTGGCAGCTGCGTAGGGCTTAAACAATTGAGATAGGCAATCGATAATTTTCATACCTGCCACAATTTGGCGGTTTTGGAATAGCCGTTTTGATAGTCAGCTACCCCACGAATTAATGCCCAGGAATCGATGCGTGAACTAAAAGTATCAGTTTTTAAGGGATTATAAAAGTCAAAATACCCTTCGATAGACGCAACCACGGAATCAACACCAGCATCAAGCGCTCGCACGTTAAATTCAGCGGCAAAACGGTCTCGTAGCTATAAAATAATACATTTCGGGTAAAGTTAAGCTGATTACCAAAGAGGTAGATTCATCAACATCACCCGCTTTCACGCTTGTCTTTGATGTCAACCCTCCTATCGATCCAAGATGGTAGAGAGAGGACTGAATCTCCGTTTTTCCCCACAAATCTCTTGATCATCTACCTGACGCTGTTGATTTGAATGCGGAACCACGACCACGCTCCCACCGCCAACGTGTAACATCAAAACATCGGTATCCGCGGGTGGTTTTGTGAAATCGGTCTCTGGAAATGTGTATTTTTTTAAGATTTCCAAGTGAGCACCAACCATTTTGAGCCTGATCTTTCAATTTCCGGACGGCTTCGCTGGTGTTGCGCTCCCAGTTTTTGTGCAGCTCCTCTCCTCCATTTTCGACAATATTTGCGATGCTCGCGTCGACGGGGTTGTGCTTGTGGGTGGAAAAGCTGAAAGAAGCTTTTTTAAATGAATTAATTTCTAACTTTAATGCTAATTGATGAACGTATTTTGTTTAGTTAATAGAGAAATTCCTTTTACTTACCCAACAATTTCTTCGGTATATGGATCGATAATCGTCTCGTGTGCAAAAACGTAGGCAGCTGTGGGGCGATCTGAAATGCTTTAGATCAAAATTAGGGTAATTACCATACCTGCAGATACAATAACATCTCCAAGACGTGCGTGCAGTTTTGGATCCACAAATTGTGGTACCGCACCACCAACTCCAACCACAAAGACATGCTCAATGTGTTGGAAATAGCCCAGCAATCTAAAACAAATGGTGGGTTTTAGGGACGTTTAAGGATTCGATACCTTGTCGTAATACCTCCAGCGCTTGTAGCCGCCTCTCTAGAATCCCCAATAACCGCCAATTTGGCAGCCACAACTCGATGATTGCCAATACGACCGATCGTGAATGCATTTGAGTCACCGCCACTCTAAATTTATATAGATTGTCTTTGTGATTATATTATTTCTATGATCGATTATATTAATAAGGCGTTTGTACCTTGTATCTATGAATAACTTGTGGCTCCTCGATAATCGCATCTATTGCCTGTTTCTCTGAGAATAAGTGCGTGATGATGGCTATCGTTGGGGCATTCGCTAAAATGTATTGTTACAAAGTTTCTAGAGTTTTCCCTACCTTGACCGGAAGTCTGATGATCTCTATGCGTAGCTAGAATTCCATCCACATTCCTGAAATTTGCATAAAAATCAGTTAGCCTAACTTGGTTTACCTGAGGTCTCGTCTCAACCACTCCTCCCCCATCCTTTCCACAATTCCTTCGGCTTCCAGTTTTAGGAGATATTGTTCGATCTAGAAATTACGACTTTGAAAAATATATTGAAAATCCAAATTACCGTCTCTTCCGAGCTGCTCAATCTTTTTGCCAAAGCCGCAATGTTCAAGCCGTTCGGGAAGGCGTGTTCGAGCTCCTGGAAATTTATACGTAATTTGCATACAAATCTGGCATACCTCTTGAACACGTGGTGCAGAAACCTCGTCATTTGCATCTAAAGATACTTTTCCTCAATTAGCTAGAGTACTCTTACGGAATAGCGAGGTATCAGGAAGTGGAATTGATTCCTGCTCGGTTAATTGTTTCATTTCGAGCTGAACGCTCTCAATTTCTTGGTAGCCGGTTTGGAGGAGTCTCATGATGCGCTTGAAGAAGCCGGCATTGTCTAAATTAGTATTGAGATGATCAGTATTATTATTATTGTTGCTTTTATTAGTATAATTGCTTACCTCTCGGCATATTGTTTAACAAATGCGCAAAGAAGCTTTGAATTGCCACAGCTCCGGCACGAGTATCAACACCATCATTAAGCCGGAATGATAGGTGACGGCTTTCCTAAAACTACTCTGCCGTTTTCTTGGTTTGCTTACCTGATTTAAAGCCGATCCATCAGTCACCCAGACATTAAATGTCAATGAGAAATCGGATTTCAGTTCTAAAATTTGTTTTTGAAAATATTTGGGCTCGACTTGCCTAGTTCATCATCAGCCGGCTTGTAGATGATCATGCCCGCATTCTCTCCGCCTGCGATGTGTAAGACCCTTTCGGAGTTGATGTCAAATTCTCTGAAAATTGGATAGGCTTAGGCTTAGGCTTAGGCTAAGGTTTAACCCCGCTTAGACTTAAACTTAAATATACCTCGTAATTCTGGTCAAATTGTGCTCTTGTCCCGTTTTTAGAGGGATTAGAGCCACCAACGAGGTGACGACCATCCTGGAAGAGTTCGCCATATTTGGATGCGTATAAGAAATGAGGATGGAAAGAAGAATTGTTGTATTCAGAAGACGAATTCGATTTGGAATGCGAATCAGCGGCTTTATTGAAGATGTGGAGAAGCGGGGTGGGTAGGGCCAGAATAAATTATAGGGGCAGCTGGGGGTGACTGATGTTACGATATGAATCGGGGAATGGGCAAACGAGAAGTTGAGATTCTTGCGGATCTCTTCTATTAATTCTACTCTCGTATGACATGCCTAAAACGTCAAGCACGCCCTTCATCAGCTGAAGCGGTCAATTAGCCGTGTGTTGGAAAGAGGCGATTGAGAGCTACGGTAGGTGGAAATTAATTCCGGCAATGTGGGAGGAGAAGCCGGAAATTTGGGGGTATTGTCTGGTGCCGGGGGAAATCAATTTATAGGGCTAAAAAGAGCGAAAATGGCCGTAGATGTTAATTAGCATAAGCGAAGTTTCGTTTTCTAAAGATATTGATGAAAAATCAAAAATTTTGCATGTTAAATTCCTTAAGAACGTATAAAATAGAATTTAGAGAGTATAGAAGCTAGAGATACAGAAAATCTTGAAATTCATTTGCAAACTGGAAAAATTAGCATACCGAAAATTGGCGGCTCGTAACGTAAACAAAAGAAAGTGCAACAAATGGTAATCGGCAAAATGGGAATTTGCAGTTTCGAACAATACAGATGGATAAAAATTTAGAAATTTGCATACGAAATGGCTTCCCTAGAAGTGGTAGAAGTTGGTCAAAATACCCATGCATTAATGACAAATTAGCATATCCAAACACCGGAAGCGAGACATCACATCAAGAACACACCGTTAAATATGGTGCACCCCTCCCAAATCGATGGGCTAGCTGGTGGTAAATGGGATGAGTGAAGAGGCCCATTCCATTCCAGGCGGGCTAGAGGGAGGGCAAGCAAAACAGCAAGCAAGCGTTGGATGCTGACAAGCCAGGGCTTTTTGGGAGGGGTGAGGATGGCTGAAAGAGGAGGAGGACCTAGCCCCGCGCACGCACCTGTCCGTACAATGGCCGACGACTAGACCCGGTTAGGGGAGGGAGGGCCATTCCCGCCAAAAAAAAAGATGGGAAAGAGGGGGATGAAGGTCAGCTGTATTGGCTCATATCCACGCACAACCCCTACCCTGCCTATGCCCCCAGGCAATTATGCTATTAAGCCAGCCGGGTACGAGAAATGCCTAATGACGACGACTGTGATACGGTGCTTGAAATGTATTGGATTATTAACTATGGTTCCCTCCCTTCGCTCTCTCTCTCTCTCTCTCTCTCTCTCTCTCTCGCTCTCTCTCGTCATGTGTCTCTTTCACTTTCTTTTCCCGTTTAAAGGCAGAGTGACAGCTCAGAACCCGGAAGCTGACCCTGATAAATTGAGCCATGTTCTGTTTCTCTCTCTCGCTCTCTATCTCTCGCACTCTCTCTTTCTCTCGCTCTCTAAGCCTCTCTTTCTATTGCTGTCTAGCTATCAACTATCCCCCCCCCCTCTTCCCCTTTGGGGGGGGAGCACCCTTTAATTATTATTTACATTTGTTTAGTTTTGATCATTATTAGTCAGCTTAACCTTCCAGATCCAATGTCTATTCCCAACCCCCTAATTTGCATAATTCAACCTGACGAATAAATATTTATAACGTACTATACATATACATTTATCACATGGCATTGAACGGCATTCGAATGATCTCGTTGACGCTCTTCTACAAAAAGCCGTGATTTGAATATTCGAAGAAATTACCTTGGATTCCGGCTCCAGCTGTTCCACCCAGGATATCAGCGATTTTGCCATACTACCGTAATCGCTGGGGTTGACGTTGTGTTTAAAGGAATCGTAACAATCGTCCAGCAACTTTTTCATCTGGAAAATATTTTTGGATTAAATTTCAGGACTTTAAAGTCTACTTAAAGTAATAATGAACGTCAGAATGCAATAATTACCATTTGAGACTGAATATTGCTCTCTTGAGGTGATTCTCGTGACATGTTTTCGTATTCTCCAGCGATCATCTTTAAAGCCGCTTCCTTCGATTCGGCTTGCTGAAGCTCCTTTTCTTCTTGATCAGCTTCGCTCTGTAATAGTTATTGAATCTTTGAAATTCGCTGTTATTATGCGAATTATGAGGATACAACCAACCTGCAACTGCTTTATATATTCAGAGGCTTTAAATAAAATCGAGGCGTTTGTCGTTTTGCACCCCATTGTTGACATTGAGGCCGGAAGTAGCGCTTTCAGTTCTGTGTAGCCATTCTGAAAGAGGATTTTATATTTTAAGGTCTTGTTGGTACTCGCTTACGTTAATGGCCTCACGACGCTGCCGCTCACACCTCAAATGGGTCTCCTTCTTCCGGTCGGCATGAGATTGCGTGGTCGACGTCGAGCATTCAGATCCTTGAATCGCATTTTCAAAATAATTAGATTCCCCCGACCTTCGGGACTCAAACTATCATCTCGCGGGGCTTTGAATGATGTTCGTCTCGACATCTAGAATCAAATTACACTACAGACCTTCAATATTAACGCTAAATTATAAAGAACAAAATCAGGGTAGCGCTTATTGAGTGATCAGATGTGATCGTCCTTGGCAACTGCTATCTGCCATCAATAATGCACGGGCTGGCGGGCAGCCAATCGTAGTTTGTACGCGCCCGCCCCCCTCCTCAGCCTCACATACTCCCCTTCATCTGCTCCTTGCCGCCCCCAAAATAGCTGTCATAAACCCGCATTAAAGTCACCCGTACTGCCCCTAAATATCCCCAATCAATACATGAACGTCGACACAGTAATATAAATAACTATTATTCGGAGTCGCCGGGATGTTTCCCCAATCGGGGTTCCCCTTTTCAACGACCGATCAGGGTATGTGAGCCTTTTTTTGAAAGATTATAATAACTCTACATTTTCAGAAGCCCTACGGAACCTTGCTGCGAATCAGAACACGGTAAGTTTTATTTCGCAGCATTATCAAACCCAAAATTCACCTCCTAAACCATTTTTTTCAGCAATACCAACAAGCTTTCCTCGCCGCCCAACTTCAACAAAACCCGGCCCTACTGGCTGCCGCCCAGCATCAACTACAACAGCAATACCTCTTGCAGCAGCTTTTGGTAAGCGCCAAGGCATGAAAAGATAGGTTGTTTATAGGCCCAACAAGTGCAGCAACAACAGCAACAGCAGAACCCGACTTCAACGGGAGCTGTTCCGCAAGTTTCGCTGCCTAATAATGTAAGTATGAAGAAAAATACTTAACAAAACCCAATATTTTAGCCACTTCATAATGCTGCCGTACTGGAAGTGCAAAACCGGATTTTACAACAACAAAATCAAAATGCCTTGTTATCAACTGTAAGTCATTAAATGAAATGTTTCTGAAGCTGATTAAAGATTATTAAAGCTATAGCAGGATCGCTGCTAGGTAGCTTATGAAATAAAAATTTAATTCCAGGCATCAATCCTCCCGGGAACCTCTCATATAGCTGCATCTTTACAAGATGTCCCAAGAAGACCCTCGCTGATGTCCAATCTGGATAGCCGGCCCTCGATGCATAACGGTAAGTTCTGAAAACTACACATATTTCTAAATTGCATTTTCTTCAATAAGTAAAGCATTTTTAATATATTTATTTACTTCAATTGTTTTGTTAGTTTACTGTGCTCCAACAAGAGGACGGATCCCTGGCGTGCAGTGGACTGTCTCGTAGCCGTTCCCAAAACTAAACTCTATCCTCGTTCCACTTTTCCGAACTACGGAAAACTTTCTTTATTGATTTTTATAATTTCAATCAATGTTCAAATTCAATTTCCAGATCCACTCTCCGTGGACACAATGGGAAACCCCGAGCGCATCGATGAAGAAGAGGAGGATGAGGATGAGGAGGGCTTCTCTCCGTATGCCTCTGCCGACGATGGTCCTGATGATGAGGAGGTAATTGCAAAACACTTTTCCCTGAAATCCTGTCTCTAGCTAAAGCTGCTCGAGCTGGAGAAAAAGATGCTTACAAGCAACCTGGCAACATTGACAAAGCGACGCGTCGAATTGCTGAAAGAGGTGGAAATGATTGGCTAATGTTATTTGTTGCTTTAGACACAAAAAGAAAAGGAAAAAGTTGGCGGGAGTGGCGAGGGTTCCAGTGGTGACCAGCCGGAGGAGGAGGTGCATGTATCGGTCAATTTTCTGCCGGGATTTGCCAATGAAGGATTGAAGGTAGTTTTGAATTCAGCTCTCAAAGTTTTGCGTTCAGCTTTATCGTCAACTATCAAAGCTAGCCCCCGAAAGACCGATGCCCATTATGGATGAAACACAAAAGCTTGGACTGGACCTCGAAAGGAAGGCTCGCATCTACGCAGAACCGTCTGACATTCCTGAAGTCGAGAAGATGACCAGGGACTATGAAGTTTTCAAGCCGAAGCTTGTGGATATCTTGCGAACTCGTAAGATGGAAAACAAAAAAATGGTGCAGGTAACGGCCTGGTTTTTGCTTGATAACTGTTTTTCCAGGAGCGGCGCAGAGTAATGAGTAAAACTTATCGCGAATGGTCGAAGGCATGCTACGATTTCGAAAGCCAACCTGAGAATGTGTAAGTTAACTAGTTTTCTTGTTCTTTTCTTTTTTTTACCACTTCAAAGTAGATATCGTTGTTTAGGGCCCTATATCAGAAGCGCCGTGACACATTCGAAACGACTTTCCCTGAGCTCAAGGCAATGAAGAAGGAGATTGACATCCGAAAAGAACGCAGCCAATACTTCCGGACCGGCATAAACCCAGAGGTATAGTCTTGAAACGGAAACTTTGCCAATCGCAGGGACTCTTTTTATTTACACTTTTGCAGGACGCCGAAACGATGAAAATTCGTGAATCGGCGGTGACTGTTCCCGAATTTTCTGTGTTCGACCCGACCGACACGGCCTTTTTCTTCAATGACAATAATTTAGTCCTCGACGCACAAGGTCAAGCTAGGAAAAAGTGAGCACCCCGCGTCGCTAAAATGATTTTTGTTTAGCACCGAGGACTTTGTGTCGTCATGGTCTGTTGAGGAGAAGAAGCTTTTTACCGAGAAGATTCAAGAATACGGCAAGAACTTTTCGGCCATCGCTTGCTTCTTGCGGCGTCATGTGAGTTTGACGGTTTTTGGTGCAAAACTATAATTGTAGCCTACTAAACACTGTGTCCGGTGGTATTATCTATCTAAGAAGAACATCAATTACAAGAGCGCTCACCGCAAGAATAAAAAGAAGGCCAGCAAGGTGGGAATTAGCTTTTCCCTCGATTTATTATTGAGTTATTTTAGGTCTACAAGGCTCCCGTGATGCCATCACATGCTGATTTGTTACTTGTCGCGCTTCCACACGCTGAAAAGGCTGCTGCAGGATGTAAGAATTTTCTAGATAGTTTTTTTTTATTTTTGCTTTTAGTGTCTGCGGCGATTGAGAGCAAATGTTGTATGTGTAATATGAAGATCAACGTCGTCAATTCAGTACCGCAAAAGCGCGTTGTTGCCACGAGGTAGGATAAATTACGTGCACTATTTGCGTTTTAGAAACCTTATCGAAGCTCTTGGTGAGCTAACGCACGGTTCTGACATAAAAGTTTGCCAACGCTGCCAAAGCGAAGTGAAGACCAATCGAAACAGCACTCGTTGTTTGACTAGCGCTTGCGAAGTCACCAAGCGAAAGGTTAGATAATCGATTTTGCCGTAAAATTCAAATTTAGAGCATCCGTTTGCTACCGCCGAAATGGAAGACTGCCGGTGATAGGATCAAGAAGTGAGTCATTTCCTGTCGCAAGTAAAATATCATTTTCAGGTTCATTGCACACCACTTTGGCTTCCCTCGTGAGATGACAAAGTGCTGCCAGCAGTGCTGCAAGAGGATCACCCAAAAACTGGACGCAGCTTTGAATAACGAGATTGACGGAGAGATTGCGACCTGGGAATTTGAGACGGCGCATGATTGGCCCAAGGCTGAATTGAATGCACTGGATCGGGTCGTCAAGGAGAAAGGTGAGGGATTTTCATAGCGTCATCAGTGATTTTGCCTTCAGGACAAATCTGGGAGGCCGTCAGTCAAGTCTTCTCGGGAAGAAGTGCCGCCGAATGTAAAACTCAATGGGAAAAGCGAAACGGTGTCATGGGCGCCAATCTTCAACCTGTCGGCGAGAAAGAAGAATTCGAGGATGGGGATGAAGAAGCTCGAATGGATCTTGATGCTCTTGGGTGCGGATTTGGACGATTTTATTAAACTTCATTTTAGTGAGGCTGAGGATGTTTTGGATGAGCAGAAAGACGAAATGCAGGTCAAAGAGGAGGTACAAAAATTGCTCGGTTGTTATTTTTATTGTTTTAGGCCGGAGACGAAAACATGGACGACAACGTCAGTGTAGAACTGGAACCCCATGCGGCCCCCTATCAAGCAACCCCAACGTCCCCTGATGCCGAGGAAAATCCGGAGGCGGAGACCGCGAAGGAAGAAAACGGCGAAACGTCAAGCCCACGAAATGTGGAAACTGCTGAATATGAACCAGAAGCATCAACTTCCATGCTCCCCATTGTCCCGAATTTTGTGCCGATCGTGCCGAAGCTAGAGCCATTGGACGAGGGGGAACAGCAGGGTATGCAACTGCAGGACACCCCGCCGGCGCTTGCCCCGTTACCAGTCTCCATGGACCCATCCGCCCATCCACATTCGCCCGCCCCTTCGGCATCGCTCACCGGCGGCGACCAGGCCCGACCCGACTCGAAGGCATCCAGCGATGTGGGTTTATTTTTAGTTGCGGCGCAAAGGCGCCGATTGCGAAAGGGCGATACGGGTGATTGATTTTCCCATTCCGATTTACGAGTTTCGCAACGGCTTCTTATTTCAGGATATCATGATTGTTGAAGAGGTCAGCCGCAGTGCTTTCCGGCAAATCGGTGGTGACGATTCGAGTGGACCATCTGGTCTCAAGGGCAGCATCACGCAGGGTGAGAACTTGAGAATTCTAGAGCTATTTTTAATTCAATTTATTTTTCCAACAGTTTTTCTTCTCAACAGGCGCATTTCCAGGCACACCCATCCTTCGTCCACCCTCTGAACAATTGGCCGGATCAAGCAACCAAGCCACTCCCAATCAAGTAACTTTTTTTGGGGTTTTTTTAAACCTGTAATTTAGATCACGGCTGATCAGCAATATCAACACCTGATGAAAAACGAGATGCTCAGGGTAAAATTTCCAAAATTTAACTGCATGTTTTTAATTAATTTCAGCAACAGCTGGCTTTCTTCCAACAAGCTGCTGGCAACTCCAACCTGACCCAGGAGCAGCAGCTGCAGCAGATGCAGCAATTCCAGAATCAAATTCGGATGATGCCGATTGAGCAGCAAAACCAACTGCTTCAGCAGCTTCATCAGAACAGCCAGATTCAACAGCAACAACAGCTCATGGCGCAGCAGCTTCAGGTTTTTGTTTAGACCTCAAAGTTATCTTTCTGTTTCAGGCTTCAATGTTCCAACAACAAGTGCAACAACAACAGCACATGCAACAACAGCAAAACGTTCAGCAACAACAGCAGCGCGCTAACCCCCAAATCCAAGCAGCTCAGGCTCAACACCAGGCAGCTCACTCACCAGGACAAACACAGCCCCAGCCTGCTCTTGATGAGGTATTGTTGTTTTTCTAATTCAATTCCAAACTTAGGCGAAACTGAACGAGCTCCTAAATATGAGCCAAGCACAGCTGGAAAGCTGCTACAACGAAGTCCTGAATGGATGCCAGCAACTGAACCAACAAGTGCAATCGCTTGATCAAGGTAGTATACACACTTATAGTTCCTCATTTCGTTTTAGCCTTGCGCATTCAACAAAACCAACTCCTGTACGCACAGGGCCAGCAAAAAGATCATGTCCATAATGCGGTCTTAGCCATCGAACATCAATTAGCTGAGGTAGAACAATTTTTCCGGTTCCCTGGACCTTGCTTAGAAACGCCGACAATGTCAACTCGAAGGTGATCGACTTGATCAAATACGCCAGTTGGTTCAAAATCTCAACCAGCCACCTCAGATCCGGGCAGCAGCATTACAGGTTTGTTAAATTCTTTGGATTTTAAATATAAAATTTAGGCGTTGGTCAGCGACCAAGGAAAGCGCAGTGAACTTGCGCAATATGGCGAAAATTCGCTGAAACAAATGAAGGAAAATGTCAAACTTACGCAGATACTTGACCAAGCTCAGCGAGAATCTGATGACGCTCAGGTGAGCTTGTAGTGAAATTTCGGAAAATAAGCCATTTACAGAGAAACATTCAACAGTGGCAGCGTAGTCTCGCGGAGATAGATGAGCAGCTGAAGAATCTGAAAGCAGAAGCGTTCAAGGCGCAAGTGAGTTTCTTCCTAGAGTTTTCGTTTTATTCCTGGTTATAGTCGGCTCGCGATGCCTACGAAAAGCTGAAATGTCAGCCGGAAGTCGACGCGCATGCCCGAAAACTGGAGGAACTCGTGAGTGCTCATTTTCCGCTCATTCTCATTTTTTAGCAAAACCGGCTCCGCGATGTTACGGCCCTGCGTCAAAGCAACGAGTCAAAGGTCAACCAGGCTTTCCAAGTGGTGCGTTTTCCCGTTTTGAGCTGTTTAGACATCTTTCAGCTACAAGTCCGGCAGCAGCAGATCCACCTGCTCCAAACCGAACTGCAGGACGCCACGAACTCGCACGGAAAGGTGGAGCGCCTATGCAACCGTGTGTATGACCTCGTCTTTGTCCCAATGACACACCCAACACACGTATGCGTCATGCTTGGCTTGTTTTTTTTTATTTCATAGGAGCAGCAACCAGACAAATTGTCGATGGGTTTTTTGTTTTGAAAACAGGGTGTCTGAAAAACATCCCTCGGGCTCGCCGGGGAAGATCGGATCGGAATATGAGTCATACCAGTAGAAAGCGGCGAATTTGGATCCCCCTCTTCATAGACATGTTTTTAACAGCGAAATTCCGTAAGGGATTTTGTAAATTTTTTGGGGTTGAATACAAAGTAATTCATTCGGTAATTTTTCAAATAGAACGACTGGAAGTTGCTGTTAATTAGATGATCTTTACAGTTTTGAACCCCTTGAAAGTTTATCGTTTAATAAAAAGATTTCTGGGTTTTCTAATGTTGTAAATAACAGTCTGATCCGATTCTTCGCCGGCTAGTGGGTGGTTTTTTCGAACACCCTGTGGTTTTGTCATTTGTTGATGATAGCCGTTAGCACGCATACCACATGCTCTAAACGTTTCGTTTGCACAAACCCTTGCATGCTCACAACACTAATTTTGTGTCGTCCGGCCTCTGTTTATAAGATTTCATTTTTGATTTTAGGAAGCAGCCCGGGCCTCGGCTCCCGCCTACCGTTCCCAAGCAGTCACACCATCAATGTTCTCGTCGGCCTCTCAAAGTATGATTTTTTTTGCAAGTTTAAAACTTTTTTAGTGCCCGGAACGTCAAACCAGCCACTACAGCAGATGCAGGCGCGGGCACAGCCGAGACCGCTCTCTCAAACCTCCCAACCGGGCCCTAGCGGTAGCGCGCTGGTCGGGAACACAGAGGGACGTGAAGGCGAAGAACTTCGGCAAGCCGAAGCAGACGTTCTCAACGCTCAGCATCAGCTAAATGTGGCGCGGGAAGAAGCTAATGCCTACCAAGCTCAAGTTCAGGTATTCGGACGTACTTTTCACACAACTCATCTTCTAGGAGGTGTTCCGCATCTTCGAAAGTGCCGTCCCAGCGATGGATGATGTGATGCGCCAAACGCAACGCCGAAACCTCGCCATCATTCAACAGGAGTTGAGCCAGAAGCGTCAAATGGTCGATAACTTCCAAAATCTGCTGAACCAGGCGGAATCCAAGTAATTTCGCCCCCGGTGTTTGAGATAATTCTTGTTTTCAGACGAAACCAGCTGAAAGAACGTTCGACTCGCGCTGCAACGTCCTCACAGGCGGCTCGCGAGGCTGAGGAAAGGGAAAAGCAGGCGATCGCCCACTACGCCAGCATCCGAAGCAAGGGCGCCGTCAAAGATTATACCGCAACGCAAACGTCGGGACCGGTGAGTCTTCGTAAATCAAACTCTATGTTTTGCATTTCTAGGCGCCAAACCAGCCACAACAAGCCCAAAATCAAGTGACTGGCGCGTCGGGGCATAATCTGCTGCCGCACATGGCGTCGGTGCGAAATAATGCGAAGCGCGGGAATTCGCCAGTTATCGGAATTAATAAGCCGGTTACGGTGGGTTAGCTAGATTTTTTGGGATTTAGAAATATGTTTTTAAAGAAGTAAAAATTGTTTTTTTTCAGGCTGGTGGTTCTCTAACCTACGGTCGCTCAGCTATCGCAGGCTCGAGCGATGATGGCCGTTTGCTGGATAGGGTTGTGCACGAGGAAGTAAGCGGAAACAGCGCTGCTACTGGTGATGGCCGAATGATGCGAAAGAGCGGTATTCGCCAATCTTCTATTTTTAAAATTTCCTTCAGGACTCACGACTTGCGTGTTGCCCCAGGTTGACTCTCACAAGCAACTCCCCGCGCAGGTTCATCGCAGGTAAAGCATTTTTACGTTTACTCCTAAAATTTAGCTAAAAAAATCCCCGATCCCATTTTGGACTGACTGACTTACACGCCTCGTCCCATCACACAAAAATAGATATGCGGGGGCCGCCCGGAACGTCTTTTTGGGGGCAGAGGAAGAAGATAATTACGTTGCCATGGTTGCGCCCCCAGCGCTTCATTTTCTATCATGAGCAGAAAAGACATCCGCCGGATTTCGATTTTTCCAAACTCCTGCTGCAGCGATTTAAACTCCGAACTTTTTAAGCTGCAAAAAAAATTTTTTATCAATAATTTCAGATCTTAACTTTTTAATTTGCAGGACTGCTTCCCCGGCCTCGACCGCTTTTGGACAAGTGGCGCAAAATCAGCAGCATCAACAGCAGGCCTCACAACCTGCCCAAAATTCCGGCCCGCCACTGGGTTCATCCGCTCTGATGGGCCAGCGTGGGCCATTTGCGCCTAAGGCAACGGTATTTTGTCTATCTTCGCACTAATCTCGTTTTTAGTATTCTAACACCGCCCCTCCACCCAGGACTCTTGAAACATCACAGGTGAGTTTTCATGTTCAAATTTACCTAGATTACTTTAGAATAACAATGCGCTCAACATTCAAACTCACCATGACTCGCGGATGCGGCATGGGCACGATTCTGCTCGCAATCAGGGAACCTCGCCTGGGAGTGCTTTTTCCACGCCGCGCGGAAGGGTAAGAGCTTTTCTTGACCTTCTAAAGTATTTTTGATTCCAGAATCATGGAGCTTCTGTGACCCGCTATGAGCCGTTGTCGCCTGAGCCACCGGGAACGCAGCCAATTCACCGGCCGCCTCCGACCCCCTCAACAGGTACAACCTTGCTCTAATTTTCATCCACTTCTCTAGGTCCCCAAAGGGAAACGTTCTCGATGCTTGACTTCTACGATGATGATCCGCTGAATCCGCCACGGCTTGACCAGAATCTGTAAGTATCTCTCTTTCTTTCACTTTACCATGCTTCCCTCTTCAGTCCGCCCGGCCCGTTGTCGCCACCTCCTTCATTCCTGCGCAACAATACTGTGTTCAACCCTGCCGCTCTTCCGCCACCCACCTACGAGCCGCTGAGTGATGAAGATAACTGATCACCGCTAGTCATTCCCCCAATTTATCTGTTTCGTTCCCCCCCCCCAAAGATCTGCTTTAATCTTAAAAAAATTTAAAGTGAAATGTTTATTTTAACCCCTGACCCCCAGTTTTGCCTCATTGAACACCTCAATGCATGTGATGCATTTCGTTGTTTGTGTGTTTTTTTTGGCGCTGCCATGTTGCTGAGATTTAAAATATACCGTTTGTTGACTTATTTTTGCGGCTGCAAAACAGAAAAACCATGTGGAAGGCCGGATATCCTCCTAATCTCTAGGCCCCCAAGTCGTAGAAAATAACATCTAGAAAGCGATCTCTTTTTTCCGTTGAAGGGTCCGCAATGAAAATCGCTTATTCCATGGTTCGGGCCGAATTGGTAATAAATTTATCGTTATGAAGATAATGAACAAAGAGAAAAACGCAGGAAGTGATGGTTTGGTAGAAAGAATCATTGTGATTATCTCCGGGAGCGTATGTTTAGGCTTAAAACTAAACTTAAAATGACAGCATTTTTCAAAGCTCACGAACAGCCTATTGGTCTTGATGACATGCGGGGATTTTGACGTATATATTTTTGAAAATGGGTTTTTCCTAGAAATTTCGAATATTTGAGGTAGATACGAGTAAAAAACAACCAATTTTCTAAAATTCGGAATTTAGGCGTGATTTTCCAAAATACGGGCAAATAAAATAAAGGCTTTTTATTTCAAATTCTAATTATTCCGGAGAGCATTACCATTGCTACATTCGATCGTTAAGGGGTGAGTGGTGGTGGTGGTGTGGGTATGTGTGTGTGTGTGGGTATGTGCGTGAGCGCTAGTAGGTTGTGCGACCGGCCCGGGGGTCCGGCGAGATTTATGGGTGGTGCTCGGAGAGGCTGCTGCCCCCCTAATGAATCACCTCACCCCCAACCCTTACACCCCGTACACCTAGGCCTCCTCCGGCCTCATCCTCCTACTCGTCCTCCCCCCACGACCCACCAACGACAAACGACCAGATTCGATGGATAATCCCCCTGCTACGATTTGATACTACGCCCGATGTACTGCTACTCTCAACTGCAAGCCTGGGACTCGTTGATGCTGATGCGGAAGTCGCAGCGTAAATGGTAGGGAAATACCTAGGTTTTTAGCCACTTTCTTTTAATTTTGTAAGGCTTTAAAGGGACAAAGGATTTTCCCGCGTTGCGATAAGACGACGATAGTTTCAAAACTTTTTAGCCTAAGCTGAGCCCAAGTTCAGCTCCCGAAGACCAAGCGCGGAACATAGTCTAAGGTAAAGGGTTCGTAAATAAAGTCTTAAGAGCCTTAAGACTGCGCCTAAACGTAAGTCTGAAGCCGCAGCCTAAGCCTAGGTTAAGCCTAAATCAGGCCTAAGCCTGCTTAAAGCCTAAGCCAAAGCGGCATGCCTAAATAAGATCATGACTAGATCTTAATGAAGCTTAAGCTGTAGCCTAAGCCTAGGCCTAAGCTTAACTTCCCACCTATCCATCTCTGCCGGCATGACACATAAGTGACTCCGCTATTAGCGGGCACGCAGCTGTGTGTGGCCGTTTAGCGGTGGCACAGCTGTGTAGCTAGGAAAATTTAGCGGTGTCACAGCTCGCGTTCACTCACAGCTGTGTCTCCGTTAACGCCGCCCCAGTGCGGTGTCACAGCTGTGTAGGGCATCCCGGAGTGGAATCACAGCTGTGGCCCGGGACTTAGTCATTTTTTCGGTGAAATAATAAAATTTGCGTAAAATATATGTTTTATATGTCGGAAGTCTTCTCGTGACTGCTTTCGACTCCATTTATTTCGGGTTTTTGTCTTAACACTAATTTTGGCCGACAAGGAGACGGTCCCAACCTGACATAAAATTGGGATTTGAGATTGGCACACTTATAGAGCTTGAAGAACTGAACCCGGCAAACTAATTTTTATTAGCATGGAGTGTATATAAACCAATTTTTAAGCCTTTGAATTTTTCGCGAGACCTTCATAGGCTTCCTCCGCTCCCCGACCCATGTGTCATCGTGGTCTAGTGGATAAGGAGTTAGGCGAAGGGTGGGGCAAAGTAACGAAGGTTCGGATCCGCACAGGATTTTATTTTTTGCTTTTTGGACCAGAGCTACTATTTTGTATCATAAAGCCCTAGAACAAACCATTTCACCTCCAGGAAGGCCCCCCAAAACAATAAGCGGCACGGGGGCACAACGGTGGCACAGCTGGGGGGGATACACAGCTGTAGCACAGCTGCGGCACAGTTCATTAATCTACAGGTGCCACAACTGTTGTTCCGAGTGGTGTCACCTATGTGTCATGCCGGCAGAGATATGTAATTTCTAACTCCAAAATCTCTAGACAAACCTAGCTCGTCCCTTTAAGACGATCTTTACCAACAAACCCCCACGCAATATTTCTCGATAGTCACACACGGTCACCTACCAAAAAACCCGCGATATTCGAATGCGCCGCATTGCACTTACTTTGCATGTACCCACGATAAAAGAAGCCCGCACCCCAATAAGTATGCGCCTCCGAACCCGCGGCGCACGTGAATCGCCACCCCATCCCCCAATGCCCAAAAATGGCATCTTCAAATGACTGGCCGGCCCGGCTTACTCACCCCCTGCTCCCAGCCTCGGTCTCCTTTGGTGTGCCACTTTTGACCCGGGCCGACCATGTATGCAGCATTGCCTCCTGGGGCTTGATAAGGTTGAATGGGAGAAGCTGTGCCCCCCAGCTGCAGCTGATAAGCCCGGATTCCATGGTTGCGCCCCCGGAAGGGTTTTTGCGTGTTTACAATCGGTGCTGGCTACTTGGAATTTTGTTACCGTGTTGAATTTGCATAGTTGTTCAACTGAATGTTGAAATATGGGCTTGAAAGCGGATATCTTAAATCTGAGAGGATTTTCCTGAGCGTGTCTTTCCTTAGATGGTAAGCGAAGCCTAAAAACCTCAAAACTCAAAAACTTAAGCCCAAACCCAAGCCGAAGTCGGAGCCTACGAGTAGGACCCTTAAGCCAAGCCTAAGCTTGATTCTAAGCCCACGTACGTCTAAGCAAAGCTTAAGCTCATTTATAGCGAAGCAAAGCCTAGCCCAAGCCCGAGTAACATTACGAAGCCTAACCACCACTCCAAGCCAAGCCCAAAATTCGTACCAGCCGACCTACGATATTTCCCACCAATCTGCCCCGATCCCCCGGCGACTTAACGCGATCCCCCCCAAATACCTCTACCAATGTTTGTTTGCAGATTGTCCCCCCGGATAGGATGGGAAAGGTGCCAAATATATGCGCCTCCGGGGGTGATGTTTGTGTATGATCAGCCCCGTTCTCGTCCCTTTACCCCCTCATATCTAGAGCATCTCCCTCCACCTCAAAGGAACGCCGCCCAGCGCCTGTCCGACATTTGCATCCCCTCATTTTCATCAAGGCATTGGTGTTTTGGGTTGGGGTATAGTTGAATTCGTAGGTGGGAGAAAGTTCATGGATACTGAGCTTCAAGGCAAAAAAAGGGACTCTTTCACTTTGGCTCACTCATTTTCTCTCTATCTTTCCCTCTCTCTCTCTCTCTCTCTCTCTCTCTCTCTCTCTCGCTCTCTGTCTCTCTCTCTATTCCGCTTATCTCGGCCGGCAAGCTCTCGCTCGAGCATGAACTTTTTCGATCTATTTCGCTCTCCCTGTCCCTTTCTCTCGCTCTCTCTCGCTATCTGTCTCGCTCTCTCGCTCTCTCTCCCTGTCTCTCTCGCGCTTTCTCTCGCTCTCTGTCTCTCTCTCATTTGCTCTCACCCTCCAGAATTTTTATCATATGAATATCCATTTGTAATAATTTATACAAACTCACGTATCCCATATAACTCCATCCCCCGCATTGAAAACCCGTCTACCGTACCCCAATCAATGCGCCCCTCAAAATATGGAGATTTTATGTGCGTATCCGTGGGGGAAACGGCGCGGGACGGCGCCGCGCTTTTGTGCCTTCCGTACTCGACGGAAAGGACGGTTGTTGCTCTTCTTCCTCTTCTCCTCTCCACCCCGATCTTCCTCTCCTTGTTGGCTGGGCCGGGGGAGACGGCATCGATCACTGTCAACACAACCCTCCGGCCCGAGCCGATCCCCAGTCCTACATCTCCGTTCGTGAATGCTTTGGCATTGTGCCATCTAGCTGGCGCTCAGCACCATGTGTTGTACGAATCTGGCTGGGGAGGGAGTGGATTCCGGGGAGGTTGAAATCAAACATGTGAAATGAATGGCTTTTTCAAATGTCGTATTATTCTTGCCTAGTAAGATGGCTTTAGGTTATCGTTTTGCGAAGGAAACTCTAGCTGGTGGAGCAGGAGTTAGGGTTAGTTTAAGCTTAGGCCCAGACTCATGCTTAGGGTTAGGCCTAAGCTTCGGCTTAGGTTTAGGCTTAGGCTTAGGCTTGGGCTTAGGAATAGGTTCAGGTGTAGGTTTTGGCTGGATCAGGCTTGGTTTACGCTTGCTCTAGCGAAGCCTGGAAAGTGGCTGCAAGGCGAGGAAGTGGTTGAGGAGTGATCTTCAGCTGAGAAGAGAGAGATGGGGACGACAAATTCTCGACTGTACGTCTGGCTCTATGTTTCGGTTGACGCGTCCTGTCGGCCCTGGCATTTCATACCTCAGGAATTTATGTCGCAATAGATAGATCAATTCTACACGACTTTCCTATTGCTATTCACTACTCCCAGCTGACCAACCCCCTTACCGTAACCCTCACGGTCACCATTTCAAACCCCTTGACACCATTCCCCCACACCACCATAGTATCTGATCGGAATCTCATCCACCCCTACCCCCAAATAAAGACTATGCGACTTTGTGGAGGGGCAGAGATGCCGAGAAGGTGCTGCTCCCCCCTGTACAGCTCGCGGACGGCAATAAATTAATGCAAAGGGGCGGACCGGCCAGGGGGCCAGAGCACCGCCCCCTGAAACCTCTCAACACACACCTATCGATTCCGAGACACACCCCCTCCCGCCGATCAACAGCCCCATTCCTAGATAGTAGCTTCGAAAAAGTTTATTCATAAGTAATAGGAATATACTATTATACTATTATACCATATAGTTGCTAATACCAAGGTAAGTGTATTGTTGTGTAGCCCTTTAGTCCAGTGCTGCGCACAGCCCGCCCCCCGCCCCCCGATTAGCCAGGTACTGTAGCGCCCCACTCTCCACCTGTTCGCTTCCCCCAAATGTAGCCCGCTTTTTGATAGGCGCTTCCGGTTTTCTTTTTTATCTACAAATCTGTATATTTGAAACGCGTAATTTCCTCTCCCCTTAAGCAACCCCTCGAGTCTACCCTGTAGTTCCGAGTTTATCGAGCAACGGAAAATAAGCTCGCCACTACAGGCAAGACGCGGGTGTGATGCGAGCGGTACACATTACATTAATGCAAGGTTAAAGGTATCTAAATAATTTTTAAATAGTTAGCTTTTTGCGTAGAATTTTGTGAAACATTTATTCTTAGGAGTTGTATTTGTATTTTCTGCCTTAATAAATGTCACGTTATAACTGGTAGCTTTTTATGTCGTTAAAATGTTTTTATAGGTATTCTCATTTAACAACACTTACGAAAATTCCTATTGCTTACGCCAAATCTAAGCCAAGCTTAGGATACCTTTAAAATTATCGAGAAGCTTAAGGCTCTAAAATCACCCATAAAAACTAGAAGAGGCGTATCTAGAAGTCGATGTGCAACGTTCTAAAAAATTACGCAAATTATTTTATTTTTAACCCTCCATTCTATGAAATACTAGGATCTTGCTACTTCCACAAAAATAGCCCCTCACCATCGCTCGGTTTGAACCCGACCAGATTGATTATACGGGCTCCAAGGCCCCGTTACCTTCCTTCCTTCTCCTGCCCCCTTTGCCCTTCCCCCCAAATGACAATAAAAAGCGTAATGTTGCGAAACACAGCGATCACCTCGATCCCCTCCTCCGTACCCTCCAAATCTCGTTCCATCGTGGGCCAACAGCCGCGCACCCAATCTCAACTGTTGGCCCACCCCAAATAATTGCCAAAACACAGCAACTGTCGCTTCATAGGCCCCAGAACTTTTGCTACCTCCCCCTCTTGGGATCGCTTCGGGCTTTTGAACGTGCCGAGCTGGGGGTAATTTATAACGGTGTGTATGTGGCGGTTGGGGGAGGCGGCCTGGTCCTTCGGCCGGACAATATTTGGGGATCGATGGGTGGTACCGGGCGACTTTTCGGGTCGCCCCGTTGCGGTCGTAAAACGGCCGGGGCGAGCCTGATTCGCAACAATGAACGCCCTCGATCCAAGGCTGAAAAAGATAGGCAGGCCCCGGCCGAGTTGGGCAGGGGTCGTTGGTGCTGTTCAAAGAAAGGAAAGAACAAGCGAAGGTGTGGAAACTGGCCAAAAATTAGGATGTAACGTTTGTTGCGAATTTTTCCTACCTAGCCCCTCACCAGACACTTTTTAGGCCTAGGCTAAAACTAAAGCTTCCAGGCGCTCGTTTTGCCGCTCTTTCTTCAAAATCAGCTAATCCTACTATGATTTTCGGAATCTACGTGAAAAACTATGCCGGAAAATGTTTAGACTTATTTTAGAAAAGTGTACCGGTGAGAGCAAGAAACCCGCATTCTTACCATGAAAATCTTTTTTTTTTGGGCCATTCAGGGGTCGACCCGGGAAATGGGCTACATCGATAGGCTTAGGCTTAGGCTTAGGCTTAGGCTTAGGCTTAGGCTTAGGCTTAGGCTTAGGCTTAGGCTTAGGCTTAGGCTTAGGCTTAGGCTTAGGCTTAGGCTTAGGCTTAGGCTTAGGCTTAGGCTTAGGCTTAGGCTTAGGCTTAGGCTTGCAGGTCGACCCGGGAAATCGGTCATATCAATAGGCTTAGGCTTCCGAGGCAGCCGAAGCTTCGGCGTGGACTTGGCTTAGACTCCTGCATCACCCTCGCCTTATGCTGATACTCATGCCGAGAATGAGGCTGATGCTCAGGTTTACGCTCCCGGTTGCGTTCATATTTAAACCCAGTCTGGTGCTCATGGTCATGCTAATGCTGGGTTCATACTCATGATATGTTAATAATAGTCATCAACGAGAACGTGCTCGCTCTCATCTCAGTCTCAATCTCATGCTTCAGTATCGAGATACGGAAAGGTTTGCAATTCGCCTTACCTTGTGCACTGACAGTGGGCCAGGTCGATAGCGTGTCGACGGTCATACAGACGGCTTCGTATCTCGTTCGATTTGCTTCGGATTCTGAAACTACCAAAATTGCTTCTTTTGAATTTGAATTTTCTTGAACCCTGGGTTCATTTCATATACCCCAGCATCCTTCTTTTAAACGCAAAACATCGACGCCTACATTTTCCAGCCCGTCACCCCTCTTTCTCTCCTTTTTTTGAATCGTGTGATGATTCCCCTGGGAATGTTAACCAGCTACAATTTCCACAGTTAGTCTTCCAATCACCGTAGTGGTCATGGCAACAGCACAGCCCCCCGCAGAACCCCCGTCCAACCTGCCCCGCATTATAGGCTCATAAATTTTATTGTCCTTCCTCGGTCCGTGCCGTCGGGTCGACGCTAGGAAATCGGCTGTTGCTGCGCGGCCACGAATAAGGAGTGCCGGTAAGTGGGGGCGGCTGCTTAATTAAGAGTTCTGGGCCATTTCGTTGTGTGCGGAGAATGTAATAAGCGGTATTCGGAGTGTACTGTAGCGTAGTCTACCGGGTTAGGGTTACGGCAGGTGGCAAAGCTGGCCGAATTTGAAAAACTATAAAAGTTGGCAAGTATTTTTGTTTAATGACTTTAGTTTGTACCAAAATTCGTTGTGAAAATTTTGTATACTATAGCTACCGTACTCAAGCAGTTAAGTTACGTTAAAAAGAGCAAGTTTGGAAGTTTGGAGACAGTGATTGAAAACAAAAAAAATTGTTCAGGTGTATATATTAATTTATGTAATTTCGAAATGCTTATCGAAGGAAAAATAACAAATGACACGGTAATGCACTGCAGTGTACCGTAGCTCCCACGGTTGCGGTAGGTGGGTTGATCCAGAAAACATTAAAAATCCAGGATTTTGTGTTCAATTGCATTTAAATGTCCTTTTGGAAATTCTGAAAATTCGAAAAACATTAATTTATTTACGTTATACAAAATTAAAAATTTTTCAGCGTTAGTAACATAAGCTCATAAAATCTTTTCCAATTCTTTCACATTCTCAATTCACTTTCGGCTTCCCAAACAATTTCTTTTTCCGCTGAGCATTCATATGGCCCATTAAAAAGAGGGAAATCGGCCAGAAGCACGTGGCGACAAAGAGTACGAGGAACACCCCCATGTTGAAGCCGAAGTTAAGGGCATTTGGCATGGGCAGGGAATAGCGGCCTGAGTTGTAGTAGTATGGGACGGAGGTCAGCATTGTCACAGCTAAATTACATGAAAATATGTGTATAAAAATTGGAATTCTACCTTCCATCGATAGTCCAAGAGGGTAGAAAAACATCCACACTGAATAGCGCAACCAGGTGAGGATCGGAATCTCGTGACCAAGCGATTTGACGGCGTAGAATGGGTATCTGAATATGTTAAGCTTTGAAAACACGTAGTTGAATTCTTTGTCTTGAAAATATTCTTACTGATTCGTAAAAAAACTCTCTTTTTTGCACTACAGTACCCCTTCACTTCCTTGAGACCTATGGACTTCTACTTTTTTGCGCTTTACTGTTGATCAAACGACTACACCTGAGATTAACTTCTAACCACTGGGGAATCGAAAAAAATAGAATCAGGGAGCGCAATTAGGAGGTTACTGTATTCCGTAGGGGCTTCCCAGGCGCGAACATTGTACTGCTACGTAGTCACAGGAATGTGGGTTTTTGATCTCTAGTTTTTGCAAAATCCTTTGCATTGCGTTTACTACAAGGATTCTCATTGTAAATGTATCCAAATTTGAACTTAAATTCCACGATTCACCTAAACAGCTCCACTCCCATATATGCAAAGAGTAAGAGAATCGTTGAGAATGCATCGTGACGGTTCGGGTTTCCTTCAACCAAATACAGAATTGTGAGACGGCCAAGCACCTAAAAATCATTTTTATCTTTGTTTTTGAAATTACCTGAGTCAAGCAGGCCGGAATACTCGTAGCGGTCAAGCCCAAAAGTGAATGCGGAATGTCCATCAGCTGAGCGGCCGTTCCAATCTTCAAAAGCCCGGCAAAATCCTCCCATTTGTAGGAACCTAAAACCGCGAAGATGTACAGCCTGCCGGCAGATGCAAATTTGTTTCGGTAAGCTTGTTAGATCAAGGCTAAAAATTCACTATACCTTGGATGTAAGTGGCGATGACGTAATAAAAAAGGAAGAGGTGGATCGAGAATTGGACAGCATTGTAGAGGAAGAGATAGATTTGTTTGAGATTGGGGGCTCCCATCTGAAACAATGTGAATTTTTGATTAATAAATTATTAATAACCAAAAAGGGATAGAAATGAAATAAAATCGTTGGAAACAATGTGCGAAGGTGCGCTTCGGGGGCTGAAGAGGGTTGACCTAGCTTTTCCTATGCGCCCGCACCGGGGCAGATATTGATTTTTCGATAACCAAAATCGGAAAACACTTTCTAAATGAAATTGTATATATGTCTTTATATAGAATTTAACAAGTTCTATAACCTAATTCCTTACTGACAGGCGTATCAAATCCAACTTTTGCTAATTTGAATCCCCGGCCCTCCCGCCTTGTCGGCCGTAATCTGTCGCATCGAGTATGGAAAGGCTTAAGGTCTGTAACCTCTAAAGAAATTTAAATCCGTGTTCTTGATATTAAATCCTTGAAACCAAAACTTTTAGCCGGTGCTGGGTTATGAACGGGTCGCAACCGGAGGCATTTGCATGCTCGGAACATCATGATAAGGTGGGCAAAACACACATTCGAAAGCGAGTAGAAATTGTATCAATTCTGAGCAAGAGCCCTTGGTTTAGGTCTATGGCCAACTAGACCGACTCCGTAGGGCCGGGCAGCTATGTGATATCACCTTGAAATCGAAGGATGGTCGAAAACTGTCGGCGCACAAGGTAGAAATACCTAACGTAATCAGATTATTCGGTATAGGTTGTCCTCGCCGCCAACAACGAGTTCTTTCACGCGCTTTTCACTACACCAATTGGCGTACGAGATCAGGATGAATGTCATCTACGTGGTACACCTATCAGATGTCTTAAAAATTAGTAACTTTGAATAGAAATTGAGTTCGAGCCGCTGAGCCTCCTCATAGATCACATTTACAACGGACAGCTTCGGATTAATGACGAAAACGTGCAAAGCCTTATGGCTGCTGCGTCGTTCTTGGATATGCGTAAGTTTTCGAAGTTTTTAGAAGTAAATTTACCTACAATTTTCAGCAAAAGTTGTCGAAAATTGTGCCCAGCACCTCCTCGCCGGAGCCGAGGCCTACAACATCCTAGGAATTCGTGCCCTATGCAGCCAATATTCCTGCTTCCGAATTATGCCCTCGGTTGAGAATGCTGTTTGCGTAAGTAGTATACTGACGTAACCCATGGCTCAAACCCTTCCAGAATATGTTCTACGAGCTCCGAAAGACGCCCAGTTTCCTGAACCTCGATATCGAAGAAATCCTCAAAATTCTGAAGGACGACAAGCTGTACATTGACACGGAAGTTGATGTATGTTTTCTATAGATTGATGTAATACTCTTTGTAAGGTCTTCCATGCGGCTATTGACTGGATTGGGTACAAGGTAAAGGAGAGGAAGAAAGAGCTGCCAAGGTATGGACCTAAATACGCGATTCAGCATCCGCTTTAGACTCCTAAGCGCCGTTCGCATGGTACTAATCCCGCCGGCCGATCTCCAATCGATAATTGGTGATGATCCGCTTGTGAAGGAAGACCCGGCTTGTCTAGACCAAGTTCAAGATGCGCTTGTAAGTTAAAGTCTACTGTAGATGAACTTCTTCACCTAGAAAAAGCTCCGCCTCCCACAATACGAGCGTGGCCAGCATGCTCGCGAGCCGGTCAAGGCGCCGGGAGTTATTTTTGCTCTTGGTAGGCTGGAATGTATTCTCTGAGCTTTTAAACTTTAGGAGGAATCAAAGATGAAGGCAATAACTGGCCTACTGTAGAAATTTTCGACCCTCATACCCAAGATTGGCACTTCCTGCGCGACCTGGACATTCAACGATCCCATGGGTTTTCGGTGGCCGTGTCCAAGATGAGCGTAAGCAAGACATGAGGAAAAGTCTATAATATTTTTATAGTTCTACATTTCCGGCGGTTTTAACAAGAGCAAGGAGCGTTGCGCTACGGTTGAGGTGTACGACTTTTTGAGCAACACACTGAAGCAGGTAGGAAGATAACTTAAGCTTAGGCCTGATATAAATTTTCAGGTTGCGCCTATGCCGCTCGTGCTCAGCAATCACTCTTCAGCATTCTTGGATGGGTTACTGTATGTCCTGGGAGGAACTACTGATGGAGGATGGACTGATCGACTATATGTAATATAACTCAGAGCAGGAATAAGCTCATTTTTAGGTCTACGACCCTGAAAATGACGTTTGGCATTGCGGAGCGCCATTGCCAAACAATCGCCGTCACGCCCAGCTGGTGGCTCTTGGCAGATACCTTTACGGTATTTTTTTTAAAATTATGGAAGCTCATTAAAATCTTGTTTAGCAATCGGAGGAGGCCAAGAAGCTCATGCGACCGACCTCGTCGACCGCTACTCCCCGATTACAAATACTTGGGAAGCGGTAGGCTCCAGCTCGTTAAATTCTAAATTTTTGGGCTTTAGGTAGCACCTCTAAACGACAAGCGCTCAAGGTGCGGTGCCGCTATTTACGGGCAGCAGATCTACGTTTGTGGAGGGTAGACTACTTTTCTGAAACTCGAGTTTAAGCTGTTTAGGGTAAGCCCGGGACTCCATGCCCTGGATTCAGTTGAGGTCTACGATCCTGAGAAGAACACTTGGACTGTAGGCAAGAAAATGATGGTAGGTGTATTTTGTAGTTAGACTCAGGCTTAGGCTTCAGCTTAGGCTTTGGCTTAGTCTTCTGACTTACTGGCGTCCCCTTTTCAGACCTCCCGTGCCAATTGTGCCCTCGCGGTGTTGGGCGAGAAGCTGTACGTCATCGGAGGGTAATAAAATATCATTTCCTAGATTTTCGGGTATTTTCAGCTACGACGGTGTACGCAAAATCTCGAGCGTCGATGTATTTGACGTAAAGGCGAACCACTGGGTCGCCTATGACCGGATGCGCTCCCATGAAGGCCGCGTCGGGACCGCGACGTTCATTTTGCCCCCAGGTTTCCATGAATGGAAACGATATGTCCACAAGGAGGACATGCTTTTTGGGCAGCGGTTCCGGCATGCCATTCGGCACGATAGGCAATGTTTCCGTTTTGTTTAAAGGCCGAGGCTAGGCTCTCTCCTCTCTCTCTCTCTCTCTCTCTCTCTCTCCCTTTCTCTCTCTCTCTCTGTCTCTACCCGCTTTCATTAAACCATCATCGAAAGCCGATCGACACTTTTTGAGCTACACCCGAGGTTTAGATATCACCGGATAAAAAACATGAACATCCACGAAAACGCCCTTCATTTTGCTTCTTATTTATTTGTTTTATTAGATTTTGATTAAAGGGATGTCGCTTTTAAACATTCGGCCCGAGAACTTTCAAGTCACCATTCCTTTAACCCCGATTTTTCGATATGAAATGTGATTAGACCAAAGCCACACCCCAATGCAATGCACGATCTCCCTTGATTCTTGCCATACCAAGTCACGAAATACCATATCAACATCCCCAAACTGTTTATTCATCATCTCCTTCTATCCAAAGTCGTCTAGTTGTACATCAAAATGTGACGTTAGTTGTAAAATAAATTCTTAGTGTCTGGGAAGTGCATCTAGGCTGCCAAGCTCAAGCTAAGCCTTTAACAACGACTCCAGTAGACGGTAGTGCATCTCAACGGCCTCTTTCAGATCGGCAATCTGGGGAAGTTTTGCATAAAATTGCAAGCATACCGCCACGAATTCCCCAGCCGAAAAAGCTGTGGTGATCGAGCCAGCTCCATACATAAATGCTCCTGAAAATTCAAAAATAATTTAGGAATTTTGACCTTTCAGCTTATCCATTTTCTTGTAGTACGGAGCATCAGTATTAAAGGAGCAGGCGATGCGTTTTGCCTGGAACTTGACTTAATATACCTTAAAGGTAATACCGGAAATGGTGGCTCACTAAAGGTGACCGGGTCATTACCACCAAGGCTGTAGTCTAACTCGGCCCTGGATGCCACGATTTTCTCGAGACGTTCTTTGATATCCTTTACTAAACGACAGAAGACGTACAAATTTAAGGTATGGAATTACCAACCGGAAGTAGTAACTCGGAAAAAGATTGAAGCCTGCGCCTTCTCTGCCCAAGCATTAAGGGCATGACCGCCCTGGATTAAGCCGATGTTGAAAGTTGTGTCTCCTGAAGTTGCATAAAAAGCAGTGTTAAAAATAAGCTACCATGAACTTCGCTTTTTGGCCATCCATGGCCTCGAATATCATCGAGCACCTCTAACAGCTTATGGATAGCGCTGGTGCCTAAACAAAATTTTCCATAATATATTTTTCTTGCCTGTATGCGGGTATCCGGAATGCCCGGCTTTTCCGGTCGTTTTTACATGGACCTAAAAATATTTTTATATCCTACGGTAAGCCCTGCCACCTTCAAAACCCCTTTTTGAATAGATGCAAATGCGCTTTCCGTTGGCTCGCCAACAATCATATATTCCGGGCTGAGGTCAAGATCATTCGCTTTCTACAAAAATAAATCTGTTTTGGATCCTCCAATTACAATCATTCCAATATGGTCCACTTCTTCACCGACAACCAGGAGAATCCCGATCTAAAATTTTTATTTAAAAATTGAGGTTTTGAAAACCTGCTTAGCCAATTCTGGATTTTTTCCGGCAAACCGATTCGCAGCCATTACCATCGCGGAAAGTTGGCCTGAACCGTAGCTTTGAAAATACATAGAAAAACTAAACCTTTTGTCTCGTTACAAGCTCTCCCATAGACGTTCTTTTCATCCCTAGTAGGTGGGATATACGGTGGTACTTGATCCAGATGAGTGTTCATTAATACTTTTACATCTGTAAAAGTGGTATCTCCGCTTTATCTTTTCCAAATACCCCTCGGACTCCCCCGAGTAGCCAACAAATTACGACGATCCCCTTCTACCGTCTGCTCCAAAACATTCCACCCATCCTCACGTAGCGTTTCTGCCAGGAAAGTAGCGTACTTTCCTGAAATACCGGGGCATTGACATACATCGGGATCCCACCTTCTTTCCCCGTCGAAGAATCAAATTCCATACACCTGACCAAGAATTCAGTCACGTCAGTCCCAGCCATGCTCAAAAATCAGAATCGAAAAGGTGAATCTGGTTCAACTAAATTTTGAGCAACAGGTAGCCGAGATTGGAACACGAAAGCCGCACCTCCGCCCATTTTCAATCTGTGGGCGCGTCCTTGGCTTTTATGACATCGGTCGTGGTGATTTTGTTTTACGGGCGTTGTCGAGAGCGGATTGTCGAAACCAAAATGCGGTATGGGAAGTTGTGCCTGACTGAGAGGGGCGGGATGTTGCTGATGTTGAGAGTTAAGGTAGCTTAGGCTTAGGCTTCAAGGTAGAAGCATACTTAGGCTTAGGCTTCGTCTTAGGCTTAGGCTTACAAGGAGTGTCCTTTTGGTGTCATCGGCAAAACGATTCGAGACCCAGCTCATTCGATAGAGAATTAAATTCTGAACAAGACTGTGTTGTTCATTTTTGCGGAATGGCTGTCCCTGATTTTATAAAATTAAAAAACTGCCGGCGACGCCCATACATTGGTGCTTGGGGAGCGAGTTGTTAAGGTTACGCGCTTGGTTTTTTAATTCTATAAAATCAGGGACGGCCATTCCGCAAAAATAAAGAACACAGTCTTGTTCAGAATTGAATTCTCTATCGAATGAGCTGGGTCTCGAACCGTTTTGCCGATGACACCAAAAGGACACTCCTTGTTAGGCTTAGGCTCAGGCTTAGGCTTAGGCTTAGGCTTGCTTAGTTTTAGATGCTGATTATGTTCGACTCAGACCTAGTTTTAAGCTTAAGCCCAATCTAACCCCAACCTGACCTTAAGCCTATAACATAACTTGGAGATACAGTGATTCTCTGAAATATACATCTGAGGGATTTCTGTATTTTGCGGGCTTTTTTTAGTAGATCGTCGAGTTTATTAAGACTTTTTCCACCCTGTTCTTTATTCCACACTTCACAACTCATCCAAAATTTCCATCAGAAATAAATGTGTGTCGGATGAAAGGTTTGATGATAGAAGAGATTGGATCGGGATGGATCCCTTCCAACATGCGTGAGCTGAGCGCAAACAGCAGCCAGGTCCCCCCTGGCGGTACGAGGACGGGGGGTGCGAAGGACCCGGGGACTGGCACAATAGGGCCCCGCACCTATCAACGCCTTATCACGACCTATCCCCCTTCTTCTCTCGGATCTCGACCAAAAAAATCGGGCCCTTCCGCCTCTCGATTGGATCGGACCCATTACCCAATTCGCAGCCACTCGAATAGACAAGTACTGTCTAGAGATAGGGATTCCTTCCTTGAGCCCCCCGGGGCGAGGAGTTGCTTTACCTACCGGGTGGTTGACCTGCTGCTGCTTTGGGGTACCGTAGCCTTGAATTATTTTTGCCTTAAAGTTTTAACAACGGCTTTAAAGGCTCAGGCTATCTATTAAACGAAGCCGGCTTCCCTGAAGCTTACCCTGAATTCTCTTATGATCAATGCTGTTGCTATTGCTTCACTTTTACAATCCTGAACTCTGAATTCTCAATTCTCAATTTCACAATCATCATTTAGCGCCTTTTATCCCCAGACCGACCATCCCTACAGTACCCCCCAACCATTAATGCCAGTCAGAAAATGAAAACCAGATCCTGGATCAAACTCGCTTCGGCCCTCGGTATTTACCTATATTCCATTACACAACAACTTGCGATTTTAGCTTGCATTAAATTAATAAATGGATATTGTGAAGAAGGCGTTCTATGCTCAGAATGTGATCTCCGAGACGCTGGATCTCCTTGTAACACCAATGAAAGGATGCCTTACTATTACTGTAGCAACGAGACTAGGTATGGTAGTTATATCTAGCACTAATGTGGATATTCCAGGACAGTAATCTACGATTCTACTAAATATTTGATATGTGCAGGACATGAAATGAAACTTTTTGATTGTGCTGTAAGTTTTACACATTTTTAAAGAGAAATGAGAGCCATAGATGGGAAACACTTCCGGCGTTTTCAATCCCATCACACGACAATGCGTTACTGAAGAAGCAGCAGAAAATGGCGAGCGATGGAGAAGGAAGAGGAGCACGAGTGGTTAGAAACATACTGTAGCTATTAGTGCGATTTAGGAAGCTCCAGAGTTGGTGATGTATGCTCGTTTAATACAGATTGTCAGCGAGGGATGTATTGTGGAGGAGGTTGTATTATTGATATAAATTCAAATTGATATTTAGGTGTCTGTTCTTGTTTGTCGGATTTTGTGGCAATTAATAATCATTGTTGGCAGAGTAAGTGCCATTTTCTTAAATTTGCAGTCTGGATTTTAGAGATAAATCCCGGGGAATCGGGTTGCGTCGAGGATCGTCAATGCCAGGCGGTATGGCCACAAACTACATGTTCTGGCTCTGGTATGTATTCATTAAGCAATAACAAACAGCTCTGTATTTTTAGGAGTTTGTGAATGCCCTGAGAATACAGTACCCTCAAGGACGAGGGATGGTACGATTTGTGTATCCGCTGCTTTACCACCATCCTGCCCACTTCCGGAACCTCATGGAGGTGAAGGTCTCATTCAAATTAGCATCGTTAATGAAATTAAGATTCGCCAAATCCAGCTACAGTCTTGGCCAATCCAGAAACACATCCGATTCAGAAAGATACATACATGTAAGTTGACAATCGCTCTCCCTCTCTCTCTCTCTCTCTCTCTCTCTCTCTCTCTCACTCTCCCAACTTCCAACCATACCTTGTACAGGCCCGTACTCTGCACCTCTACCTCCACTGAAGTTCACAACTCTAACAATGGAGATGGTTCCACTTGGTGTATCTATCCCGATGGAGAAACTGACATTTACATAGCAGATATTTACGATTGCATTTCCCATCCTCAGGTACCATCTACTTATTCCGCTTCATTACATTCATAGGTCTCCCAACAAATCTTCCCCGAATATTCCGAATCTGTCGATGGCGTCTGCTGCCCGTCTAGAGCATTTGCTTGTACTCAACCTATGGAAAGCGGTCCCGAACCTACCGTACCCCGATGGTGGTTCAATTCCGCGACTGGGACTTGCGTGCAGTTCCTCTGGGATCCTGATACGATCAGTGGAGCATCACCCAATAATTTTAAAACTATCGAACATTGCGAAAGTTATTGTAGAGATAGTAAGTTAATTAAGTTGGAATAGTGAACCTTATTTTCCTTATTTTAGCATGCAAACGCGGAGCTACCGAATATTCTGAAGGGAAAGTGGCCCTAATCGACGATACGCCCCTAGGAAACTGTCTGGCTTCTGGAGGTGCCTACTTCAATGCCCACCCCAATTTTTTTAGTTCTAGGAAATAGATGTGGGCCGGATCATCAATGCACTTTGATCGGCAGTCAGCAGAGTTGCTGTCCCTCAACCAGTTGGTGCTCTCTGCGCTTGCGTAACCCTGGATTTTAGCGCATATCTGCAGCGCTGCGGGTGGTCGGAGCTATCCGAGCAAACCATTGACAAACTTTGATCGTGGAGTGCATATTGCTGGGAGGTATGTAGTTTAAAGTTTTTTTTAAGTGAAGCTACCCTTTAGCAAAGCAGCTACACGATATTACTACGATGCCGATCAGGGTCGTTGTGTCAATTTTATCTATCAAGGCCTCGGAAACTTCAACAACTTTTTGACAAAACAAGACTGTGAATCTTTCTGCTCAAAATGTAAGAACGTAACAAAATCCAGTTGATCGTATTAAGTATTTACATAAAATCAGAAAAGTTACTATTTAGTGGTTTGTGAAAATGGACATCCACTGCGGATTGGAGATGAATGGCAGCGCTGTGAAGGCCCGACCGATTGTCCAACAAGTCACACTTGCCAGAGCGCACATAAAGTATGCTGCCCTACGTCACGTAAGTTATCCACTTTTTAAAGTACGTCTCTTTCTTAGAAACCCTCTGCACCCAGCCAAAGCGGCTAGGTGACTGTACGCAATCTGTGCGTCGGTATTGGTATAATGCAGCGACAAGGCAGTGCGAGATGTTCCAATATACGGGATGTCAAGTAATTCAGATTCCAAGCAACTACACTTATATTAAATTTTAGGGCAACGATAATAATTTCCCAACCCTCCTTCAATGTCAGCAAAAATGCAAAGGAGTTGGAGGTACTTTAAGTTCTAGACTCTACAGTACCCCAGTTTAGTGGAACCTCGCTGCCAACACGGAAGAGCTTTTCGGAATAGAGATGGAAATTTCCAGACCTGCTCTGATAAAGGTGTATCTAATTTTAATAGCTTTGATCAGATTTTTAAGGAGCCAATCGATGCCCAGCCAATCACAATTGCTTCTATGATGGTGTATCTCACGGCTGTTGCCCTACTAAGGCTTTCACATGTTCTTTAAATCCTGATAAAGGTGTTCAATGTGGAAGTGGTAAGTTTAAATGGGCAAGAAATTGAGAAAATCTTTAGGCAAATCATACCGCTACTATTTCAACCCTCAAAAACAATCATGCGAGACTTTCCAATATGAGGGTTGCGACGGAAACCCGAATAATTTCCTGACAGCAGAGGAGTGTCAGTCTTACTGTGGAGTTGGAGGTATTTTTGGCTTCTAAGTTTATCTAAAATTTTTGCTTAAATTAAGGTTGTCCAAATGGTGGAATGCCACTGAGAGATCAAATTACGAATCGACAGGTATCCCTTAACGATAGAAAGGCTCTAAAAAACAAATCCAGATGAGCTGCTCCGAGTTGCGCCAATGCCCAAATACCCACGAATGCATTGCTATTCCGCATAATGGAAATGTAGAGCATAGGTGCTGCCCGACGAAAGGTATGTAATTATTAAAACTTGAAGTTCATTATTTCCAGTAACAATCTGCTCTCAACCCCCACAACAAGGTAATCACTGCTCCAAGATGTCGGTCTCCCGATATTATTTTAATATTGTTACCAAGGAGTGTGCTTCTTTCCAGGTATATTTTATTAATTAACCGAACTAGCAAATATTTTAGTATAATGGTTGTAATGGAAATTTGAACAACTTTGGGTCGGCTAGTGAATGTTATAATTTCTGTTCGTCGGCGGGTTGCAGAGTTGGAGAAGTTGCATACAAGGATGTGAATACCAAACGGGCAAGTTCAAAATTTTACTTTTGTATATAACAATCAAAAAAAGCTATAAACCTGCAAAATTTCATCTGTTTTCCAAGGCCCTAGCGCTGTGTTGGTCCCGTTTCCGAGACCACACGCAGTTACCTACCGCCCAGCCGCCCAGGGTGGTCTGCGCGAAATCGCTTTACAACTCACCAAGACCAGTATCTAAACATAAAAAATTACAAATTATACCTAAAAACTTTATAATTATGATTTCAGGTCTTCGATTGCAACAACAACCTTCGAAACTCATGCCCACCGGACTATTCTTGCCGTCACAATGCTCTAACTGCATCTTACGTTTGTTGTGGTTCAAATGGAATGGGTAAGGTGTTAGCTAGCGTTCAAGCAAAAATAGGAGTAGATGTGTGCCCTGGTGAGGAACGCGCATTCGTCAACCCGCTCGACGAGACGATTCGCGAATGTGCTATTAACATCCCTGGATCTTGCCCTGCCAATTTCTTATGCCGATTCAGCCCGAATCGGAATAAGTACTATTGCTGTGCGCCAAACACTGAAAGTAACACCTATAGGGAATTCACGATCAAAAAAGAATTATCAGATGTCTGCCCGGAGGGTCGCGCCTTGTTCCGAGCTCCAAAAACTTTGCTGCCCCAGAGATGTACATTAAATGTTGGCAATCAGTGTGTTGATGGGTATTCTTGCCAGAGTAGAAGCAAGAATGTTCTACAAGGATTCTGCTGCTCAGCAAAGAGTACGGACTACATGAAAAAGTAGATAAAACCGTTTATAGATGTCTGTCGTGGTGATGCTGAATTTTTGGTAGATGAAAAGACGAGGATGCCAAGGATTTGTACCCCAGGCTCGTTTGTGGCTTGCCCGAACGGATATCGGTATGCAAATCTCGTGAAACACACATAAAATTTTAGCTGCCATCGATCTCAAAGAAGTTCGTCAAGCGGATTCTGTTGCAAGGGTGATACCACAAATGCCGTGACAGGTAATGCTGTAATTTGAAATAATTCGTAATCATTTTTCAGAGGGTTGTCCCCCAGGAGAATTTGCATACGTTAAAAAGGGATTGGTGGAGGCTTGTGATCCATTTAATCCGGAGAATAAGCCATGTCCTGCGACTTATACTTGCCAGTACTCGACAGCATTCCAAAGGTAAGTTAAAGATAAAACCTTACAAGCCAATATTACAGATATCAATGTTGTGGTAAAGATCCGATTGAGGAGGAAGAGATTGAGCAAGAGGGTAGGTCTCGCTCACCCTATAAAATGCAAGCTATTTTAGAGTTAGGATGTCCTGCTCAACAAGTAGCCCACCTTGAACGTGGGATCCCGCTTGTCTGTACGGCTTCCGGACAGACTTGCCCTCTAGGGTACTTCTGCCAGTTCTCCGACAAGAACAAGCAGTTCCAATGTTGTGGACATCGAGCCGGTATTACTGTAATACCTCGTAAGTTACCGAACTTTCAGGCTGTCCCTTCCAAAGTGTCGCCTTCATCGATATGAGTGGCGGGGCGATGGAGTGCAATCCACAATTTGCGATGTGTCCACCTGGCTATGAGTAGGTCCTACAAAAAATACAAAAATACAAAAAATTTAGCTGTATCAAGGGCCGAAGCGGAAAACATTTATGCTGTACGAGCCAGGAAGGGTCTAACAAAACGATGCTATCTATGGGCCCTATCATCGCTAAGCAGCCAGCAAGTAGGAACTTAGTGGATTTTGGAGCTTATGTTTAGTCTCGACAACGACAAGCCTGGCAGAACTTGTTCGAGAGACCGAGAGGATTGAATGTCCGGACGGTACGGTGAATGTGGATGGTGACTGCAAGTAGGTATTTCTGGATTGTTTAATGAATATTCGAAAAGCAGCGCTTTGTAAAAAATGGTTTTTTTCAGGTCGATCCAACCTGTTGGTATGCCCTGTTCAATCGATGCGGAATGTATGGGTGGTGCAAAATGTAGAAGATCAATTTGTGGATGTCCAGAAGGACATTATTGGAAGGATGATGCTTGTGTCATGGTATCTCAATCTAATTCTCAATTTCTCTTTTTTTCTAGATGCGAAAATGTGGAAAAGCGGAAGTACTCTTCGAGGGTGACTGCCTGAAGCTCGGCACTTTTGGATCGGCATGCCTAACCAGTCTTCAGTGCACTAATGGCACTGTTTGTTCTGAAGGACAGTGTCGATGTGCTGCGGGAACTTTTGGATATGAGGGAAGGTGCCTAGGTAAGGAGCTGGTGCTTAGCCTCACGACTTTTTTAGCCAATCTCTGCGGAGAAGCAGCCACTCCAGTTGTCGACGAGCTCGGCTCGGTCAAGATGTGCGCAAAAACGGCTTGTCCAGGTGGCCGGTGCACGTATTCCAAGGTTGTCAGGCATTACATATGTTGTGAAGCCAATAGGAAGCTTCCCAAGAAGTTCCCGGTATGCTTCAGACTCATTCCGGCTAATTTCCATACCTAGACCTTAATCGAAAACGTGCCGATGGACCCTCCAATGAGACCTACACCAATTATACAAAATCGTACTCCCGCTCCAGTTCGAACGGAGCTCAGGAGGCCGAGTCCCAGAAAACCAACCTCAAAGGCATTTTAAAAATTGATTTGCATCTTAAATATGCTATTTTAGTGCCCCGGAAACTATCCTCCACTAACTGTTGGGCCTAGAAAATTGCTCTGGGGATGCCTGCCGAGTAAGGGCTGTCCCCAGGGGTACAAATGCATAAATAAAATCTGTTGTCCTGTGCAGGTTAGGCATCGGAGAGGTAAGAATGAAATCCCTGTATGCAACTTTCCCTAGCCGCTCCAAAATGTCCGCCGAGTCGGCAACGAGTAACTTTGGATGATGATGGCGAGCAATTATTGATTTGTGGTAAATATCGAAATTTAAATCTATTTAAGCTTAAAATCTTTCAGATCGTCTATGCCTAACACCTGCCAGAAGATCCCGATCAGCATGCCCACCCACGTAAATGCAAATTCGCTGCGAATCTCGTCTTGACCAATTTTTGAACCTCAAAACCACTGCGACGGAGTTGAAAAATTTGCCGTTGTGCTTTCCTACCGCATTTTCCCCGATATCTTTGTTTTCTGCACTTCTGGGTACGACCAATTAATAAAGACATATTTTGAACGATAAGTACAATTTATTTAGTGCCCGTTACAAAAACCGTGATAAGTACTAAAAGTGTTGAGTAGAAAAAGTTAACCGTGATAGGGAAATCACACCGGGTAGATAAGATACATGTGAGGTACGCTTATTATTGTATGCATAATATGTTCAAAGCCGTGCTAGTAAAAAGTGAAAAAAATGCAAATTACTGTACTCGTTTCAAGGTGAAGCCGCAGGTTGCCTCAACAGAGAGTAGAAAAGGGCCTTCTTGATTTGGGTTAAAGGTAGCGGGACGGATGGCGAAGGTTCCGGCAGGAACATGTTCAAGCGCCAGTACCGTATACCCAGGCCTTAAAAAATAATTAAATGTTATTAATTAAATTATACCTATAAGCCCCAGATGAAGTTCGTTGAAATTCCTTTCCTTCTCGTGCCGTCGACATTGGCCAGATATCAAATCCGACAGAGTATTGCTTTGGACCCTACAGAAAAATAGATGTGAATAGATTGCCTAATTTACTTTTAGCTCAATAAGCAAAGCATTCTCATCACTTTTGTCATCAGTGGAAAGGTGGTAGATCGGATTATTCCTGAAAATCAAAAAGTTAAAATTAATTTTTAGTATACTCGACGGTTTCACGAGATGCCCCATTTCCACAGCCGCCAGCGCTTTTTCCTTCCCATTTACCCGCTTCCTAAATCAAGAAAATTAAAGCTTTAAGATAATTCCTACCGTCTTTTTCGTTTTGTAGGGAGCTTTGATTGGCGATAAGAGAAATTCGGCAGTTGAGTACACCCGTAGTGTGTAGAATATCGTTGTAGATTTTTCGTACTGAAAACATGGATCCAAATTGCAAAAGTTTCCCAAACCTGGGCAACGACTAGTGTAAACTTCTTGGGGCCCGGCTCTCGGAGGACCATTTGACATAGATAGTGAGGACTGTTGATTCGAGCCCCATCATAGATCGGTTTCGGATCGAATGGGATGTAAACCTGATTCAGATTTTAATTAATAAAAAGAATATCACCTTCTTCCCCGTATCGTATACCATTACCGTAATGAATTCCTTATTATTGGCAAAATCGGCGATTTCTGTGATATGGCGTGTGAGCAGGATCCAGACAGAGGCTGGACCTTTGTTGCGGACCTAATTTCAATTTTTAACTTATAGAAAACCAAATCATACCTCAAGGTAGTACTGCGGATTGGCGGCAACAGAGAAGAGATCTTTAACTGGCCCCGCGCATGCATTCCATTGACTAAAAGAGTTTAAAATCTGGAAAAAATCAATACCTATGTATTCCGTAGGTATATGGAAACAGCGAAGGGTTCCAATTCACATAAAAGACATCGAAAAAGTGTAGAACCGACTCGTAATCAATCCAAAAGACTCCTTTAAACAAAATTAAAAAATTGCACAATTAACATACCGTCATCCCGTTCCTTAGCTTTCAATGGATCGTAATCTAGGGCTTTGCAAAGTTCAGGTGTCCAGCAATTTTCATCATTTTCACTAAAATTTCGTCGAAATAAATTTGAAAATCTAGCCTGTAACGCCCTTTCCATCGCAAATGCGTCCAGGGATTTTTAACCATTAATAGACGTTTTCCCTAAATCAGAAAATTATGAATTTCGTGAGTTTCTTACCGCAACTTTCCTCAAATCCAAAATCGCATAAGCGTGGCTATCAACAAGCCCAGCGCGAGAACAGGTTGCCTCATCCAATTTCCCAGTAGCTAGGGTAATTAGGCAATCGCCTTGATGGAATCGTTGAAGCAGCTTTTCGAAAGTCTAAACCCCATTTTAAAAAAATATACAATTCAAACCTTATCAGGGTCGAACTCCTTCTGATCCTTCCTGATCGGGATCCGCTCTGGAATCCACCCGGTCAACGCGTGGAGATCGATATTCTAAAAAAATCCTTTTTTTATAAAAAATCTGTTACCGAATTGCTGCCGGGGAAGTCATATCCGCCCATTACCTTCATGTAGGCCTTCTCCAGCAAGCTCACCTAAACCCAGTCGGCTTCTCCATAAATTGCCATACCCAAAGTTCTTCCTGTTGACTGTAGGAGCAGAGCAGCTGCTTGTTTTCACCGACTGGAAAGTAGTCATCAATAACCACCTATATTTTCTTATATTAAGTTCATGCACAAATTATACCTTTCTCCAGACGCCATTAATGTGCAGCTTTACCATATACTTTCCACTGTCATTGAAGATCGGCTGCTTATTCCGATTTTGTGGGTAGATGACGCTGGAATTTAAACATTTGCACTTTACATTCCAAGTTTTTTTTTGGTCGGGGAAAGGGAGTGGGGGTTTTCGATCTCGCTGACCTAGTGATTTCCCTTATCCGGGGTAACACTGGCGCGCACATGACCCAATTTTGGAGCACGAGCCTGGTCAGTCTATAAGAGACATCGGGAGACAGCCCCCGGCCATTTAGTCTCCCCCCAATCTTGCTCAACGATATCTTTTGTCGATATTTGAAGTCCTTAAACTTTTTTCACTATTATACTGCCTTTAATCTCGATTCTATTACAATTTCTAGGATGGAGGAGGATCCTCCTAAGAAGAGCCTCAGGCCCGTGGCTTTTGCATCTGTTGCATTTGCTACTATTTCCGTACTTTCTTGCGTCATCACCCTCCCCCTTGTCTACAACCACGTCCAGAATGTCCACAGCTTCATGCAAAATGAAGTGGAATTCTGCAAGGTAACCCTAAACTCCACAAAATCTCATCTCAAATTCTTCTAGACCCGTTCTCGTGATATGTGGAAAGAGATGGTGACCATGCAAGCTGTAGCCGGAATCCCCAGGAATAAGCGCGAGGCCTACGATGCTAACCCGCTATCCGGAGAGAACCCAGCCGGAAGCAGCGCTCCAGGATCTTGCTGCTCCTGCCAGGTTGGACCCCCTGGCCCGCCTGGACCTCCCGGTAGAGATGGACGACCTGGGTGAGCAACATTCTTAAATAATTAATAATGATTTAGCGCTCCTGGACGCCCGGGCAACCCTGGACCTCCCGGACGTGACGGAACTCTTCTCCCAGGACCTCCTCCCAAGCCTCCATGCCAGAAATGTCCACCTGGCCCTCCTGGACCTCCAGGACCCCCAGGACCTAAAGGACTGCCTGGTGCTCAGGGCGAGCCCGGAAACCCCGGACACGACGGTATTCCCGGCATGCCGGGACCGCCTGGACCTTCCGGACCTCAGGGTCCCCCTGGAGTACCTGGAGACAAGGGGCCACCTGGAGAGCCTGGAAAGGTTATCAACGGAGCCCCACCCGGACCTCCTGGCCCTCCTGGCCCTCCCGGACCTCAAGGACCAATTGGACCCCCCGGCAGAGATGGACAACCCGGAAAGGCTGGCCCGCCTGGACCTCCCGGAGATGCTGGAGAGAAGGGAGCCGATGGTTTGCCCGGCCCGCATGGATCTTCTGGACCCAGGGGTCAGTCTCGCTTATAAGATTCAAAAATTTCCCAGAAAAATAAAATTATAATTTAAACCAATTTCAGGACCCCCTGGCCAGCCTGGATCATGCGATCACTGCCCACCACCCCGCACCGGACCTGGATACCGTTTCTAATCAATATTTTCGTTGCAATCCCAATAAATGTTCAACACCAACCTCGTGACCAATTGCCTCCCAAAACGTCGCTCATACCGCGCAGCAATGGCAAGTGAAGCCACGAAAGAACAATCGGAAATGACGGTCTAAAAACAAATGACAGTTAAATTTTGCCAAAATACCTGCTTGATCGTCCCACTGTCAATCTTCTTGATGAGAGTTGGTTCCGAGAAGAAGTCGGAGGGTCGAGCCCAGTCTTTCAGCCGTTTTACTTGTTTTTCAGTCAACGCTAATTTCCCGTGCTTGTCGCTGAAAGATAATTGCTTCTAAATCCCTCTTAAATTCCGCTTACGAGAACGGCAACGAAAAGTTGAATTGTTCCTTCAGATCTTGCTCCAGGAATGGCACGTATCTTCTGCCATTAATACGCGAAGTTGCGGCAAGGACAGCGAGTTCTTCCTGAAAACATGTACTTAATATTGGACTGAATATGAGAAAAATAGATAGGAATTCATGAGAAAAAATTAATAACCTTTGTCAAGCCCTCATGTTGATTCCTTGGATGAATTTGCGGACTTCCCGTCGCAGCATTACCGCGAGCAGCCGGTGCCCGATCATCGAGGTGCAAATCGGAAAGCGACAGATCTAATTTTATTCTGATGATTTTGAAAGAAATAGAAATACCTCCTGTAGGCACAGATGGCAAAAGCGCGCTCAACTGCATCGCTTCCGTTTCTTCAGCCTTGTTGCGCGTTTCTGTAGACAGATTTTAGAAGCTTGGAAAAAACATACCAATCTTTAGCTTGAGATATTCGGCTCGTTCCAGGGCTTGTGCGGCTAGACCTCTCAGCTTCTGCCTCAGTTGTGGGTCTATGTTCGGCAATTTCATCTGAAAAGACGATTGTTATATGTAACTTTTATAATTTTACCAAATTTAGACACAGCTCCACCGATTTTTCATAGCAATCCGCCGCTTGGTCAATCTCGCCACGCTCCTCCATGTCGATTGCCTGCAAAATACTATTTTCCAGATTAGCAAGTCTTAAACATACCTTTAGAGCTGTAAACTCTGCAGATTCAAACTGCAACTGCTGTGGAGACCGCTTTGCCTATCAATAAATATATTTTTGTCAGGAAATAAACGTTACAATAATGTCTGCTTGTAGTCTCGGCAATTCCCGCTTCAAATACTCGGCCCGTTCCAGGTATTCGGTCGCATTTCGCTTCAAAATAGGTAAAATCTGAAGAAAATTAGTTTGAAAGTGAAAATGATCAACCTTTTTCCTAGCGATTAGGCTCAATATTCGATGACTAGCTTCAGCGTAGAAATAAATCGCTTCTTCGTACCTGAAAACGGAAAAATAAGATAAATACTATGTTATTTATTGACTTAACAACTACAATTATCAAATTAAGGGTCTTTCCAACATTTAAAACTTGCCGTTGCGAATGGTCATACTCTAATGCCTTCTGAGCTAATTGCATCGCCTTCTGGGCTTCTGGGTCGTCATCTTTACTCATTTTTCACCTGAAAAATCAAGTTTTTCGCGTAGAAAATTCTTTTTGTGAAGAAAAGCTTGGGAAGCGGATGAATCTGAGAAAGCAGAGTCTGTAGTTTGTATTAAAACGTAAGTTTGAAAGAAATGAAAGCGCTGTTTGAAGATTTTTGTTGATTATCTTGCGTAACCAAGCAAGAAATAGTCATACGGGTTTCCGTGGCACTCCAATGTACGACGGGAAAGCGGCGCCAAGGCCGCACGCGAAGGGCGAAATGAAATGATACTGAAGACATTTGCTCTTTCCGAGTCATATTTTCGAAATTTGCGTAAATTTTTTAGAACGTTAAATAAATAAAAATATAAAAAGAGCTAAAAGCACTTCCTGTCACATCAACAAATACGTAAGATCCCTGCAACTATCATTTTAACAAAACGGTGGGTGTATTTCAAAAAGTCTGTATTGCGCACAGTGGATAACTAAAATGTTGTAAAATTTATCAACAAAACAAAAAGAACAAGAATTTATTTCAGCTCCTTGATGGCGATGCCTGGGGGCAGACTCTGCTTCAGCTTCTCGGCCTTCACCTTGTCCTATAAGATGTTTGGGTTTTTCAGATTATCAATAGTTTTCAAGACCAATACGAATTTCGCTTAGATGGTAGTAGGATAGGGAAAATAATTAACTTGGCTCAAAAGCCTTTTCAGCTAGAAGAGGGCGAAATAGTGGGGAAAATGAAAATATCAGGGAAAATGGTAAATCGATGTTTTGTGCACAATAATTAAATTTGTCGTCGTTGATGTGGTTTTTGCTTACCTTGATGACGAGGGTGTACAAGAAGCGGCTGCAGCGGACCTTGAACTTGACGTTGTCGGCGTTCTTCTTGATTTTGACGGACTTGGCGTCCTTGCTCCTCGCCTTCAGCAGGAAGTCCTTGATCTCGGTGATCTGGCGAGGCATATTGACCCTGTAATTTAATTATACAATCTTTTATATATCGTCTGAAAATCATTGGATAGAATAGTGAAGATCAATGAATGTCTGCGCACTATTTTGTGTCGGCTATATATAAACTTGTGAAAATTATCTGGTATCGCCTTTAGATCTTTTCATAGGATCGAAATAATATTCCGTTAATTTAAGAAGAATTTAAAATACCAAAATATAGCAAAGAACCATAACTGAGGATGCATAATTCATTTCCGAAACCAGACAAAATCCGATTAGCATGAGAAACTCAAGGGAATTGTCTAATCACAGTCCATAGCGTTATATTGATTGCAATTTGTAGAAAATTAAGGTATTTTGGATGTAATCTGGAATTTTTTTAGGGAACGGCTACGTTTCGCAAAAAATAGAGGATAGTTATCGTAGGAAGGATCTGTTGAAGTTTTAAAAGCATTTTTAAATGTTATGGGATTTAATCAATATTAATTTGAAGAAATACTGACGCGTGCAACGCAAAAACTTTTCCTTATAGGAACGCGTAGGGAGTGACTGAAAATAAATCGCGATTCGCCGTGTGTGCGGCCTGTGCGGTAGACACGCAGAGGATACTGTAGCTGGGTCAACACATAAGACAGCCACGTGGTGGGCCACTCTTGGGTAGATTCCGGAACGTACCGTGTCTCACAAACGGTCAATAGGGTTTGAGAATTTATTCGACTAAAACATGATAAATGGTAATCGCAAAAACCTGATTTGCCGTGCCAAGTCTGGAGATGCCAACGGAACAAGAAAGAATAAAAATAACGACTGCATCCAAAGAAAAGGCACCAGCAATCGTGTGGACGGAAAGACTTGGGTTGGGTGAAAACCTCCAAGGCTTACTGATTAAAGCATTTAAAGGGACGTATATCATATTTTATCGTCATAAAGCATAGATTAAGCAACGCGACGTCGCGTCGGGATTTGAGATTTCAAAAAAAAGTAGAAAATGGGGTGCAATGGCACCTACAATACGGCTGTTTGCGCGGGCAAACTTACAAGGCACACATCGTGGACAATACATTTAAAATGAATAAATGCTTCGAGGGGTGGGGAGAAGGGAGGGGTTTGGCGGAAAAAAGTTGACCAGTAACGGATTGGGTGGGGATTCAAGGGGTGAATACCGTAATCTACTCTTCTTCGTCGGCCTGGTACATGTCTCTGCACACTCCGCGGATTGGCGCCTGAATTTGGTTATGTAATGGAAAGTAGATGATTTAAATACCTGGTGGGGTGGGCATTTGGCCTCGCATCGCTTGACGATTTGTTCACCAACAATACGCTGCACTAGCACTTTGCCGTCCGGGCATGGGCCTAAAAAAGTCATGATTTTTTTCTGGTTCAGGTATTGAGCCTAACCGGAAGAGTTGTCCTTGCCCTTCTTGGCGATGGAGCAGCATTGGTAGCGCTTCGTAGTCGCCGATCGGAGACAATCATATCCGGATGGGCATGAGTTACCACCCTACAAAATACCACGTTAAAGTTTTACAGTAAGGATGTGCTCACTACAGTAACCAATATAACTTACCTGAGTGGTACACTGCACTGGTGTTCCTGTAGACGGGAACAAAAGTGCAGCAGCACCGTTCGGGCATCCGAAGGTGTCTGATCCACCCTCAGTGCCTCGAAGAGAAGCTCCGCCAGATGAGTGCTTCGACGTCGAGCAACAATAATAATTCCTGGTCTTCTTTGAGAACAAACATTTGTACTCTTTCGGGCAGGCTTTGCTAAAGGGATTCGTATTACAGGCTTTAGTCTTCATTTCTTACTTTGTGCACTGTTGCGGGTGCCATTAACTAGATACGCCGATCCAACGTCGCAGACATCAACCTTGGTCGAGAGGGTGGAGAACGTCTGACGATTGCGTTCCGGGCGCTCGATCTTTGGCTCAACGGTGGTGTGCTGGACCTTGCCACCAGCGGCAGATCCACCGGATCCTCCGGCTCCTCCGCAGCAAATGTTTTGTTGGGCAGTGGCGGAGAATTGGCAAGTGTATCCACGAGGACAGTTGTTGCGGCTAGCGCTGCAGAATCGGGCCTAGAATAATACCATTTTTTATTTTGATTCTGGGATTCCCTACCTTCTTGGACCTCGGATCAATGTACGGTCGCTGGCTGGGGATTGGGCAGGTGCTGAGCGTGGTTGGTCGTGACTTGGGCTGAAACTACGAGCTTTGTAACGCATCATTTTCCCTACTTTTTCAATGCAGATGTCGTCGACTGGTTCCTGTCCCTCGGGGCAAGCACAGATGCCCTCATCGCAAGCGGCTCCTCCTTGGCACTGGGTGTCAACCTGCAAATCGGGTGTCCAGATTCTTTAAGATACTGTACCTTGCACTCTTCTCCAACCAGAGCCCTCGACAAGCAATCTCCGTTGTGACGGATCTCGGACTCCTCGCATTCTAGAAAGAGAATTTTATAATTTTCATGGGAGGCTTACTCTTGACACAGATTCCGTTCTCAACTTCCATTCCTGGGGAGCATCCACACTTGTTGTTATGGCAGATGGAGCCGCTTGGGCACTGGACTTGGTTCTTGCACATCTCTCCCAGAGAAGCCTTGTTCAGGCACTCTCCCTCGACAAGGACTTGAGTCTCAGTGCAGGCTGAAAGTTTTTACATTACTGGCTTCAAGGAACTCCTCACTGATTTCAGTAGATGTGCAGCAAAGCTGGGATCCAGTGACGGAGCGTTGGCAAGAGTAGCCTTGCGGGCAGGTCGACTGGCCGATGACACAAGACTGGGCATCACCATTGATTCCGATGAAGGCGACCTAAGGCATGAGTCTTGATGATACTTGTTCTTGGTCGTACCTGATCGTTGGGGCATCCTCCGCTCATGCCGCAGCATTGGAATTGATTGTTGCCGGACGAGAACTGGCAGAAGTATCCGGTCGGGCAGTTCGAGGCCGCAGCCGTGCAGATGCGAGGAGCATTGCTTGATGGCTCTTTGAAGGCAACCTAAAAAAATAATCTATCTACCTTACATTGGGAACAGATTACCTGGTTGTTGGGGCATCCAAGAGCAGAGACGCTCTTCGGGGAGGAGATCGGGGTCGCACCACAGCACTGGTACCTCTGGTTAGCCAGAGACCATTGGCAGGAGTATCCATTCGGGCATGGAGCATTCGGGGGGTTGAACGGATCACAGGGAGCGATCTCGTTGTCCTTCATGTAGACGTACTCGTTGGGTGGGCAACCATCTAAGCGTGAGTATACTCAATGGATCCAAAAATGCGAATATTTACTACTCTAACCCAGCCAGTCACATGCTAGCCATGCGTGACGGCGACACCTTGCTAACTATCATAACCACAAGTCAAGCCTATAGCTGTCTTACTATAAGTGTCCCCTCGTTGAGGAATCGACAAGCCTAAAGGCATCGGGCTCGATTTCAATCCGTCTTGTGAAAGTTAGGTTCGAGACCTACCTGAGACGCTCTTCTCTTCACCACGGCAGCAGTGTCCGTTCTTGGCGTCGGCCGAGTTGGACTGACAGGTGAATCTAAATTCCAAAATTTTCAGCATGTGCTCAAATTCCTACGCCGTCGGGCAAGTGATGAACGATCCCATGGTGCAGGAGCGGGGCATCTGGGTCTTCTCCTCAAGATAGAACTCCGCCTAAAGGATTTTACTATGATTCGAGGAGGGATTACCTTATTCGGGCAAAGGGCTGACGCGGAGCAACAGTATCCCTGGAAAGCTCCGGGGACGTCTGACTGGCACGAGTATCCGGTCGGGCACTAAAGAACATAAGCGATGGGTTATCGGTAAAAACCTGGTTCGAGTTTGAAGAAATGGTGCACCGGATCGGCGCCTTTGAAGCTGCTTCGCGGAAGAGAGCCTTGCCAGATGGGCAGAGTTCTAAAGGCTTCATAAGGTAAGATAAGCTTCGACTTACCTCCAGAGATCGAGGCGCAGCAGTAGTAACGGTTCTTCAACGCATTGAATCGGCACAGGTAGTTCGAAGGGCAGGAGCCTTGAAAAAGACAGAGTTTTTTGCTAATTGACGCCTTCTTACCTTCAACGTTGATCAGACATTCACGCACCGACATGTCGGCGGCGTTGACGTAGGCCTTCTCACCATCGGGGCACACGTCTGAAAGGCCTGTTTTCTAAGATTTAACTAGAATGGTATTACCCATATTCGTGGCTCCGCAGCAGACCGAGTTACCGCTCAGCTGATCGTATGTGCAGGCAAAGTTGGTGGGGCAGGAGTTGGACAGAGCAGCGTTGCACTCATAGGGGAGGTTCGTGTTGGGGTTCACGTAGGCGACATCACTGAAATTCACTTACTGATGACTTTCTGATACTTTCTTCATACCCAGGAGTGCAAGCGGCCGACAAGCAGAAGTTATTGCACTGCTCGGCGGTTCCGAAGTTGTTGAGGTTTCCGGAGCAGCCATTGTAGGTAAATTGAGTGCATTCCTAAGAATCATTTTTCAAAAATTCTCCTTCTCAAAACCTTGGTCACGATGTTGAAGTAATAACGAGCAGCGGCCGAGCTGGAGCAAGAAGATCCTTGCTGCGGGGGAAGGGAGCAGATGTGAGCTGAAAAAAAGGAGCTTTTGCTAACAAAATTTCTTTTCTACCTCGAGTCGGGCAACAACGGTTGACAACAGAAGATCCGGAAGTGACTGAAGTGCATTCATGGGTAGTTGGGCAAACGGTAGAAGCGCTGCAGACCATCAGCTGTCCAAATTCGTTCCTTTCAGGGGTACCACCGTTGGGGCAACCTAATTAAGTTTGTACTGCTTGAAGTCGGGCTCTACCTCCAACGCCACAGTATCCTTCACAATCATCGCGAGAGGCAAAGTTGTTTGAGTTTCCGTCGCAACCGTTGTATTGGAAGCTCTCGCACTCTTGAGTCTGGGCATTGTAGTAGTATCTAAAAAGTATTAACGTCTTTCGATTTTACCAGTGTTGCTAGGTAATTATTATAGTACTTACCGATAGCTCGATCCAGATCCGCAAGTGACTCCCTTATGAGGAGAAAGGGTGCAAGTGTATGCCTTGGTTGGGCAGCATCCCCAAACATAGCCGTCAAAGTAGCACTCATAATTCACTGGGCACACATTGCCGGTACCAGAGTTGGAGCAGGTATAGTAGTTGCCCTAAAGTGCTTTTTACCACAGTATGACAGTGGACAAAACCTGATAATCCTTGTAAGCGTCACCCTGAGGGCACTGAGGCTCCGGGATGATGTTCTCGCAGGTATTCTGGCACTCCAAAAGAGTCTCGAAATTGTTGTCGTTGCCCTGGAAAAATGAATGAGCGTCGAATTTGCAATTCCTACCTGGCATCCAGTGTAGTCGAAGATCTCACAGGCGCGAGTAACGGCATTGTACCAATAACGGCGCACCGACTGCTTGCAGTCACCAAGACGGAGTGGCTGGGAGCAGATGGCTTCTGAAAAAATCGGAAGTTCTGCTTTTTCTAATTTATCTTACGTGGCCTTGGGCAGCACACATTGTGGTCCGACTGGCACTCGTGGGTGGACGGGCAATCAGCGTTCGTCGAGCAGCGCTGGTTAGCAGCTCCGATCTTCAGTGGGGTACCGTAGGTGCACTGGAGCTTGGCGCAGAAGAGCTCGCATTCAGCGGCAGACTAAAGATCGGTATTTGTCACTTGGGAATAGGGTTACCTTAAAGTTGTTGTAGTTTCCAAGGGCGCCATTGTAGGTGAAGGCGATGCAGCGACCTTGCTCAGCATCGTAGTAGTACCTTGATTCGAGGATGAGGGTAGCGGAAGTAGACAGTACCTGCTGGAAGTGGCATAGGTCAGGGAGAAGCTCCTCTTCATTGTGAAGCCAGGGTCGAAGTTGGTCGAGCGGAGGAGATCAGCCGGGCGGCCACCAGCATTTGAGCAAATGGAGGCAACAGTGGGGCAGCAAAGCTAAAAATTATACTTGATTGCATGCCGACTTCGGTTGGCCTACCTGCATGGATCCAACAGAATTGCATTCGAAGTTCGAAGTGCAAGTCGAGGCAGTCTGGCAATTGTTGACGGGTTCGTCTTCATTCTGGGTCTGGCCGGTCAAGTATTGTGGGGAACCACGCTTGCATGCTGAAATTAATTTTATCTTAATTTTTCTCAAGTTTTAAGATGTTGTAACCCCTTTCAAGCCTCTATTTGCTAACCCAAGTTTTTACAAAAGGCTCCCAAGTTCAACCGTTCCCATTCTCATCACAGATAATACCCAGGAATGCGGAACTGAGAGGGCGGGCGGGGGTACTCCCCAACGAGGGAACGGTCTCATCGGCAAACATCGCCGGGTGCCCTTTAGTCCTCCCCCCAATTTCCCTTAGCTGTAGGTAGGTGTGGTACGTACTGTCTCTGCAGTAGCTTTCACAGTGCTCTCTCGTCTTGAAGTTGTTTGGTGACTGCATCTCGGACTCATCCCACGGGTCCCACATGAACTGCTCGCAGGTGCCTGTCACCGCGTTATACCACCATCTAGACAACACTGATTACTTGAGACGGACGCCGCGGGGTGAATGAGGGGGGAAAGGGTGCTTTTTACAAAACGGGTGGGTCTTTCGGGAAAGGGCCCGAGATGGTTTGAGAGGGTAGAGTGGCCTGGGAATAGTGGGAACAATAGAAGAGATGGTGGGAAGGACGGACCTCGGTCTGACTCCGGCGGGTGCTGCGGACCCACTATCGGCTTCGCGCTTCGGTTGGATGCACGTGAAGGCGCGGTTCGGGCAACAAATACCTAGAAAATGGTAGTACGGATCAGTTTAAGCGCAAATACGTGCAAAAGCGCTTCAGACTTTTTAACTTACCATCAGCGGTGGGATGGATATCGTAGACCCCCTCCATAGCAGTCTTCACATTGTTCATTGAGGTAACTGCCGTAACGCAATCGTAAACGTCAGCGATGAAGACACCAGCCGACGGGTCTTGCTGATCGGTGGTATAAACGCAAGCGCCTCCGCCGTTGGCTCCAAAAGTGGTGTAGTCGGTCGACTGGCTGCTGCAGAATTGGAGGGGGTTGATGTGGTCTCCTAAACATGATATTCTTCCTGTAAATCCTCTTTTCTAACCCATAGCAATATCAGCATCATCTGGGTCAGTCATAGCGGGATTTCTCAACTGCGAAACGGGCATCGTCAGGAGATCGTCGTCATATCTTAAAAACAATTCTAACCCTTCTCTATTTCAATTCTCACTCTGGCAGGGGGCACTTCGGCACCGGATCGGCGTCTTCTCCAGAATGGAGGATGCAGACGACTCCATCTCTGCTCTTCGACTGCACGTACGGAATTCCGTTGACGTCTTCTGGGCATTCGCAACGCGACTTCTCGCACCGCGACTCCGGCCAGACAGCAGAGCACTGCTCAGCGTATTGACATCCAGACTCACCGGGGTTTTTCTCTACACAAGAATTAAGTAAATTTCTTAAGTGACTGCTTACTCAAGTAACAATAGCCCTGGATGGCGACAAAGTTGCTGAGGCAAGTGCAGGTTCCGGTAGAGCAGAACATACCCTAGGAAAAATAAATCGGGGGCTCTTGCTATTCCATACCGTCAAGCAATCGGTGTTGAACGAGCAGAAGTCGCCAACACGGCCAGACCCAGCGATTCCTTGTCGTCTAAACAGAGTTGATAACGACCGGAAAAACATACCTGTATCTGACATTCTGAGCCCTGCAACGGCCGTCGATGAAAAATTCGCCTTTAGCGCAAATTTTCCGCTCTATCCGCTGCTTGACCAAGTTGCAGATGAGGAATGCATTCTCTTGCATGTCGGTTTTACTATAAAATGGTTGGCTGTTAAGATGCTGAAGCCTACTTTGTCTTCTTGTCACAGAAGAGTGACTCGGTGGTGGTCTCCTTGGAGCAGTCGGCTCCTTCTTCGATCAGCTTGCACTTGTCGCAGTCGTCTCCGATGCGACATTCTGGCAATTCGCCATCGAGCGACCAAGCTCCCCCTGAAGAGGTGGTTTGAAAGTTTGAATTGGGGTTATTTTAAACGGTTTCGGGGATAGTTCCTACCTGCCAGTAGCAGGAGAAGGCTGAGCGCCGTCCGAGACATGTGGCTTGATCTGGGCCCGGGACGCTCTGATTCAGTGGGAGCTCCTAGAATTTTTGATCAAGGTAGATCTTTCGAGCCCATATACAAAAGAAGGACATGGAACTGGAAAAATCTGGGATCATTCCGGAAGGCAGCAAAAAAATCGCTCAAAAACAGTTCCCTACGTGGCATCAGAAGTGCGTGCTCCCCCGAATGTGTTTCAGGTGGGTTCCGAAAAAAGCGACTGTATGAAGTGCAGAGGCGAGGGGGGAGTAGAGGGGAGCGCACCTCCATTCGGAGTTCGTTTCATCGCCGAGCTGGATGTGTACCGAGATGAGCGGAGGGCCTCGGGGCTGGGGAGTCTCGAGGGCCTCGGGAAGGCCCCCACACTCACAACACAATGGCCCTATGATATCCTAGACCAGGCTGAGACGCCCCGAGGGTCTATGCTACCCTGCTTTGCGCAACAATGAATTGAATTGGAACCGTGGGATGGGTGTAGCTTCTCCAAGGTGCAGTGCAAAAAAAGGGGATTTTGAACTATGGACTCTGTCTGGGTTGGCATGTCAAGGAGTACGGATGCAGAAAGTTCATTAGATGAAGGTGCTGTGAAAATCGAGGAATTTTCGGACGAATTACCAGTCTTCGAAACAGATGTCGAAGCCTCAAATGCTACAGGCAAAGTACGATAAAATGAGGCTTGAGGCTTCAGACTAGTGCACAATCCCAGAAACCAGCTAAAGAACTGAACTCAGGCTCATCCAAGACCCAACCCCACGCAGCTGTAGGTGTCGAATGAATGGCGTGCAACAGTCGGTTGCTCCAAACGTTTCGTGCTAGGGTCAATTAGCCGTGAATGGAGTTGGGTTTTGGATCGGGGGAAGGGGGAGCGGGGAGGGAGAGGTGGAGAGGGTGGCTTCTCCCCCCTTCTACCACCCAGTAGATGGCCTCAGGGCCCGGACCATCACTCCTCTCCGCCCTGACCGCGTCTCCACCGAGCAAACACTGTTAAGAGGAGAAGCCAGTAGCACCGCCACACACCCCAAACAGCGCCCGGGGGCCCCCGTCTCCTTGTACCGACTTGTCACGGGCCCATCCCATTGATCGGCAAACCACAAAAGCCCCCGACACGACGACGATCACGGCTTCACAAAAACGGGGGGTTAACAGAGGTTGGGGGGGCGGAATGGAGTGGGCGAGCGTTTTGTTACAAGGTGAATTCGACAGTTTTTGAGGTGCATTTGCAAGCTGAAGTTGCTCCCTGTGGATGTTACGGTAGCTGCCAAAACGAAGAAGGTACTACCAATGAGAAGCCGAAATGGGGTGGTATCTCTCTTACGCTTATGATCAGAAGCTACGAGCTAGTGTTTCCGGCGACAGCGTATATCGAATCTTCTAAAAACCTTCCTGTTCTACATAATCCGTAAAGCTAACAAGTGCCTTTTTAAATTGACGGTAAGCTGGTGCAAGCTAGTTGGGCGCAGATAATAAATTAAAAACCTCCGATAATTGGTTACTAGCGATGGAATCAATTCACTAAATTTAGATGTTCTTGCTTTTATCTATCTTAGGAATCAAAAAGTCGGCTTATCATCTACAATGCCTGGCGCTCGCCTGAAAAAACCAACAATATCGCTGGCATTCTTGCAACCGTGGGCCCTAACGATGGACAAGGCTTGAAGTTTAATGCCTTGAAAGCCCGTAAACCTGAAGGGGCTAGGCTCGAGACGAATCGCCGGAATGAGAAGCTAAATCGAAGCATGGAACAGTGCCTCTAACTTCCAATTCGAATGGGACAGAAAAGGCGATCTGGTGCGACCCCGACTGGGCCCTGGAGTGCAATTGTGTCGACTCGCCCACCCCCTTTGGGGGAGGTCCCTCCGGCGCCCCCCCTATTTGTGATCGGGCTCAAATCGAGCCGGAATTAAGAGTGTATCGGTCGTGAGATGTTGTGAGTAGTGTGTACACAGCCCCCTCCGACTCCTCGGGATCTAAGAAAACGACAAGAGCGCCGCGCTCCCTTACGTCCGGCGCGCACAGCCAAATTTGGAACTGACCGGGGGTGCGTATTTGCACCGGGGCCTGCGGGCCGAGTTCCGCCTGCTCATCTCTTGTGAGCGAGCCGAACACTCCATCCAGGATTTTCCCGTTGAAATCGGTGGGCGAGATGGTTTTCGTAGGGGAAACGGGCTTTACTGTAGGTAGAGGAGAAGCATCTGCTTTATCGTAATTATGTAGCGGATATAGATAAGCGGATTATCTGTCGCGATTTCTTTCTTAGAAAAGCTCTGTATGCCAGGAAATGCAGATGCAAAGACATCGATTTCTGCCGTTTCCGACACATTTAGCAATATAACCCTACTAAATTCTCCAAATGCCTCCCACTTCCAGGAAGTACATTCTTCGAGTCGATGATGGTGAGCATGATAGGGCCCTTGCTGGACCTTCGAATAGCCAGAGGGGTGAAGAATGTTTGCACGCAAACATCGCCCAGACATCGTCACAGACACGAACTCGGCATTAGGCGCGGCATCTCGGTGCATTTCGGCGATGGGAAGATGAGCAGCGATTGATAATAAAGTCTCAAACGAAATCGAAAAATCTTTATACGCAACTTGATCGCATATAGGGTCTGCCAAGGAAACGTCGACCACCTGTAAAATGTGGAAAAAGCGTCAGGACTCGAAAAATATTGATCATTAAAACAAAACAACTAATCTAAGTCCTTACATTATTTTTATTTCATGAGTTCTTCTTAGTCCTCTTCACGGTTTGCTTTCCAGAAGCCTTACGGTACCCTGTTGCTCCCTTATGCGGTGCCCTTTCTACTGTAGCTCACTCTTTCCTGCAGTCAGGGCCGGAGACGCAGCGCCCCCCCGTTGATTTTATTCAGCCTAGTTGTCGCTTTTTCTGTTTCTTTCTTTTCCTTTCCTGCTTTCAAATCTTCATTTTTTGTTTTCAAAACGTGGCATGTGCTTCCGCTGACCTTTGTAAACATTTTTCTTGCAGGCGGCCGATGCGCATTGGTGGTCTCTTTGTGGTATGGCTCATCACCCACGTCGTATCGTGGGATGCTGACGAGTTGGCCTTGTACGATTTGGTAGAAGAAGTTAACCAGAATTTCTACGAATTCTTTGGCATAGTGCAGGTAAATCGATCTTTGATTTCATACCACGTTTGTATAGAGTGCTAGCTTGTCTGATGTAAAGAAGAGCTATCGCCGCTTGAGTCTTGAATGGCACCCAGATAGGAACAAGGCCGAAAATGCATCACAAAAATTTCGTCAGGTATGGCAGGCTCTCGTTTGCGCAACTTTTTTTAGGTCGTTTCGATCTACGAGGTTTTAAAATCGCCTGAAATGCGGGAAAAGTACCACGAGATCCTGGTCAACGGGTTGCCGACTTGGCGAAGCGGCGTGTACTACTACAGGTTCTGCTTATTTTCGAAAAGCTTATTTGCCTGTTTAGACATGTCCGAAAAATGGGTCTCTGGGAAGCGTTGCTTCTACTATTCATCTTGATGACTGGTGTGCACTACCTGATGTTATGGGGTGTTTATTTCGAAAAATACCTTGTTGAGGTGTTTTTTATTGGCAATATTTTACTGGTTTTTAGACTCAGCGAAAGGTCAAAGTCAAGAAGGAAAAGGAACGGGCCGCAATACTGGAGCAAGAGGCTGAACGGGTCGAGCAAGTACTCTACGGTTACCGTCCAACATTCAACATGATGTTGCCGGCTTTGATGTGGAGAGGCTGTCTTGTTTCCGTCGAATTGGTGAGGGAACTGCTCAAGAAGGAGGATCCTCCAGAGGTAACATTTTGACTTTGCTTTTATGCCATTTTTCAGGAGCCAGAGCCCGAAAAGATCCCTGAGCCAATCAAGCCTTCGCAACCCAGACCTGTCTACACATTCGAAATGGCTGACGACATCAAGCCGGTGCTAATCCAGGACGAGGACGCTAAGAAGAAATACGAAGATGAGCAACTGAGGAGGGATGCAAGTAAGAAGATTCTTTTTAACCAACTCTTTGTTTCTAGAATACACAAAGAAGGCGGCCTGGACTTGCGAAGAGCTTGTCGCTTTGGTCAAGCTGAACACTGAGAAATTCCCCGCTGGCACACCCAATCGGTAAACGACGCTTTTAATCAACGATTTTATTCGTAGTTGGGAGCTCATCGCACAAGCCCTCGATCGGACACCTGAAGATGTGACAGTTATGGTTGGAAAGTTGAAAAGTATGAAGAGGGTATACCTTTTCTCTCGTTTTTGTATAAATATGTTTAGGATGAGTACAACAAGCTGCTCACCGGGCAAACTAGTAACGCTGTGACATCTTCAGTACGGGCTGGCCAAATTGAGGTATTCCTAGTGCCCTTGTGAAACATTCATATTTTAGTCACCAAACGACCAGTTGAAGAGCGATTGGACTCAAGAAGAACAGAAGTCGCTGGAAGCTGCCCTAGTGAAGTACACCAAGGCTCACGACAAACGATGGGAAGCCATCGCCTCTGAAGTGGGCACACGATCCAAGGCCGAATGCGTCGCCCGTTTCAAGTTCCTCTCTGAAATGGTCCGCAAGCGCAAAGATGCTTCGACATAGGTATAACAATTTGCCTGTAAAACATATTTGCCTTTTTATTCGTGGGTTCTTTATCACTTCCCCCTGTTCTACGGGTATTTTTCTCTTGTGATGCTTTTCCCTCGGGTGGTTTGGTGTTTCGTACTACTGTGATCTTCCAATGTGTATTTGCCCCTCGCTTATGGTTAGCAAAACGTGGTACTGTTCAATTTCGCGTCGAAGTGGGCGAAAATTTGATACCAAAACGTTATTATCGGAACTTGCATTCAAAAACGCAAAAATTATCTGACTAGATTTCATATCGCTTAAATGCCCAGGGCTAGGGAAATTATCGTAGCCTAGTTGAACAGTACCGAAAAACGGTCCAATGCGATCAAATTAATAATTTTTGGGTGGCTGTGTTGATTTTGCTAAATGCAACAGCCGATGGTTGAAATACCCAAAGTAAAAGGGCGGCAGGGGGGGGGGGGCAGCGTTGCTCCGTATATTTTGTACTTTTCAGCCTCAGTTGGCCCATTATTCGTTGATGCACTTATCTATCATTTCAATTTGCCGCTTGTTGAGCGCACTGTCTCCTTCCCCTTTTGGCAATCAACTCGTTCCCACCGGGTATTTTTTACCTAATATTTTCCCTTAAGACGAAACAAAATCGAAGGCCCCATAACCCAAATAACGTATAACGAAATTGAGATATTCGAAAACACTAGAGAGGGTACCTTAAACGAGTTGATTGCGAAAATTCTGTATATAGGCATGATATGTATTCTATTTATATAAATAAATAAATGGCTTATAATAATGTGTCTCGTTCATCGCTTGGGTGTTTGGGTGGAACGTACAGGGCAGCCTGGCTTTTATGTCACGGCCAGAATATAGGCCATACTGTTGGCCTCGGTTTAGCGGATCTATGCCGGAATAAATCGGTATTTATTGCTCGCGTGTGGGCTGCTGGGCCGACCCTTCCGAAAGCCGATCATCGGGCTGTTGAAGCATCGATTACGCCGTCGGCCCTGCCCGCCCTCCTTGTATAGGCTTTGCTCCGGCGCACCGCGAGCCCCCCTTTTGGCAACAACATTTCGCTGTACGAGTTTCGCTCTACACCTCTGCCTCGGTGACTACCGGCTGCGGTTTTTTGGAAAGCACCCAGTCACCCTGAACTTTTGGCTCGTCTGGATTTGTACAAAAATGTCTGGCTTCTTTTGCGCATGGAACTACATCAAGCTAGACATCTAAACAATGAGCGTATATTATATTTTGTTTTCGAAACTACCCTATTTACCTTACAGTCCGTACACACCAGGTTGACCCTGACTGCGGCTCCATAGGACCCGGCCTAGGGGGGTGATAAGCCGTAGTCCATTTCCGCCCGCCTGCTAGCCTGTCAATGCTCGAAGCCAAGCTATTACATTTTCTGACGATTGAATCCGAACACGTTATTTTGTCTGCGATCCCGTTTTCTAATACAAAATTTCACATTAATGGCCGGGCGCAGATTGCTCGCTTTTCATCCCAGCTTTTGATCATCGTTTTCAAAAAACGCTTGCATTCCGGGACGTTGAATCCGTGCTTTTTCTTCCATAGTGCACCGGGGCGGAAAGTTTGCCGCCAAAAAGAGGAGGGCCCCCGGATGCTACGTATTCAGATGGGGTGGCGACTAGGGGCGGCTGGGTGGTGGTGGAAACAAAAAAGGCCGACAAGACGGGCACGGCCTCGTCACTGCTGACACATCCCTGTTCTCAGCGCCGCCGATTTGCATACATATTCTCGCCCCTCCGGCCCGACAGCAACCAGTTCCCCCGATCGCCGTTTCATTTAGGCCATCCGGGCTATTGTATAGATCAGTGACCGTTAGTGGAGAGTGGCAATTGAGGTTTGTAAATTGTTTTGGAGAATTTGAGGGTGTGAAAACATGCCCCAACATCTTCAAGCAGTTTGGACGAAGTCACAGGAAATCGACTGAACCGTTTGACACCATTTTTCCCCCGGCACAACCTTCACCACTTCCTGACGAAGGAGCCTGAGTCGAAGGAGCGGCTTTTTGCTGTTTGCAGACTGGGCCAGAGAGCCTGTGTTTGTCCCACTCTCATCGCTTATCAACGGCATTCTCATGCCTCCCGCTTCACGTCCTGCCTGCCCCTCTACCCACCCGTCCACCACATTCACCATTTTTTGATATTGACGATTCAGCCGGGGAGTATTTGCCCGCGTTGAAGTCATTTTGGTTATCATGGAGCTTAGCTTATTCTACTGAACTGATTTTCTTGCGTTTTTTCGCAAATAACCTCTTCTAAATCCAAAAATCTTTAAAAATACGTCAAATTTTAGGATGCCCTCAAGCTACTACGAAAAAGGAGAATATTTTGTATCTGAGAAAGAGGTGGTGAATGGAACAGTGGTAAGTGAGCTCGAAGTTTCTAGTTTTAGCATAAATTTCAAGATCTAAACATTTAAAAATGATTAGAATTTTAATCTCGTTTTCCGCTTTTTGTTCAAAGTCATTTTTGCACGTTGCTAGTGACAAAACCTGGTTGTCGAGGGGTGCGCACGAGGTGGCTGAGAAAGCCTTCTGTCTCTGCCCCGTAATCCGATGCTCGGCAAACAACTTCTGACTCGGTCGCGTCAGCCACGAATCCAGAGGGGGGATTCCATGCCCGGAAAAAGGCTCCCATATTTCCTTTGCAAAAATGGGAACTGCTATTTGAAAATGCTTATAAAAACTTATAATAATAAGGATGTTAATTATTTTTCTAGGGTCTAGAACTTTAGAAACTTCGACATTTTTAGACGCGAGACTATGAAGATTCAGAAGAATGGTCTCGAGGCCGACGCCCTCCACATAATGCTATAACTGATTTTGCATACGATCGAGGTACGTAGAAATAGCAACAAGGTAAGATCAATACCTTTTGCAGGCGGCTCAACCCGTTCCACTTTGCCCCCGCCCAGCTACAGGAGCCCGGGATTAATGAGGCGCGGAGATACGGGAATTCGCGACAACGATCGGTTCGTTTTTCTATCACAACAGGTAACCCAATATCCACAGCTGGGTAGATAGCCGCCCGCGATCTCGAGACGTCTACCAAGAAGAAGATCCACGCGATCCGTGGTCCAGTAGATTTGCTGAAGTCGTCCCGCCACCAAGAGCTCGTTCGTATAGTCGGTCTTCTAATTATCCGGTAAGGAATTATCAGTGCAGATACCTATTTTTAAATTGGCTAAAATTTATAGAAATCACCCTGATTCTGCTTACTTTTCGATCTTAAATAGTATTTTTGGCACCTATTATAAAACTTCTATATTTTTTCGATCACCGGAAGCACTTTAGCGGAAATTGAAATTCAAATATTTAGGAACCTCGCCAATTTGAAGAACTTCGCCGCAGTCGTTCCACCGACAAATATAGAGAGCCGATGGATTAGTAAGTCCCAAAAATTTGCATGAATTTTGAGCATGAAATTGGAGTGACCACTCCGGTCCGGGCGGGCCTTTTCGTTGGTTGGTGGGCGGCATAAGTGGCTCTCGGGGGCTGCGACTCACGCGCTGCAGCCCGATGCACCGGGCTGCTCCTCCTTTTTTGCATGTTTGCGCGTGGAAACGATCCATTCTCTCGCGGCGAGGCTGAGGGTCGGAGCGCCTTATCTCGCGCTGCTCTCCCTCACTTTGCGCCTCGCCTGAAACATCGAAACGTTGCCTAATTGAATGTTCAGCCCGTCCTCCCGTGACTACTCGTTTACGCGTGATGCTCCGTATTATAGCGTACAGGTATTAGGCATTTTTGTAAAAAAATTAGGTTTATCTTTTAGTCAAAGGATCGTTTGAGCGATCATGGATCAAGACATGAACTCCGTCAAGTTAGTGTAAGTGATTTTTCTAGAAGGCCTTACAATTTTGTAATTTTTTAGAACGAAGTAGCTTCTCGTCCCGGCTCCCCTGGTCCTGTTGCTGGCGCCGGGGATATCGTAAATACAGCGCACGGCTTCACGATCTCTTTGGACGTCAAGCACTTCCAGCCCCAAGACATAAGGGTGAGTCAGAGATCAACGACAAAATAACGGAACCTAGGTGGTCCTCACCGGCGATACTCTGACCGTCAATGGTGAACGTACTGAAGACGCTGGTGGTGGCCAAACTTTACGCCGGAGTTTCCAGGCAAAAATAGAGATAAAGGCCCAATAATAATTTTAGAGAAAATACTCAATGCCTTCTGACATCCGCCTAGATTCCGTCGTTTCCCATTTGACTGATAATGGTTATTTGGTGATTACGGTAGGCGAAGTGCAAAGTTAAGTCAAAAAATTATATTCAGGGAAGTCGCAAAGGCTGGAAAGAAACCCAAATTACAATGCACACCGCTGGACGACCACCACGCGGCTCGTCTGTCATCAGCAATGTCTAAAATATTCCATTAATTCTCTTCTCTCCCGCAATGCCAAAAATCTTTCAGCTTCAAAGCAGCTAACTCATCTACTTATTGTTTTTCCTCTAGCTTTTCCCCACTTTCTCAGGGCTATGAAATATTGAATCAATTGCTTTAAATTCTCAACCACCTGGTCCCCACCGATCGCTTTAAAGTGTCCTTGCAAAGGTTTAATAAAAAATGTTCCATTAAGATGTGTCCTAGCATTGCACTAATTTCGTGGAATGCCACGAAAACAGAAAAACGGCTAAAAACAGACGTTTGGTGCATGGAGTGTGGTAGAACTGAATGTAAACAGAAATGCGAGACAAATATGCGCTGAGTTCTCTCTCTCTCTCTCTCCTTCGCTGCCTCCATCCCTTACTTTTACCCGCGCCACAGACTTCGCACTTCCCCTACCTAAACCGAAACTTCGTCACCTAACTAGCCGCCTTAAAAATTGTATTTTTACATAGTTTTAGATTTAGCTTCAAGTATTGGTTCTTTAGCATTAACGGAGGACACTTTTTAGCATCTGGTTTTTGTAATGAGAAGTGCTTCGAAATTGTATTTTTACTATTCTTAAGCGTTAAAACTATACAAATTTTACTAAAAACAAAAAACATCGATTTTTTCCCACTAATATGGCTTTTTCATTATCCTCCCCCCGCCCCCCGATAATGCTACAATACCTAGTTTTTCAGTCGTTTTTACGCCGGAAGCACACTTGAATTTTACAATAGCATTAAAACTTTATTAAGACACGTACGATGCGTTTAATAGGAATTTCTAGACTTCTGCAAAAAATTTGACCCCCGATAACGCAAAAGCACCCAGTTGTCTTCCTTTAAAATGTGTCATGCTTGCCCTTCCCCCATTCAAAACCAATCGACCCCCTTTTCAACGGGCGAAAATCCGATAAAAAAACATGCAAACTTCCCCCATTCTGCTTTTTGGGGGCCCTGTCCGAGCCGATATATTTTCCGGGAAGCGCTCATCGATCCCCCAACGTCCATCCATACACGATTATTTGATGGCGGCTGTCCAAACAATTCTAGTCACCATTTCAAAATAATTTTTCCGCGCACGGTTGACGCCGGCCCACTCATCCGAGCCCCTTATTTTACGTTTATTTCAGTGATGTTGCTCAAAGTGTTGACGTTATTGTTATGGCTAGCTTGTCAATATGGTGTCTATGCGGATAGTACGGTTGATGTAAGTTTTTAATCGTAATTGCGCGAAAATTTCGCAAACCAAGCGTGAGGTTACGGTAGAAACGATCAATTAAATTGGCCTTTCTCGGTACCATCTAAATGTCATTAATTTTTGTGATTTTAGAATCTAATCAGCCTCTTCCAAAGCGAAGCAACCCCCGAAGAAATCCAACGATGCGCCTTTACGACATCCGACACATTAGATTGCCAAAGTTGCATTGATAAAGGAGATGTAAGTCCACAAAATTCACCGTAAAAATATAAATTCAATTTTAGAAATGTTTCTACTGTGGTGGAGATACGAATCAATGCTTCCCGTATTCCGCCTCATTCCCACATTGTCCACTCGATCATGTAAAGCATAAAAATTGCTGGGGTAGGAATTTGCATAAACTAAAAGTACGATTTTTTTCAGTAAACTGGACAGCAATAGTTGTAATTGCTTGCATACTTGCTGGGATTGTCCTAGTGGCTATCATTACGGTTGTTTGTTGTTGTTGCTGTAAGTAGGACCCTTCCGGAAATACCTTGTTTTTAGGCAAGATTCGGAACTGGAATAGCAACCGGAATAAGGCGTTTTGGAATAAGAAAGAAGAGGTATAAAATTATAGCGTTCTAAATTTCCCTTTAGAAGCAACAAATGAAAATGCAAGATCTCGAAGCGAGACAAGCCGAGCGAAGGTCTCAACGAGCCAATGAGATGGATTATTATCGAGAAAAATACGGTATATATTTCAAAAATACTGTATACATTTGTTGCAGGAATTAAAGCCAAATCCTAAGCACTTCGATTTCAACGGATATGTGCACGGGTATGAACAAATTTCGATTGTTTATCGTTGTGTTTTTCTCTGCTCTTTTTGCTTTTCCCGACTCAACATTTCCGTCACCATTTATTCATTTACATCCCGATTTCGCGATAAATAGCTTGGATGGAATGATCGCTTTTTGAAAGAAACACAGTTGGGTATGCACGTTAATTTGATTAAGGCAGCATTGGGGTAAGTGAACGGCTAGGCGTTAAAGCTGACTTAAGCGGTAAGTCAGGGGTGAAAGGCGAGTCAATGGTTCAAAGCTTTTTTGTGAGAGTATAATGGGAAATATATTTAATTAATAGCTTCGTTCGTCGCCTAGGCATCGTTGTCCTTGGTGCCGTGCTTGAGCATGCGGGTGAACTCGATGTAGTTGAAGTTACCGCCCTTGATCGGAGCATCGCGGAAGAGGTCATCAACCTTTAGAATAAAATATGATTTTAATTGTTTTTTTGCTACCTGTTCGTGGGTATAACGGTCTCCCATAGTAGTCAAAAGCTCACGAAGCCGGTCTTCGTTGATCTGTCCCGAGTTGTCGTCATCAAAGCATTGGAATGCATTTCTGATGACCTAAAAATATTCTTATTAAATTGAGTTGGCTTTCTTACCTCTTCAGGATCAGTTCCGGTCAACTTCTCACCGAAAAGCGTCAAGAACATGGTGAAGTTGATGGCTCCCGGTGCCTGGCTGATCATGTCATCAAGGAACTTGTCGTCGACTTCCTTGCCTGAAAGAGATTTATGTACTTTTGTTTTTAATATTTTTTTTTTCTGTTTATTTGGCTGCTGGTTTTCGATGATTACCGAGAGACCCGAACATCTCGCGGAGGTCCTCCTGATCGATGAAGCCGTCTCGGTTCTGGTCGATCATGTTGAAGGCCTCCTTGAACTCTTGGATTTGAGCCTGATCGAACATGGCGAACACATTGCTGGTAGCGCGCTGGGGACGGGTCCGGCGGCTGACGGTCTTGCGGGAAGCCATTATGCGCTGAAAATTGAGCACTAATGGAATATTTAAGGTTTAGGAATAATTAATTCAGGAAGGTAGAGGTCACGTTAGAAAAATATCAATACTTGAAGAGGCATACTTCCCAGAGGTAAGGGACCCCCCAAAAAGGCACATACTGGCGACATTACCCCCCCTGCTACCATCCCATCACATAAAAGTAACAACCACTTTGTCTCAAGCCTCTGCTGCTAGGAGGAGCCTGACATCATAGTCATCAATCGATCTGGACCTTCCGGAAAGTTTCGATCCTAGAGCGGGCGCTGAGAAACAGCAATGTGTCACCAACAACAAAGACAGCGCCCGCAAGGGGGTGGTGAATTCAAAAACATTCAACCGGAATTTAAATCGAGAGAGAGAGTGAGTGAGAGAGAGACAGAGAGAGAGAGAGAGAGAGAGTGAGAGAGTGAGAAAGAGAACCTGCCGAAATATTGTTGATTTACGCAGTAAATGCACATTTGCTGGGAACCAGAATTTACAACCTTATTCTCCCTCCCATACGAAATGAACACGATTTTATGCAAATTAAAGAAAATGCGATGCTCTGGATACAGTTACTAATCGAGTGGTTGCGCTTACTATTTTTGAAAATGAAAGGGTGATTTGAAAAACAGGTCCTTGCAAGTGTGGCTATTAGGAAGGGTTGGGAGCGTATCTAGAATATCCTCTGCCCTCATGATATGCAAATGAGTGGGATCAATAATGATCGGTTCCCGCCTAGGGCTGCCGATTAGGAATAGGAAGGGTGGGGTTCGATGTTGGCTGTTCCGATCGCAATCGTCCCCCGCGAAGATGGGCGCTCGTGTCAGCCTGACTCACAGCACGACGGGTCTTTTCTTGCAAGAGCACAGATACTGCGTGTTCATAGTATGCCCCCGTCCTCATCCTACCTTGGCGGGAGATCTAAGGTATTCGGTAAATGGTGGGAAACCCAACCAACCAGTTGGGTGTCATTTAGGCTGTGTTTGTAATTTTTCATCAAGTTTATTCACACCATATTATTAGCAGGGCTACCAATATACCCATATATCCAAAAAATTAGCATTAAATTTAGCCTAGGCCCTACACATATACCCGGAAAGACAATGGAAGAGGGGGATCCTGACAAAATTGGATAACATCGAATTTACATCAACATCGGGGCCGGGAAATCAAAGCTGGAGACCGGAAGTGGACCAATATGTTGCCCGGGAATGTCCACGAAATAGTATTCACATAGGAAGTAGATGTCACGGATTTCTTTCGGGGCTTGGTCATCTGAATTTTGACATATTTTTTAGTTGTTGGAGCATGACTTACAAGCTCGCTTCCTTGATGAAGGACTCATGGCTAACCAATTATCAATCGCATCCGGATGGCTGCGGATTTTGTCTGCATGCCGGCTTTGCATAATTGCCTAGAAGATGAGTTCAAACTAGGGATTCAAATTACCTTCAGCAGATAATTGGTTCTATTACTGGCTAAGATATCCTCCTCTGACCCCTCGAAAAGTGTGCACATCATATCATCCTGAAAAAAAGCATAAAAGTCAAAATTAAAAAAAAGCAAGTTACTCTCAATCGGCGATAGATCCTGACTGGCCCCTTAAATTCACGCAAATTTGATTCAACATCCAAATTCAAGTGTTCCTTGATGGCGCACTCGACAACAGGGGCTGAATTAACTTTATAAAATGATATTTATAATCAATACCTAGTATGCCCGGCATTCTAATAGCAGCCAAATGAAGCACATTATCGAAAGTAGCATCAAGGATTAGGGCGCGGACCTTAAAAAATATTTAGAAAAACCTGTGACACCTACTTTTTTATAGTTAGCGGCCAGCCAACTAGCGGCAAATCCACCAATGGACCAGGAATAGATTACAATGTCCTCTAAACAGTTTCTATGTCAAAAAATCTAAAAACCCACCTTCTTTCCATCCTAGAGGGCCAGTAGCATATTGCATGACTGCATCAGCTGCGGCCAAGACATTTTTAGGCATTGGGGATCCGGTGGAATGGATGAAGCCAGGATAATTCCAACCGATGACCTGTATCCATATTTAAAAATTATTTTACCAACTTACTGAATGTCCCTTTTCCATCGGAACCGTCATCATGCCAAATTCATAGAAAGTCCCGTTCCCCTCACAACAAATGACGAGCTTTTGCCCGTAGTGTTGTCCGGACTGGATTATATTATGGGTATTACAACTTAATGCTACTACCTTTCTTGCATCCAAATAGATTGTATCAATAAGATCTCCAGCTGCTGTCTTTAAAACAGAGCGTTTTCCATTCTAAATTTGCATGAGCGGCTTGGAAAATCGGCATACCCTCTCGGTGATCAATTTAGAGCGACTCTCCAGAATCTGGTCTTGGGCGAATGCAAATAGAAGTTGGAACTGGAATTGAAGGCATTAGAATAAAGTTTAATTAGCATACCGATCCTGGGAACATTGCCCCAAGCCCAAAAGATTTGACGGCAAGCCATGAAATAAGCTAAAAATTTGCATTGAATTTGCCGTTGGATAGCATACCTTCACAAGCGGATTAGCCGGGTGTGGTGGTGCTGCATAATACCACAGTTGTTTTTCGGCAGCCTGGAAGTCGTAGAGGTTGGCCGCGCCCATATCATAGTCATAAGACTTTAGTTCTGCCAAAGATTGACTGTCCCCGGTTTGGGCTTTCTCAAAAATCACGGCGAATTTCTTGTATTGCTCGTCAATCTTTCGGCCAAAAAATCTGAATAATTATGTAAATTCCCGATTTAATCTTGACCCACCTAGCCGCGAATCCAACCACAGCTCCAACTACCGTCCAATAGATCCAGAATTGGAAATTCTGCACTGTAATCGACCCACGCCACAATTGAACACTAAGGGCCAGCGGCCAAACTAATTTGCATATTGGAATTTTGATTTAAAAGCTTACTCCCAATGACGGTCCTCCAAAATCCTTTGCCGATTGCTAATAGATTGTTGCCGATCATCTCGATTTTTGTCTCTTCGCGGCGTTCGCCATATTTAGTGTAAAGGCGAGGGCCAAAGAAAGCTGTCCAGAGTTTCATCTGGAATTTTAGGGTTGTATGAAGTTTTTAGTAGCGATTATAGATTTCAGGATGCTTATCGACGATAACGGGTTATGGAGGACTAGTTAGCCTTGGCAAAGGGCCGGCAGAGGGGCTGCGTGGATAGGTGGGTCTCGTAGTCCGCCTCGATACCCGGGGGTTACGATTTTAGCAAGTTATTAAAATCGCTAAAAATCACTTCAACTAATGTCCTTATTAAGGGCTATATCAATCCATAAGTCTCAACTTTTCCTACTGTTCTATTGGGTGCAGAAAATCCGGTTCATTAAACTTTCACCTTGACTTCCCAGTCCCTTTAAAAACATTTTATTTAACTTCATGTCATTTAAGACCTGTATCGGATCGTCAACAAGCATCTGTATAGTCTCCGCCTCTTTCTTCTGCATATAAACTGTTGCTCAACTACCGTATACCGAACTTCAATTTGTCTGTAAAATCCAAGCTTTATCAATGAGCATCTTAATTTCGCTTCAAGCACAAAATCGATAACCACGAGGAAAGAATCGATCTACCAGGAATGGGTCGAAACGAAAGCAGACGGGCAACCAATTGGATTGGCTTTTTAAAGAATTAAAACCGAGAACGGGAATATATTTCACCTTATACATAAGCTGATCTTCCCTAATGTTTTAAAGTAAGTAATAGAAAACAGAAAACTGGAGAAATAGGATAATTAAAGGGGTTTCAAGATTTATAACGAGCAAATCGAACCGTATATATCAATTATATGTACAGAAACTTGGTAATTAAAGTGGGCAGTGTTCGGGTGGGGGGAGAGCTACAGAAATGCAATATAGATCTGTAACGGGGGTGGAATGTGAGAGCTTCTGGCTGTTCGGGTTGGGAGATTAGACAGCACGGCTTCAATTAGCTGCGACAGCTGTAGCGTGAACCACCTGCGATTTCAGCTTTCCATCTTCGTACGTCTAAAAACGGGTAATTATGGATGCATATTAGAGATTTGTGTTTTCCTACCTCCACCATCTCTTTGCCGTTGTCTTCTGTTCGTTTTGTGACGATTTTCTTACCGTCGATCACCTAATGCAAAGTATTTAAGTCTATTAAGGTTAGATACCTTTGTAGTGGTGGTCGTTTTTGTGGTCGAGACGGCTTTACCCGGTTCTGTGGCTGAGGAGAAGCGAATAACAGTCGAAAATTCACTAAAAAAGGGTTATGAAAAGCTTTAATTGTTCTACCAGTAATTCTCATCCTTCCTCCTCCTCGAATCATCAAAAAAGATGTGTACCCGGCTGTGTGGCCCTCCCCGTCGTTGCTCTATACAAAATAATGAAAACTGTTGAATTTTTACTTGAAAACAAGAAGCTATCTGAAGGGAAGGCGAACCCGTCGTCAAAAAAGATGTCCTAAAATGTATGTAAATTTTCGCTGGGTTTTATAGGACCTGGAAAGGATCCCGAGTTCCGAAAAAATCCCGGAAAACGTCGAAAGGTGACCGGAAAACTTCTTCTCGGAATGGCCGGCGTGTTCGGCCGGCTTCACGGTCTAGTGCGGACTTCTTCTTACCTGAAATTTGATGGTTTAAAAGAGCTTGGCTGCCGCTCTGTATCTCTGTCTCTCTCTCTCTCTCTCTCTCTCTCTCCCTTACAACCCACCATCTGACAAGATTTCATAAGCCTGCGCAATCTTTTTGAACTTCTTCTCAGCCACCTCCTTGTCAGCGGCCTCTTGATGCTTGTCGGGATGCCATTTCAAGGCCAGCTTTCGGTAACTGGAAATGTATACATGTCAGCTGAAGCCGCATCCATATTTGGCGTTCGGCCACCCTCACGTGGTGTTTGCTAGGGAGGGGGGCTGCACTTCGGCGACTGAATAACCCCTAGGGAGAAGCCGTCCACCCGGCCGGAAGCATCAGAAATCCGGCTATTTTATGTGACAAAGTGGCCAAAGGACATTAATATTAGGGGTGAAGTGTTCCGAGGATGGTTGGCAGCCAAAAATCAGGAGTTTAGGCGGAAACTTACGCCTTTTTGATGGCTTCTGGCTCGGAGTCCTTTGGAATACCCAGTATCGTGTAGGGGGATTCATCAAGTTTGGTCATATTGCCCTGAAAAATCAGAGGTAAAGTATGAAAAACCTAGCATTTTTGTGAAAACAAGAGAGAGAGAGAGAGAGAGAGAGAGAGAGAGAGAGAGAGAGGAGAGAGAGAGAGAGCGAAAGAGGGAGCAAGTGAAAGCTAGAAAACGAGCTAGACTTTTCGGGCGCCGCGTGTATGTATAGTTGTTGTTTTCTCCGAAATCGGGCATAGGACCCCGGGGGCTAAAATGTGGGTGTTGACTAGTATTTGTAGGGAGGGATGGAAAGCAAAGAATTTGATTGAAATGCCAGATGGTTGCGAAAAACATGCATTCGTCTTCTATGTAAGTTATACTACCGTAAGACTCATGAAAAACTAGTAGTCTGGAATTCCTATTAAACTACAGTAATCCAAGATGCCGTTCAAAAGTTGAGGTGTGACATCTGAAATTTGAGAATATTCGTAAAGCCATTCTAATGTCCCGTTCGCCCCCCGCCCACTTCCCCACTTCGCTATACTACTTTTTGGGGGTTGCAGAGCAGGGCATGGAGCCGCTGCTAGGCCCAATGATGGCCGAAAAAGGAACGCGATACCCGGTGGTCAGCTGGGCCGAGAAGAAAAGCCACGAAAAGAGCAGTTAAAGGGAAAGGCAACGAACGCCGGTCACTCTCTAGGGCCCAGAAAAGGGCCCAGGCCCCTAGGCCCCCAGCACAAGCACTCGTACAGCCATCATGCGCCCATCTTCTTCCACTTTATGTTGGTCCCCCAGGGGCCCGTATACCACCACCACGTGAACACTATCGTTGCCCCGAATCTTCTTTGCGTTTTTTTGAGGAAGATGGGCCCGCTATTACTTCCTAGCTAGGGATGGAGGGGGAAAACACGGCATTACAGAGGGTGCACGTTGAGGCGTAAATCTTGATTGTGGCTAGGGTATAGTTGAAGGATGGGGCGAAGCGAATAGGCAGAAAAATAAGGATATTTTAATTAAGTAGACATATTAACAGCCCATTAATTTTAAGAAAATTGAAAGCTATAATTTTAAGGAAAATGGCGTGCGATCAACCTCAATCCACGATTTTTGGGCTTTGCAATCTAATTAGCATACATCCGGTGTTCCAGCTACTGGCGACAAAAAAGAGAAAATAATAGAAAAAAGTAGATATTGCAATAAGTTTGAGTAAACATTGAAGAACTCATGAAGAGTTAAGGTATTCGTCAAAAAAAAAGTCATGTAAAAAATATCTTAGTTGTTGGAAAACTACATTATCAGTCGATATTTGTAGTCTTAAGAAAAATAACGTCGTTAAGAAACCTGTCCCTTGCGAAATATTGCGAAAAACCGACGTTTCCGGTAGCCACAAAATCCAAAAAACCGGATCCCCAAGAAAATCGTCGTAGCCACCGGGGTCTAACAATGAGCCCGTAAATTTTAGTCACCATCTGGTACACCGGAATGACTCAGTGGAGATGCGTGAGATGCGTGTGTGTCGGGCGGAAGCGGTGGCCGAAGAAAAAGGCCGAAAAAGGCAGTGAGGGCCCACGCGGAAGCGCGCGAACGCCTCTCGAGGCGCCGCCGAAACCTGGAGACCCCCCTCCCCCGCCCCAAAACGAACAGACACACACCGACGGACGGCCCGCCTAATTCGTCAAGGACGTCATTAGGAACGGAGTGGAGCGATCCGGATGAACTAACCGGTTATGGGGCAGGAAATGGTAGATGGGTTTTGGAGAGGGTTGAGTTGGGAGTGGGACTTGAAATGCTTCCTGACGTTAAAAATGGTGTAGAAACTTTGGTATTAATTAAAAAGATTGCTTAGTGTATCAAAAAGTTTAATTATCAAGAAATAGATAAAGATAAACGGTAACTTTACCAATTAAGGGTACTGTGAAGTATCTACGAATTTGATAAAATCAAGGCAAAGCCTAGTTTTTAAGTGCTATAAAAATTCTAATTTGCATATGAAATCACCATCAGTGGCGTTAAGGAGCTAAAATTCTAAGAAGAAACTTTTCTTCAATATCAAAGTGAACAAGAGAAGCAGAAAATTATGAAGAAGCCAAACCTGAATTTTCATAAAATCAAGGAAAACCTGGCCCCTAGTTTCCACATAGCCTCAAAACCAGCCTCAAAACCAAAGAACGTCCAACCTTCCTAACTTCCAAATTTCCACGGCACCCCTAGCGGCGGGCCTTTTCACAAACAATGCGGGCCACCCTAATCGGTCGCTAGACGTTTCGGCGCGTCAACCCGTTCGAGAGGGCCGGCCAGGGCACAGATTCCGGGCAGAGGATGATGGGCGGAAGAAAAGAGGCAATTTCCCATAAGCGTGTTGAGCCGATGGGCAAATGGGGGGGAAGGAGACGAGTTCCGTGCGGATGGCACACACACACACTCTCACACTGTGGAAAAGGCCAGTAGCAGGGCAATGAGTTCAAGGGATGGCTGGGTCTGGGAACGGATAGCAGGGGCAACGGCACTTGGTTGAGATATGGGACGGATTACAGCAGCTTCTAATTTCTCCATGCGCCTGTGCTGTCGGTTCGGTTTTGCAATTGAGCACCACAACCATGGTGAGGATATGCTTAGGCTTAGGCTTAGGCTTAGGCTTAGGCTTAAGTTTAGAGCCTTTTAAAGTGACATGCAGGAATCCAAAGGTCTCGGACCAACACTTTCCTAAACTCAAACCTGCCAGACTTGAGATTTCCAAAGTGGCCGGATGCAAAGTGGCCCCCACCCCCAGGCATCTGCCGATACATCCAATATCCAGCTGGCGCCAGGGTGCCGAATGACCGGGTTTTAAACTATTTTCCAACCCCAAAAAGACCGCCCGCCCATGATCTATCAACCGGCAGATGGGCCCTCAATCTCAAAAAAGTAGATGTGGAAATGGGCCATATGGTTAGGGGGCGCCTAACTTTTGAATTAGGCCACGGGTCAGCTGAGACTTTGTGGTTTAAGACTTTTTGGGGATAGTAAGTTGTAAAGGAAGAGGAAGGCGTAAATGTGTGAAAATGGTAATCAATGAGGTGGGGGGAGGACGAGGCTTCCGCGCCGAGGGTGTGGCACTGTGTGAGGACGACCTTGGGGCCACAGCAGCTCTATCCAATGCATTACCGCACTCACTCTCCCAACAGCTCTGACCGTTGGGAGGAAGGTCAATTGTTTTTTAGGATTAGCCGGGGGATTGGAGGTAATTAGGTGTAATGTGAACTTTTGTAAGAATAATAAAAATCGTGTAAAAATTTAGTTATACTTTTTGCACGTTTAAAAACAAATCCATCCCAGCCCAATTGACAAGCAAGTTCCCGATTTGCCGTTCGGCTGTTCCCCTCCGAGCAGCCCTCTAGGCAAGAGGATAAATGGCCGAGTCGGTGCGGACATTGTAATGACTAGCGGGTCCATAATTCACCCCCTAATGACCGCTAGGGAAAAGAAGGTGCTGCAAGAAATCCTGCAAGCGCTAGATTGTTCTTTAAAACCGGATAGGTGTTGAAGCTTAGACTTTGGATCAGGCTTAGGATTTGGATTAGGATTGTGCTTAGGCTTAGGCTCAGGCTTAGACATAGGCTTAAGCTCCGGATTAGACATAGGCTTAGGTTCGGCTTTGGTTATCCGTAGGCTTAGGCTTAGGCAAAGCCTCACGCAAATATTCTGACGAAACCGTAACCCCGACAGTGACGCTGACCAGCAGTGGCCAATTTTTGGGGGGGGTAGTTGAAGACTGACGGAATGGGAGGATGGTCGTGTTTCGCGTCAAAATAAACAAGAAACTTGAAGGGGGTGCGTGTGCATGCGGGCCTTCCGAATATGGCGGAACCTGGGGCCCATTGTATTTCTCGAATGGGAAGGGGTGGCTGGTGGGTGGGCTGGTTGAAGATGTGGCCATCGGGTGGTGGAACGTTCGACGCGGGTTGAAAAAACAGCCGTGAGCGATTTGTGTATCTATGCGCACTTGGGGGGGGGGGGTGGAGATGTCGGTCAAGGGTAGTGGGGGGACTAGGAAAATTGGGAAATTGGTAGTGAAATTGGGGGAGTATAAATTTGTGAAACGTTCGTTTAAAGGTACAATGAAGACAGAAAAATTATGAAAAACGAGGAAATTCAAATGGGGACTAGAAGAATAGACGAAAGGTGCGGAATGCATTTAAAAGGACTAAAGTTTAGGCAACACCCTACAAAACCTGAAACAATGCAAAATTCAGACTTCCGAATCTTTTTAAGCCCTTTTATACCCCAATAATTTCGTAAAACACTCAGAAAACTAAATAATCAACTCCTTAAAACAATTCAAACTTCTCAAATTCCTCTGGCATGCCAAACATTACGATCACAATTAGCCCCCAACGAACACAGCACCCCCTCCTTAAAAAAAGAAAACATTTGCCGCGCTGGCTATATTTGTGGCGCTGCTCCTTTTTTGCCCCGCCACCAACCCCTCATTCGTATAGCTGTTTCCAAAAGGGGGCTCTACACAGCAGCCGAAAGAGAAACAAGGCACCATCCGGGCGCAAAAAGGAGATGCAAATCGCTATTTGCAACCCTTCCCCCCTTCTTTCCTTCAACACCCACCTCACCTACCCGGAGACAAGCAATTGGCTCTTGTTTTGAGCAGATTTTAGAGAGCCGGCTGTCGGCGAGATTTCGATAAAATCTGAGGATGCGAAAAAAATTTTGTAGAGAGGGAATTATCGTATTTTAAGGAAGAAAAAGAATTTAGTAGCGTAAAAACCGAGAATTTTTTATGCCAAAATCAGCGCTTAATAAAAAACCACGCATAAAAACTAACCTCAAAATGTTGTCAAGCCGTAATTTGAATATGGAAAAATTGGTATGCAAAATCGTTTTGGTTTTTAAACCTTTTATCACACCGGAATTACAAAATTAATGTCAGCCAAATTTTGGCATAGTGAAATATCGACAATCCGGCATATGCAAATTTTCGTAAAATCTTAAAATGCCGAAAAGCTGTATAGTTTCCGGGCGTGCGACAAGCTGTCCCCCGCTCTGACTCAAGCCCTTGATTCAACGTCTCCGAGCAGGAACTATTGGCTGCTTGGCCCCGGCGCGCCACGATAAAACACCCTTTGCAAATACGGAAAAATGGGGTTCAACGTAGCATCAAAAAGGGAAAAGCGGCGTGGTTGTTGCAAATGGGCAGCGAATGATATGGATAAGGGCATGAGGGGTAGGAATGGATTTGAAGCTTGATATCGAGAATTCAAGGGAGGGGTCGGGAAATCTCGGGGGCATGTTTCCGGGGGAAGGTGCGGAATTAATGGTTTTCCCGTGAGGGGCGGGGGCAACGCGTGAAAGATTGGTTTCTAAGAGTTGTGAAAAACGAGGCTTGCAACAAAGTCGTGTGCCTCGGAAAGTACAGTAATCGATTAAAACTACCTCAACCTAAAACCGGAAGCTTGAAAACCTACGACAAACCAGTTATTCCTAAATGACACCCTCCAACTTGACCCCCCCGCAGCCTTGTTATAACCCAGAAACACACAAAAACACAGAGCGGAGACGTGTGAATAGATGGTGCCTCGCGCGTCTCGAGCCATTCGCTTAGAGTCAAGAAGTGTATCGAGTGGTTTTGAGTATAGGGTATGCCTCCCGAAATGCGGGTGGTTGTGGTTGTGGCCGGCCGGCCGGCGGGCTTGCAACTAGTTTTCCCGGGCTCTCCCGCAAGCGCCGCCGCCAGTGCGTGAAAGTGAGCATGCTATAATGCGGAAAGCTGCGCCCGGTGCTTTGATGTGATAATTAAATATGTGGTGGTATTGCATAGGCTCGAATACCAAAATATCGACAATCAAAATGCCCAGTAACAAAATCCCGAAAAATCCCGAAATCTATCCCGAAGTTAGTAGTAATGCCATGGAAAAAAATATCGAAATTCCGAATTATTGAAATGTAACAAAAGGCGCCAAGTATTTACTTGAGCAAGACATTTAAAAATCAGCGTAATAGCTTGTGCAGCCTAATTTGAATATCGACATTTGAATTCAGGGTTATCGTATTTTGTACTACAAAAACCCCAGATTTTTAGACTGATATCAGATTTCTGGGGATTTTTTACTAGAGTCGCCCCGGCCCCATGACCCACCTCCACATAATGGCGCGTATAAAAGTAGTGAAAAGAAAAGTTTGTGGACGGGGGGCAAAAGCAGGGACAAATATTTGAATATTTGAGCGCCCTCCCGAGACATATTTGCCCCCAGCCTAGCCGCGCTTTTTAACAACTTGAGCCGCTGGGAAACTGGCTGCTGCCAGCGCGCAATGAGCCCCCTTTTTTCTCCACTTCCCCTGGAAATGCTGTGCAGAGACAATGGCACCACAGGGCTGATCACTTCACTTGAGGGCTGTCAAGAAAGTTGTCGCGAAAAATACCGGGTTGTGGGGGAATCTGGCGTCTATTCCGTTTTTCGCATGCTATTATCAAAATTGCGCCACGTCGCCCAAAAAAACATGGAAATGCGAAACAGTTTGGGTTGAATTAAACAGAAGGCCAAAACATGCTGTCTACCCGCATCCCGGGCGCCTGTTTTGCCGCGGTCAAAATGGGCAAACCGGCGGGACTGAAAAAAAGTAAAAGTCGAGTCAAGGGCGAGAAGGCTGGAAGTTAAGCCACTTCTAGGGTAGGCGAAGAAAAGTGAGAAGGTGGGGGGGGGGGGGGGCAAAGGTGTCCTTGCTCCAATATTCGAGGAACCGATCCCGCTCACACACACAAAGGAGCACCTCCATACACAGGGCGACAGCCACCCATTTCTCACCCAACACTAGCCACAGTCGCCAATTGTAGGGCAAAGCCTGGGTAATATCCGCTTTTTAGGGTCAGTTAATGGATTTGGGAGGTAATGGAGGTGGAGCGGGAACTTTAGAAGCGGGACTAGAGTGCTATGGCTGCCTAGGCTAGGCTTAGGCTTAAGCTTAGGCTTAGGCTTAGGTTTAGACTTAGGCTTAGGATTAGGCTTAGACTCGGCCCACGCTTGCAAAAACACACCTAACAAAAACCCCAACCGCTTTCTTAAAAAATTCTCAATTCTGTTATGCGCAGGGAGAGTGATGAGATGATGATGATGGCGGTGAAAAGTGATGGCAGAGAGACTAGCATGATTTTGACGATAGGCTGATGCTCACAGGGGACGGACCGAGCTGCGGCTGGACAGAAAAAAGGGCGAATGGCGACTCGAAATGGACGGGGGGAGACGACGGATGGTCGACAACGATGGGGGGCGAACGGTTCGAGAGAAGCGCAGGGGTAGGAGGGGACCTGTTCCACCACGGCAGACACTCGGCCTGCCACAGTCAAAATGTTGATACTCTCACGCCACACAGAGCATTTATAAATGGTGGGTATGTAATAGGTTTTTTTCCGAATCAGAAAAACGCGTTAAAAAATTACTTTAAAAAATTGTCTCAAGGATAAAGGTAGAGCAGCATTCCTTAAAAAATTAACATGATTCTTGGTAATCTTCATTATTCAACAATCGAAGCTTTTAATATTAGTCGACGTTGTTTGGAATTCGGTAAAATTCGTAAGAATACTCTAAAACTAAAAAAATTATATATCGTCATTAACATAACTACAAGATTCTAATTATTGAATTAAAAATTAAAACTATTCATAAATATGAATTACATACCATAGCGAGCAGATTTTTACTATTTCTTCGTTCAAATTGCTATTTTCGTCCTTTAGACCACCAACCCCAGCTATAAATTTCAATGATCATATAAAATTATCATAACAGGCATAAATTATTTAGTTCATGCTCCAAAACTGATAGATTTCCACTGAAAAACTAGACTTGAACCCCAGTAATTTTTTACAACTTTTTCTAGTGGCTCAAGCCTCGAGAAATCGGCTCAAATTACAGGTCGCCTGGGGCAGCGGGAAGTATTACTTACCGCCGGGAAAAAAAGGTTTTTGAGGTGTCTAGTCAAAACAAAGGTTGCTAGAAAACGCATCAATGAAAAAGGCTAGAGTTATTGAAATGGTAACTGCTGTGTTCATGTTTTTGAAATTTTTAGCTTGATGTCGAGAGCCGGCGAGCACGTTAAAAAGCTTGATCTCCCTCAAATGAGCTCGTGCTCAACTAGTACTACCAGACAAAAGTAGACAATAAAAAAGCAGGAACCCATCCCTGCACCTCCCGTCAACGTGCTGCTGATTGAGCGTTAGCGTATGGGGGGTCTGGGTCTATGGCGGTTACAACGGCACGGCCATGGGCAGGTGCCACTCTACCACCTCACCGGCTTTAGAGGGAAAGACGCAAAAAGGCCCAGCTGGCAATTTGGAGGCCCAGGCCATTCATCCTGAAAAGACTCTTCCAAAGTCTCCAGGTGGCTTCGTTGCGGGCTGTTGTTGAAAAGTGGTTTTGGAAGTGGCGGCGTGAGTGGGACCAGATGGTTTGTAAAAGCGGAAACGGCGCAGGGCATGGGTGCATGTGCGGGAAATTCGAAGGTAGTTGCAAACTTCTTAGGTTTATATACAACTCGCACACAATAAAAATCATAATTTGCTTGTAATGGGCTTTGTAGGCGGCTTTGGTGCTGGCTTTGGTGGACGTCTGGAAGAAGCTTTTTCGTAGGGGTGAAGAGGGTCGGCGGGTGGGGAGCCATTACGTGACTAAAAGTAGCTCAGATTGTGATTTCTTGCGTAAGCTTAGGCCTAGGCTTGGGCTTACGCTTGGGCTTCGGCAAAGGCTTCGGCTTAGTCTTAAGCTTAAGCTGAGGCTTCATCTCTCGCTTAGGCTTAGGCCTAGGCTTGGATATACACTTACTTCTCCAGAATTCCGACGATCATCTGTAGCCTCGAGCTTTGCAGGAGATTGCATATGAGGCCCGGCGAGAACCACTTCCAGCGAGTGACTACCGTAATCCGCCGAATCACCATTTATCACATTGTAGATTGGCTTCAAGAATGCTTTCCGGAAATACAATGCCAAAATACCGTCAGATCAGGTTCCTGGGCCGCGGCGATAATTTTACGCACAGATTCCCCATCTCCAAGCAAATGCTTTTCAAATATAATACCGTCCCCATTCCATCCAACATGCGCCACATGACTGAAAGATTTCGAAAAAATTCCCGCTAATACTTACGCAAAATTCCTTGGCAAGCTTATTTGAGATATGCTATCAGCTTTTCGCACTGTCTTACTGTCGATTCTCCTTGGCAGTACTGGGTCTGTTGAGGTGAACCCTTTAGTTCCTGCTAAAATGAGGCATCGTATTTATTGATTAAATTCGGTTATACCTAAGGGGATCAAAACAGGTGTCGAGCCAAATCTAACAATTTTCTCTTCCCTTTGGCTAGTTTCCGATTTTTCCATAGGTAGTGGAGGTCGATTTCGGGGAGGCGCTCTGGAGCCGGGTTTTCCCTGGGCGTCTCGCTTCAGAGTTCCATTAGAGTACGAAGCTAGTTTTCTAGAAAAAACTCTATGGATACCTAGGAAAATCATACTTTTCGACACGATCAATCAACTCAAAAAGGCCGTAATGATCAGCTTCATGTCGGACTTTGCGTAGAAGATATTCATCGGATGGGAGAGGGATTTCTGGTATCAAAAAAGTTACGGTAAGTTTAGTCAGCTTACTTGGACCATCTCTAAGGAAGTTTAAAATTATGCGAAATAATGTAGCATCTCTGTCAATGAAGAGTTGGCCTTCCTACAGATATCGGTCATAATGAAAAATTTCATCAATTTACCTTGTCCAACAATCGCTTCCAATCCCCAGAAAACAGTCTCGCAAAATAAGCCCCGGGCACCGAGGTCAGCGTGCAAATCCTGGTCTTAAATATCGTCCCCTCAACGTCAAGCACGACCAGCTCGCGTCGTTCCATCCGAGGGGTACGGTAGCTAGTCCCTAGCTGCCTCGAAGCCTGTAGAGAGCAGCAATACAGGGGGGGGTGGGTGGTTGTTCCGCGGCAAACAATATTTCGAGGCGACCCTAAAATGGGGGCTGGGCCCTAAGAGCCCCCAATCACACCTTTTATTCGTCGTTGTTGACTTTTGCCCCAATCCGGCCGCACAATACACCACTCACCCCCGACCCCCGGTGCCACAACCCCTTCCTGGACGAAAAAGTGGCTCGCGGGTGGGGCCGCTAGCTGACAGTTGGTTGTTAGGAGCCGTACTATGAGTCATAAAAATAGGAATTTCAACTGGGTAGTGTTATTGATGAGTTGATGAGGTTTAAGGGGACTGCAAGGCATGGCTATGGACATTGCTATTTTTCATTAGCACTTCCGATTGGCAACTTGCCAATTGTAGATGAGCCCCGATCTACGCGGGCCTTCCTGATCCCTTTAAAAGTACCTTGCAAATCTGCAGCTATTCCTTAACCCCTCAAATCACTTCCTCAACCCCAAAACAGCCATTTCTCTACCCCCACATCCAAACGACCGGGGCGCCCTGTCCATTTTTGTAGCCAACCCCCGGCCTCCCAGCTCAAGATCATGGACTCGAAGAAGAAAAGACGTGCATGGAAATGTAGCCACCCCAGTTGCCAAGGTAAGACTTGCTGAAGACCAGACCCGAATTCATTCCCAAGTCTCTCGCCCAGGACTTGAGATACTAATAAGCGAACTTTTTTTGAAAATGCCCCCGTCCCCTGAACCTCCCCGCGCCGACTCGGTCGCCTGGAAGAAGAGGCGAATGGACCGCAGCATTGGTCACTTGACGGTAAGCATGCATTTGAAAGTTAATAAAGCTACTTTCAGTTTTTGACGTCGATTGCTAGACTGAGCGTGAACGACGAGGTGGGGCCGATTCGGGCCAGCAGACCCCCGACCGGGGCCAACGTCGAGCCGGTCATCAGGCCGCCAACTCCGATGCCACCGGGCTGCGGCCAAGCCAACACATATGTGGTTAGCATCCCTCATCCGCAGAAAGTATGAAATATTATGAAACTTAAGGCATTATATTTATTACAGAAGGATGAGTACGACCATGCGATGACTACAGAGGAAAAAGCCGGACCATCGGGCCAAAAATAACTCTACTTTCTTGATTTCCGCCCGTGCCCTATTCCACCGTGTTTTTGAACAATCCCTCACACTTCGGACGCAATCCATCGTTTTTGCGAGTTCGTATTCTAGTGATTGTTTGACTACCCGTGATACTAGTGATTATTGTTTGATTGTCAATCAATTTTTTCCTATCTAATTTGCATACGAAATACTAATAAAAACCACGCAATTACAATATGCCAAATTCCAATAAATCCCGTGTCTCCAACCTCATTTTCAAACGAAGACACTCGCGAAATATAAAAAACAGAATATCCCAAAATTTCGCGATATTGCTGGGAGCCAGACCGAGGTTCCTCGCCCCGCGTTGAGAGGGGGCGAAAACGGAAAAGGACGACTTCAACACATTCAAAGTCCTGGGGCGGAAATTTCATTGAAGCGGCTTCGCCGGCTACCCCCCGACATGCGACGTGTAAAGGCCCCGATCAGCCCGGGGATTATCCCCCCTCTACCCACCAACCAAGATGACTTTTCTCAAGAAATTTCGCTATTTCACTTATCGGGGTGGGTTTCCAGATTCTGGAGAAATATGGGTATTTTGCGTTTAGTGACGAAAAGATTGGGACTAACCGCGCTCTCCCCGCTGTTCTTTTTCGCTACCGGCTTCATTTCCGTCCATGTAGAGCCGACGGTGATTAAGACCTGCGCGACTGGAAATTATACAGAGTAATCTATTTTTTTTATGGTTTTATAGATTTATTTTTAGCTTTCAAACATATCCCGCTACTATATCCACTGGCTGCTCTGAACAGCGAAGAGCATTGCTGTCATTTGTTGTATATTGTTGCGTGCGGTTATTTACTTACAAGGTATACATCATATTAAGTGTAGACACTCTGCTTTAGTTTGAGGAACTGGTGTCGAGCTCAGAAGTTGGATGTCTAGCCAGAACGAAAGTACCTGGAATGCATCTAGGCTTTTCGTTGGCTTTGCCCTTCTTGGTCAGGTAATATTATTCTAAACACTAAAAACTAAATTTAAAAAGATCTCTTTCCCTCGGCTCTCCTCCACTCCCTCCACACGGCTTTAATTGTCTTTTAATGGCCGGAACTATCCTATTATTCGTACCGTACCTACGGGATTTATTTCATTTGGTATCTTACGTTCATAAGGGAGCAACGAGGAGGTAGGGCTATACAACCCTTACCCTATTTTTTTCAGATTCTTCCGAGCAGATTACCAATTCTTTGTCATCGTTGGATTGTTATTTCTACATTTTTCAGTGATTTTTGTAAGTTCTATGAAGCTATGATTTCTCAATGTTTAAGGTGGAAATCCTGGATGTCGCTTGGGGAATCTACTGCCCCCAATATATTTTCGGGGTCCCCATACTCTTTCCTCATTTTAATTTTGTGCATTTTCTATTCCTAATCCACAATTCGCTATTAAAAACACATAAAAAGATGCCGATAATAATTTATGAGGTGAGAACTGGTAATTCTTACAATTAAGAAACATATTTAGGTTTGTGAGGAGGATGTTTTCGTCCAATTAGAAAGGGTCAGATGTCTTGCGAATAAAGACTGTCCGCTACGCTCCGCAGCTTACAGGTGTATTTTGTTGCTGTTCGTAACTTTTTCAGATTACCCTTCGTCCCCTCACAAACAACGACAAGGATAAGAAGAGAACTTGAAGGCCGTATTGTGCAGGTTTACTTTTGAATTTACATAAATCAATAACCTAATTATTTATTAGATTCGAGATCTGGAGGAACTCCAAAGACTCGTCCCGTGCGATGTACAACATGGGCCGAAAAAGAAAAACCATCAGCATGTCTAATAAATTAAATCACAATTCTTACGCGATCACAACCCATCCCGAGCTTAACAAAAGGCACAAAAAAACCCGTTATATAAAAAACCTATCACAATTATGGGCTGAGGAAGGTAGAGATGAAGACGGAAGTTTCGCAGTTCAATGTAGCGTGCCACCATTTATCCGGGAAGTAGATTACCTGAAAAAGCATGAAATTTTAAAGGTAGCAAAAGGTTACCTCTCCTGGTTTCAACAAACATTCGAGCGGCTTCTTCTCGCGCGGAAGATTCGGATAATCTTTCAGATACCTATTAAAACCTATATTTTAATGCCCATCTTACAAACCATTCAAAAGTCGTCCTATCCGGGTCAAATTCCGGGCGATCCTCGTACTCATACAAGAACCACCTCTTGCTCCCATGAATCACCTCCGCAAATCCGGGGCCGTGGAAATGGAAAGGGACACCGGTTCCGGCGCCGGCTAGCCCGAAACTGAGAGCGGGCTGATGGCCAGGCAAAGTATATCTAAAATACACAGATTTCTCGCTAAAAATCTCTTACTCCGGCATCTTATAGGCATCCAAAAGTGGCTTCCAAGCCTTTTGATCTATATCCCCGAAAAGGTACAACGTCTCGTTGCCCAGGGTCTCCAGGTTTTGCGGCCTAAAAAGAAAGCTAATTTAACGAATAATCAAACTACATACTTTAGCTTATGCTCCAAATACTCCTTGAAGCTGCTCGGCACTCGGGTGTAGCTGTACGTGTTCGCGCTGTTGAGCACGATATCCATTTCACCCCATTCTTGCAACATTCGTTCCCTGAATTTGAGTTATACAACTTTTATAGATGTCGTACCGTTCAGTTCGCAGTTTAAACTCTTCATTATCAATATTGTAGATGATGATTGGCTCCGAATAGGCAAATCTTAAAAGATTTTATTTAGAAATTAAATGTAGCTAACCTTTTAAGGAATTCAGCCTGACTCAAATCATCAGCATCGTAGCGCTCAATGTTACAAGGCCCATCTTTTCCTAAAAAAACACACAATAATAAATGATTTTAAGTATATCCTCTCATTACGTCATTTGTGTATCTGATAAAAGATACATACCGATAATATCCTTTTCATCAGTGATCCAGCCCCCATTATTTGAAGCAACAACACATTGTAGGTACAGCAACAATATACCCAGATGTCTTTTCATCTAAAAATTAACTAGATTAGACCCATTTCTCTTTTCGAAACACACTTTGTGAAAACGGCACTTGTTCGATGTAAATTTGCACAATTTTGAAACAAAAATGTATTTAATAAATGGCTCGATCACAAACGGAAACACGACAGTCGTGAGAAGGAAAGAAAATGCAAAATAATGCACCGAAATTCATTGTGTTTTGGGAAGTATGGCACCAAATACAGACAGGGTAGAGCACGGGGTGAGATACTGGGCAAGATGAGATCGATTTGGGATTTGGTAGAGGCTGGAAAATGGGTTAGGTATGTAATTTAATGAGATCAATCGGAAAAGCAAATTGTTGCAGCGCGCAAACTACGAACGTTATATTTTCTTGAGGTAAAAAGCTACTAAGTCTTAAATCTACTTATTAAGCAAGTTTTTATATTGTCTGGATGTCAGGTTGGGGTCGGGGAATCAAATTCAAAGGTCAAAATCGGCCTTCGGGGTTTGTCACTAAGCAAATCACTTAGAATGGCTGTCCAGGGGAGTGTAATGTACGTGAGATATGCATTTAGGGGTGTGCACTCGGCACGCTTCTTCTCGCGCAGCCAATGCCAAGCCTGGCCGAACCCTCGGACCGACCTGAATAGTTTTTATATGGATTTATTCCTTTTTTGCTTACCATAATCGACTCAGCACGCCCTCCTCCAATTCGTCATCGATTGATGAAGCTTCAACCTATATTTTAGTGGCTATAATTTTCTATATTTTTGTCTGTATACCTCAGGATATTGTCCTGCTGTATCTGCTTCACTCTGCCAACGCCGACCTCGAGGTAATGTGCCAAGACCTGATGGCGTCATCGCAACTCTTCCACCTTTTGATCAATTCATAAAAAGTTCTTTCTTTTCAAACCTGAAGGCCCAATCATTGCCCCAGCCAAATTCTGCTCGCTCATCCTCCTCCGCCCCAGGGCAGACTCAAACTGTGTCAAATCCGGGAAATCGATATGTGATCGTTCAGTCTGCGGTGTCTCCGTTCCACATCCAGGAACTCTGGCAACAGCCATTTCAGCGTATCCCTAAATCAAGCATTGCTTGTTTTTTAGCTTTCGGGAGAAACATACCTTTCCCCGGGGACCCCTCATCCGCACAAACTCTTTCCGCCTTTTGTCGTCTTTGACGAGTCGCTGGGCCCATCCCCAGCTTGAGGAGGCTTTAGCATCATAGACCTGAATTAATAATAAATAGGGGAGGCGCAACAGATGGGTTTCTTGGGATAAGACAGGGCTATTTTTGGAATGGCAAAATAAGAAAAAACCTACCTGCTTTAGGACCTCATATCGAATTGATCCCAGGAAAGTCACGGCTTCACGGGCGCGCTGTCGATCACGTACAACCAGCTCCACGCAAACGCACTCTCCATCACGAACAACAATGTCGTTGAAAACCTGAAAGTCATCAAAAATCATTTTCTTTTTATTTCCTTGACTTACATCTTCAAAGCCATCAATAGCGAAGTAGATCTTCGGATATGTAATTTCTTCCCCTTCTCCTTTACTATCCATCCTACGACGGGAAGGCGAGGGATAAACTTTTTGACAATTCTTGCGAATGATTTGTAAATTTTGAGGAGAAGTCTTGGTGCAGACGGCGCAAGTGACGAAGAAGTCTAGTTGTTGCAGGATCAGATTTAGACAGACCTAGAAAACAATATCCTTTCGACTCTGTTTCTTACCGTCTCCTCCCAGTTTACCGTCGAGTCACAGGGAGCGGGCTGCTTCTTGCTTTGTCGCCGAAAGACCTAGAATTATTTTGGTTTTCTACATTAGCGTGGGAATAATCTAATTACGAATCTGAAAAACCTGCTTACCTGCAGCTGTGGGGGTGCGGAAAGGTGAAAAGAAGTTGTCACTCGTTGCATCGGGACATACCTGCCAATTAATTCACCTTGATAGATTTTTATAGTGCTCCTACCATATCATATCGTCCCCTAGAGCTGAGCAGGTCGTCGCCTGACAATACGCGGAGCCCAGAATAAACTCCATGAAGAGTTTCGCCCATCGGAGTTCCATGTTTTGTACCAAGCTAAATATTTCTCTGTTTAATACTTTTCTTTCATCATTATCACCTGAATTCCCCGTCGTCTGCTTGCGCCTCGCGTCTCAAATGCTCGACCCGACGAAGTAATTCCGAAACGCATACGCAGCGACCGGATACTACAAAGATTCAGAAAACTCCCTTCAAATACCTTTCTTTTGCAAATTATTCGGATGCATATCCGAATTTTTCGGCAAAACCATATCCCTTATTGTTGAACGATTCGGTTCCATTCCCTAAAACTTTTGGTTTCGATCCCGGCAGGCCGGTGAAAATAATTGGGGGTTCTTTAAAACCCACGTAGCAGCCAAAAATACACAAGTTGGATAGATAATTTTTATTTCTTTAAGGCCACAGGGTACGAAAAACAAATGAAAGTGAAGGTGAGATCAAGTCTAATCGGTAGGCACGTGAAAACTGAGGCAATGATTTTTTCAAGGGCTGAAACTACATGAGAGTGGAATGGGGCCGTACAGTACCAGATAAGACGCGGCTAGAAGGCACAAAATTTACAAAGTGAAAATGAAAAGACTAGGCAAAGGTACAATCACTTTTTGCGTTGGACGTCGAACTTTAATGGCGGTTTTCTCGGATCGGTGGTTACCATCAGTGTCGAGCATTGGTTCATTTCGCTTAGCATTTTGTTCAGCTCTTCGTCGTAAGGGAAAATTCGTAGCATCTTCCCACGCTTCAATTGTTTTCCTAGAAAAAAAATTACTATAAAAACATCCTGTGCCTTACTTTCTTCCTTTCCGAGACTCAACGCCGAATTGTGCAGATTTTTAATGTACACCATCAGCTGGTCTGGTGCGAGGCGTCCAAGCTCTAAAAGCAGATATTGATAATTTTTCGCAAAAAAGGCTCTTACCGTTTACTAATTTCACATCCTCGGTTTCTAAATCATTCTTTATCCGGTTGGTGGTCTTCGTGTTGCGTTGTATCTAAATAAAGGTTCAGGTTAATGGAAATACGACATACCGCTCGAAGCTTGACGTAGTCGTTCATACCAGGAACGGGTTCATCATCAGGAGCTTGCACAAATTCCTCAGAACATCCCAACTTCGGATCCGGGTGGTCCTGAAAAAAAACAATTTAACAACAATCCATCTAAATCCATACCGGAAGGATAAAAATGGATTCAAAACTCACTCTAGAAGTGGTGGCAGCACGCTTAGCAGTTCCGACTCTTCTAACAGTCAAACGAGGGGCGTTCGTCACAATCGGTTTCGTTTCTTCTTCGCTGATATGCGGCATCGTGATCATCTCACCAACATCCATCTGGTCGAGATCCATTGTAGCAGAGAACTCGAGGTCGAATTGAGCTCTTCAATAATCTTTCTTTTTTTTTTCTTTAATGCATCTACAAATATCAACACCAGTGTGGAGCAGATTACGCTCGTGAAATTGATTGCACCCCAACGGGGCGCTCCTCTGGACATCTGTCGCTCTCCGACATCTGTTCATTGGTGTCCCGCGGGATCTGGCAGCGGCCCCACCATTTGAATCTTGACAGATCTACCATCTGCGAAATATTTGCATAAATATTTATCAACGATTATTTAGTGTATTTATCTCGTAGAAATATTCTAGATTCTGCCCAGCCTGTCCTTTACTTTTGCTTTTTTTTTCTTCCTCCTCTTGATGACGCAGCCATTTTTTGCTAATGCTGGTTTTTTTTCAGGCTAGTAAATCAAGATGTCAACTGCCACCCCTTCTCAGAATGGCGAAAGCACTTCCGCAGTGGTCAGTTTTTATAAAAATTTTAGCGTTTGGATATTCACAAACTATATCTGATTGGTTTCCTATATTCTTTGTTTTCAGAAAGCCGAGCCAACGCCGCCACCAAACTATGCCCTCTCCAAAGAACTAACCGGCCACATCAAGCCAGTCTCCTGCGTGAAATTCAGCCACGACGGAAAATTTCTTGCCTCCTGCTCGCCGGATAAGACGGTATTTCTAAAGGCACTAGTTTTTTTACATTCTTTTTTAGCTGCGCATTTGGTCAGTCGAAGACGGGCAGCTCCTCTCTACCATTACCGGCCACAAACTTGGGATAAACGACCTTTCGTGGAGCTCCGACGGAAAATACATCTGCACCGCCAGTGATGACACGACGGTCAAGGTTGGTTTTTAGAACGTATTTTAGTGAAGCTTAGAAAGGACGTTATTTTATTTTGCTTTTCAGGTCTGGGACTTGGAAACGAAGAAGGCCATCAAGAGCTTCAAAGGGCATAGCAATTACGTCTTCTGCTGCTCCTACAACCCCACTAGCAACCTCATCGCTTCAGGTAAAGACATAAATTGCTGGAACTATGCTGTATTTGCCGTTTAGGCTCATTCGATGAGACTGTGCGAATTTGGGATGTGAAGAGTGGACAGATGACTCGTACCCTGCCTGCCCATGCCGATCCAGTCTCTGCCGTCTCTTTCAATCGGTATTGTGGCATTTAAAAAAGACTAATCGATTTAGGTATGGCACCCTGATCGCCTCATCCAGCTACGACGGCCTTATTCGTATTTGGGAAGCCTCCACTGGCCAATGCGCTAAAACGCTCGTCGGTAGGTTATTTTGCCGTTGTTTTGTATTATTTACGATTGATCATGATCCAAATATCTTTTTAGATGATGAGAACCCGCCCGTATCGTTCGTCAGATTCTCACCTAATGGCAAATACATTCTTTCCGCTTCGCTTAACAGGTACAAACTCCTTTTATTATTGACCACTTTTTATTTCCAGTTCGCTAAAGCTCTGGGACCTCAACAAGGCACGATGCCTCAAGACTTACAAGGGCCACAAGCAAGAATGCTTCTGCATTGGAGCCAATTTCTCAGTGACCGGCGGAAAGGTATAACAAATTTGTGAAACATGCGCTTGTTTAGTGGATCGTCACTGGGTCTGAGGATGGCGATGTCCTTGTTTGGAATCTTCAGACCACAGAAGTTGTACAGCGCTTTAAAGCGCACGAAGGTAAATTGTAATCAAGCTAACTCATCTTGTTATTTTTTCAGATACTGTCCTCGCCAACGACTGTCACCCCCATGAGAATATCATCGCCACTGCATCACTTTACCAGGGCAACATCAAGCTGTGGAAATCCGACCATTGAATGCGACATCCCTTGCCTACTTGTTATTCGTGCATTTACCCGATCTCTCGTGCCCACCGATACTAGAATGCTACTAGAAGTGTCCTTTAAGATTCTCCTCTAACGTTCCATTTTTTTGTGAATTTTTCCTGTGTATTTCCTTTTTCTGTGAATTTCCTTAATTTCCATGTTGTTTCTGTCCAAAGCGACGAACCATTTAACTCGTAACTTCTCGACTTTTTTCAGTAATTTCCATGAATATCTACTTTTTTGCGCCCCATTATATTGTTTTCTCATACCCCCTCACTGAACATTTGCACATTACTGGTTACACGTTTTGTCCTAATAAAAGACTTATTAGCCTGCAAATTAGATAAACTAATTATCGAAGCAAGCGAGGTTTGATCTTGATACAAACACTTATTGTAATCGCTTTTCGATAGGAACTCTTCCCTTTTCTCTGTTCGTTTGTTAGTTCGGAGAAGCCGTGCGCGGTCCCGCCGCGATTCCATGGCCAGGGTGAGTGATGGGGGTCTCTCGGGAGCGGCTGTTCTCTTTGTTGACTCATGCATTGCCGACCCTTATGACACTATATGCTAAAAAAGCCATTGACCCAATTTACATATTTGATTTTTAGCGCTCACGCTTTCTGGGGGAGGGATACAGTCGGCCGGGGATTTCTTCATCATGGATCAACAGGCGTTCTTGAAAGATCAGGTTCGATTTTTGGCATCTTGATTGATCAAGGACGGTTCACGGAAAAGTTGATACTTCAGAATCTTAGCGTGTTTTTAAAAACCCCATCTAATGTCTTCTTTTTATAGATGGAGGCTGTCGAGAAGGCGTTAAACAAGCACGAGATCCCGCTGAAACCAAAGCACGCCCGTCGCCTCATCCTCGGCACTCACCGCGTCAAATCAGCTGGTCAGTGATTGAAGCCCATCTCAAAACTGTCCATTTTAGTAATCTTCTGGGATGCTGTGCATCAAGTACAGTTGAAAAAGAACCCTGTTATTTCCTGGAAGTTCTGCCATCTCCTTCATTGTTTGCTGGCGAACGGCCATCGCTCTGTACCTGGAGATTCATACAGGTGAGGGATTTCGCTGGAATAAAAAACGGTTTTGCAAAATAGATTTATCCTTATATCCGGATTTTAGATTCGTGCGCCGCTTCGATGAACTGTCCCAGTTTTGGCGTTTCCTACAAGGTTATGGACAGTGTATCGACAAATATTGCAAGTTGCTGGGCGCCCGTCTAAATTTCCACCATCGGGTAAAAAGCGCATTATGAATTCGTATTTTCTATTTTATCTTTAGTATCCGCAATTCCTTGGAAACCTGAAGATTGCCGAAGATGCGGTGAATGGCTTCAACAACGATGCGCTATTTGAGTTGACAATTGAGCTTTTGGATCAGCTCGACAATATTTTGGAGTTGAAGGCAGCTGGTAAGCCATGAAGGCAAATTCCGAATGTGTTTTTTTTCAGTCTGGATCTATGTTCAAGCATACGGACGTGGATCTGTCGTCCCGCAAGAACAATGCTTGTTGGCTCCTCTCATACCCTGTCTCATCGATTCGTCTAAACTCTACGATCACTTGGTTAAGGTAAAAATTTCGTATGCAGAGTTAAAACTCTAATACATTTTAGATGCTCTTCAAACTACACGCCAACGTTCATCCAGAAACTTTATCCGGCCATCGTACGCGTTTTGTGGTTGGTCCAATTGTGCTGCGTTGATATTTGTTTTTTAGGACATTTTCCGTCGCACGAAGAGCTTCTACGAGGACTGTTCCGGTGTGCAATACTTCAAATATCTTGTGTCCATTCCGACACTTCCGAATGTAAGGAAGCACAAGCAATTTGGAGTTAAAATGTTTTCAGGCGCCCCCGAATTTCCTCAGCGCCGGCGACCTTGCTTCATATAATCCGCCTAATGCCTATCAGCTGGATGGAGGGTATGCACGTTCGTAAAAATTACATGATTTACTTTTAGAAGCCAATCTGACGAAGGCTACGGACTGATTGATATTGACGATATCACCTCTAACATGCCTGAACCCGAACAACCATCTCCACAACCAAGCGACGCTTCGTAAGTTGATTTGAATGATTCTCAGAAATATTTATAGAGCCGATGAAATACTCAACCTTCGGCGAGCGCTCGAGGAAGAAAGAAACTCAAAGGAACGCTTTATTATGGAAGCCAGGTACGAACATTGAAATTGAAATTATTTGTGTTTTAGATCGCGCATCGAACAATACGAGAATCGACTTGCCCAAATTCAAAGCGACTACGAGAATGCGCAAGCCGAAGCTGATCTGGCGAAGCATGAGGCCGGCTCTTTGAAAGGCAATTTCGTATCCTATGCGTATAATGTAAATTTAGTCGAGCTTGATCGCAAGCAAGGCTTGGCAGGAGAAAGTGATGCTCGCGTCGCTGAAGCCAATCAGAAGTTCTACAAATTGAAGGATTTGTATGACAAATTCCGCAGTGATCACGTTGCCGTATGTTGCACTTCTTATATTTTTATATGAAGCTGCCTTAGGCTCTTCAAAAACTGGGCGACCTTCAAAATGAAAGCACGAGGCAGGAGCAGAGGGTTCTTGGGCTTGAACAAGAAAAGTAGGGTTTGGTTTTTAGTATACTTTTATTTTGTTTTAGGGATAGTACGAGAGCTCGGGTGACTGAGGGTATTTGTGCCATGATTAATGAAGGCCACGAAGATTTGACGAATGCCACTTCGACGACCTATCCCCTCCGTAAGGACTTTCACGATTTTTTGAAAAATATTTTTAGAACTCGCCATTTCCAACCTCACCAATTGCCAGACGTACCTGAATAGATTGCAAACTGAATCTGGGGTACCATCGACTTTAATTTTGTCAGGTTGTGGCTATTATTCTTATTTTTATTTTTGATTTTAGGCCATCTCATCGTCAAATCGGTTGTAAACTGCGCGGCAGCTGCTTATTCGGCTTCAATTCACGAATATGATGGTAGCGAATTTTGCTCTTTTCTGATAATTATTTTTTAAGAAATCAATCAGTTGTGCCATGCCCTCCTCAACGATGCCGATGTTGCTTACAAAAATGGCGAGTTCGGCCAATTAAAGGTAATTACTTTTTTCTTGATAAACAATACTTCTCAGGGAAAAATGGCTGAGCTCTCGCAGAAGCTAGCTGATCTTCCGACGTCTACCGATATTGACAAGGTCGTTTTTTGTTTCTTAGTATTTCAAAATCCTTATAGGAACAAGTCGGAAACGAGATCGAGCTTGAGATGAAGCGCATGGACGACGCCATCCGCCAGGCCGTCGAGAAAATTGAGGAGATTCAGAAACGAGCTCGCGAGGGCACCCAGAATAAGATCACGTACGCCGTTGTACCAATTTCGCATGCAATTCTTTAGGCTCGAGGTCAACGAGGCCATTCTGGCGTGTTGCCAGCAATTGATGAACGCAATTATGGTGCTGGTGCTTCGCAGTCGTGAGCTTCAAAAGGAGATCGAGGAGGCTGGTCGTGGAATGGGCAGCCCTTCCGAATTCTATAAGAGAAACCACCAATGGACAGAGGTACGACTTTCTGTTCTTTGGTCGTTTGTCGGGGTATACCCTATTAATGGCTCGCCGACCCCTGGGCGCGCTAGAATTTGAACCGGGCGGGTCGCACCCCCCAAAAATTAACTCCACGATAACAATTTTTTGAATCTAGGGTCTCCTATCTGCTGCAAAATCAGTTGGTGTGGCTGCTCGTGTGCTCGTCACGACTGCCGACGAAGCGGTATCGATCCCCTTTCACACATCATCGGTTGTTGTTTATTTTTAGGTCAGCGGGACCGGCAAGCTCGAGGCGTTGATCGTGGCCGCTCAGGAAATCGCTGCCTCCACCGCACAACTCTTCGTGTCTAGCCGTGTGAAAGCTGATCGTAATTCGCATAAGTGAGTTATTATTCGGACATTCTGAAGGAATTAATATTTCTGATAGAAAGATTACTTATTTTTCTATTTAGGCTTTCTGAGCTGTCTACAGCCTCTCGAGATGTCAATCAATCGACGGCAAAGGTCGTCGCTAGCGTAAGAAACGCACAAGCTACTCTCAATCCCGGTATCAAATTTAAATTTAACTGTTTAGAGAAATTTAGACAACACCCTCGACTTTTCTCATCTTTCTCTCCACGTCGCCAAGAAGGAAGAAATGGAGGCCCAGGTTCGAAGGAATGAGCTTCAATTTATGAAATAATTTAGGTTAAAATCCTGGAGCTTGAGCAGAGCCTGGTTCGTGAGCGCGCACGTCTTGCCGAGCTCCGAAAGGCTCACTATCACCTAGCTTCTGTCATCGCATCCGAAAATGTAAATTTCTCTTGATTGTCTCTAATTTAATATTCCAGGGCGCCGGACAGTAAATCGTTGAACACGTCATCTCGTCGCGCTGAATGCACAAAAACAATGAATGCCCTTTTTGCGCGCCGATCGTTTGTTTGTTCCATACGCAATAATTCTTTTCTAATCACCCAGGCTTTCTACGCCGCATTCCGAATCTCTTACGTAGGGAAGGTGTTCCTTCTAGTCTGCCCCTCCCCCATTTCTTATGCCAAATTCAGTTCCGCCCAGACCCGCCCACTAGGCCAGCTTTAATCTTTTTTTTTGATCCCTGCCGTTCGATTGTTTGATTTGAAGTGGTTTTGTCGTGCATTTCATACATTTTCTGCTCATTTTTTTCACCACCCCACTTTTTTGCTAGTCTCATCAGAATTAGCGACCCAACCCGAAATCGCTCGGCCACCCCCCCTCCCCGTCTAACCCGCGTGCTTATCGCATTCAAATCGATAAGCTGGGAAAAAGCCAATTTTCGTTAGTTTTGTCCCCCGATTCTCGTATTTATCCACCCTCCTCCCCACTATCGAGCGTCCCCCGCCTCGAAATTGGTGCCTACCATGAAAAAAGCTACTTCAAATTCGCTTGAAAACTTTGTGTGAACCTTGTGAAGCTTTGCCGTAGTGTCCTCCCCTCCTTGTGATATATTCTCCACCCCTAATTGTGATAGGTTCTCCTCAAAATTGTGCAACTATGAACAAAATCCCCCTCTCTACTCATTCTCCACCTCTTGTATAAATGCTAGCAAGCCTTCCGATTTCCGGTGCTTTCCCGATTTGGGTTCTTATCCAAATTCGTATCTTTAGTGTCCAAAAACGGGAGCGAAGGGAGAATATGATTCATCCCTGTTCCTATGATGATCGTATGTATCGCGAGGAGTTTTTAAGTTATCTAAATTTAATTGTCAGGTTCTTTTCCGATCGAGATGGCCGACCCGAATGAAAGCCAGCCTCTCCTTGCTGCTGGCCAGGATGTCAGCTATATGGATGGAGACAATGAAGTCGAGCCCCTTGCTGAAGAAAGCGTTCCAGGACGCCCAGCTGGTAGGTATAGAAAATAACACAAAACAATAAACCAGCTTTGATAAATTCCGAAGAAATATTAAATAACTTGTAGGAGCTACCGTAACCTGCCGAGTATGTGACGCAACGATTGACCTCGACGGAAAGCACAATCAACATGTTGTGAAATGCGCCCATTGCCAGGAAGCCACCCCCATCCGCCCTGCACCACCCGGAAAGAAGTAAGTAGAAGTCAAAAAGCTTCCATCTAATGAATATGCCTACATAGGTAAAATAATACCATATGGAGTTTAAGATATGTTCGTTGCCCCTGCAATTGTCTTCTCATCTGCAAGGCTTCATCCACCCGCATCGCCTGCCCACGTCATAATTGCCGGTAATAATTTTTATATCTTCATATGTTAAATAAAACTATATTGCTAAGATATAAAAGCTTATCTAAATATTTTAGCCGCGTTATCGCCCTAGCTAATGCCACCCCCACCGGAATGGCGACCCGAGCTCCAGCTGGATCTTGTCGCGTGATGTGCGGACATTGTCAGGAGGTGGGTTAAGGATACTGATAAAATATGAAACTCCAAGCTACGAAACGCAAACTACAAAAAATATCTCTTGCAGGTATTCCTTTTCAATACGCTGAACAACACGCTGGCCACCTGTCCACACTGCAAACGTAGCTCTTCTGTTGGGGCTACGGTAGCCCGGGCTCGAGCCATTCTCTACCTATTTGCATCTATCGTTCTCACAATCCTCTCCGTTCTGCTTACAGTATTTACTTCGCAAAAGGCGAGTTTTCAAATCCAAAAAATTATCGAAAAAATGAATTTCCAGGCGCATTCGATGTTTTACATCTATCTGCTTTGGATTGGATTTTATGGAGTCACCGGATATGTCATCTACAGGTAATTTGAAAATCAATAATACAAACAATAATCAATACTAATAACAATAATACCAATAATCAAATTTAATTAATAATACAAACTTTTCCAGGTTCATCTACTACTCGGTAATCAAAGTGAGCACGATTGTCAGCCCGGTCTAAGCAAATTAAAATTCCGCTACGAAACAAAAGACACCCCTGATTGCCGGTGCTTCTACAATAATTCTAACTACTAATGAATTCTCTCTCCCAAACACCTACCTTCAAGCATTAAATTCCTATAAAAATCAACGTTGCTCACTTCCGACGATCCGCCGAATAGGAATCATAGTTGTTAGTGTAACGTAGCCTAGTTCTCTATGCTAACCACAACTCCAAGATGTTCCAAGATTCCAAAAAATATCCTGATGCTTCAGCGGTATATTAAATTTTCAGTGATTTCTCTTTTTTTCAAACCCGATCGATTACGTGTCACGATATCCATCTAATTAACTGTTTCTACTTTGCGCGTCTGATGCTCTGCTCTAAAAAAGAACCAACCACCCCCCCAGCCGTCGCTGAGAAACTGGCGATTTTTGTGATATCGAATATATGCGGTAGCCCTTCAGCCCTTTCCTTGTAACAATGCCACACAACTTCAGTCCTGTCGGTCCATTGTTGCATCCCGTTGTCTGCCTTTTCCTTGCGCACCACCAAATTCCCGTGTTTTTACACGTTTCGACTTTTTTGATTTACATATGTGTAAATAAAAGTATTTAACGTAAAACATCCGCGAATTTACATTATGCAGTTACCATTTGTGTATATGAGACAGTGTCAAGCCTATGGAATTTTTCTCTTTGGACCCCTATGCAAACAGGAGGGTGTCGGAAGGTAAATAGATAAGGGTTTCGTGATCTGGGTCTAGAGTTTAATTAATGGCCAATCAATTAGAATATTTTTGGGCTTAAGCCTACATATTTATCGATATTAAAATTTTTATAACGATTCCTAGATGCAAAAACGTTACATTTTTTCTTACAAAGGCAAAAAATATAGATTTTTCAACCAAACTTTGGAATCTTAACTTTTTAACGTTTTTCTACTTTAAATATAGCTAAATATTTCTAAGAAATACTTTCAAAATACATACTTTTACTCTGCGTTATTTCCCCCCCCCGATAATGGAGAAGCACATATTTATGCTTTTTCGGCAAGCAGTACCAATGCAATTCTTACATACATTTATGTGGGGCTTGAAGGGGCGGAAAATGGGCCCTTTTCGAGGGATGGGCCCTTTCGAGGGCCCTCCTGTTTTGGCAGCATATTTCGCCCCGAATGCTTCCCCCTCCTTTAGAAGCCGAGCTATCGACCCAAAAAGGCTGCCCCACCAGCTAGCACCCCCGAATACCAATGCTAATGCCGAATTTCCGGGTGTTTTTATTGCTTTTTGGTACAAGTTGCTTTTTAATTTTCTTGAAAATTTGATGCAAATGCCCCTTAAAAAGCCTAACCCAATTTTTTGAGTTTTAAGTTATGGTTAAACCTAACCTCCCGCGCGACGAAATCCAGCGCGAAGATGTGATCTCAGTTTTCGAAGCCTGCACCCCCAGCCGACCCCCGCTAATTAACATCCAAGATCTAAAGGTAAGTCCAGGGCCCCGTTTTTTTGTTTATTCAGCTGAAATATTGTAGATATCCCTGCGTTTTTTCAGCTTGTCATGCGCGGACTCGGCTTCGACCCGCGCCAAGAGGAAATTCAGCGCTTGCTAGCGAAGCTGCGCGAGATCCAGCAAGCAGCCCCTGAAAATGACCATGGTTTGTTTCAAAATTATTAAATTATGGTGATTTTTAGCTTCAAAAGGCGTTGTTGGTGTTGATGAATTTATGAAATTACTTGAAGAGCGATTTGATAACAATAAGGTAAGGTTTTTATTATTTAAGAATTAAAAATAACTTTAATTTTAGAATGTCTCAGAAATGCAATGTGCCTTTAAACTCTTCGATCGTGGACAAAAGGGTTTTATCGACTTGGCAGATTTGAAAGCGGTAGGTTAACGAAAATATTGATATTCAATAAATTGCAGGCAGCAACTTCCCTACACGAACACGTCACCGATGAAGAACTTGAAGAAATGCTGAAAGAAGCCCAAGGAGAAGCCGGAATTCAAGGCCAGATCGATGAAAAGACCTTCTTCGAAATCATGAAAAAGACTTGCCTCTATTAATGCGCTTTATTCAGTTATGACCTTTGCATTAATTCTCTCGATATTTGAATCCCCCTGCCTGATCTCTGGTGTCTAGTCATTCCCTCCCCTATTTGTACATATCCGGTGGATAAACTTTCTGATTTAACTTAAGTTTTTGTTTGAATTCTTTTGCAAGCTCTGCTAGCATAATTATTTTATTGCAATGTTGGAAGAACATCTTAAAATAATATTTCAGGAATAAGCGGGTTTATTCGGATTTATGCCTGGCGGAACGACGTCGAAAAAAGTGAAAATGCAAACAATGATGGACAAAATTCAGTAGGTTGTGAATATGCAAATTAATATATATTTTAGGTATAACCTCTATTGCACGCCAATTGGGAGAAAGTATCAGAACCGTTTATTAAAACAAGCCGCTGAGAAATATCCAAATGGGCATCGTCAGGGAAAGACAGACGTGTATGACGGTTTGTTGAGACATGGAACTTTACGATTATGCAAATTTTCAGGATTAAACATCACAATCGTTCCGTATGGCTACGACAACTACGGATATGTGGTGCAATCCGCTCAGGATGATGTGCATTGTGTGGTAAGTATTTTGATAAATTTTACACAATTATTTTTATAGCTAATCGACGTCGGCTACCTTCCGCCCTTCAAGAAATTGCTCGAGAAAAACAAATGGAAACCTGTCGCCGCCCTTACAACTCATCATCATTGGTAAGTTACTAAAAATGGTCCTGTCTATATTTATTCAAATTTAGGGACCATGCTGGTGGGAATGATGAGCTGAAAAAGTTGTATCCAGAGATTGATATGATTGGAGGGGCAGCGGAGAAGTCGAGGGGCTTCACGAAGTAAATTTTCAAGCACGCAAACACCTTATCGTTTTAGGACAGCAAATGATGCGGAAGGATTTGAATATAATGGAATTTACATAAAAGTTCATGATTTTAAGGCTCATACGAAAGGGCATGTGATTTACCAGGTAGACGAAAAATCCAAAAACCAAAGTTTCTTCAGATTTCCCACCTCGAAAATGACCCGGCAGCGCAAAATTTTTTGTTTACTGGCGATTCAATGTTTGTCGGGTGTATTGGTAGGGATTTATGCAAATTCGAGATATTCAAAGATTCAGGGCGAGCTTTCGAAAACAGCGAGAAGGAGATGATCAAGGCGCTGGACAGATTAATCGAAAAGTAAGGCGATTCCAGAAGCTATTATATTTTTGTAGATATTCCCCGGAATCATTTGTCTATCCTGGACATGAATACGGTATCGAGGCATTGGCTATGGCTGTTCAGGTATGCAAATTACAATAATAGAAAATTTCCTTCCAGATGGATCCACTAAATGAAGAAGTATTTGCCGCTTTTAAACAAGCAAAAAATTGCAAGCGATCTGGAGATCCGGATGTAAGTTGCAGTAATTTGCATCTGGAGCAACGAATTTTTAGATTCCATCCACCCTGCAGAAAGAATTGAACACAAATGTTTTTCTTAAGACAAAGGAGCTCACAAATCAAGGTTCGCATTTTTTCCTTGAGTTTGAAAAAGATCTGATTTTCAGGAGATGATGATGCGAGAGCCATGAAACTAGTGGAACTACGAAAGGAAAGAGATGTTTTCCTCAAAAACGCTCATCTGAATATGGTCAAAGCCGAGGATAGTCATTATCTGAAGCTGAAGGCGATTGAGGAAGCCCAAAAGAAAACCAAGGCCCCGGAAACTGGAGGGGCTCAGAAAACGGCAAATACTGAAAAAGCTGATGCAGCTGAAGCTGAAGCGGAAACCCTTGAAGTGAACGGAACTAAAATGTCTGACGAATAATTTTGTCACAGAGTCTATATTCTTTTGCTCCAAATACTTGCGCAATTTTCTGCCTTACCCTATTTTACGCTTACCTAGGCGCAGCTCATTCCGAATGTCCACTCTCAGGATATTAAATTCACTTCCAAATTTTTTGACGGGTTCGTGTGAGCAGGACTGAATACGGACCAGGATACTTTGAATTTATGTAATTTGTTATAGAGGATGGTTTGCCCTGAATAAATTGTGAGTGAATATGCGATACCTCAAAAACATACTTTGCACTACAGAAAACGAGTCAAGATGATGCCAACCGTACTGTAATTTGAGGGCTAAACCGTTTCCGTGGAGTACTGACGACGAAAGAAATGATACTCCTGTTGATAAAATAACGTTTTCTTAAGATCTACGGTACCAGAAAAGCCACAAAATATACCAGTACAATTGCCATGCGAAAAAGGATTACTGTAATGGACAGCTACAGTACCCTCTGACTACGAGAACAACTACTGGCATCAGAATTTCGATAGCATTTCAAGATCCAAAATGCATCTCAAAGACCCTATATTTTAAAAGCTCGGGCAGAGATTGTGGATGGCCCCCATTCGAATTCGAGGCTCCTTTCTCCATTCGTGACAGACTTTGGAACCCCATTGGCCGGTCTTGATTTAGGGAGTGCCAGCCCCAGTCAGTCAGCCAACCCTCGAGGACACCACCGTCAGTTGCCCCATCTTTCCATTCGCTTCCCATCAACGGCCACTTCGGGGGGTTGCTGCCTATCATCGCGGAAAAAAACATTCACTAGTGTTGGGTGTTGAGAGTTATGGTGGGGAGTGTTAGGTGGAAGCTGTGAAGCTGTAAGTTGGAAGTGGAGAAAAGGGCTCAGGTATACCTTAAATCCTAGTCTCTGTCTTCTCTCGTTATGAGGCTTAGGCTTGGGCTTAAGCGTGAGTTATGTTTCTCGTATTAGAGTGATGCTCAGCGCCCATCTTCCTTAATGCAAAAAACACGAAAATTTTGGCGAAAATTTTTACAGGAAGTGAGAGGTCGACCATAGAAATCGGCCATATCGATAGGCTTAGGCTTAGGCTTAGGCTTAGGCTTAGGCTTAGGCTTAGGCTTAGGCTTAGGCATAGGCTTAGGCTTAGGCATAGGCTTAGGCTTAGGCTTAGGCTTAGGCTTAGGCTTAGGCTTAGGCTTAGGCATAGGCTTAGGATTAGGCTTAGGCTTAGGCATAGGCTTAGGCTTAGGATAGGCTTAGGCTTAGGCTTAGGCTTAGGCTTAGGCTTAGGCTTAGGCATAGGCTTAGGCTTAGGCTTAGGCTTAGGCATAGGCTTAGGCTTAGGCTTAGGCTAAGGCTTAGGCTTAGGCTTAGGCATAGGCTTAGGATTAGGCTTAGGCTTAGGCTTAGTCGTCAACGCCTATCCATCAAGCCTCGGGATCTTACCTCGCTTTTCATCCTCAATAAACTCCAATAATCTCAAAACACCCCCAAAAACCTCCACCTCAACTCCAACTCCCCAACAAAGCAGTTTATTACCGACAAGGACAAATCCCACCCAGATCAACCCCAAATCTCCAAACCAGGACGGCCCTGGGGGGTCCGAGCGGGCCAGTGGAGGCACATGGCCGGATGACGTGCCCATCCATCTTCCACTACCGTATACCTCGAGTTGTCGCGCGACGGGACCCACATACACACAGACACACTGCCGGGCCTTCTCTCTCTCTCTCTCTCTCTCTCTCTCTTTCCCTCTCTCTCTTTCCCTCTCTCTCTATCCACCCTGGCTCTCCTCCGGAAATTAATAATGAATAGCCCATTGGGTGGGCCCTGCCCCCCGCTCCGGGGTACCGTACGATTTATGAGCTGCCCGAAGCGGTACCAACTAGGGGCGCAGTTGGTCAATCTTCCCCCCATGACACGCCCCCAATTTCAAGGAGGTACCCTCGGATTTTATGGCCTCGTTATTCTAATTCATCGCAGCTAGAGCTATTTCAACTTACCACAGCATTCTCCAGATTTTTTGAAAACCAGCCCCTAGCTAAAACATTGAAGGATCGAATTAGGTACTTGCGAGGTATTTGCGCGTGATGCCCCAAATTTTTTTCGTGATGTACCTCGTTGTCTAAAATGGGCTTTCCTGTGTCTACCAAAGCAATTCGGTCCCCCCGGTATCATCTCATTCGATCGGCCATTTCGCCGTCCGGTCTTCGGAAAACAGATGCAATCGACCGGGGGCCAGCTGAAATATCGTATCCCACGGGTGGAGAATGGTCGGGCAGGGTACCGTAATCCGAAGGACAGCTCATGTAGAAAAACGCAGCAAAAACGTAGCTCCTTAGCGCGTTAGACTTAAGATTAGGCTAGGCTTAGACTTAGAGACATAGGTTCAGCCTAGGCTTCAGCACAAATTTAGGTGAGGACTAGGCTTAGGATTAAGCTTAGGCTTAAGCTTAGGCTTAGGCTTAGGCTCACCCTCCTCCCCTACTCCACGTCCCACACAATTCCCCCAATTCTCGATCGATTACTGTAAAATGTGCCCCCACTACCAACCACCCGTAAACCAAATTTATCGGTTGTTTGGCCCCACCGGTGGCCCATCCCGGGCCCTCTAGTGCTGCTGCTGTTGCACACACCTCCGTGAAGTTTTAGGGGCTCTTTGGGTGAATCGGGTCATAAAATGGGCTGCCTAGATGCCCATAAAGACGTCGATAAATTTGTGGCAACGACCCTCGGGGCCCAGAGACTTATCGTGGGGGGGTTGAGGGCCCCAACGGGGCGACCCCAATCTCCAGGGCCCATTATCACTGCCAAGACGGACGCGCTGTTTTTCGGTGGCGTACTGGCCGGGGCTTTACGGTCAAAATAGCCTTTATGGATCGTTAAGTGGTTATTACTATATTTAGTTATATCATGGCTAATATTATTATTTAGAGTAAGCCGAGTCTCGAATAGATACAGCCTATCAACGACTAGCTCTCTTGCTACCCTTATTTCTCGTCGTAAATAGGTGTATACGTAACTATCTGATGCACACGCTTGAACGCTAAAAGGCTTTTAAAGCTACTTCTTCCTTATTCAAGACGAAGTGAGCACGTCCGCCTTTTCATTACTTAATGGATCATCATCTTTTCAAGCCGTCCATGCTCGCATCATTATCGTATCCAAGAAGTAAAGCGGACAAAATCCATTGTCACAGCTTACCAGTCCCTTTAATCCCAACTTCCAATCGATTTTTTGATATCACGCGGAACCAAGTTTCCCACCGATCTACTGTACCCCCAAAAATGATCAACTACCACAGATAAAAGAGATGATCAAGGATAACCAACACTAGAAAAAGAATACAGTCGCCCGAAAGGGAGGAGTGTCGCGCCGCATACCGAAGGAATCAAGGGGGGTGGCGGGAAGTGGGCTGAGGGGGTCACATCCTTTAGTCAAAGTCGTAAATCTGCTCGCCGCCTACTCATTTGCGGATCATAAAGTGCGGATCGTACATGAGCGCACTCCCACTAGCCTTCTCACCAGACGATTGGCTCGTTTGAGCTATTGGGTCTGGATTTAAGATTCAGATGAACTTTTGAGCTTATTGTTAAGCGGAAGTTCGGCTTTGGCGTGCGTTTCGTCTAACTAGGGAAGTCCAAAATACCCGCAACACCGATCGGGCTGAAAATTTGCACATTTATAGAATCGACCACGCTGATAATTGCCTCGATTTCCGAATTTGCTACAGAACCTCAAAATTTGAGATATTAAAGTCTTAGTGTCAATTTTGGGTCTCCGGGAAGGGGTTTGTCAGGATATCGAACTTTTTTGTTTGTATTTTTCTAGTTATTTTAAGTAGCCTATCGGATAGAAAATTTTTTTCTGATTCAAATGGTATATTTTCCTAATGCACCAAGGACCTGGACGCTATCCTACAGCTGCTTGAAGTAGGCTGTTTTCTACCATTTCCCATAGTAAATTCGGAGTCCATACCAAGTATCGTCAATTTTTCCAATTTTTCGGGTTTTCGAAAATTTTGGGTTAGAGGGCTCATTCAAAAGAGAAAATTTTTCTGAATCTGATGGCGATGCTTGTTTTTCAGAAATCTGCCAAAAAGGAAAAAATAATCGAGTCCGAGGTTCGGCAATTTTAACTAAAGAATCGACTTAAAACTTTAATATCTCAAATTTTAAGGCTCTGTAGCAAATTCTGAAAACGAGGCGATTATCGGCGTGGTCGATTCTATAAGTGTACAAATTTTCAGCCCGATCGGTGTTGCGGGTATTTTGGACCTCCCTAGTAAGGTTGTGGCTTAGGTTTAGGCTTAGGCTTGGGCACAGGCTTAGGCTCGGGTTAGACTTACGTTTAGGCTTAGGCGTAGGCTTTAGAGCTAAGCTTGGCCTTACGTAGAGGCTTCTTGGCTTAGGCCTAAATTTCCAAGCCTAATTTTTATAAATAAAAAATTTCTGAACATCGTGTCGCTCCATCAGTTAAGTGGATCAAGAGATTGAGCACGATTTAATTTTACCAAGCCCAAAATGATATATCCCTGAAGGAAATTTTTTGCCTCGACCTCAATCCCACGTGATCTCTACAATTTTCAAATGATCCTCACTGCTTATTAGCCCTCAACGCGCGAGTCTATGATGACACATGGGTGCAAGACTTGCACATGTCGTGGTAGCGGCCTCTTTGTAGCCCCATCCGGCTCGTCCTCCCCAGCATGGGTCAAACTCAAAAATTTTGGCTATCCCGTTCTGCGCGGCGCTTTTGAAGATAGTTTATGTTTTGGTTAGTCACCGCTGTTTTGGGACTAGATTTAAAAAAATTACAAGTTGCCGAGGCCTTTAAATCGACCGGGAATCCGGGGGTAAGTCCAAAAACATCAGCTGGATCACGTGTTTACATAAATCGTCTAAGCTTGTTTTGACTAGATTTATTAGCATAAACAAAAGCTAGCGGGACGGCAGGAAAGAACCGTTTTTCTCCCTCTAGCTATTAGCCGACTACATAGACATTCATTTCGACTCGCGACGAATATTTGCGTTTCCTCCGCCCCAACTTTCCCTCCAATAAATCACAGATGTGTTAGAGTCACGCGGGAACCACCTAATAACTCGTGTCGCGCTAGACATTTTTCAAACGATCCGCTCTCATAACCATCGCTCCGCCAAAAGTCGATAATCGGGAGGACGAGCTGGCAATTTGGGCCCGTTACCGTACCGTGGGGCCCATTAGCTACGGTCTAAATCTTTAGACAATCCCAATTCCCTGTATGACTCAGGGTACCAAGCACCCAATTCCATTTATTAGCCTGTCTTACCGAGATTCAAAAGTTAGCCGCCGTTTGTTCGTGGGATTCAAAAAGTCAGCCCCTAGCAGCACCTCCCCCGGCACTGAACTACGGTATCTGAGCAACAGGCTCTCGACCCATCGCAACACGAATCAATGCTCAAGCCCTGGGCCAGCATCTCAGCCCCCCTTGCTCCTTCTTCTCTCCCCCTTCCTACCGTATCCCTCCGGCTCGGCTCTCCCTTTGATCCGGCCGAGACCACCGAATATTTCACTGGCTACCCCTCGTTTCCACTCTGACTCGTTGCCCGTTTTTTCTGCTGTCAGGCTCGCCACCCAATGCGCCGTCGCGAGCGCCAATGCCACCCATGAAAATGTCCAAAATTTGCGCGGGTCTGGAAATGGGCAAACAGATGCCTTTAATGGGAAAATAGGGGGTTCCCCGGGATATGGGGGATCTAAAGAAAAAGTGGCCTCGCATTCTTTGGATACGGTTTCTGGATGCCGATTGGATGGGGTGACCGAGCCGGAAGAGTCGAGGCTGAACGGGAGTCTGCGTACGGTCAGGATACCGTAGGGTGGATCGATAGAGCTCTTGACGCTATTTCGCGACAAGCCTTAATTAGTTTGATAATGTACTTCATAGATCCGGACATTCACAGAGAGTTCAAGTCGTTACGAGGAAATCCTGAATTGTGTCAACCTGTAATTTTCCCTTGGTCCTAATTTGCGCAGATTCATGTTTAGGTTGTTTTTTTGCCTCTTGCTTCTTACTTTATTTGCTGTAACTATTGTAACATTTTTGTGGATTTTCATCTCATCCGTCTTCAAATGGCGTCAATAATTCTTTCTAAAATTTGTCTTTCGTCAATCTATTTTTTCCTCACCGTTACTAAAAGCAAAGAATCCACTTGCCTCTTGTTGGTTGCTGTAATTCGGCTCTATCTCTATCTCCATGTAAATCGGCACTAGATTTTCGCAAATTTCGCAAATTATCGCGGATACGATACTTTAAAGGCGTTCGGACAGCGCAGTTAGTGTACTGAAAAAAACAGCGGCTCTAATTTTCCGCCAGACATCTATAGCAAATGAAAAACCGATTACACTGTTTTTATTTATTTAATCTTTGTTAGCCATCGCCTTCTATAAAATCTATTTTTTATATCTTCCAGGCTATTTTTTTAAAATGTCCGTTAGACAGAATTGAGTGACAACCAACTTTCCGCCAGATTAGAAATTAGAATGCGCAGCATAATCGGCCTCCTAGCATATGAACTCCGTTTCAGTTCAAGTCTCCGATTTGAACTCAAAAACGGTGCTGTGAAAATCGTCGGCTTGTTCAAAGGAAATGAGTCAGGTTGGAGGCACGTCGCACGGGGCGCACAGATTCCCCGCATTCCAAGCTACGGCCCTCAACGGTTAATGAAACATGAAATTTGAGGGAGTTAAGGTTTAATTAAAACATACAACAGCTTTAAAAATAGTTGCGCGCTGCGGTGGGCGTAGAAGACGTAGAAAGTATGTGTCTTCAAGTTTTCGTATGTATTTTTTGCAAGATCTAATCTTTCTGAAATTTTAAACAATTTATGCATTCAAATTAAGCTTTTTCTAAATCACTGGGACATCAATGATTTGCATAAAGTTTTAGCAAGTCGCTGAATTTATGTCTAAATAAGTAGCAATAGCTTAGACATTTTGAAACTACAGCCCCAACCCTTTACCTACGACAACGCAGATGATACAACCCAAAACATTTTTCCGTATTCCATTTTTCCGCATTCCACGTTTTACGATGGATTCCCATCCTCTGCTTCCAGCAATTATCAGGCTCTCCGTACAGTCCTTGCGGTTTTTCCTTTCGGTCATTTTTTTCAAAGCCCTGTTGATCTGGAAGCTAGATATAATATTAGATTTTGAAGTGCTTTTAATGCTCTACACAGTGGCGAAGCTGATCTTGTCTGAAATCAATGTTATGATTTTTAACAGGGTTTGAAAGTTGGGACCAAAATCAACCGATTTTGTCTTTGTTAAAAACTCCCGCCAATAAGCGGCTTGCAAACTTTTTGAAACTAGCAATCGGCTGAGCTCGTCAAGCGCTACAAAACGCGTCGTAAAAATTTTGTTTGAAAAATTACTCTGGGGAGATACAACTTGTCAAAATTTGGGCGGATGGGGGTTTTGGTCGACTAAAGAGCCACGTTAGTCGAATAAATCATTAAACGATCTTGGAAGCGCCCAAATAGCATTAGTATAACTTGAAACTTCAACTAATACTCTTTTCAGCTCTACCGGAGTGGACACAGCTATATATTAGTACATTCGAGAAAGTCAGCATCTCGAGGCCAACCAAATTTTGACAAGTTGCATCTCCCCAGAGCAATTTTTCAAACAAAACTTTCACGACGCGTTTTGTAGCGCTTGACGAGCTCAGACGATTGCTAGTTTCAAAAAGTCTGCATTGAGAACTCCTTCTACCGCCTGTGTACCCATTCTACCCCCTGGGACTTAAAGTGATAGCCATAGGTGATAATGACCGTCCATTAGAGTGCTATATTCCAGATGAGGCCCACATCTGAATAGAGGGGTTTGGAGTGTGAGGGAGGATAGGGGAGGACGATGTGTTTGGGGGAAGTAGGGATCCATCATGATGATGTGTGCCGGGGCCAGCCCGCCGCTTGATTTACAGCTCCTTTTGGCGGTCCACTTCAAAGGGCTGGCTGCCGATTGGGTGTGGGGCGTGGTCTTGCCCCTCCTACTGTAGTTGGGGCGAGGAGGAGCACGAGCACCGCCCCTTCTCCCCCCCTCCTCCTCCTAACCGCCTCTCGATTTGCCCTCCCCCTTTCGTACCTAATTGCCCCATCGTCGGCCTCGTTTACCGGATTTATGAACTGTCCTCCTCGAATCGGGGCTCTCTCCTTTTTCCAGCCCTTCTGGTCCAATCGTCCTCGTCTCGCCCCGGGCCTGCCGGTAAATCTTTGGCCCCCAGCAATTAGGATCGGCTAATTGAGACGGCACTTTTTGTATGAGACCGCTAATGACCTTTTTAAGAAAGCTATCACGCTTAAATAGGTGGTAACGGCGGGTGTTGAGGGCTTATTCGAGCTATCGGATGCTTTTATTCAACGATTTTTACATGAGTTATGCTTGTTATTCTGGGAACTACATACTTTGAGAGCACTATTAAGCTATTAACAAATTTATTATTATTAAATCCTTTCAACCGCTTACCAAACAAACTAGTGAAACGTCATATTCGTGATTTTGGCCAATTCTAAGAACTTGAGCTTCTCTTAGCTAGCAACTGGTAGAACTCGAATTTTTATTTGAAACGCATCATAGTATATTCTGAAAAATTTCTATTAGTGTTTGTCATACGGTATGCAAATGTGGAAGTTGTCTAACCCCATGGAAAGGTCGAACCCTCTTGGTCGTGGCCCATCCATTTCGGACTTTTTCTAGCCGCGCTCGAAGGTTTGCATTTGTCTTTTGGGACGCGAGAGGAGGAAACAGATCGATTGTCGTGTTTATTGTTTTAGAAGGGGGTTTAGAGGTTGCCAGAAAGCTTTTTAGTGAATTCAAAGCTGGCAGAAGCTGCTGGAATTAGAGGGTAGTGGTTAGGGTTTGTTTGCCGCTCATTAGAACGCCCCCGTGACTTCTAGAAGCTCAGAGAAAAATTTAAATGAAATTTAACAGAAATTCGTCGATTATAGGTGTAATATATTAACGCATAAGTCATAGCGGTTACTACGCTGAATTAAGCAGCTTCGCTAGCAAGTAGGATTCCAAGAAAAAGCACTGCAATCGAAAAACTAGAAGGTATGACCAATAACTGAATCGAGCGTTAGTCTAAGAGTTGAGGCTCCCCCCGAATCGATCGAAATTCGACATTGTGTGGGTGTGAAGAGTGGCGGGGATAGACTGACTCCCTTTTGGAAACGATCCGATCTACGCCCCCTTCGAAAGCATCCACCCAACCATTGGGTCGCATGTGGTGAGACGGGCTTTGCAAAACAAAGAAGCCGTTGTTTTAAGGAGGAGCACCAGCTAATGTGGGTTCTTATGGGTATTCCGTTGATTTAGTGGATGGCCCGGGGTCGATAAATTTGCATAAGGTTTTGGAAATTGTCGTTAGGAGGTGGAGCAAGATTTCGAAGCGTCTTCAGCTTCTCTTCAAGTTAGAATATACCTTAAATCATTGCTAGCTATTTCTATGTGTTCAATACATGACCATTTTTAATCTTCAATCGATATTGCTATTTAGTCTGTTTTGCTGTATGCAAATTCCAACAATTTCAGGTGAATGTATCCCGCGTGGGGTGGCGAAGACTATTGGAATGCGGGTGGCGGCGCGCAGCAGGCGCTTCAGCAGCCTGCCAAGGTGCTTATTTCTGGATTTAAATTATTTTTATCAGGAATTATGTAAATAGACGCATTCACGTTAGATTTGGCTAAAATATTGCACCAAGCATTATTAGCTTGGAAAATCTAGGCGTTAAAAGCTTGAAAAATCGAGAATTTGTTTCAAATGAAAATATTTAAATTTCAGGCTCTCTACGACCAAGTCGGGCTCTACAACAACACCTACATGAACAATATGAAAAATATGCTAGCCGCGCAATGGGCCGACAATGCAAATCCGTAAGTCACTCTTGCCGTTAATTTTCCCTTAAATCACCACACCCCCATGTTATTGTGCGAAAGTATATTATGATAGGGTCATTAATCGGATGTTTATGCGTTTGGTATGCATTAGGGGGGAGCCGTTCCCACATTTGTTTCTAGGGTGGTGGGGCTGGAATCCTCGTATTGTGCGCCAGATTACGACCCACGGAGGGCCCGGCCCCGGGGTTACGACCCCTCGGGTGCCCCGGCTGGTGGTGGGAGTTTCGGCTCTGATTCCGGGGCGATGATTTGCATAATTTGGGTGATTGCTGTGGGACTGCCAACACCAGAACTTCTAGGAGTCAGGTTATAGGTATATATAGTTGCTAAAATATAGAACTACAATTTAAATAGATTTGATTGTTGAATTAAAATTTGAATTTGAAACTTGAGTTTTCCAATTCCGGGCCATTTGAAAGGAATTAGCATACTCTAAATAAAATTAGCATAGTTAAGATACTCATTTCTTATGAAGAAATAAGGGCTTTTTGTGTCATACTCGTTGTTGAATTTAAAACTAGGATCTACACGTTGAAAAATACCTAAAACCGAGATTTTTAAAGCTAGGAGCTCAAGAAAAAAGAAATTACCATATGACGAGGCTACCATTTTTACAAAATCAAGCTATTTTATATATATATATATATTCATTATTTAGGTGTGGAACGACGCTTCAGATCAAAGCGCGCTTAAAATTGGATTTCGGCATATTTCAGTTCCTTAGGCTGACAAAATTAGCATAATTAGAATACGAATTTTAAGAAGGAGTCCTCCAAAACAAATACAGACAACTAAACGACATTGGATGTTTATCAAAAGGTCGCCTCGTTCTCGCGCGCCCCTTGACGAGGGCTGTAAAACATATGGCGCGGCGGCGCGCTGGGGCGCGGGGGCCGCAACATAACTTTTGCATCGCATAATTGCCAGGTTCGCCTTACCCCACACGATGCGACATTTATGATAACGGGCCCCACATCGCTCATTGTTAGACAGGCGGGAAAGTTTTGGTGGGTGCGGGTGGTCCTTTAGAAGGGATTGGAAGGCGACAGGTGGTTGAGTTTAAAGGTAGCGAAGTGAAGGTAGCACAATGGTTTTCTTTAAGGGATTTAAGGGATTGGTATTAGGCACAGAATTAAGCTGATTTGCATAAAATGTGGATTGAAAAGTCGAAAACGAGAATTCTAACTTGAAATTTTTTCCCCAGAAGCTGTGCTCTAAAAAATTCAATATTGTTATAAAAAATGAAATCAGTCTGATTTTGCATACAATAGGCTAGAGAGTTGTAAGTAAAATATAGAATTCCAGGATTCAAATTTGAAAATTCGTCCCAAACTGGGCCAGCTGGCCAGCAAAAAATTCCATGACTAGGCCCCTTTTTGCAGATTGCATAGCCAACTCCGGCCATTCCAGATTTGCCTACAACCCACTTCAACAAGCCGCCACCTCGGCCGCATTTCCGTCTGACCGAACTGTCGCGACGCTTTCCCAGCCCGTTTTCCCGTGGATGAAGATGTCCGGTGGGTCTTTTTTTCTGAGTTCTCGTCTATTCGCAACAGCTTTATCCATTTTTGTAATTTCTATTCAAGAACTGGGCTTAATTCAAAAGCTCCAACCAATCGATCCCAGTCCCCTTCCCAAACTCCCTTGTATCTCTTTCAAACCGACCGCCTCGGATTAGGCGTGACCCTAGCGCCTTCGGGCGACTTTACACCCTGAAGAGCCGGTGCGCAGCCAAGGGGGAGCGTCGAGCAACAGATGCCGGTGGCACTGTTTTGACAAGTTGACAAGCCGGATTAGCCGCCAAGGGGAAAGCCGTCACTCATCCTATCGCCCCATTGACCCCTTCGTGACCTGTGTAGTTTTGGGAAGGGTGCTAGAAGTTGTGGTTAGGGTTGGATGAAGCTTGGACTTGGGGTTAGTCTTAGGTGAGGATTGAGTTTATGCTTAGGCTTGGGCTTAAGCTCAGGTTTAGGCAGAAGCTTAGGCTCAGGCTTGGGCTCAGGTTTAGGCTTAGGCTTACGAGAAAACTTGGAACTGACTAAACAAGCCTAAAAAACTGTTGGTTTTAAGGTATCCTCTTATAACAGCTCGATTTATTCTAATCCTCCATTTCTGCCCTTCCACTTCATTTCTCCCGGTTTTAAACCCCCAATCCCTTCCTAACTATGCGTATCTGACGATATCGCACTCCAGCGATATCTGGTATCTAGTGAAAAGTGGGTATCTCCTCGGAGATCCGGCTGGGGACAATGGGATCAATACGGCGGCTCCGTGGCTACCGTAACCCCTCCCCCCACCCCCAGCCACCAGCCCACACCTGGCCATCCCCAATTCGCCTTTTGCAACGGCGTCAAACGCATAAATCGTCCGGCCAAGCGTCGCCGTCTCGTCCAAATTGCGTTTCCTAAAATGGACGATTTTCGGGGTGACGATATAGTGGTTGTATCTGTCTGGAGTGGTTCCGTAGGGCTGTAAATTAAAAAAAACCCGACGCTAACGTCTATAGATGGCGTCAACTGAATCGTAATTTGTGTAGATGATCTTATGGTAAATCGATAAATTGCATTTAATTTGCATCAAATATCGGATAATGCAACCTGATCTTTATGATAATTATAAAATCCTTTATGAAAATCGTAACTTGCGAGGCAGGTTAGCTATTAACAAGGCAAGTCTTTTAAAAAGAGTTAAGTTGCATGAATTTTAGTGCGATAAAGGATACATTTTTTTAGTGAGAAAATTCCTATCCACATCAATTTTGGATTTCGACGGTAGATATCAAACCCGAAACCGGTTTCTACCTAAATCCACAACCCGCCCAATCATCAAACCCAATCAATACCACCCCGGATTTCCGTATTCCCCACGATCGTCAATTTCTCTGGCCTCCACGAGAAAAATGGCGACCACCGGGGGGAGAAAAATGAACGACAAAGGCGGAAAGTGTGAAATATGGCCTTCCAAAGGTGTGCCCCCCAGAGCCCCCCAAGCCTTCCCCCGCCGTCTCAGCCAGGCAGGCAAAAAAAACTTCTGACTTTGAAATGAGGAGAGTTCGGCGTCGGGGGATTATTTCTAGACACTAGAGCGCTAAATTCCTTCAAAAAGAGCTGACATCCCGCAAACAATTCCCTATCCTCCAAAACCAAACCCCCATCCCCCGGTGTCATTTTCAAAGCACCGAAAAAAACCCTACCAACCCCTCTGCCACCCCAGCGACACCACCAACCATTATTCCATCAGCGTCGCCACTTCATAAAGCTGACGGAAGCCTCCGAAATTATAGGGTCCATTGGCGAGGGGGTGTCTGATTCGCCGCACAGAAACCACGGGGGGGTTTCTGGTGTGAGCCGTTGGGCCAAAAGAGATTTGCATCCTGGGGAGCCCCGTCGGGACCGATTTGTTTCCGGTTGCAACCGGCGTGGGGGTGGGGTTTGATTAATTTACAACTGATAGCGGTGTTGTAAATGGGTGGGTGAGGAGTTAATACACGGTTTTGAGGGTTTGGTGATTAACCGGAAATTTTTGAGGAGGATGAGGTTGAAATTTAATCTTAGGCTTAGGCTTAGGTTAAAGCCTTGAAAACTTTTTATTAGCTGCTACGTGGCTTATGCTCACTTTCATTAATGCACCATTTCCGGACCTTTTCTGACCTCCCGATCCCCTTAAACATACAAAACCCCCCCAATTTCCTACTCCTTTAATCCACTAAATCCACCCAACCATCCCTTCTCCGCCCCATCCGTTTCCCTGCGGTCATATTTTCGGGTTGTCGCTCCCGGAGGGCCAACCCTAGCAAAGAAGGCAAAAGAACAAAATTGAGGAGCCCCTGGTTCGAGCCGGGCCCTACCAACCAGGCGATCATGGCCAGCAGCCGCTCTGGCGAAGATCAAAGGCACTCCGACACAGCCATATTTTAAACATTTTGACAAATAGTTGCGAAAGAAGGAGGAGGGGGAAGCCCTGCATTGAACAGTTGTCTGTCCCATCTACTGGCTCTTCGCCTTTCGAATAACAGCGGGTGCAATCAGGGGGAGAGGATGTGCATGCTTACCAATACCTTCGATTGAGGGGTAGTGAGTCAGATTAAAGGGGGTCATGCAAAATCTGTAAAACTTAAAAGTATACTTCTGAAAACGGAAAGAATCATAATATCGCCGCTTTGGAGCTGCTTTAAAGGGATCGTGCAAGAAAGAGATGAACACCAAAGCCTATACCTAAGCCATGCCTAAGCCTATAACAAAACCTAGAAGCCTAAGCATCTGCTAAGCCTGTGTTTAAGCCCAAAGCTAAGCTTATTCCTACACCCGACCCGAAGCTCAGTACCGTAACCCAAACGACCTCATCTATTCTAATTTCCTCTAATGAATGTTCAAAAAAACCATCAATCAATCAACCAACCCGCCAGCATTCCAACCCAGCCAAACCAAGCAATATTTTTCAATTACTGCCTTCTATTTGAGGAGAATCGCGTGAAAGCGGTGATCCGGGCCCCGCTCTTTCTTTCCATCGGGGCCCCGCTTTCCACCCAATAATGGCCTCCTGGATACTGCCAATTTGCATTTCCATCCCGTCCTGCCCCATCCAACCGCCAATATCCCCCACACCCAACGTGGTGCCGCCAGGACTGTGGAGGTTATAGGGGAAAGGGGGGGGGTATGTAAGGGTAAAATAGTAATGTACATGTAAAACGTTGGGATGTTTTTCAAATCTTAATGGGTCAAACCGGGTTGCTGGCTGCTCTAAAAAGCGAGGAATTTAACCTAGTTTGTATTTTTAAAGCTTTCTTTAGAAACTTTGGGAAAAGCTCCCGTTTGTCGTGTTCGCCCTCTTATTTTTCTGCCCAAAAATATTGTGGATTATCGTCATCAAATTAATAATCAAATTACTGGTTGAATTCGGTGAATTCCGTTGGCCAAAAAATCAAAAATTCGCCGTATTTTCGATTCTTGGCAACTGCCCCGACTCGTACTCCTATACACAAGAGAAAAACTCCAAACAAAAAAAAACTAATAATTTTACACAAGTTACTATGAATTACCGTAATCCAATCACTCTTACCAAACCTGTTTCAAAAATTATTCCCTCCACTTGAGGCCAGTTCCGAGATGATACACTCCCTCCAGCGTATCGGCCCCCGATCTGGCACCAAAAACTCGAGCTCCCCCCTCACTCCCGATTCTATCAGCACAATTTTACGATCTTCCCCCCGAGAACGTAGGTGTGCATCGAGATGACAAGGCTGTTGCGTGTCCCTCTTCCTCTTCTCTTGCTCATCTACCCATCTCTTCCCCATTTATGGTCTCGCAGCGGGAAGGCCACATATTCACCCGGTATAAATCAGTCGGAGGGCCCCCGAAATTGGACAGCCCGATGGCCCTACGGCTACCGTAGATAGACGGAAATCGAGACGAAGGGCCACCTGCCCCAAACCCCTTTATTCTAGCCCTAACCGTCACGAAATTCTCGAAATTCGCCTTTTAATGGAGCGGTGGCTGGCTTTTGTTGGGTTGATGGGGAAGACGGGTATGATTTTGGGGTAAACTAAAGCTAAAACAACTTATATTAGACTTTATATAACTTTATTTCAGGCCTAGGAGCCAAAAATGGTGAATCGAAGCGCACGCGCCAGACCTACTCCCGGACACAAACCCTTGAACTTGAAAAGGTTGAATTTTTTGAAAAGCTTTATAAATTATATTTTTAGGAATTCCACTTCAACAAATATTTGACCAGGAAGCGACGCCAAGAAATTTCGGAAACGCTGGCCCTAACCGAACGCCAAGTGAAGATATGGTTCCAGAATCGTCGTATGAAGCATAAAAAGGAGACGAAGGGCGAAGGTTAGAAATTTGCCTCTTTAGTAATTTTTTTAACGTGGATTTTATACACCTAAAAATATTTGAAGGTGGACTTGACAACGATAGCGAAGGTGACGAAGAAGACGACAAGAAAAGCCCGGGCGCCAACAAAAACCACAACATGATGAGCCCGAATACCGTACCTCTTTCCGCAAATTCCATGCCCAGCCATGAAACCCCATAGGTTTGAATGAATTTTGTATGAAACCTTGTAATTTTTGGCTGTTATCTGGTAATCGCAGAACAGAAAAACTTGACAAAACAGTCAAAAATTAAAAGTAAAGTTTAATTTCTATTTTTGTTTCGAAAGGCTCCTTTCTTCCCATCCATCTTTGCATACATTCTCCACAGTCGCGGGTTTCTATCCCCCCAAGTCAAAATATTTTTTTGTCGTAGCTTGTTTAAGATGATGAACAGGGTGCCAGGAGGGCTTGCGGCGACGTGTAAACTATAGTTTTAAAAATTTTGCAGTTTTTTAAGTAAGATATAGAAAATATTCATGTCTCTCAGCAAGCCCCGGCCCGATATACGCGTCAAGCAATCAAAATAAAAACTATACCCCCGCTTGACATTAAACTCGATCTCGCCTCAGATCCCTTACCCTATTCTCTAACCTATATTTTCTTATTCCTCACGATTCCCCAGAAGCGTTTCCCCCCTTCTGCACATATCGGTCAATGCTTTAGCCATATTTGTGCTTATTGCTTATGGTACCCCCCTCATACATTCTATTGGCCTTCGATATAGTGTTTGGAATTGATTGTTTTAATCCATTTAACATGCCCTGCCCCCAATATTTTCCCAGAGCTCCGGACCATCATCCAACGATGCGGCCGGCCCCGAAATTTGTAGTCACCACAACCCCCGTGCATCGTGTCTCTGTTTTCTCTTAATTTTTCTTTTCGATAAACCTATACTTTCATGCAAATGAGGATTTTATATAGCATTCAAATCGAGTTTGATCGAATCGAATCCACAATGATACGGAAAGTCGGGTTTCTAGCAAAATGTCGAAATTCATAATTTCGAGATCTCATTGCGTCGACATTTCAGAACGTCGAAATTTTGTTATGTCAAAATTCAGAATGTCGAAATTGACATAAGCTAAGTTTCCCCAAAAACCCGCAAAGCCTATGCAAAAAATGACGACATTCTAAATTTCGACATTTTGAATTTAGCCATTATGAAATTTCGACATGATGGATTTCGACATTTTGATTTTCAATATTATGATTTATACATTATGATTTTCGATATTATGATAGCAATTTATTGTGTCATTAGTGCGTATAACCTTAAAACCACACTTGCAAATCAATTTCCTGACCCGCGCTCCCGCTCAAATTGGTGTAAAGGTATCTCTCGCCCACTAGAACAAGTGTTGTTGTGCCTTGTTCTCGCCGTGGCGACAATATTGCTATGCGGATGGATGTGGAACACTGATGGAGCAGCCGGCCCGCCATTTGGCCCTCCTCTACCCTAAATCATCCACCACCACTGAACAGCGCATCGTGTCTTCCAGCCCTCCACCCCCGGCAAGGCTTCACCCTCACACTACCCCCATCGTCCGAAGCAGACCGGATAGATTTGAGTGGGAATAGAAAAGAATTAAAAAAGAAAAGACTTTGAGCGTCGGGAATCTAGTTCAACTAAACTAAAATTAAACATAGAATAGCCCAATTTAATGCCTAGGCTCAGGCATAGGGTTAAGCCTAGGCTTAGGCACAGGCTGATGCGCGCTTAGGCCCAGTTTCGGCTTGGGCGTAGGCTTAGTCTTAGACTTTTGCGTGGCTTAGGCCGGACGTAAAGTTGTCTTGTTGTGTTTTTCCTTTTGACGAAATATGGTATAGTCTTTTAATTTTCCAAAAGGGCTCTGAAAAAAAGCTTGCGACGTCGAAACTCGGCCGTTTTTACCTTTCACGTTTTTTGGGAGTTCTTGGGTCTACGCCTTTTTCAAATCTTTGTTGGATGGAATAACGATCCGTTTACGCAAGCATAGGCTACCATAACCCCGTGATTATATTCGAATGTACCCTCTTGACCCCGATGGTTCTATGCATCAATGGCGGCGAATTCGTACACCTGCGCATCTGCTTCATCCCCCGACCTCCTCGATTATCTTTCAGTCATTTCATCTTCTCATTTCCACTGACTTTCCCCTTTACCGAATTTTAACTCTAGAAGGATGACGATCTTGGATGCCAACGACAGTAATGCTGCTCAACAGGGCATTGTGGATCCTGCCAATCCCGAAAAGAGAAAACTCATACAACAACAACTCGTCCTCTTGCTCCATGCTCACAAGTGCCAGGTATGTTGTTGTTGGGCCTTGGAATTGTTTAATTTTAGCAGCGACAATCGACCTGCAATCTGCCGCACTGCTCGACGATGAAGGAGGTGCTCCTGCATATGACATCTTGCAATGCGGAAAGAACGTGCAGTTGTAAGGGATTTTATCTAGTGCATCGATATTTTTGTAGTCCCACACTGTGCTTCATCCCGGCAAATAATGGCTCATTGGAAGAACTGCAGTCGTGCCGATTGTCCCTTATGCAAGCCGTTGAAGGCCGCTCAATCCATCCAGAATGCTCAGGGAGCAGCACCTGGAGGAGGTAGACAATGTAATCAAAGTCTACCTTACCGTAACCTAGGTGATCAAGCCTTCCCAACGGATGCCGGCTCATCCTCGTCGTCAGCTGTCGGCCTACCCCAGGGTGGTGTGCAAGGTATCCGAGCTGGATTGGATATGCTCGACTTTGGAGGTATCTATAAAGATTGCAGAATCTAGCTTTAACATTGAAAAATAAAATTAAAAGCAATTTTTCTCTTTCAGACAACGCTCCCCCAATCAAAGAATGGCATCAACAAGTCACAAAAGACCTCCGAAACCATCTCGTCGGCAAATTGGTGAAAGCCATCTTCCCAAGCCCCGACCCAGCAGCAATGCACGATCAAAGAATAAAAGACCTGATCAGCTACGCGAGAAAAGTGGAGAAGGAGATGTTCGAACTGGCGGAAGATCGCGAGGAATACTATCATCTCTTGGCCGAGAAGATCTTCAAGATCCAGCAGGAGCTCCTAGAAAAGAAGCAAAATCGGCAACAGCAACATGAGCCACGCGTTGAACAAGAGCAGCACCAGTCACAACAACAACAACACGATAGAAAATGTAAGTCAATTTAACCAGTAATTAAAGCCCTGGAAAGTGTTGATTCTGGTGGCCGGAAACGCTGCTCGCCGGCTTTTATTTGTTAGCTTTAAATCTTTCGTTCTTGCTTGCATATTGAAACGAAATTTTTTCTTTCAAGTCGACACGCTCCCAGTCGAAGACCATAGGTTTGCGGAAAGGATCAACACCATCCAATGGGAGTTTCAAGAAAGGAACCAGGCCCAAAGGGAGCAACAACCGCATGAGCCTCGCGTAGAACAGGAGCACTATCAACAAGCCGGTAAGCGATCGTTAAAATTTTCTTGGTATTCAGACATGTGGAAGCCATTTAAAAAATCCAACCAAAATTTTTTTCAGATGCAGTCGCGCGCAACGAAGAGCAGGAGATGGTTGCGAACGAAGTTCTGAATCCCAACATAGCAGGAAAATCGCCACCTACCTGCGAAGGATTGCGAGACTTGCTACTTCCGGTTTGGGAGAAGCTCAACAGCTGTCAGGCTGCTCACCCCTTCCGGACGCCTGTCGATCCGGACATTCTTGGCATTCCGGTGAGCTAAAAAATGTTCCTTCAAAAAAAAGTCAGAAATCCGCTGGATTTGAATTGGACATTCTCTAAATTCCAGGACTATTTTGACATCGTGATCCACCCAATGGACCTCTCAACAATTCGTCAAAAACTTCATGAAACTTCATACACTAATCCCTGGGAGTTTTGCGATGACGTCTGGCTGATGCTGGAGAACGCATGGCTATACAACCGAACCGGCAGTGTAGTATTCAAACATGCTACAAAGGTAAAAATCATCTAAGAAAAAAAAATAATAATGACTCGCTAAAATTTAGCTCTCAGAACTATTGATGGATGAAATGAATCCACTGATGCGGGAGCTGGGATATTGCTGTGCCAGCCAACCAAGCGAGTCCCTGCTTTGTAATGGGAAGCATGGTTGTATAATTGATCGTGATCAACCGTACATGGGGTTGGTATTTGGTTATGATAGTTTAGAACGTCTAGGTTACATCGTAAAGTACAATAAATTATCCTAAAAACTTTAGATGCGAAAGTACCTACAACTTATCTGGAATGGAATTCACCGAGAAGCTGAGCTACTGCTGGGAATGCTATGAGAAAATGCCTGCTGGTGGACATACTGTCCGGGGCGAGCGTAATTCTACGTTCCAGATCCCTAAGGTAATAGAACCATCTAAATCACTAAAAAAATCTAGGAGTCATTTATGATGAAAATCTACAACCCGGTCGATTATGTCAGCTTCGAGCATTGTAAGCGCTGCGACCGGAAATGCCATAAATCGTGTATCGGAAAAGACCTTCCAAATGGCTTCATTTGCCCAAGCTGCTTCTGGACGGTCGAGATGGTGCGGCCGGTACAGCAGCCTGGTAAGTCATTTAATTAGCGAAGTTTACAGAGGTTTCAGCTCAAGAGCCACAAGCCCCTAGCGAAGACGCCGTGTTTTCAAGCCGTCAGCTGAAAGTTAGCCTACTTCCGCTATGGAAGGTTCTGAACGACCATCCGGCTGCTCAACCATTTCGTGTTCCGGTCGATCCTGAGCTTCTTGGCATTCCGGTAACTTTCCAGACCTAGAGAAGTATTAATGTTTTTCAGGACTACCCGAAGATCGTGAAGAACCCTATGGATCTCGGGACGATTCATCAAAAGCTTGAAAACGAGCAATATAAAACTGCTCGAGAGGTCTGTGATGATATCTGGTTGATGCTGGAAAACGCGTGGCTCTACAACCGAAAGAACAGCAAGGTCTACAGATTCGCAAGCCAGGTACGGTACTACATAGTTTACAGCAATTAAGAAGAAACCAGGGTTGAAAAGCCGCTTCGCGACTTTTCAACCCTGGCCCCGTCTAACGCCATTATATTCTTCACTCTGCATACGTCTCTCGAATTCTTATGTGAAAAAGAACAACACCGCTCTCACGCGCTACCACCACTTCCGGCTTATGCTAATTATTTCCTAACAAAGAAGGCCGCCAATTTTTCAACAAAAACCTAATTTTAATGTCGAAAATATCGTAATGGGCAAAATCTGATATGCATGCAGTCATCTCGGGGCCGTGACGCACCTAATGACGTATCAAACCTATCTTAAAAACCTTCCCCTTTTGAGATACTACTGGAACACGCTGACGGAAGTTGCATGCAAATGCACACACACACACACAGAAACTATTTTTTTTTATATATAGTAGGATTTAGCTTCGCGAAGCATTTTTGGCTCTGTGGACACCGAAAATGAAGGAGATGGGGTACTGTTGTGTTGAAAAAACGCACCCAATCGTGTGTTATGAGAAATTGTGCAACGCTAAGATTGAGCATCCCAATCAAGCTTATATGTGGTGAGTTTCGTAACTTTTATAGTAGACATGAAAAACCTCAGCTATGAGCGGACCTACGATCTCGATGGAATTCAAATCAACGAAGAGATCAGCTACTGTTGGGCATGCTATCAAAATCTTCCTGAGTCTGACCTTACTACCGAATCCCACCTTATTCCGAAGGTACAACATACCTCGAGAAAACCAAAGAAAAATTTTAGGAAGAATTTTTGTTGATGATCCATACGCCGGTCGATTATGAGACCCTAGAGCCCTGCAAGCTGTGCAACCGGAAATGGCATAAAGCTTGTATTGAAAAAGATGGACAAGATCTCTCAAGTGGCTTCATCTGCCATAGCTGTTGCCCGGAGAAGATGCCAGAAGCGTCGGTGAATCAGCCCATTGAACCGGAAGCCGGACTAGCCAAATCCAAGCCAATGAAACTAGAGGTTGTATTATAGATTCCCAAACAGAAAACCGAATTTTTAGACTGCTGACACGACGACTACAGTTATCCCGCCAACAATGCGTCAGAAGGTTTTGCGGAAAGCCGAAGAAATTATGATGGCTCGTCGACCACATTCTGGTTCAGAAATGGCACGAAGGTAAGGTGTTCTGAAAATGTTAGGCTATATTTTCGACCTTCCATAAAGTTAGAATGGCATTTCCTGGAATTAAAATCCCAATCCAAATTCCCAGGCTCCAAAAATTGATTACCAGGGGTGTCACAACACATGCGCGATCATCGTACCGATCCCTCTTGATAATCCTCCCCCCGGCCCCCATAAAAAAGGTGTGCTCTCTCTCTCGAGGGATACGGATACGAGAATTGTCAGTCTATCCGTCTGTCTGTCTATCTGTCTGTCCCTTTCTATCCTTTTGTGTGTAGCGTCGTTATGCCCGATACAAATGTCTCTCCATCTAGGGCGATTTGTCCCAGCAAACTTTCGCCTGATCAATCGTTTCCTCCCCCCTCGCAACGCAGTCGTTGCCTGAAAAACAGGATTGTGCTGTTATGTTTATTGAATAGTATTGAGGACGTTCTGATTTCTAAATTTTTGGCGTGTCCTGATAGGCTTCTTGCAAGATGCTTAAGGCTAGCAGTAAATCGAGGTTTGTCAAGAAATGAAAAAAATACATTATGTATTAGGTTTTTAAATAAAATTTCAGGCTCTGGCTGATCTGTATGCTAATTGCGGTCTTTGGAGCCCTCGGAATCGCGATTGCCCTTACTCTTTTTGCGGGCCTGGTGGCAGGGATCGGAATTGCGGTGATCATCGCCTTATTGGCCCTAGCATACTTCGCGGCTATTAAACGAGGTGGGCTTATTATGCTAATTTCGATACACTAACCCGCTTGCCTGCTAACCGGGGTAACCCGCTAATTTAGATTACACTATAACCGACCGGCGGCAGTTAGAGTCGAGGGAAAGTCTCAAGGAAACGGAGGAGGGATGGACGATCGATGGACGGCTCTTTTAAGTGAAGCATAACCCTTAATTCTATAATTTATTTCCAATGCAACTCATCTATTTTTAATCTATGCTACGCATTTTATATGCTAATTATATAACCTCACGACAATCACTTATCTTTTGACGGCTTTACTAATAAATATGGATTAATACCACCAACAAACACAAAGTAAAATTGCTTAAGAACGTGGCGATACCGTACAACCACAAAGGATATCAGCCACACGCTCCACTGGCCCTTCATCTGAAGCGAGCAGTCGATACGACAAAGCCCTCGATTTGATTATCAATGGAGACAATGACCAATATAGACCTCAAGTATATCGCCAAAACAACAATTAATTTCTAAAAATTAGATCTTGGTCCTAACCGGAAACCCGGCAGCGCGTCCGGGTCTTGTCGATCTAGCCGCTAATTTTACGAGGTCAAGCTTATTACTTTGTGGGTATATCCTTCAAGTAAGTAATGGAAACTGAGGTTTTCTATAAAGTTCCATATCAGGAACCCGTAAATAATCGAATATTTAACAAGGAAGAGAAGATCGATCGCCATTTTAAGGTATGGTTTTTTTTCTTCTTTTATAATAGATAATTAGAAATGGATGGCAAAACGGGAAGTAAAAGGAGAATTAGTTACTGTAGCTAGTGATACGATGGCAATGGGGACCTCCATTTTTATGCAGGTGAAAATGGATTAATTTATTCTATTGTTGAGTTTAGACTGTCGGAATCGGGCTACTGAAACCAAATATTCTAATGATGGGCTTCAAAACAAATTGGGCGAAAAAGGCAAAGGAAGGAATGAATGAGATTATTGATTATTATAAAACGATCGAGTAAGTTAGCATTTATTGCTTAAAATATAAGTTCAGAGTGGCACTTTCGAAGAACGTTGCCTTGGTTATATTCCGTAATTCTTGTTGCGGATTGGATCATACAGAGTCGATGCGGAAATTCCAGGTAGGGCCCGGAACCATACTTTCAATATGTTTTCTTAGATTAACCTGCACGACCTGGACATTGATAATATTGCTAACAAGAACGAGTAATTTTTAACAGCAAATTTTCTATATTTTCAGCCTGACAATAACGGCAAATGCTGGAAAAATATTGCGAAAGGAAATGGCACAAGATGAGCTATCGTCCGAGCCGTTGGTGAGCCTACAAGAATTAGAATATGATTTTTGTCTTAGCCCAGAGCCTCAGGAAGTTCGGTAGCTCGTTTTAAGACCAGTACCGTAAATACCGAAGCCCAAATGTTTGTGAACGAGCTGAGAAAATTCCGATATCCGGTAAGCACAACCTAGCGGTAAATATGCATCCCTAGGTCAGAAGCGGTGTGATCGACGTATGGTGGCTACAGGATAATGGTGGAATGGCCATGTTTTTACCGTATTTACTGACGCAAGAAGGGAGCTATTTGGAGGTGAGCTACAGTAATACGATTAACTATATTGTCAGTTTTAGGGAGCAAAAATTCGTGTATTCATCTCCTCACAAAAATGCAATGACCCGAAGTTGCAGGTATTTTATCGAATAGGTTTACCTGGAAGTTTTAGACGATGCTTACTAAATTACGTAAATATGGATTGCATACAGATGATTTGCATGTCCTTTCGACATTCGATGAGATGCCCGCGAAGGAGATGTAAATCAACTATAATAATTTTCTTGACGCGTCTGTCCGTCTGTCCGTCCGTGTGAAGCCGAATTCAACTCGAAGGGGAAAGGAGCTAGAGCTTAGCTCTCTTCGGATTCGGATAGAGCGTGCTCGGAAACCCCCAAACTGATTAAAAAATTATCGAAAAAGTTTTTGTTTAAATTATTAAAATTAACTTTGAAAGTTTTTCCTTAGTAAAAGGAGTGGGGCCCCTCTCCCGGGAGGCCACGCCCCCCTTTCCCCTCGCCCTCTTCGCCAGGCCCCTTCCCGCGCCCAGATCGCTTTCTTAAGTTACTTTAATACTTTTTAATATACTTTTTAATACTTTTAATTATGTTAATTAATTATTTAAATTATTTCAAGTATCTAGGAAGGTATTTAGGTAGTTTTTGAAGGGGATTTCAGCCATGGGGGGTATCTGAAGCCATCAGGAAGGTATTTAGGTAGTTTTTGAAGGGGATTTCAGCCATGGGGGCTATCTAAAGCCAACAGGAAGGTATTTAGGTAGTTTTTGAAGGGGATTTCAGCCATGGGGGTATCTGAAGCCATCAGGAAGGTATTTAGGTAGTTTTTGAAGGGGATTTCGGCTATGCGGGTTCCTAAAAATATCAGCATATGTAATGATGAAAGTAGCGAGAGATGTGGTGGTGTAGAATATGGAGGGTAGCCCGAAGGCCAGTCGATTAGAGTCGCGAAGCGGCTGTAATCGGCTGGTTTATAGATAGAACAGTATCTCCCGAAATTTAGTCAAGAAGATTTTGCCTCGAAAATCCAATATCTAAATAATGATCTGGTTTCGCCGGGACAAGGTATAGTTTTTGACTTTTTTTTTGTTTGTTCGATATAGGCTACACGAGCAACCGAGAGCTGAAGAGCATGGAAGAGAGGACGATGAAATATTTGAGAATCGCGGAATTGCTTCGAGAAAATTCGGGAACCGCTGATATGATTGTGGTGTATGTTTAGATGATTGAATACCTCTTTAGCATAAAAATTTAGGACATTGCCGCAGACCCGAGCCGAAGAGGTGTCTCCAACATTGCTGATGGCGTGGTTGGATGTGATTTCGGATCGCCTGCCACCTGTGCTACTCGTTAGAGGGAATAACGTGAATGTGCAGACGTATTTCAATAATTAGAATATCTTGGAATCATTGTAAATAAATATAGTAGCGACCAAAAGTATGGGAATTTTTTTTGTTGACGAAAATTCATGGCCCTCCGCATCTTCCTTGTACCTTTACAAGCCTATTTGAGGTCGATTTTTCAACACAGAATTCAATTTGCATCTGGAAGAGCATCAAAGATAATGTCGAAAAAAATTTCGTACAAGACCTTGGAGGCCCTGGTGTGATTGCTGCGATTTTTCGAAGTCCTCGCTTTTCGCGTTTTGGAGCAAAGGGGGTAGCGCGTCGATTTTTGGTACGAGATTTTTGGTAAAATTCTCCTCTGCCATTTGCGCTCGTCAGAATTTCGCCCTTGACTTTTTCAAACCAGCTTGAGACGCTGATTGCGATGTGCTAACTGACATGCCGAAAAATCGCGTTTGTGGTTTAATGATTTTTTTAAGTTGCAACTGGGCACCCAGCAAGCTCCCTCATCGGCCGTAATTTCCAAGGCTGGCATCGCAAGAAATCAACCGTGCGAAATCCTGACTACGTTCTGATACCGATCATTCCGCCACATTCCGCTTTGCAAAAAACTGCTGATCCACGACCAGCCAGGCTGACCGCATCATCAGCCGTGGTGGATGGACGTGGCCCACCCAGCGCCCTTCCGCATGCATCCTGACGGCTGTCATGCCCCGGCCACTTCCTATAAGAGGGTCCAAATGCTCCGCCCACAACTCTGTCGGCAGCCAAGAATGTTTCAGGTGAAGCGTTCAGGTTCTGGTTATGATTTCGTTACTCATCAGACGTTGCAACTCGGACATTACTGTTCTATTCTTCTTACCTACCCTTAAGCTATGCTACTGTATACTGGTACTTTAAATTTTGTATTCAACGACGATGTAGTATACCTTAACTTTAGGTGATATTTTTTCCAATCCAATCATAAAATCAATCACCAAATCCTTACCACCCCCAAAAAAATCCCGTCTGGAACGCGGAGTGGTGCCTATTTGCGTACAAGAAGGGAAGCCGCGACGGTGTCAACCAGCGCCCTAGACCCTCACCTCTCTCTTTGTTTTATTCCCAAACCCTGCACCCGATTCTTCTTGATTTGATGATCCGAACGCTTTTCTATTTAATTGTTTTTGTCTTTGCTTTTTACAAACTTTCCAGAAAATAAGGCTTATCCCTATGAATTTATCGTCCTTTCGATTTACATCCTAATTAGCCGCTTATACTGAATTTCTATGCATATCGTTTCAAAAACCGTTGCTTCTAGTCGGATGAAAATCCGTTTCCTGCTGTTGCTACTTGTTGCGGGGAGCTGCAGTGCTCTCGAAAAGAAAACTGTAAATGCAACTGATGCTCCATTGAACAATGGTACCAGGATTCCTAAAGTCGCGAGAGCTCCGGCAAAAACTGTGAGTTCTATCGTTAATTTGAATATATGCAATTTTTCTAGAAATCGGTAATTCTAAGTGACGTGCCAGCTGAGGATAAAGTTGATAAAGATGCACTCGCAAAGAAGGGAAAAGGTAGGGAAGCAGGATGCCTGTGTTGTTGTGGATTTATGTAAAATTTTGTATTTACTAAATAGACTTGAGTTTTTCACATAATCTGAAGCATGAGTTTCCTACTAACGAGGCAATTTAGAACCAAATTTTGAGCTTTTTTTGTGGTGGGGCTGGTGGCCCATGAAGGGTGCCGTTCAGCCTCGCCTTTAGACTTCGCCCTCCGCATTCCAGTAACGTACAACCAAGGCGCGCTCATCGCTTTTCCGGCGGTTGCTAAAATCTCTTCCGGAAAGCAATTTGGAACGTCAAAGGCTAGTCAACTCTCGAAGAAGGTAGAAGATTTAATTAATACCTCTATATTTATCAGCCTTTAAAATCAATGATTTTTAAGGAGCTCGGAGAATATCAGCGAGGTATGAATGATGAATATGCACGCCTGGTTAATTCACTAAATAATGGAAGGTCGAGAGGAGCAAGTTACGGTACTTTACATATTATTATTTTTTAATTCAGAATTAAATTTAGGACAGGCCCCTCAACCACGAGCCGAAAGTTATGGCCCTCAGGAATCCGGAAGCCCATATGAAAAGTAGGTTACATTTTATATAATTATCACTAACCAAAATATTATAAGGATAATAAATAACCTTTTATAAATAATTTAAGTGGCTACATGGGAGTCCCGGATGCAGAAACCGGAAACTACAAGGGTGCAATCACAAAAGGAGGCAAGCATCAGCCTGATCGACGAACCTTTGGAAGCTATGGTAGCTAGTAATTTTTTTTTTTAATAAAAAGAATAAAAAAAAAAAAAAAAAAAAAAATTTTTTTTTTGGGAATAAAAAAAAAAAAAAAAAAAAAAAAGGGGGGGGGGGAAGGAAGGATAAAAAAGTTCCAAATATAATTTTTTTTCAGGTTCAATCGATTCGCCAAAATCCTCCGCCGGCACTCGAAGCGGAGCCAATGGCAAAAGGAGCATGGGTATGTTAATTTTTGATGCTGAAAGTATCAGCTCATCTAAGGAAGCGGCTATAAGGCTACCGGAAATCTTTATTCTTCGGGTGGAGGTGGCGCGAATCAAGAATATTCTGATGGTATATGTTTTAGCATATAAAAACAGACAGAATTTTAGGCTATGGATCTGATGGCCAAGACAGTTATTCTGGAGGTTCCCAAAGTGCGTACGGCGGTGATGAGGATCGATATTCGTCGTCTTCTTCGTCTGCACCGACTGCTAGTAATAGCTATCCATCTAGCTCCGGGTAAGGGAAAAACTACCTAGGTTATATCCAAAAATTTTAGTATGAGACCCCAGCCCGCCGAATATGGATCATCCTCTAATTATGGAGCACCACCCCCAAACGCTGGTTATCCGAGCAATCAGAATAGTGGATATTACGGATCGTCATCAGGCTATGGACAGCCTGGATACGGTGTTCAGCAACCAGCTCCCGGCCAATATGGCACTTATTCCAGCTATACAGTTCCTCCCCAACCAGCCTATCCACAACAACCCCACACGAACAGCTACCAAGCAGGCTATGAAACTGGATATCCTTCGGCACCTCAAGAAAATATCTACCAAACTGCCCAACCGAGTTATCCGGGAAATTATGGAGCACCGTCCGCTCCTTCAAGCTATGGCCCGTCTGGATACGGCCAATCTGGAGGATACGTAGCCCCCGCTCAGCCCGCTCCAACTACAGATTATAATTCTGGACCCTCGTCTGGCTACGGAACTTATTCAAGCTACAGTGGTAGCCCGCAAGGCGGATCATCGTCTGGAATTTCCGATTATGGTCAGAATGGAGGAGGTTACGGAAATGGAGGTGGATACGAAAGCTCAAGCCAAGGCTACCAGAATATGGGCGGTTCCGGGAATAGCGATTACGGAGCTTCATCAAACTATGGAAGTTCCGATTCTGGCTATGAAGGTGGGGCTAGCAATGGCGGATACGGTAGCGATGGAAGCGCACCGTCGGCTCCAGCTAATTCATATTCCGGATATTCCCGTGGTAGCGGCAATGGAGATTCCGGGGCTTATTCTGGTGGAGGTGGCGATAGTAATGGTGGAGCTGGCGCTTATTCTAGCTATTCTGGAGCTGGAAACTCTGGTCCCAACAATAATAATGAAAATATGGAATCTTACGGATCTTCGAACAACAATAACGACAACTACGGTAGTAGCGGAGGAAACTACCAAGGTGGTGGTGATAACACATATTCCACTGGTGGTGCCTATGGCTCAGAGAGCAATCAAGATAACCAAGGATATTCAAGCTACTCCAAAATGGTGCCACCCTTCGAATCGGCCTCTTCTGGAGGTTCATATGGAAATGAAGATCAAGATGGTAGAAACAACTATGGAAGTTCACAGGGTGGTGGAAATCAAAACTCGTTCTCTGGCTCTCAATCCTATGGAAGTTCCTCCTCTACCCAGCCGGATTATTCAAATTACCAAGGCGGTGGAAACGAACAACCGACTTCAAACTACGGCAGCTCTAGCCAAGGTGGAGACTATGGTAATTATGGAAATGGCGGCGACCAGGGCGGCTTCAACTCGTATGGAAATTCCGATAACTACCAAAGCGGCGCTCAAAAACCAAGCCCAAGCACCTATAATAGCTACGCTGGATCGACCCAGGACAATCAGGGCTATAACAATAATAACAATAACAATATGGGAGAAAGTTACGGTAGCGGTGGCGCTGTTTATGGAGGAGACAATGGAAATTATGGGCCTGATGATGGGCAAGGAGGAGCTGTTTATGGTGGGCAAGGAGGATCAGCTCCAGTAGATTATGGAAACTACAACGGATATTCCGGATATTCTGGTCAGTCCAGTCCGACCACCTCCAACTCTTATGGAGGAGGAAATCAAGAACAAGACAATTGGGATGGAGGTAACAATTATCCAAATGAAGTTGGAGTTGATATCGACGTCGACTTCAATGGACAAGGAGGAGGTGGAGCATATTCTCCAAGCGCTTATTCAAGCTATGGAGGACAGCCGAGTGATACTATTGGAGGATATCATGGTGGATACGATCGAGTGGGATATGGAACCATCAAGAGGAAAACCAAGGGCAGGCCCAGGATGAGGAGCCCGACTGCCAAAAACGCTACAACCCCATCCTATGGCCAGTTTGATGGTTATAGAAAGAAAGCAACGGCGACGGTCCTCAAAAAAAACTAACAACCAATTTTATTATTATTTATTGGGTGGAATAAATTATTGATTATCACGCTAAAAATGCAAATAAGTTCTATTTTCCGAGGAAGGCCTTTTTGGCGGCCTTGATTAGTGGGTTCTTCCCTTCGCCGCATATTCCTCGATTGTCATCGGTAGATATTTGGAAAAGCATGATGCCGGCGCAATCTGTAGATATCAATCGTATATTTTAGAGACCTGAAAGAAACCTGAATCTTTGGCAAATTGGGCTTTCGCGGCTGTACTTCTTGGATTTTCAGTTGTCAACCAAACTTTGTCGTTTCCTGGAATTAATTAGAATGATGAAATTTTAGAAATTTGGCTTACCAACGATATAAGGTGATGCAGCCGCGTTATTCCAATATTCCCTATAGACAATGCCATTAGCATGGGTTTCTTTCGTGATGTTACACGTCTAAAAGGGTTTTAGAAAATAGGTGGAAGTTACAGATGGATATGAAGTGAATGTGTTGACTTCTCCTTCAGCTGGTGCGTACGGCCAATTCCAGTAATAATTTACTAATCGGAAACCCTGAATAAATCAATTAACTGATTCCTTAAAAATTAACTGTAAGAATGCGCTAAAAAAGCTCTTACCAAATTATAGACAGGAATTCCAAAAACAGTCTTATTGCTCCAAAGTCCAAGCGTCGAATATGAAGCTAGAGAAGACATCTAGAATTTCAATTACTTCTAATACGCTCCAAACATACCGAATTCATCTCTCCAATAATGCTATACTCCCGGCTCATCGGTTTTAAAGGAGCATTGAACCCAACGACCGGGTTGGTCCACGAAAATACATGAAAGTCATAGTTCATCACGTTGATAAAATCACAGTATCTAAATCAACCGTTTTTGACGATTTGATTTTTGTTACTTATTGAAAGACGATACATCATAAGCTTTTCGTGTGATTGTAGGCGGACCTGATGTGGCCATCGTCAATAAAAACCTATCCCCGTAAGTGAACCGCAAAGTCTAAAAATTTTTAAAAAACACTGGATGCCAATTACCTTCAACAAAATTGTTAACAAATTCCGATCGCTTTTCTTAGCATCCGAGCTCCACGTAGGGAATTCCCAATCTGAAAATAATTTGAAATTATTGCCGAAATTCTGACAAACCGAGATCAATTCCATCAAACCCGTGTTGTTTCATATATTGCGCGCTGGCATCAGCAAAATTTTGCATTTTCAGCGGAGTGGAGACCTAAAATTTACATAGCTGTAAAATTTATAGGTTTTTTAATATTTATGTTAATTTTATGAATATTAAGAATTCATACCATCATCGACCAATGTGGATTTGATGCAGTCACGCATAGCATCAGTTTAGCCTTTGGGTTTCGTTCCTTGATAATGGAAAAATTCCTGGCTTCTTCTACTAAATTTGAAAAGGTTGACAGAAAATTGCGTGAAGTTATATCTATGGTAATTAACGTTTGACTTACCACTTGGCGGGTCAAACATGCCATTTCCGGTAATCGTAGTATAGCTGATAAGCAAATAATGGGTGCATAGAGTTGGATCGACTTCATTTGCCGGGGGACTAAGACTAAAAAAAAAAAGATAATATTAGCCTTATCAATCCTATAAAATTTTTATCAAATTTGATAAAAAATCTTACTTATAGTAACAGGCAATGATGGGCTCAACTGCTTGAACGCCTCCAAGTAGCGCGAAAACCAAATAGAACCACATTCCGCCGGGATACTAGTGGCCAGGTGAAGGTCTAGGTGGCATGATTTCAATGGGGGAGACCCTTAGGGCCTTGAGGTACGATCTGAAGAAATAATGGGGAGGTGCCGCCACGTGTAGTTGTTCGCATATCAGCTGACACCTCGTGGGAACTACCCCCAATCTCATCAATCACCTCAATTAATCGTGTCTCGTCTAGGGGGAGTGGGTTCATAGACGCAAAATCAAAGATGGATCAAATATGGTTGAAGGTTTTTGGAGAAGGTTTGAAGTTGAAAGAAATTTGCTGGATTAGGCTTAGACTTAGGCTTAGGCTTAGGCTTAGGTATCTATTTTTTCGCTATTGAAACTCCTATCCTCCCATAAGCAAAGCACATCAGCCCTAACATCACTTATTTCTTAGATATATTTCTTTACTATAGCTTCTTGTCCGGCTTCTTCCAAAAAATATTTACTCGTGACTGAGATTAATCCCAAATTCTGAGTATCCTTGCCAATTTTATCTTCAAAATTAATCCTTAACACTTAGATACTATTCGCCTAGCTACGTCACCATTCCCTAGGGCTCTGCAAAAAAAAACGCAACCACTCTCCCCGCTCCCAAATAGCGCTACTTTTTTTATGCAATGGCTTGCAGCCCTCGTTCCCGCACACCCACTCAACAACCCCAAATCTCTAAAGGTGGGGAAAAAGCATAAAAAAGTGGATAAGACACAATGTAGCCACCAACACAATCGATGTCAAAATGAGGGCCATTTGTCTATAAGAAGGACATGTGTTTCATCGCCTTGTTTTGGTGGCCACACACTCCCCTCCGTCAAGCTGAATAATAAAAAATATTTGGTTTCTTGGGGGTCTGGCAGGTGCTTTTTCCTTTCTTTTCGTTTCGCTGATTTATTTACTGGGATTTGGGGGCAAGGAAATGGGGATGTAAATTGCATACAGTAGTTGCTATCTGAAGGGATATTTCTACGGCTCACACGACATGGGATCACATGCTGGATCAGGGGCGATTATATCACAATAAATACATTCAAGTTGAGTGGGGGGATTGGGGGGAGATGGGTGAATTGCGTTGCGAGGATGGTGTCGGAATTTCGTTGTAATTTTGGGGATTTAACAGGGCAACCCGTGAGAGAAGGATAGATTTTTGGAGATAGTGCCCGTTAGATCGTCGAATCTGAGATTTGATTTTCAATTTCGATGGTTGTGCATGGAGACGTTGAGGCCGAGGAGCTCACGGCCTTGATGACGTTTTTCCATCGATTCTTCCACTAAAAATAGTATTAATGACTTTTTAAATGATTTTAAAAAGCACGAGAGGTATCTCTAGGTATTATTAAACCTAAACTAGGCAAAACCATCTAAAAATATGTATTTATAGATCTCAATAGCATATCATCTTATTAATCCTAAATACAACGCAATATCACGCTACCATAAATCCTTAATAGTTGTTATATCTCCCCCTGACACTCTAGCTAGACAGCTACAGCTTAGCTTGTTGCCCCGGGGCCCATCCCGGCTTTTCCCATGAATTCACAACCGGGTCCACCAAAAGATCCCCCAACACTTCCGTGTCCAAATTAGAATTCAGCCATCTTTCCCCAAGCTCCTTACAAAAAACCAGCTGCCAGCACCCTATCCATCAAGCAAGAAGACCCGGGCATATTTTACGGGGGTTCGGATTCAGGGTGGGTGGCCGCCCCTGGTCAATCTGCTTGCGAATTGGTTTTCTTGGCGTGGGCCTTCGCGAAGCCTTCGTAAGACCTTCGCGAAGGGCTCTTTGGGGCTCCAGATATTGGAGCAGAGTGGCTGTCAAAGCCATTCCACCACCACCACCGACAACGCGAAAACGGAAATGACCCTGTCTCCCCGCACGGCTTCACCCCCTTCCTTTTTGACGGATTAAATTTGGGGCTGACATCTGGGGGGATGACTGACAATAAAGCCTGCAATTCCTAGAAGCTATAATCTATTTACGTTAATAATTTGTTGTGGATAGGGGGAATTGGAACTATACGATAGCTCATTCGATTATGCATATATTTAAGCTTTCCAAAATTACTGAACGGTAACACGCTTCAAGAAAAACTTTTAAAAATGGTATTTTTTCGTCAAAAAAGAGCAAAAGCGTCTGTTTCTGAGCAAATTCCTTAAGAGAACGTCATGGTTCCAAACTCCTTGAAAAATTACCCGTTGTTAAGAATTTTTAAGTCCTTCAAAAACTCTTCGCTCATCGCAAAACCCCAATATCAGCTCAAAAAGAATCCTTGCAAAATCCTCAACAACTCGGCAAGCCCCTCAGCTTCCCCCTTGGTGTGCCCGGTTGCACAAAAATCAGCCCACCCAACCATGTAGAAATTTCCGGCCCGCACAACGATCCAATTATGGCCCGAAAGTTTGGCGGGGTGACGCTCCGAGGGGCCCAGAGGAGGGCCATCCTGTCCGTTTTTCTCTTGAGGAGGATTCCGGGAGGGCATTTTTTGGGACGGGAGCCGGAAGTGCGCCCCTTCCCTTCGGAACACACTCAATACGGCGCTGATAAGGGATGAGGGGGCCCACCAGGGCTGTTGCTCCTCGTTTTCGGACTCTCGTGTCTTGGCGCCGGCCGGGCAGAAATAAATTTGCTTCCGAAATTTGAGCCTGTGGTGCGTGACGGAAAGAGTTTTGGAAATTCATGACTCATCTAGTAGTTTTAAGCCTTAGCTATTACCTTATAGTTATAGTATGACTATACCAAGGTAATCTTTGACCAAGCTATATCTTCACCAAGTAAAAAACGACCCACCGAGAAGGTCAATCTTCTTCCCAAAGGAGAGCGAGAGGCCCACGAGCACGATGGCAATTATCGTCATCGAGATGGCGACCACGGCCACCACGCGCTTCACCCTCTTCTGCAAAAACAGGTGATTGAGCACGAGCTATGGTATTCTATCTCCAGTCGCTTAATACCAACCTGGTTATGATCTTTTATCTGTTGGATTTCGAGGTCGGTGAACTCCATCGACGAACAGGCGTCGGATTGCTCGCAGGCTGAAAAAAATTAGATTCAAAGTATCACCCCAGATTCAAAGATCGAGTACCAAAAATTTGAAAAAGCCGTATAAACCGGGATATTGACGCCTAGGCCGTAACCTGAGCCGGGGACTAGAGGTTGACTCAAGTGGCCCATGAGGGTCGGGATGGTCGTGTAAATTGGAAAACGAACGAGAAGAGGATGCCGAAGACGGCCTCGATGTCGCTGTCACTTTGGCGAGGGGATGGGGTAGACGTCGTCTTGATCCTGAAAAAAAAAGAAAAGGATGGCTGCCAAAAGGGGGCTTCGTTTTGGGGCGGGACATTCTCCCATCAGGGGGATATCTAGAGCAGAGACCCGCCCTCTGGCAGACAAGATCTCTATACATTGTTGAGGAACAATTAATTAATGGTGCATTAATCATGATGTTTAATGAGTAAATTAAACGCTTCTGTATATTTAATTATTATAGGTAGAGGTGTAAAATTAAATATATAGTATTAAGTAGAAAAGATAATTTGAAAAAGAATACTGAAAAAATTTGAGAAGTTGCACTTTAAAAAATTTCGAAGCAAAATGCTAAAAATGCAAATTAAACCTAATTTTGGTTATTATTCGTAGTTTATGGCATTATCAATTAAAAAATCAATATTTCTAAAAAATAATGTTAGCTTAGGACGTAAACATTTAAAAACATAGAAAATACACAAATGAAAATTTATGCAAAATCTTAGAATTTCGGATTTTATGACATCCATCTTAATGAGTTTTGACCAAAATAACCAACGAAAGCGTCCTGTAGTTGGGTAATTTTTCAATTCGAAATTAAATAAAAATCAAAACTTGAATCAAAGATCAACAAAACCAAAGTTTGCCGATGTAATTGGCCCACCACTTTGCAACCCCCTATTCCTGAACATATGCTTGGATGGCCATAAAATGGGCGAATAGCCGAAGTACGAGTACATAGCATTCAGGAGCCCCAGCATTCAGAGAGTAAGCCCAAAAAACACACATATGCCCTCCCGCAGAAAGAAGGGGATAATGCGAAGCCGTTCACCGAGGAATGGCCCCGGGACCACTGGCTCTCATACTCCCTCAGATGGAGGGGGAGAAGCACTGCTGAGGGGTGGTCATGGAAACAACCCCTCCTTTTCTCTTTTTCTCTAATCACCATTCAAACGGCGAGAGTGGGCCATATGAGCTGAAGACAAGGGCCAATGGGGCATCCCTTGATGTGGAGAGAAATCGAGGAGATTAGGCAGCTTGTTTTTGGGGAATGGGGTCGATTGGTTATGGTAATGATGCAAAGGAAATTGGAGGCAATTTCCGGGGGTTAGGGTCTGGGATAACAGGAAATAAGGGATACGACTCTATGGGTTTTGAAATCTAGGCTTTGAGATCTTTCATATACTGTAAGATTTCATAAATATCATTTGGAAATTTGTAAAATCGGGGTTGCACTTAATTTAAGACTAACACGTTTTTAACAAAATAAGTTTTACCCGTCGATCCTTTTTGACCATCAAGAATAAAGGGTACTAAAAAATTTTACATGCTTATATGCAAGTCCTTTTATACAAAATTGCTTTTTAATCCTTCATAACAAAAACTTACATAAAATTCGACGCAATGTTCAGCCTTATCGAGCGCTAGAAATCCAAAACCACTCATCCAACGTTTAGCCCCCCCCGGCCCACCTCGCATGAAATATTTAAAGGTATATGCCTCCGCACGCACCATTCGTCTCCCTACCCCCCCAAGAATCAGATTGTCATTGGACCAGAGAGGTTAGATGGGAAAAATTAAAAAGTAGATTTAGCTACCGTAAAATTCAAACACGTTTCCGATCGTGGAACTCCAAAATGTGGATAAAATTTGCCTAAATCGACGATGGGGAATCAATTTAATAATCGCAAATGTGAAATTTAAATCCTGAATGATGGGTTTATTGCAACACGTTGCTAATGGGGATATTTCCAAAAAGCCTCATCAAGGATGATGAATGGGAAATTTGAATGGACGCGCTAGATAGGAAAAGCGGCGATCAGGAATGAAAGCAAGGCCACCACAAAAACTAAATAGGATCTGTTTATCACGCCTTGGCTGATAGTGCGAACTAATCCATAGGGTAAAGTCGAGAGAGTGGTGTATGTAGGGAATGGGCCCTCGTTTTGGGCCACAGCTTCGCCAGGAGGAGGAGGGGGACATTGACCACGAGAAGAGGGCCCTTTCAAAGCCATTCCCCCTTCTCCACCCCGTCGAGTGGTCCTATTTCCACAAGGGACCACAGCCTGGTTGATAAATAACAACACCGAAAAAGTGGAGTGTATGCCCGGCCAGTTGTGTATATTCGGCAGCATGAGAACGGCCCTGGATACTTTTCGATGAAACTGTCAGAAAAAATCGGGATCTAGATTTTCATGGTCCTTGATCTCGTGTTTCTAAAAGCAAAATCTGGAATTTTCAGAACCTCATAAACCAGAATACAAAATTCAAATAGCAGAAGTCAGGATCCAGAATCGTCAGAATCAAGAAATTTTTATAGGCGTTTCGATCCGCCTTCAAAACAGACCGACGCATCGAAAAACTGATAGATTGTTACGTGTTATTTCCAAGATCAAGAATTGATGTTTATGCCTGTTTCCACGGTTAACCACAGAAAAGCATTCAACTTTTTTTTATCCGGCATTTTGATCGAGACGCCTAATGACAGCTGCAGCGCCATACCAAGATGGCCAGTCCTACTGAAACAATTTGTTATAATTCGCTACAGTACACTAAGCAAAATAAAGTTGATGGCAAGGGCTAGATGATTTGCTGCGTTTCAAAGACTTTTGCGTCACGTTATAGGCAAGCTCCTGGCTCGAACTTTTGCCATCCAGACCTTTAAATTTCAGATGTTGCGTTTGAATAATTTGTAAAACGCAAGGCATGGGAAACACCGCACAAAAAATTGTTTAATTTTTAACTTAACAATTTTTTTAAGAATTTCCTGCCGAAAATTTTTTCAGGCAGCGAGAGGTCGACCATAGAAATCGGGCATATCGATGGGCTTAGGCTTAGGCTTAGGCTTAGGCTTAGGCTTAGGCTTAGGCTTAGGCTTAGGCTTAGGCTTAGGCTTAGGCTTAGGCTTAGGCTTAGGCTTAGGCTTAGGCTTAGGGCTTAGGCTTAGGCTTAGGCTTAGGCTTAGGCTTAGGCTTAGGCTTAGGCTTAGGCTTAGGCTTAGGCTTAGGCTTAGGCTTAGGCCTCGTGATTATGGCCAACCTGGATTGTTTTCTTGCGAAGGGATAGTGAGCCAGACGGGTTGCGCGTCAGATGGTGCCGGTGAAGACCCATTTTTTCAGCAGGGTATAACCTTGCATTTAAAAGAAGTGATTACTATTTCCAAAACCATTTAAACTCCATGCTATTAATGCTTATCAAACCATTAATGCGGACGATAGCGTAGGTTGCAGGAGCGGGTTATTTTTGGTGGATATCGATCGATTCCCTTTGTTTTTACCTTCCCATGCGGCCTATTTACCGCACTATGTTTTACTTTATGGTCTTTTTATTACTGTTAGTCAGTTGATGTTGCTTAGCACATGTTTATTCTCTACCCTTGGACAAAATGGCCCTCTTTCGTCGGAATGCCGTCGTTGAGAGGCCTGCCGTGTACGCTATCGGCTCGTCTGGAGGCCAAAATTCCCATACTCTTTGGCAGCAATTTTTTATAGACAGGTTTCAGACTGCGGTTTATATTCTAAAATTGTTTTCAAAGGCCCAGTTCATTCATAAAGAATTATTATGACACTTTTGGAAAGAATGGTTCAAATATTAAAAAAAATTGGCATATGCCGTTTTCAAATGGCGATTGAAGAGAAAAAGTGCTTAGATATATTTCATAATGTGTTTTTGGGATGGAATTAGATACGCTGAATGTAAGTATACATTAAATATTACAGAATGTCACCCACTGAGGCCCAATTACCACCGTCGGGCCTCGTCGTGCCGATCGTTTTGTGGGGCAAGCAGCCACCCCGGCATCGAATTACGGTATGTAAATCACTGATAGTTTATCTAACATTTTAAGGCAATACGTATACTCTCTGATCGAACAACAGTAATCACTGGAGCAGATAATGGCCATATTATTGTGAGTAAATCACCAAGAGCTTTTCAATGACGAGTTTTCAGATTTGGAAACTACAAGTCGATGCAATTTGCCCCCATCTCCTCTTTCTTGGCCATTCTGCATCTATTACGGCGATATCACCAACGAGCTTACTAGCAAATTCGGCGTATGTTAAAGCTCATAAACACAAGAATATGTAATACTTTTTAGCCGCTTAATCTCGGTCAGTGCCGATGGGCAGATTTGCCTCTGGGATTGGCTAGATGGGCGTTGTATCGATCATGTTAATGGCGCCAGTGTACATCGACAAATGGAACCATATGTAAATTCAATAAGATTTTTCAAGGCTTTTTTTAGGCTTCAAAAGCCGCCAACAGCGCCTTTAATACTAGAATAATCTGCGCGGGCGACTATGCAGATTTTATTGTCCTCGATCCGCAGGTTTGCAAAATCATAGTAAATTAATGTTAGCTAAAATTCAGGATTTAACACCTGTATTCACAATATCATCTCGGGTTGAACCGGATTGGATTACTGCTTTCACGTTGGTGAAGCGAACTAACCGCGCCGATCAGGTACTGTAATTTGCATAATGATTTATTAAAATTGCCAATAGATTCTCGGCTTCTCCAAATCTGGGATGGTGAAGATATGGACGATTGAGGATCTTGATCAAAAGGTATGGATTCGACGATATTTTTTAGCGCAAGCTTAGACAATGGAAAGTCCGCTCTATGAAGAAGAATCGCGCCACGCCGATAAAGAAGCCTTGACAGCAATTTCATTTTCTTCTCACAATGAGAAGGTGGCGTTGTTGATCTCGAAGAAACGGTGGCAAGTCATCGACCTTGACGACCTACAAGCGCTGATCACATTTGAAACTCAAGTAGCAGCAGTTTCCGGAAGTTTTCTCGAAATAGGTAAAGCCAAGAAATACGCCTTTAGCCTTCTTTTTTAGATAAAGTCGCGGTGACTTATGTTGACGGAAGTGTACGCATCTACCAATTACCGCTACAGTAAGCCCAAATTACATATACGAACTATTTGTTTTAGGGCATTAAATGGTGCTCAAGTGCTTGCTCAATTCGGCCCGTCAAGACAGAACTATTTTGGACGGAATGCGCCCTTTGAAATCGCAGTTCTGGAAGGGAAGAAGGCTACCGGGCCTCTTGCAAAGGTTCTTACAAAATTTTCGTTTTATGTTAATTTCAGATGCAACAAACATTCGCCTTTGAATTTGCGCTGCAACGCGAAGATCAGGGCGGTGCGTGCCAGGTAAAAATAAATCATTTTATAACTTAGAAAAAATTTTTTAGGTGATCCGAGCCTCAGCTGATGGTGCGCTTCTCACATGGCTGATCCCGAGGTTTGGCTCGGCTTTCATTGAGCGTGTTTCTGATGTACAACAATTGCCATTAAGTAAGAAAATACATTGATTAAGTTAGTTAATATCTTTAGAATATAAAGGAACGTTCTCCGAAAGTCTGGCCGAGATTTGGAGTGCGTTGAATGAATCACCAAATCCTCCTTTCTCACAACAGGTTTTTCTTGTTTATATGACTTAATGAAATTTACATTCTAGGACCTTTGCGATGTTACCGCATCACTCTACGTCGGCTCTCAAGGGAAACTTTTACTCGGAAAATCAAATGGAGAAATTGGTAAATACATAGGACCAAAATAATCTTTCGATTTAGTGATGTCATATGCGTGCGAGACAATATCGAAACAACTGCTCGATATTCCACCAGAACGTCAAAACCCAAGAATTCTGCATGGTAATTCTTATTGCTTTGAAATATGTAAATTAAACTGTTTCAGGCCATAGCGGAGCTGTAAGAGCCATGTTATATCCACACGAGCAAAGCAATCGCTTTGATTCAACGGTCTGAAAAAATTAACACAACTTTAACTCGGTTTAGATGATGCTGTCTGGTGGTGACGATTTTTCAGTGATTGTCTGGAATATTAATACTGCGGTATATTAATATTTGCAAAATGTGAAAAAGCTCCTTTTAGGTTCGACTCTACAAATTTACTGTAAATGGAGGATCGGTGAATCGATTTATCGTTCCACCACCTAATTCCTCGGTATGATTCGACATTAAATCACAAATCATTCCTCAATTTCAGAAACAAACCCTAAAATGCATCGCGGCTGTGTCAAGCGATAATACTGTCGCGTTGCTGAATATTCGCGATATGAAATGTTCATTACTGGCTAGTCGACACCCCTTTAAAATCCTTGATGTAAGCACTGAAATCAGGATTTGAATATTTTCTATAGTTAAAATGGCGACCGCTTGACGACTATATGTTAGTGCGTCTAGAAGATTCCAGCGTTTATGTGTGGCAAATTGAGACTGGTCTGTTTACCTTAAAAGCTTGGAAAAATCTCATTTTAGCGAGTATTGAAAGAGTGGTCCGTGGGCTGCAAGCTGAAGATATTTTAGCTGCTTGTGATGAGCAAATCGGTATTAAAAATCATGCAAAAACATTGAAAAAAATTAATTCAAAGGTGTGGAGGAAGGTCGAGATGAGGCCGGGGCCACTCAGGCTGTCCAACTGATGCGAGCACTCAAACATAGGAATATAGATGCTGTAAGTTTGGTTAGATAAAGAAAAAAACTCGATAAATTATCATAACAATTATTTATTGCTTTAGATGAAGCGCGTCGGTGGGGTCGGAAGTAGCCAACAAGCCACAGCCAGTGCCGAGAGCACGATGGTGTCACCAATGTCATTCCAGTCATTACCAAATTCTGGAAGTGAAGCGAATATTGTTTTGTTTGAGGTGCGGACGGTAGTGCGACACGTTAAAAGTCTGCTTTTTAGGTAGCAGCTCTCATAAACGGTCTTTCCTCACTGGATGCTGTTGAAGACACCCCAGATCCGAAGTCGATTTCGCAGCTTATGGGAAAAGTAAGCTCAAAAGGTTCGAAAATGGATTTCATTCCATTTAGCAACAAAACCAAGACCAACCGGATGGGTCGATGATTGGGCTCTCGAGACGATTAACTATGCAATTTGAAAGTACATTGTATTTGGATATTGCAAGGTAATTCAAAAGACATAGTATAGTAAATATTAAAAATACAAATACATTTGAATTTATCTTAATTATTTAGATTACTTCTCTCTTGCCTGCACGCCTGGGAAGTTGACGCTGATCTGGATGCGGTGTGCTTGAAGAAGCTTGGCCTGCATCGCCCAAATAATCCACTATTTTATGGAAATTTGTCTCGCCATGGTAGAAATTTTTTGAAAGTGATTAGAATACACACAAATGAAAAATATTATTTCCTTTTGTTTTCAGGGCACATGGCAGTAGTATTACCATCCCGAAATAAGACAAGTTACTCCACATTCGCGACTGATGTACGGTGGCAGGCTAGCCATTCCTTGACCACAATTCACTTATTGTCAGGTTGGTTAACTACGACTTCAAGCTACAAGCTCTATAAAAATCAAAAACTAAGATTTTCTAGTAATTGCTACCGCCAATACCTTAATGTCGATGAAGAACTCGTCCGCGCAGCCAAACAGGAGGAGGAGCCAGGCTCTACCGTTGAAGCGCGTTCCCAGCAAGGATAATATGAATGGCGAGAAGCAGCAGATGAAACAGGGTATTTTCAAACTACAAAAATACGTAACATATTTATTTAGGCTGGTCCCTATTGGCTGCAATGCATTGCGTTTTGCTACCAGACAACGTACGCCCAAAATCCTCTTACGCAGCCCCCCGGATCGAACTTTTAGCAAGACGGTGGGTTTAAAAATCGAAATAAATTTTGAGTTCAATTCCAGGTGGCAAGACGGTTGCCTTGAAATCCGGGAAGCCGCTCAAGCGCTCCTGATTCGAGAGCTGAACCGGTTGGGATCTAGCGGCCGGAAGAGGTTGATCGAAAGCTGGGCCCCATACCTCCCCACGCTTCTGGGTACGTCAAAATTACTGTAACGAGTTCATTTGCATTCCAGATCCATCGCTCTCTATCTTTGGCACCCGGCAACCCTCCAATAATGTCCCAACAACGGTGCCAACAATGGTAAGAAAAAAGATTCTTCAAGAAATATTTTTTTAAAGACCTCTGCACCACCCCCAATTCCACCCCGCTCCAATCGACAGCCACTTCCGGTTGTTGCGGTACCCGGTAGGTCAATACTTTCGAGCTAAGGAATGTTTTCTCTAGAACCCATCCGAAACAACGAAGGCGATCACGGGGTGCAGCAAGTCCGACGCAACCAAGCGACAGCGATCATCCTTCTTGGTGTCGTTGGGTCTGAGTTTGGCGAGGAGTTGAATAAGTAAGTTCTAAAAATAAATCATCGATTGGTCTTTCAGGGTGGAGCTTACTCGTGCAACAGCCATTTCCTTGTTGGAGTTGTTGGTCTCGCCGCCGACCGCCCTTCTTCCGATGCATTCCCCGTTGCGTAGGGCGTCGATTGATTTATTGGGGAGAGGGTATGTTGATTAGGTTATTAATACAAAAATTTGCATATTACTTTAGGATAATGAATTCATTTTAGCTTCACCCAATGGGAGCCACATCTCGAGATCAGTCGAGTTCTTATTGGACTTCTTGACCTTGCTTCCGGGGCCGAGAAAAATGCGAGGTTTGCATATTGCAGTTTTTTTAATCTAACTTTTAGCACTGCTCAAAATCCCGTCCCTACCCCATCATTCTCCCCAATGGCCGATGCTGCCCGAACGGCTCGTCATGCTCTTTCCCAAATTGCCACTGCTAGACCCCCAGCCATGCTGACAGCTCTCTCAATGGAGGTACGATTATATAAAATTTTGTATAATATAACCATGTCATTATAATAATTAATTTAGGTTGCCCGTTACAACGTCGCCGCCCAGCATCAAACGATCCAGCACTCAGTGATCTCGCCACTTCTAAAAACACGGGTCGAAGTGCTCCGCATCATCGAAGATCTCTCCGAGAAGCAGTATGGCGCTATCGTTGAAATGATGCTCCCGGTAAACACATTAAAAATATTTACGTAAACTTACATACCTTTAGGTCGGTGACGTGCTTGTACACTGCCTCGATACCTCGCTCCTCAAGCATAAAACGCTCGCTGAAGTCTTTCCACCCATTACAAAGTTGGTCACTGTCTCTTTGCAATAATTTTTTTTCAGGTTTTACATGGTTAGCTACTGCCCAACATCTCGTCGAATCGCGTTTGGAGGGCGTAATGGGGCGTGTGTCGTGCATGAGTTGAGGCCAGGGAAGGCTCAGGTATCCTAGAAATGATATTATGTTAATTTACATATTTTTCTAGACCCTGCAAGCCCATCAGGGTCCCGTATCGGCTGTGTGCTTCTCGGAAGACGGGAAATTCCTTGCCACCTATGGAGCCCAAGATGGAAAGCTAAATTTCTGGCAGACGACGCAAAACTTCTTCGTAAGGATTATGGACCCAAATTTGCATATTTAGAAGAAATTACTAGGATTTGCATATATAAATTTTACATATTTTTATAGGGCATGGGCCAGTCCCAAATGCGTTGTGGAAAATCACTTGCCGCCCCAACTCTACCGACAGTTATTAGTCCTGGAGGTAGCATAATTTTTATGGAAATTATCGAATTGATATCAGGGCAAGCCTTCCGCCCTCGTCTCGTCTGGATCAACAGCAAATCGTTGACACTCATGCTCCCCGAGGGCCGTGAGCAGCGCTTCACCATTTAGTCCCCCGCTTTTGTAGCTTGGCCTTGTACAGCAGCTTTAATTTATTCACCCAATTTGCATGGAAATCTTTACACCTTTCACTTATCTCGGCTCCGGCCTACCCCGACGTTCATAATTTATTAGTCGCAATGTGATTGCCAAACATTCCCCCGTTCTGGTCAGGTTTCAAAAAAAATGTTGTCATTGCTTTAGTGTAGTTCTACAGAGTTGATAAATTTATTAGTCAGATTTTGCAGCGGTTTTTGAAAGCACATTGGAAAGACGGTGTAGATTATACAGTTTCTATATGCAAATGACGTTTAGGTCAATGGATTCAGCAATTTTTTGGGGCTATTTTCGTTGTTCTTCATTTCTAAAACGCTATAAAAATTCAAAATTAAAAAAGGAACCTACGCTTCATTTGGAGGGATGTTGAAGGTGTTCAAAAATAGTTGAAGGGCAGTGGGGTTTGTTAATAGGCTTGCTTGGATTTGGGGGTGAATTGAGCTGACCAATTTTTAGCTATAAAGTATTATCCTTACCTCCAGTGCTTGAAATGACGCAGCAGTCCTTGGTGGTAAAGCATTTAGAAGCGGAAATGGATTTGAAAGTTTTTGGACGAGTGCCAGGAGACTTGGAGGGGTTAGTGAGGAGCTCTCTGTAATGATGAGATGATAATTTGCGCTAAATTTGACCTGGCGATTCGCACAAAGCTTCTTCGAGACTGCTAAAGTTGGTTCTCGGCAGAAGCTCGCCTAAACATATATTTGCATAGCAATTTTAAATACCTGTTAGGGGATTTACCCGTACCGTAACCTCATCTCGAACCGATATTCCTTGAGCTGGCTGTCGTTGGGACCGATAGTAGTGGAAGATACTTGATTTTCTATAGACGAATTAGAAATATAGCTTCAGAAAGTATACTTTGTCGGAACCCCAAGAAAATGATTCTCCCGATATTCCAATTGCAATAATCTGTCGTATTTTGATGGAAATTGCTCGTCAATTAGCACCTATCTCAATTTATCAAAAAAATGTGCCTTATTTTATACCTCCGGGAGTCCCTGCTTGAAATCTTTGATTTGATCCATCGTAATTGAACCGAAAATTGGCTTGCTGCAGGAACTTCATATTATTCTTGAAATTTGCATACCTGCTCGAATTTGAAAACGCAAAGCTCAAAGAACCCGCATTCTCATCATCGAATCTGGCAATCATTTTCTTTTCCTGCCAAGTTGAAGGTATCTTGTGTAATGACTGCATACCTCTGCTTTAGAACTACCAGGAAGAGAATTATATTCAAGCAAGCCACACGCTTCTTTAGCCGAACAAAATGTAATGACCCTAAAAACAGTAGTACTCCGGTACTGTAGTTTACCCCTTGTTAAAAAGTGCGGCCATCGTCAGGTATTCATCCGATGCGGCCAGTTGCCGTTTGGTTTTGCTGCCTTTCCGCTCGAGGAGTGGTGGTGGGCAGAGTTTGTGTCCGACATCCATTAAAATTTCTGCTGCCTTGAACATCCATAGCCAAACAGAATGTTTTAACGGGGTTTTCATATCCAAAATCGAGACAGCAGCCGCCTGAAAATTTAATGAACATGTTTTGGAATCATAAATTACGGTAAGCAGCTCCGAACTGTGGATCAGTAATTCTTGATCAATTTCTTCTTGTAGAAGTCGATCTCGAATCGCTTCTAATCTAGTAGGAGCTTCTACTGTAGTTTTGACGTTGCCAAAACATTCACGTTCAACAGCTTCCATTTCCGATTCACTAATGCATTTTGTGAACCTAATTTTAATGGAATTTCGGGGAATTTATGAGAAATCACCTTGGTAATAGCAGCATACATTGTAGATGGAGAAGTTCAGGTAAAAATAAAGCTCTAGCCGAAGTACAATGGGCTTTCGGGAAGTTCATAAGGGCTTCTCGGACGAACTATACTTTGATTAACGCCTTTTCAGACTAAGATACCTTCCATTTTAAAGGTGGTAGTTCAGCAGCGGGCTCACTTGGTTCCTAGAATACATATTGCATTTTTTTGTTGTTTAAGCTTCACCAGCATATCCTTACTAAGCAGTCGTTGCCAGAAAATCGAGTACAATAGTGGTTCCGTTTGGTCGTTGGTGATTGCAATCAGGAAAGGCAGGGAATTAACAATCTAAACGTGTTTAAGTATCAATCCTAAGAGGAGGATTCGTTTTTGCTATTTCGTACACAAAGACTAGATGCCAAAGCCGGATCTAGGTTTACCTTAAACAATGAACGCAGTATGCCGCGCTCTCACAAAATTCCAACGCCTTAAAAATTGGCTGATAGCTTCTACAGTAACTCCCATTGTTGTCGCCCGATATTTGTGGCTTCGCTTTACTGCTTGAGATCCGGGACGGTGGGCAGCTCTTTAGCGTTAGCGTAATTTTTGTGGGCTTATCAGGGCGTCGGGACGCGACCGCGAACCCCCAAAACGACTCATCATTTTTGAGGCGCCTGCCATTCCTCGCAAAACCTACATGCTGGATTATAATTTTGTTGTCGATATTTATCAGGACTTCCACTTGGATTGCATATCGGGTAGCGAGTTGTCGACGGTCGATCATTGAATTTAGCGCCACGCCCTGATTTTTTAACAAAAATTTTGTAAGGAAGCCCTACCATTTCTGGAAACGTAGAGCATAAGACGCCGTTTTCAAATTTAAACGGTTTTGGTTTCACGCTTGCATCGATACACCTTAAATAAATAATTGAGTCGATCTTTTGCCTTACCTTCTCCTTTTTTATAAATGTTTTATTACCTGGCAAAAGGCAAATTAGACCGAAATTCCGATGCTCCATACGAAGCCAGAACCCGCCCTTCAGAATCCACTGAAATAATTTTTTCTAGTTTGTATTTTTCGACAAACTGACCAACAGCATCGCAATGATCTGTAGATCGCGAAGCAGCACCTTCACGTTGCGTTAAAATTATCCTTCCGGCCACATGACGTCCCTAAAACGGACAGAGAAATTCTAGAGGTCAGCTCTCCTTACCCCGACCGTTGACTCATGCGGCTCTGCCGATAATTTCACAAGGGTCGCTCGAAAAAATGCTTCAACGGTACGCGGCAGCTCTGTGGACTGGCTAATTGCACATACCCTAGAATTTTCCTTTCTATCTCTCGTATTGTCTCGTACTTGACTCTCATCGTTGGATGGCTACTTCGGCATTTTACCACATTTCTGGCTCGATGGATTATTGGGGAGCAATCAATCTAAACAAAAATTTTGTAACCAGCTTTTTATGTATGTTGTTACCTCGTTCATTTGCTCTTCAGAACTGTCAAATAGTCCGCCCATCGTTTTTGGCCATTCGATCACAATTGATCTATCAAAACCATTAAAATCAGCTTTCAAAAATATCTTACTCCTTTATCACTTGCTCGATCAACGCCAACTGCTCATTATGCTCCTCACGGCTCATTGGAGCCGTTGCAAGTTTTCGATAAAAATGGGCAAATCTGAATTTTATTTTTCCGAAGAAATTAAAAAAATACTGATGCATCGGTGAGGCATCCTCGATTTTGCAGGGCTGGACAAGCAATGAACTGCGCGTCTGTCGAATTATAAATTCTCGCTTCATTTGCAATAGTTGCGCAAATTCATATTTTAGGGATGATAGCGTAAGTGTACCTCGACGATTCTAAAAATTTAAATAGAGTCAGAATCTCTGGTTTTGTTGAAAATTCATGAACTGTCCAACCTGCATACCTCAAAAATCGAGTCAATCGAGACACTTTTCCGTTTGACGGGTGGGATATGTAAAGTTATTGGGTTCTGTTCAGTGGCTAGTGGCATGTGTAAGCGGAAGAAGTGGTTAGACTTCTAAAAAAGAACCTGATTGCCGCAATATGCTGTGTCTACGTTGTTGACTTTTCTTATCTTATTTTCGACAATGCCTGAAGCACAATTGAGGAAAGGAAGGGGGAAAATAGGCAGAACAACCTAACTATCAGTGGAAATACTTTGTGGGAATAGTAGGCGAAAATAAAAAACTTGAGTATACTGTCAGCCCGAAAAAGAACGGCTTTTTGTAGATTTCAAATTAAAAGTAAGAAACAATTTAACTTTGAGAGTTAAAGTAACGATTTTCAAGATGGAATAGCTTAGCGCAAATCGAAACACACTCGCTGAGCCCAATTTACGGCAACGCTGTGTTTTGCGATAAGGGTTTGAGTTGGACAAAGTGACAAAGACCCTGATTGGCATTGATTTTCAGGGGCCAGCCGGTCGGCTAGCAGCCGGAAAACGCACGCATAGTTAATGGAATCATTTTACAACCCGTCTGCCTTTTATTACCGGAAGTTGTTACCGTGTTTTTGAGACCAATAAAATTAATCCATTTATCGCCAGTATACAGTTGTTTTTGGGAATATGCGGTTGGTGGAGAAAGACGATGCTAGGAAAAGCTAAAAAAAGGTGGCGTGGCATTTTTTATTTTAAAATCAGGTCGATAGTTTCTAGGTAAAAATGCCAATCCAGCAGCTAGTCATGGGTAAAATGGAGTTCATCGGGTAAATACAACCAAAATGAGACTACCCGGAATCCAAAAAAAAAAAAACTTAAAACATGCGGAATTAAAAATTAAGATACTGAGGTGATATCACCATTGGGATTGCCAGCATTGTGCAAGCATTGATCGATCCACTAAAAATAACATTAAAATTTCGTTGATATATACCTACCGCCAGTGGTGTATGCATTTGTAGCTCGATCCAGCATGGTGTTGAAGTGACGTCTTGGCGAGGATAATCATCTCCCCAACCCTAGAAATAATTTATATTAGATTTTAACATTTTTTACTTAATTCTGTCCTTTTTAAAATATTATAAATATAAGCACCTTAACAAATGACACCCGAATAAAGCACATTTTCTCCAGTTCGTAGAGCTGATTATATCCCGCCATTCGAGCGTTATTTAACATCGAGACAAATATCTGGTGATCGAATATCGTCGTCGTTACGCCTGGCGGAACTCGAAGAACAGTTTGAGGAGACTGTAAAGAGTTTCGACGCAAATTTCTCGACCCTACCACGCCCATCTTCCAATTGCAATTTCGGGACTGCACAAAAACAGGTGAATTTGAGTGATTCGTCACATCCAAATTCAAACTATCATAGTAAGTCAATTTTATGCCTAAACCCCCATATTTTGAAATATAAAAACAATATGCATACCTCTTCCAATATGCCGTCTAGTGTTTTCAATTGTATTGTTTCGATTAACGTTTGTCAAGAGTCCCAAACAAATCCGGCCGTCGTTCGAAGGATCGGTAAACCCATCTACCGTAATTTCTTTTAAATACACCTAAACGAAATTTTATCATAAGCTGTTCTTCATTCATCCTACCTTAAACTGCTCCCCAACCCGCGTATTTAACTCGTAGTAATTGATTGTTGCCCAGAAGGCTGGGGGTGGCATTTTCAATTTGCTAATGGCGGTTATGGGGGAGACCATTCGTTGGCATTCATCATCATCTAAATATTCGAAGTTGTTTTTTTTTCAAAAAATTGGATAAAATACCGGAAAGTGTCGGACTATGCGTCATATAGCCCGTTGGAGATCCGTCGCTTGAATAAGCCATCTGAAATAGGTTATATTAATTTTTTTGCGGTATAAAAATATTTTAATTTACTTTAATGACCTACCTGATAGGGCGGAGAAGGTGTATGATAGGTAGAAGAGGTTCCAGGCATATCCACGGCCGGATGGCGAGGGGAATATTGAGAAGAAGCTCCCAGATGCTGAAACCGAGTCCAATAAGAGACACCGACCTTTCATTAATTCTGAAAGAAACCTCCAAACGCTATTAGAGCCTAATTAAAATTGAGCTGACTTTTATTTTTAGCTCTGGAAACTCTCCTTCATAAAACATACCCTTGGGTTTTCAATCCGCACATAGTGATATGGGTTTATGCAAATATTCCCTCGATTCCCTTCAAATGGGTACATACATTCGGGGATTGCCCGTAATTCCTAAAAAAAGTGTAAATTGCGTACTGCGTATTGTTACGTACCTGGTGACTATGAAGATCCGGCCATCGCCATACCCGGCAATAAATCACATGTGGCAACCCCTTCTTGTGCGACACCTAAATTCACAGTTTCTCCCCATCGTTTCCGATTTTGCTATTTTTGCCCTTTTCTCCTAGTGACAGGTTAAAGCCGGCTTAACGACGCTAAGCGTAGGCTTTTGCCCTTATCGGCGTCGAGGAATTGGGCGAAACGACTTCCGTTCGCGATAAAGACAGAAGGTACAGGTTCGTCATGGCTATGGCAGCTAGTTATTTCTTACCATAACAAAGCCCAGGTTTGCAAAATAAAAGGTCATTTGCAAAATCAAGAGAATAAAATCAATAAATTCTCTTTTTAATTTAATAAAAATAATTTTAAGTTTTACTAACCTGCAGCCTGCCATCAAGACTTCTCGGTATCGTTACGCATCTACTGGTTGATGTGGGATTCGCGAGCGCCTGTCAATTTCTTTCAAAACCACTCAAAAGCTGACTCACCCATTCCAAGTCCTCGACAGTTCCCTCGCCATCACCCTTCTTCCGCTTTTTCAACTTTTTCACCAGGGCGTCAACCGCTTTTTCGGACCATTTCTCTTCTTCATCACCTGAAAACTTGAGTTGTAGATGAAATAAATAGGGCATTACAGGTATGCTAATGTCATGATGACAAGAAATTTCTCAAGAAAACTTGAGTAACAGCTAAAATTGCATACTATTGCTTACAAATTTGGGTAGAACCTTGCGGCTTTGAGATTGGTATCAGTAAGATACTATCGGTATGCTAATGTAGTGGCAAATAAAAGATAAAAAACTGAAATTTTGGAGTTGTTGCATAAGAAACACACTTGAAAAATACTATCGTTTTTGAATACACAAAATTTATTGGTATATTTTTCTTAAAATAATATCTCCTAGGAAACCAACTTTCTAAAAATTTATTGACGTCATTACCAACCTTGTTTCCATCCCAACAATTTCTTCACAGCCGGCCCATGCCATTGCAGAAGATTCATAACCGTTTAGACTGCTAATGCTTGCAAGAAATCCTCCTTCCTTCAAGACAGCCGGCTGGAACGAAATGTGCAAATTATTAGAGCACCAGGTGGACAGTGGTCAGCCACCACCCCTTGGGATAAGATGCCGTGAAAGACCGGGGCGGAGAGAAGGCGGGTTCCCGGCCTAATGAAGGACTGACCGCGACGCGGGCTGGCCTGCGTCGCGCAGTCTCGCACACCCCAGAAACCCCCCAGCCGTTCCAAGATAATGAGAAGCGATGGAAATTGATGGGGGCGTGCGCGGCCACTACCGCTCCTCCCTTCATGGCGTCCCATTTCTCACCCGACCGAAGCTACCAACCCAGCCTCGGAAATGAACCCATAAAACACGGACATCCCCCGACGATGGTCGACGAACGTCGTCCACCCAGACCCGTGGCCACCCATGTCCTTGAAATTAGAAACGGAACCGGGTCAACATCGTTTTTAGGTGAGATTTATGGTGGGTAATCAACGATCATGGCCAAAAGCTGGCGGGTTCTGGAGCTTTTGGGTTGAGTAAATATTATCGATAATTTTGCCTGACCACATATGTGCTCAGCTGCTACCGAATATCGAAGTTCCAGTTCTTCATCAAAAAACAAAAATTTTCAACGCGATGGAGTCGAACTAGGACCGTGTGATTGGAAAGCTAGCACATTGCCATTTAGCCACATGCGCAAAACGCGGTAATAGGCGTTGATTACTTAAAACCAAAATAAAAATCTGAAGTTATGAAATATATTGCAGTTAATAAGGTTCTTAAGAGAAAATAGTTTGCATTTAAAGAGCCTGATCTACATAAGGACTATCAGAAGATATAACCTGGAAAAAATCAAAACCAGTTAACCCAAAAAATTCTGAGTGTTTGGCAACGACAATCACGTGCCGAGCACGGAATAGCGCCTCAAAAAAGGCACTCAACGTTAAGACGGAAATTTTTAATGATTTTTTCAACTAAACCCAAAAAGCGGATTCAAAAGATGATGTGCCGCTTCCGGCTCTCGATAGAACGCAGTTTTTTCAAGCAGAATCCAGGAAAGCTATTTTCAGAGTTGGGTGGTCCTAAAGCATCCCGGACCCCGCGAGAGCCACACGGGAAAAAGCGCGAGCCATTGTTTGCACTCCTGCACTTTCCGCGCGCTCACCCCAATCATTCACCGGCGCCTCCATTTTGTACTTTCAGCTCTGTTTTTGGGTGGGGTTACCGGTGGGGTTGCATGATTTTCGAGGTTTATTAATAACTTTGAATCTGTAGTTCTCTAAAAATTGCGATCATAATTCGAACTGCGAAAATCCCGACGGCCGAAAATCGCAATAGCTAAAATCCTGACATATTCTTGACTCTGGTTTGAATGCCGACCCCTTAATAATCTATTTTCGCTGTCGGGATTTTGGTTGTCGGGTTTCGGCTGATTTGAATAAGCCAGTTCTGCCGTATAGCCTATTCCAACACAGTATAACCCCTTCCTCACACGATTTGACACGTTCCCAGCTCCCAGCACCCTCAACTGGTTATTCGTTCCCGGCACTGCAACTGGGGTGCTAAATCGTATTTGCTTTCCCTTCTCGTCTGGGCTCCACGCCGCGGTCGCGCACAAAAAGTTATGGGATCATAATCTGAGGTGCGGCTCAGCAGACCATGATGGTTTTCCTGGTTTTGGATATGGGTGAGCAAAGGGAGGTGGTTGGTCGCGACTGTTGATCGGTTTTTGTAATTTTTGAATTGTGTTACAGCCGGTAGCTGAAGAGCGAAAATTTAGGAGCAAAATGATTCTTTTAAACTTTGTTACAGGCAAGCAGACTTTTCTGAAAAGCCAGCGCTATCGGAAAAAATACCTTTTGAAGTACCTTAACATAACCAGGGTCTATTGTATTGAAATGGGCATCACATAGCATTGCAATCTGACTCAACAATTCCCCCCACATGGCTCTCAATAGTCCCGAAAGCCCCGGGTCCATGCGGACGCGGCAAACAGGCGGCGGCCCCCCTCGTCTCCCGCGCCGCCAGACAAACGCGGTGGGAACGGCTCGATTGTCTACGCCCTCCCATGGAGGTTCCGTTAGACACACCACCAGTCCTCTGTCACTTTTCGATTTCGTTGGTTCTTATGTTTTTCTGTGTTTGAAAGTGGGGAATGGTGATATCGAACATTGAATTCAGCGGCTTTGCTTCGCATGAGAGTGTAAATTTTCAAGCTCCGCGTGTCGTTGAGGCTGGCAAGGAGGTGAAAATGATTTTGTCGATAATGCTTGAAATTCTGAGTAAGTCTTATCTATCATAATTTCCTGATCAGCAACAGTTTTCCAGAAAGTTCGCACTGAAAGGTCACCGACCTTGCTGAATTTTCGGTCCCGTCTAACAATATACTAATTTTGCGAGGCGACTTTTCAGCCGCTGCCTTCGAATTGCGGCTTGATCAAAACGTCGGGCTTTATCGAAAATTTAACTTTAGTTTGGCAACGCTTTTATAGGTAGACTTCGACATATTCTGAGTAGTTACGACAATAGGTACAGTCAGACCCATCCTGCATCCTACGGCAATAAACAGCAAATCACTCCTCCGATGCAGCACGCGACGTGTACCGTTCCGCTTAGCTTTTTCTTTCCATTCCCTCGGCTCGCCGGGGCGAACCGACTGGTGCGACAGTCAATGACTGCCCAATACTTGCTATGCAATAGTTTTTCTCGACCTGCAATGGATTTTTAATGTATTCCGGTGTATATCTGTATCTGCAAAAATTTTACCCTTCCTGTTTGTTGCAAGTGGTCTTCCCTTTCCCTTCAGATGATGTGGAGGAGCGAGGGGTTTTTGAGGCGGGTAAGTAATTTCCCGGGGGTTCCCCCTAATCCGTATCAGCAGCCAATTATTGGGGTGGCCGGCCAGGCGGAGTGGATTAGTTCGCAACGATGCCTAGAACGGGCCCCATTCAGGATTTCTGCATTCTGCAAAATCTTTTAAAACTCAAACGTTACCTCCCGCTGCGAACCGTTCCTTTGGTTTCAAATGGCACCGCCTTTCAGGTAACAGCATAAGCGTGGAGAGAGATAGAGAGAGAGAGAGAGAGAGTGAGAGATAGACGGGGACAGTGTGTGTATTGGAGGGGTGAGGACTGTTTGCGGTATGTGGGGCGCATGCAGCAGTCTCTGTCTGTGAAGAGCACGAGAACCAGACCCGCTCGGCTCGCCCATCGATCTCCACGCTTGATCGGCGCCCGCGCGCGCGCCGCCCCCTACGGCAGCGCTTTAGTGTTGTTTTCTGAGGTGTCGATGTTTTTCGTAAATTCCGTTAGGCGAAACTGGCTGTAGTTATTGCTAAGTAAGTAAAATAACGCCGACGAAAATGGTTTTTTTGATGATAAATAGGTATTACCATATGTGCTAGCTTATCCGATGAAACTTGGAATTTTGCACAATGTCCCTGTTTTCAAAAACTGCTGAAAGAGCTGGTTTGTGAAAATTAGCTAAGTAAGTCCCGGATCTGCCTATTTTTGCTATCGCTTAAAACAAATTCTTTAAGCTTTGTTCTGACCAAGTTTGATTTTAATTAAATTCACGCCTTCTAGCCTCCAGGATGTAGGCATCTAAGGCTGCAGATGTAGTCGCCCCTGCTTTTCTCGGATTTCTAACCCGAGGGCTAAATCCACCTTATCTCTGCCCATTGATGCGCATTACCGTAACCCTGATCCCGTGAGGCAGCTGGGCCCCTCGCTTTTTGCCAGTCTCCAGACACCTCATCCCTTTTACCGGCGGTTGCTGTTTTCCCGCTCGAGAGTTTTTGCCGGGCAGCCTTTTTTCGGCCTCAAAATTCCTCTTTGGTGTCTGTCCTTTTTGTTGATTGGGATGCTGCGGGAGCCGGCGCCACCCCGGGCTTTTAACGAAGCGTTAATTATTTAATGGTACCCTTTGGTTTCTCAAAAAAATTGTAGGACCTTTGGGGTTCTTAATGTCATACTTTTAAGTTATACGTTCATTGCTTGCAAAGGCCACGTCAAGGTCTAGGCTTAGACTTAGACTTCGCCTTTGGTTTAGGGTTAGGCTTGGACTGAGGCTTAGGCTTTGGTTTATACTTAGGCTTAGACTTATGTCTAGGCTTAGGTTAGGCTCAGGCGTCGGCCAGGCTTTACTAATTGCTGACTTACTTAACCCTTTAAGCCAGGTAAAGCCAGCCCTTCCTTTCTCTACCTGCCGATTGGTACCCTAAGGGGCAGGTTAAGGTGGCAGGATACGGGGGGATCAGTCCGGGGAGGCCAGGGTACCACCCGGCGATAGGTCCACCATATAAACCATCAGCCCGCCCGGGGATAGCGGCATGTATATGTGACCTCTTGTGTGGGATATGGTGAGGAAGGAAGAGAGAAGGAGAGAGACAGAGACAGACGGGAGACCAGCCTTCCTCTCTGTCTCCCAATCCACCTCCTCCAACCCCCAAGCCTTCCTCTTCCCACTCTACCCTCCCAGCTAGCCCATAACCGGTTCAACGGATCCTCTGAGTCGCACTCACTACTTTTAGCTTCATCGAGGGACACTTGGATTTAAGGAGATGGAAAAGTTGGTTAGGAAGTGGTTTTTCGAGTGTGTTTTCTTGCTGTAAGCAAATTTTTTCTAGCCTGCCAGCCTTCCCTCTCTGTCTCCCAATCCAGCTCATTAACTTGTCTTAAGTTTTCGTGATTTTCTAACGAATCACCTTCATTGATCAAGGGTATCGGGCTTCGATGAATCTATTTCTAGGCATAACTTCCGGTTGAGCTTCATTGGGGACTTGCAGCGTCAATTTCGAAAATCGAAACTTTGTTGTTTTTATTTCTGGATCTCTTAACCAGATTTTAGCCCTTCCTGGGCTTTGGAGTCTATTAAGCTTCTCAACATCGACCCAACCATTCGCTTGAGAAACTTCTTTCCCCCAACCCTTCCTCTCAAGCCCATTATTCGCCGCCCCGGAACGACGGGAACGACCAGTGCAAAAGGATATGCCACGGTCGGCTTCCCTTTTCTCCCCCTTCTACCACACACAGATCCACACATATTTTCTTCGGAACCGACATTGGCCCCGAATGGGCCCTCCCAAAGAGAAGGGCCCAATGGCAAGGGCCATGGTGGATTTTGGGAGGCTGTGTCCCAGCTAGGCGGTCTTTTCTCCCTTTCGCTCTCTCTGCTCGCCCCCTCTCTTTCTTCCACCCTCTCACCCATCGATCCCCAAACACTACCGCTCTCATCCTACCCCTCAATTCTTGATTATCCGGTGATTTATTGGGCATTAATTAGCATATTGCTGGCATTAGGGTGCTTAGCAGGTACTAGCGACTTTTTTGCAACTATGCGTTGTGATTTCCCATGTAAATCGCATTTTGTTGGGCGGTATTTCGAACGCTTGTGAGTTTTTGGGGCCTCGTCTTTGCACGAGCTTTGTGTACTTTCTAGCCGTTAGCTTGCCGGAAGTAGCCATTTAAATGCAAAATTCCAGATTTATAGCTGAATGTTAATTTTTCGATGACAGCTTTTGTATATATTTTCAAAAATCGTTCTTTTAACTTGCCCCTTCCAACCATCAGTAATTAACCAACACCGGCTTCAAATCGAGTCCATCCCCAAAGCCCCGCCCACCCATCTGTGTCCCGTCATTCCGTTTCTTGCCTTTCGTAAAGACGCCACTTTTCCTGCAGGGTGTGAGCGCCAGAAAAGTTCTGTTCTCTCGTTCTTCGCCTCTCTGGTCACCAGCCACCCGCCCAAAAATGTTGGGTTCTAGTCAGCCGGCCGATTCATCCGTTTATCGATTCGGGGAGGGGGAGCTAGGAAAAAGGAGGGGGGGGGGCGGAGGGTGGTGGGACGACCGTTTTGACAGTCTCGACCGAATTGTGCCTGCCTTCAGCCTCGCACATCTTGGAAAAAGATGGGTTGGGAGGTGTAGAATGGACGGGAGGTGGGCTGGTTTTGATGTCTGTTGGCAATTTATCTGAGGCTCGATCTTGGCATAACTGAGTTGAAGCAGAAGAATGGAGGGTTGGGTGGGTGTAGATTAATTTTATTAGAAGGTTTTGGTGTCTAAGTTTTCGAACTTGTCTCATTAGTTATAATCATTAAAGGTACACCAAAGTCTCGTTGGATTGGTTACCGGCCGGTAACCGTCCGCGGGATAGCCAACAGGGTTACGGTAGGGGCTCGCCGCGGAGCAAAACCGAACCTGCGCCACTCGCCTGAGACGAGCGCTTTAGACCACTAGGCCATGGGACAGACCGAAGAGGGGACAGGGAAGGGGGATAAGAAGGGTCCGGGCATTGCGCGGCAAAGGCCCCGGATTCCCGACCGCGAACTGACTTTTTGCACGAGATTTTAGTGTACCTTTAAGCTTAGGGTAGGCTTAGGCTCGGTTTAAGCCTTCACTTTAAGGCAAAAACGCATTAACAAAGCGTATCTGTTTGATCTTACTTAGTTATTAATGCATATGATAATCAATATCAATGTTTTTATCGATTTTCCTTTGAAACCCGATTTTTTTTTAACTATAAGACCTATAAAAAAAACCCCAATTTGATGCAGTTTCAAAAATGCAAATCTTATAACCATTAATGGGACGTTTCGTATTAGAATATTATATAATACTAATACTTCACCGACCTGCTATCCCATCATAAAATTCCGTAAGGAAACCCAAATTCCTGGTCTTGCACAACATTTCCAAGCCCCGCCTCCCTCTCCAACTTACCCTCAACTTCCCAAAACACCACATTGACATCATGCACCCAAACGACTGCATACAATTGATTGCTTTCTCTGTCTTTTTCTCTGTTCTCTTTCCCATTCGGCATCTACCCTCTCTCTTATCACTCTGATTATTGTGCCAAATTCCCGCGTCCGACCCCTCATCACCAATAGCCTTTTTTCAGGTATTGAGCCTAGCGCCTCCGTTGTTGTTCTTCCTCTCGAAATCAACTTTCGAATCCAAGGTGAGATCTAGGGAGAACCAACGAAACTCCTGCAAAATGCCTAAAAGTTCTCTTTCGGGGATTATCGAGTTTGGCGCGGCTTATCCGAGCATTTGGCAGGGGAAATGACATGTAGCCCGGGTCATGGGGTGGAGGGGGAAACGCGCTAAAAAAAGTGGGCCATGGGGCGTTGACCTTGGTTTTGTGGAAGTAGTCAGGCAATCTACATCTCTATCCAACCCCTGATTCCCTTGTTCACAATAGTTTTTCACTCAAAATTGTTTTTTAAAATTCGCCGGTGCGCAATACTAATCATAATAGAGGAACTCTTAAATGCACGTCACACCAAAATACTGATAAAATTAAATATTTTAAAAACCTCTCTCACTAACCAGTTTTTATAGAATGAGCTACGGAACCCCCGGCGGCTACCAGACGATGGTTCGTGGCCCGATGACTGGTCAACTTGGGCCCGGCCCTGCACAGCAGCCGCGAATGGTTAATTTTCACTATCATACTTAATGTATTACCCTTAAACATAAAAATTACCATTTAAAACAAAACTAGATTATCCTAATTTGAATTTCTACACTAACCGCTACCAATACTGACTAAACAAAATATTATAATCAAATTCCGTTAGACAATTTGGGTTGGTTAGTGGGTTGACGGCCGCAGAAAACCCAAGATCTCAATATAACTTAACAATATACGATTTAGATGATGCCAACCGGAGGCTCATCAGTCCCGATGGGTGCCGCTCAGGCAGCCCCAAATCGAGGCCCAGCCATGTATGCAGCCCAACAAATGCCAATGCACGCCGGCCAGCAAATGGCCCCGCGACAGGCATACCAAATGAACAACATGCAAGTGAACCAACAGTTCGCCCAAATGTAGGTTTATAATCGAACGATCGCTTCATTGCACCAATTTTCAGGATGCAAAGCTTCCCGCCGGAAATCCAGATGCAAATCAATCAAGAGCCAGATCAAAGTCGGAAGTATAGCCTCGCGCAATATCATGTAATCCACGAACCGATGTAACAAAGAAACTAACGCTTCTTTAGTGGCAGCAGTTAACACAACAACAACAACAACGTAGGCGAATGATGATGCAACAACAGCAAGCAGCTGGAGGTATGCAATTTTTAAACTATTCTTTAATATGGATTTTCTTTTAGGCATGCCTCAACAAATGAGACCCATGTACCCAAATCAACCCATGCAACCAATGTCCCAACAAATGTCTCAACCCATGCCACAACCAATGTCACAACAAATGGCTCAACCCATGTCCCAGCCAATGTCACAGCCAATGTCACAAACCATGGCCCAGCCGATGTCTCAACAAATGCAACAACCCATGTCCCAACAAATGCAGCAGCCAATGTCTCAGCAAATGCAGCAACCGATGTCCCAGCAAATGCAACAACCAATGTCTCAACAAATGGGACAGCCGATGTCCCAAGGAATTCCCCATCAGATGCAGCAACCCATGTCACAACAAATGTCTCAACAGATGCAACAGCCAATGTCTCAGCCGATGTCTCAGCCGATGGCACCGCCTATGGGAGGGATGATGCCTGGCCAACAGCCCTCGCACTTGAGGTAGGCTCAACAACGCAAAAAAAATACAAATTAATCGATAGTGGCTGAAATTTGCATTTCCCATATTGAAAACCTAATGTTTAGCAAGAAAAATATAACAAGAAAGACGTAGAAAAAGTAAAAGAAGCGTTTGTAATTGAGACAGGTTAAAAAATTAGAAAACCTAGCTAAATTTTAATCGCAACTAAACTAAATTTGCTTTTTAGCATAATTATTGGAACCACTAGCAAGAGAATTTTGACAAAAATGGGCTAGGAACAATAAAATTGATACAATTAACAAAAACTCCTAAGAAAAACGGGTTCTAAAATGCATATGTGAAGAGAAATGAGCCTCAAAATGCGCTCTCCTTAAACTGATGCAATGAAATGGCGTAAAATGGGGGTGTGACTGGCCGGTCGCCTTTCTCCGGAATGTTTTGCTAGAAAAGAGCATAGACGATCAGATCGGAGAGACGGTTACAAGCCGTCTGCCACTGACCCACGCCAGATCGATCAACACCCGCCTATTTTTTCAGCCGGGTCCCATCCTCATCTTCGATGACCGCTTCACCTGGGATGGTCCATAGCCAAATGAGCATGATGCAGCCGGGGACTCCAATTCAAGGAATGGGACAACCGATTATGCATCATAATCCGCCTAGTCAAGGGTCTTCTATGCAAATTATGTCGGTGTCTCCCAAGGTATGTGTTAAGCCGCCTTTAAAAATTCCAAAATGGGCCTTAAGAAGAAACAATTTTATAATTTGAATAATTCCAGCCCGTTCAACAATACATCGACCCTCAAAGTGGCCAACTTCAACCATGCCAACCCACATCCGCCACCACCTCCCCAGCCACCCAGTTGGTCGGACAAAGCCCCAGCTCACAGCCGAAAACCCCGGCTCAAGGTATTGCCATGGACCCGTTCGCCGACTTGCAAAGTTAGTGCTTATAACCCTCGCTTGCTTCACCCCTAATTCTTACTCAATGTCGTTTTATCTGTATTTTTTTAGTGCCCCAGTTCCCGCAAAACAGCAACCCGAGCTCCAGCGGCACAAACCCCGGCTCGAACCCGGCTCCATCTGTTGTAGAAGCCCAAATGCAGCAATATAAGAAGAAGGTCAAGGTAAGGATTTATTTGATCATTCAAGAATCCATTATTTAGGAAATGAACCTAAAATTCCGGGACAAGATCGAAAAGTTGATTCATAAGGTGAAAGGAGATGATGGCAAACATCCGGTGCCGCCTGGTCTTGAGCGTTATTTGGAAATTATGGAGGAAAAGCGGTAAGCGAAACACAATCTACATTTTTTACGGGTAACTTCAACTAAAACCTGTTTTAGGGTGGTATCGATTGACTTCCTTGACCGCATCGTCGGGACGCTTACTCGATTTTTCGAGCGCTCTCACCCGATGTATGCTCTTCATGAAGCCGTCCGCTTCCGTCGCACCCATCCTGAGTTGGAGAACGAGCCGGCAAATCCTACACCAGATCGCTGGGAGGCTGTCTCTCACCTGAAGATCCAGTAAGTGAACCAAAAATCCACAAATATAGCTGTTTTAGAATCCCCGAACAAATCCAAGCTCTCTACCCTGAACCTCGACCTGGGTTTGGAAAGCGTCTCGCCTCACCTCGAGTTCAAGCCGCCAAGCGTGCCAGGTAGATAATTAATTGATACCAAATACAAAGCAATTTAGGTTGTCACTAAGCCAGCCCGAGTTCAAGGCGCCACAACAGAAGGAATCGGCCCAAATGCAAGAACAAAAACCGGAAGTGTTTGACCCGATTTCGGATGAGGTCCTGATGAAGCTACCACGCGTGGTAAGGGATTAAAATCCGTATTTAAATCTTGTTTTTAGATTCCGACCCGTTTCGAGGGTGCTCCCTGGGTGATCCCAGAAATGGCAGCTCAAGAATTGGTCAATTCGGGGCTACGCTGGAAGGTGGATCAACGGCCACCATGTAAAGATACCCCGGATGTACAGCTCGTTATTGAAGGCGATAAGGTAACTATTTTTAAGAGCGTTGATTTTAATGTTTTGCAGATTTTGACGGCTCCTCTGCGTATCTTGCTACCTCACGGCTACCCTAATCTTAGCCCGCAAGTGCTGTTCTCGGAATCATTCCCGAAAACCTCTCAAGTTTCGGTGAACCTTGAAAATCATTTCCGGCGGATTATCAATTTACATGGTTGCAAGTGAGTTTAAGCTTTATGTTATATAGCTCAAACCCTAACTCTCGGAATGAAATTGTATAACTTTCTTCTTTTCAGGACGCTCGGCCAAATCCTGGTCGGCTGGAAAGCCGCATGCGAGCGCTACAACCGTCCACCCAGCCAAAATGGCTTCTTAAACCCCCATCAAAACGCAACAAAAATGTTCGCTTAGATCCTACTTCAATTATTATCTATTCCCTACCACTAAATATGCCCAAGCTGCCAAAAAACTCACCCTATCCCCAATCAGGTGCCCCCGTTTTTAACCTTTGCCATCCATTTCCAATACCCAACTTCCCCCAGACTCCCAAGGTGATCCCTCCCATCTACTGGTCAAACAATTCCTCTTGCTACATTTGATTCGCTAAAAAATCTAGAACAGTTATAACCAAATTTTTCACTAAAAGTATTTTCCAAAGCCGGGTCCTATCAAGATGAAACTTTATATTTAATCTATCGTCGCCTGTACCTCTCCGCTTCATTGCCCAACTTGCTGTTAAATATGCCTATGCAAATACCAAATGAATTTAACATTGTTTTGGTTATGTTATCCACGTTGTGATCGCCGCTGCTTCCATGTGATTCCTCCCTGCTTCCAAATTCAGAATGCAGATTCGAGTTGCTACCCTAATTTCCATCTCGTCAGCTCCCCCTCAAAAGATTCTCGCCCTAAAACAAGTGGTGCATCTGTACATTTTAATCACGATTTCTTGAGCTGATTAGCATAATGAGAATTTAAATTCCTCAAGAAATCGTGCACCCCGCTTCCAAGATGCAGAAAAATCATAAAAAACAACAAAAACATACGGTTACTAGACAGACATGGCGGAATACCTAGTATTCATGCTCGTTGAATCTGGTGAATTTTCTGTGCAAGGTAAATACACCCAATTTCTGTAATTTATATATGTAAATTTTGTTTGATAAATTTTACAAGAGATTTTGGCGCCTGAAAAATGACAAGATAACACATGTTCCTGCCATTGGCTCGTCAAGTTGTGACGACCAAATGTTGGGTCTCAGAGCGCTGGAAAGCCGTCATTTTGAGAATGATTTCAAGAAACTTTTCGGATTGCTCTGAATTGTTTGAAGCCTTTTTTCTGTAAAAATATTGGTGTCGCTTAGCGGCTGTAAAAGAAAGAAAGTGGCCCCCGGGGCAGAAAGCCCATTTGTCCCCGAGTGCAATCTAAAGTAATCGAATTCCGAGAGGCTCCACGGCTTCTGGAGAAGCTCCCCCAACTTCTCTTGAGCATCCCAGCTTGGTTCTAACTAATTTTTTCGTCACTTTAAGCCTAGCTTTTTTAGCTTCTAACCCTCCCCTCACTTCACCATGATGATGTACCAATGCTACGCGGCCCCGGAGGAAGATTTGGTAAGTCATAAAACTTTGAAAATTTTATTAAGGTTGTTTTCCTTTGGCATTGACTTATTTCCGCTCTTCCTCCCTAACCTAAAGATATATGATGCCCCCCTATCATGTTACCCAGGCCGGCAAGAGCAACCTTTCACAGGTTCCCCCCATCTCACAGATTCCCTACTTAAAATGCATTATTTTAAAAAGGCGCATAAATTTATTTCGCCAACACCGGTGGTCGACATAGTAAGTTTTACTTAAGAAAAATGGTTTTTAAACGGGTTAGAGAAGAATTAGAAAGGTTTCTGGGGGGTAAGAGATGGTCATGGTTCCCGGCGGGGGTCGTATTTCAATCTGGCAACGATTTCCCTCGAGAAGTTACGAATGCATGCTTTTTTGGCGGCTCTTGCAGTTCATCCACACATTTCACAAGTCACAAGCTGGAAAAGGATCTCTATTTCTATAATAACATTTAACTTAGGCATAGGCATAAGCTTAGGCTTAGGCTTAGGCTTAGGTTGGGCTTAGGCTTAGGCTTAGGCTTAGGTTTAGGCTGGACCTAGATTTTCCTTTATACTTGATATTCTTCTTTTTTTGTAGAAGCAACTAATCCCAATCCTCAATTTTTTTTCACCTGCTCCATTCCACATTTTCCGCCAGCTAACTCGGCCCATGAGACATTTTTAATCGCCTTTTTGCGTGATGGTTGCGGGCTAGAAAGTGTTTCAATCGTCCATGGCAACGTTTCGCTGGGGCAAGAAGACAATAGATGCCCTGGGTCCTTAGCCTTCCATCAGTGGGCCCCTAAGGAACTGGCGGGGGCCTTATGGCCCCCGGGACGCGTGTCTTTTCATCAAAGCATATGAACGCATTTCGTCCCCCGTGATTCAGCTTGCATGAGCTTTAGCTATTTTGACGCTTTATATATTCTATATATTTTTGGTATTTCTAGTTGGCTTTAGAATGTTTGTTGGTGGTCGGAAGTCGCGTTCGGGTGCGCCGGACCCGCCCGCACAGCAAGGAGGCCTAGCTGCAGGTGCTTATAGCTTGTAGTCTAGCTTTTTTGTGTTTTTCTTTTTTATTAAAAGGTTCCAGTCTTCAAGCAGTTGGCGACAAATGTAATCCCAATCGTTGTGAAGGATCCGAAGGCTGTCAAGCTTTTTGTAAGTATTCGGCATTTTGTAGTTTGACGTTGGCTTTTTTGTCATTTTTCTCGGGTGATGCCTTTGAGGTTGAAGTGTTGAGGGGAGAAATCAAACCCCTTGAGTGGTGGTGCTACTGGTTCGGCCAAAGAGCCTTCGATTTCCGTCAGCTTTCAACTGGGGCGGCTTCTCCCCCCTTTTGCGATGTGGCTTGGGTGTAATTTTCGCCCTCCTTCGCCATGCGCCCGCCGTCGGCATATTTGATTACATTAATTTTTCGTTGCAGCTAAAATTTCAGGCGCATTCAATGAGGGGGAAGGGATAGGGCGGGCATTCGCAAATGATTTGTGTTAATTTTCCTCTTTTTGAGGCGTTTAAGATGCGGTTGCCATATTTTTGTCACTTTTTTGGCATATTTTCATCTGTAGTCGTTGGTACTTTTAATAGTTAGATCCCTGTATTTTTTTTGCTTTACCAAAATTTCAAAAATAGAAGCAATATTGATCGATTTATTTTAGTTTATTTTACTTATCGAAAAATGCCTTAACCAAATAAAAAAAATCAACTATATAGAATTTTCTGGCGATTAGAACAAACCTCCCTGGGGATCTGAAACGCGGGGCAAGAATTGGATTTGTGAGGGCAATGAGGGGGATTAGCGGGGCCGAGTGTTGGCCCATTCGGATGTGCTAAGAAAAGGAGAAGTAGTGGAGGGGGAGAAGGGCATTTTCGATGGCTCGAGCTCCTTCTCCAGCACCTCCGCATCGGATTGCCAGTATGGCGCTATCCGATGGGCCAGCGCACGTCCCGATTCTGTGGCACCGTCTTTTGCGGGTTTGTTTTTGGATCTAAACATAAAAAATTGTAAAAAACGTTTTTCAAATTTTTATGGTTAAATTGGACACTAAGATAGTCATTTAAACCTACGTGCTATTCTTTTGCAGCATGCCCCGACCCACATCCTCATTTTATTATTCATACCCCCGCGAAATCCGTCATGTTTTGACCCGCCACCCCTGCACGGCTTATGGATGCCCCGGGGCCCACCCGCCTTTTTTCGGCGGCCAGGCCATTAGGAAAATTGGCACGTTTTGGCCGGGAGAGCCGCCGGGACACCGACCGGAAGCGCCCTCCTGCCACCTCACCCCGAATTACCACTTCCTCAAATTCACGATCCCCCCTACTAATTACGGGCCTTGATAATTTGCACCTATGCGCCCATTGGAAACTTTCGGGAATCATGACAATCGGGGTCAATATGAGAATTGGCAAGTGGGTAGAGTGGACTTAAGGTTCGACATTTTTAAGGTGATAAAAACTAATAAACCAAACCCCAAGCCAAATCTGGAAAAATCCAGCTTCACAAAATATTAATTTTCAGATGCCAACAGCCCAACTCAATCTGGTCCTCAATGATCGGCGAATAATGGCAGGGGAGACGTTGAGAGCAAAGGTATCTAAATCATATTAAATTCTTCGAAACTATCCTTATAGCTATTGGTTGATAGTGCCGACCCGGAAACGATTATTCACTCCTTGACCGCTGAGGTTGTAGGCGTCGGCCGAACTGGCTGGGTCAACATCCACACTGATAAAATTTTTGAAACGGAGAGGGTATGGCTGTTCATAAATTAACTTTCACTCCTTTCTAGGAATATCTGAACACTGGCCATTTACTTTTATGCCCTCGAAATTCACCACTACCCCCTGGAAGGCATCAATTTCCGATCCAGGTTGAGCCGTATACTAAATTATGCAAATTTTTAGGTCCACATCCCCGAAGGTGCCCCCTCAAGTTATGAAAGCCAATTTGGCGTCATTCGATATCAAATTAAAGTTAGGCTAGAGGCCAACACAGAACAGGCAAGTTTTAAAAACAGGTTTATCGATTATTTTTAGGCATGCTGCGTTGAGGCTTTTCCATTTGTTGTCCTTTGCCGGTCTTTTTTTGACGAATTACCTGTAAACCACATGTCTCCTGTGGATTATGCTGATGAGGTATATAAATCAATCTTTGAAGAACCATTTGGGCGTAGATTGATTTTACCTGTTGCTCCTTACCATTCGGGACGATTACGATAAAAGTATCATTACCCAGGACGGCATACACAATGGGAGAGGTAATTCATGATGTTTTAAAATTGTTAAAATTAACATTTAGGTCGTCGAACCAATGCTCCGAATAAAAAACCGATCAAGAAAGGTATGAAACACTATTTTTAAACTTGCAACTTTGCAATTTGCAGGGTTTAAAAGATTGCACAATAACATTGATGATGAAAACACAATTTGAGGCGATGAGCAGGTGGAATTCAAATTTTGCAGCAAATGTTTTTTTAGGTATGAGCACGTCAACGAGAAAAAGCTCGCCGAGCAAATTATTGAGAGTGTAATTCTGGGTTCTGTTGCAGGAAAGAGTACTGAGGTATTTAAAATTGCGCATGCTATTTTTAAGCGAATTTTTAGGAATTTGACAATATTAGCTTGCGGATACCAGATGGCGCCCCGCCAACTCAAAATTACACAGATGGGGTTCAAACTAATATTATCACTATTCACTATATTTTGAAAGTAACGGCAACACCAGGTTTGGCTTTAATTTTATACGTTGATTTTGTGTATTAGGAATCGAATGCGAAATGGGATTAATTGTCACCTCCAGTGGATACCGAGATCCACAAAAGAACGCGTCCTTCCTTTTTCATACGAAGCGCAACCGAAAAGACCAGATGAACGGAAACGGGATCGAATACGCTTTTAATTAAGTGTATTTACAAATATATATACTATCTATCCTTTATGCACACATATCAAACATTTTCAAATACGAATCAGATAAAAATCGAGAATAGGGAAAGTTTTTTGGGGTTGGATTTATGAAGCCGAGTGTTGGTGTTTCTGGAAAAGCTACCCGTATGGTACCCAGTAGAGATCAATTCTTGAAAGGAGAAGGGTTTTCTGAAGTAAATTAAAGTCTGCTCTAACATTGCAAAGATGAATTTGATTGCAAGCTGTTTAAATAGCAGTAGCCGTTCGCGCAGACCAGCGCATTACACGATAGATGTAAAATAGGGGAGTTGACAAAGTAAAAAGAGCAATACAAATTGCAAATTGCTGGAATGTATGTATGTAGATGGAAATGGTCATACTACTGAACCGCTATGGGGGCGGGAGGTCATTTCAAGGTTTGGTGGGCTGGTGATAGAGATTGTTCGACGGCCACGCGTTTCCTAAATTTAGCGTATTTTTATTAATATTAATATATTAATTTATTCAGAATACATAACACAACTATAAAGCTACCTCCTACCGCTACGCCTAGGCTTAGGTTAGGCTTGGGCTTGGGCTTACAAGGAGTGTCCTTTTGATGGCATCGGCAAAAAGATTCGAGACCCAGCTCATTCGACAGAGGATTGAATTCTGAGCAAGACTGTGTTGTTCATTTTTGCGGAATGGCTATCCCTAATTTTATAAAATTAAAAAACTTCCGGCGACGCCCATACATTGGTGCTTGGGGAGCGAGTTGTTAAGGTTTCGCGCTTGGTTTTTTAATTCTATAAAATCAGGGACAACCATTCCGCAAAAATGCAACACAGTCTTGTTCAGAATTCAATTCTCTATGGTGAACGGGTCTCGAATCGTTTTGCCGATGACACCAAAAGGACACTCCTTGTTAGGCTTAGGCTTAGGCTTAGGCTTAGGCTTATGCTTAAACTTAGGCTTAGGTATAGGCATTCCGTATGCTCGAAATTAGGCTCTTATTTTTTTCCCAATGTCTTGGCTCATGTACTCACATGCACACGCGCAGGCCCCTCCCTTCGCACCAACGGTGTTCTCGAATCGATTGTTGAGTGCATTCGTGTAGTTAAAGTGTCGTATTCACTGAAAATTGCGATACTTGAAACGCGCCACGCCACAGGACACTTGAATTTGCATGCGGGAGCCGGCTCGGGGGTTAGTGGCCAGCCACACCGGTGCCACAACGGGGGTTGGAAAACTGATTAGCACCCGCAGATCACCCAGAAACAAAGAATAACTTATATATTATGAGTGTTTAAAATTTTCGAGTCAGCTTGGAAATGCATAGTTAAATCTGATTTTATGAATGTAATTTGCATAAACTTTCCAAGCCGATTCCAAAAATCCATGGGCCATTTGCAACACAGCGGTGCAATCGGCTGCCCAAGACAAGCTGTTCCGTGCTTTGGATACCTTTTTACAGACGTAATAAGTATGTTTGCGTCGGCTTCACTTCAACCGGTAATGTAGCATACCTTGAAAAACAGAAATGGTTTCGGAGAGAGAGAGGAGTACTTGCAATGTTGCAGGTTAGCTTGGAGACAAATTTTGGTGCTTTTGCATTATCAGGGGAGCCACTTTTGAACTCGGGATAGAATTGTCTTTAAATCATTGTCCACTATTTGTAACCTTCACACCTTTACATAATTTTCTTAGACAAAAAATATAGTTTTTCCGATAAAAATGTCAGTTTTTTTTTCAGGTTTTCCACTTGAAATCCAGCTCGATTTTTTCTAAACACTATTAGAACATTAAATAGACATTCTTGAATTTGTAATACAAAATCATATCACCTCATCGCCGCCCCCAATAATGCCAAAGAACACGCAGTTTAAATAGAAATTTTGTTAATGCTTTCGGAATCCCCTAATTTTTGCCCATGTATTTTGGTCACTAAGTTTTTGCATAAAACTATTCCGTAGTGAGAGCCCCTCGTAAACAATTTTCCCCTTATTTTTTAGAAAAACAACTGGTTTTGCAATTTTACAGCGGAGTGGAAAGCTCCCATTAACATCCCCCATTCTGAACTTGCCGAAGAATGAAGATGACATGGGTAGGGCCTGTTTTCAAGGCAGTTCTCAGGACCTAACCACCAGGTACAGGGGCAGAAACACATAGGGTAATCACCAGGTTCCCAATGCCAAGGGGGGATTGAATCAAAAAGGGAGGGTAAAGGGATAGAATCACAGGGTTTTTCTCACCGAGCTATGTGTGCTGACATGCTGAAAATTCCGGAATGCAAAAAGATTTTAGGAGAACGGACATACGGGAATTGTCTGTAACCGTACCGGGCCGCCGTGTGTTTACGACGCAGCAGGGTGCCCTTGGTACGGAAGAGAAGTCGTTGACGGAATGAGGCTGAGGATAGGCAGAAGAGGATGAAGTTCAGGGCTTTTCCGAGGACGACCATGGTGGTTACGACCGCAGTCTGAAAAGAAAAAATTGTCGTAAAGATTCGACATTTCATAGTGTCGAAATTCAGGATGCCGAAATTCAGAATCTCGCGCTGCGATGTGTCGGCATTTTTTGTATAATACTTAGGACTTTCCGAGAGATATGTTTATGTTGGAAGATTCCAATTGATTCCAAACGCTGAGAGTATGAAATTTAACATTTTTGAGTTTTATAATTATCAGATAAAACTTGAAAATATCGTCGGAAACCCTTTTTGCTTACTTACCTCCTTGACAAACGTCTCGATCGGAATCCCAGTAAGGTTTGAAAACACTGGAAACACAGCTGACGGGCCCTGAAATTAATAACGTATCAAATTAGTGCAAAAAAAATACATTAAAGGTGTATAAATTTAATCTTCTCACCTGTGTTATAGTAAAACATGTAACGATGGCGCATACAGTTAGTGTGACCTTATTTTCTGTACGAATCTGTCCGGCCGTCATCTCACCCGACCCTATAGCACCGACGGCCAGGAAGCGCGCTCTAAATATTAGCATAATCAAATTTTGTACGTTCTATCTACCGCCGTCGCATCGTCGCGATCAGAAGCAGATTCGAAATGAATACCAGCAATACAGGGATAAAGACAACGCAAATGGCCTGAAAACGCATAGCTAAGTGGTACAGAGCTCTTATTACCTGAATCTCAATACTCCAGCGCACATAAAGACGCAACATTTGGGAAGTTGGGTTCGGATGGCTGCGGAACCAACTTGGCCCATCGACATGGAAGCACATACTGTGGTATTGGGTACCGTTGCAGAAGCTTCTCCATTCACATTTGTAGCTAAAATCACGAAGACTTTGAGGCTTAGTCTATACGCTTAGGCTTAAGTTTGAACTTAGGAGGCTTAGGGTTAGTATGCTTAAGCAAAGATTTACCTGAGATTATGATGGAAAGTCAGTAACCCAGTCAATATCACTGTCATCGTGACGAGGAATGGAGGCGATAGCAGTGATTTATGCTTTCTAACGGACAGAGGGTACCGTATACCAATCAACCGTTCGCCACAGATGATCAAAATTAACCTGAAAAATTTCGTGCTCGCAGCTTCAGAGTAATCCTTACCAAATAGCGCATGCCGAGGACCAATTGAGAAGATGCAGCAGATGGATCTTGTTCGATAAATAAAATTTCCGGAATAGATTGTTGAAAGAGAAAAATCGGTAGTTGGCCATGGCATCTGGGATCATGCAGAGAAGGAAAACTACGTCCGCAACGGCTAGGCAAGCCAGCAAAACATTTGATCTAAAAATTTCCACATTTCGATGATTTCTTTTCCATTATTCATGGCCCCTAGGATAGCTACATCGTTCTATTGGGCCCAAGAAGGAAGGGCAAGACCAGGGGGTAGGGAAAACACGTGTGGGAGCCCCCCTTAGAGCGTGATATTGAATTCCTGCGGTCAAACGCCTCATTTCGGAACGCTGTACGGCCCACACACGTCAATGGGCTCTTCAAGAAAAGGAAAAACAGGGAAAAGGATTACCTTGTTCGCATATTTTTGGCCAATAGTACGGTTAGGTTTAGGATGTTGCCACTGATGCCGAAGAGGGCAATAACAGGCACTACATAACCTAAAAAATAAGTTATCGTTTCAGTATTAGAGCCTTGAATACCTATCAAAATATTGCTCATGCCATGTACGCTAAGCATCATTTGGCGATCGCCTAGGCATCGTAATGATGGGTCTGGTAAAGCTGGTGTGGATGGAAGTGACATAGAAGTGGAAGGTATCATAGTCGAAGAACCCATCCAACTCTCTGACGATGGCTCCGGGCTATCTGTTGACCATCCCTTTAAAAACCTCAAAATTTCGAATAATTCGCTTTTGACATACCTCGCTACTAAAATACGAAGTCAACGTCGATGGCGTTGGCGTGTAAAAGCTTGTTGAACTCATCGCTGAATCGCAAAACACGATCGATAAGCAGTAATTAGCGTCGTAAAATAGAATGCAATAATGAAGACAGAGAGCCTGGGGGCAATTTGCCCTTTAATGACGCGCCGGAGGTCGGTTCTGATAAGCCCCTGAATTTGTTTTTGGAGGCAAAGATATGCCATTTCCGTATGGCAGACAGGTGGGCGGGGGGGGGGGTTCGGTTAAAGCCTGGAGTAGAACAAGGGGCGGATGTGCCGAGAATTGAATTCTGAGCGTAACGAGTTTCCGGGACGGGTGTATGCTTTTTGGGAGTAAAGTAAACGCCACACGGGTTTGTACTTAGGCGTTCGCTGTACTATTGGTAGATTGCAGAAGAGTCAGAAAAAAGCTATTTGAATACATTAAAACCTTTAGACAAAAAAAATCGCATCCGGTGTATCATTGTTTGATCGATGTTTGGGTGCATGGTGGTTATCTATCCGCTTCAAACTCCCCCATAAAAGCGAACTCCTCCCGGGGCCCGATACCGGCTGATTTTCTCCTCAAAAAGATAGACCGAAATTTTGGCTTTTTTCCAAATGTGAGCCCACTTCTAGAGATTTAAAATAACAATTAAACTATCTAACAACAGGGTACGATGCAACAATAGACCCCCCAACAAACACATTCATGCGTGGCTCGCAAAAAGACAGAAATTGATTTCACATCCAAAACCCTCTCGCCAAATCACCACAACCATTCACACCCGAATTCTAGAAACAGAATGCCGAAGCCATCTTTGCTAACATTCTCCCACGCGGCTACCGCCCATTGGCCCATAGAACGCCTGCCAAAACATAAACAACTCAAAATAGCATAGGCGGAGTGGCCGCGAGGTAATGCAAAGTTGGAGGAGATTGGGTTTGTGAGGGTGGTTGAGTTGGGACAGCGGAAAGCGGAATGTAAGTTGGAAGGAAATGGAGTTGAGGGGTATTGCATAGCTTAAGCCTAAGCTACGCTAAGCTACTTAAGCTACTAGATAGAGACAGAAGCTTGACGCAGATGTGCTCTTCAGGGAAATGACGGGGCGAGCGAAGGTGAGGCTCGAAAGCCAATGATGAGACGAGCTCATTTCCCCTCAAAATCGAGAGCGCACGGAATTGTTTCTGGGGGGGGGGAGGAGATCAAAATACCACTGCTCTTCAGCCTCCAAGCAGAGATGATCGTCTAGATAGGCGTCATTATTCGAAAAGGATAACGGTTCAAAAATGGCTTCAAAGACCTTTAAATCGCTGAAATTGCCGATAGGTATCTAACCGGCAATTTTCGAGAAAAACAGAGATTTGGGGGTAAAACGTCAATGGCCTGACATTTGGCGAATTTCCGATATTTTGTTATTTAAGCCGGAAACGCGCAAAAGTTGAGTGCACAGAAAATCCGCCCGTTTCATACAATATTAAGGACTTCCATTAAAGATGAAGAACCTGCCCGTATTTCAAAAAATCTTGCTCGACCAGGCGCGCCGAAAAACTAGATTTACTAGCACGCAAGCAACTAGCAGATTTCCCGGTGGCTCAAAAACTTGTGTTTCAGATGCTGAGCTAAAAAACTGACGAAAATCTTTGCAATCCTGGCCACCTTACTGAAAATGTCGGTTTTACCGTCCTCTCTCATTATGCCCGGTTTCAGGCTATAATTGAGCGGTGTCCCCCCGAAAGTTTGGCTGGATCGCCTTGACGCGGATAATGGCAGAGTCGCCGATTTTTTAGGAGGCCTTCACACAAATACCATCGGAAAATAGAGCGCTTCATGAATGGGTAATAATGGCCACCTTGTGCGGTTGGAGGACGACATCAGAACCAAGAATTCGCATAGTTTTTGTTGATGCTTACGTTGGGATCACGGCTACGCAAATAGGCATCTACTTCCAGTAATCAGTGCTGCCAGGAAGGATGGAAGTTTGGGATTAGAGGCGGATTAATTTGTTGGAAAAACGAGTGCGATCTTAATGCTCCGGAAGTTGATTGTGGTATAAAAAAAGAATGACGAACCTTGATGGGAAGGGCAGCTAATTTTACACCAAAGAGTAGTTTCGCCAATACTAACGTCACAACTAAGCAAAAGCTAAGCGCTGGCTGTTGTTTTAATGGCGAAAATGAGCCCGAGCTCACCTGGGGGCCCCCTCATTTGTCCGGGACCTCGGGAAGGGGAAAGATAGCCGCGGTAACGAGGCCAATTCCCGAAAAACAAATGTTTCCCCCGTGAGCCCAGCTATAAAACCGGGCAACTCAGCACGCGACGCACTCTAAAACTAATCCTCTTTTTTGGGGGAAGCCGAAATGGGGCTCAAGACAATTGTTGGGGGGCTTCGGCTACGAAATTAAATTCGAGCAAAACCCAGTTGAAACTGAGTTTTGGTTCTTGCTTTTGCGTTCGTGGAGGATGGCGGCGGTGGGGGAAATTGGAAAATGGGGGCAGTGCAACAATTATGCCGTTTCGATTAAATTTAATGGCGGGCCGCTGAAGCGAACGATTTTCGTGGGACTAGATGGGTTGGAAGGGGGCTTAGAGAGACATGTTATAATGTTAAAGATATTTTAATTAGTGGCCATTTACTAAAATAGTACCAAATTCTCGTTAAAATTGCTTCGAAAGAAACGCGAATTTATCAAATACGTAAAAGAGGCGAGATGGGTGAAGCCGCGAAATGCGGATAGCAAAATAAAATTAAATTGCAGAACGCCAATACTGATTCGTAAAAATACTAAATTCCCCAAAAGATACCTAGAAATGACCCTTCAGTTTGGACCAGTCCATCTATCAACCTGGTCCGTAAAAGCAGAAGCCTGAGTGACAACCCTGACACCTCTAGCTGAACGGTCACTCTCAAGGGCCCAATCTGCCCAAGAGGGCCCTCAGATTTGAAGGACGGTCAGTAGGAATGGATGTGTAGGCCCCTGGCCATCCTCGGGGCCAAAAACGTCTCGCCGAAATGGACAATGTGGGAACCACGAGGGCGGCCAGAGGCGAAATTCGAGCGCGGGATTGCGTGGAACGGCGCGTCCCCCCCTGCCCCCCGTAAATGGCGACTAATAAGCTATGATACGATGTCGAGGGATTCGCCCGTCTACAATCCCTTTTACAATCCGTCTAGACTACTGAAGAAGCCTTTTTTTGGTTGGAAAGAGGGAATTGGGTCAGCCGGTAACGGGCATTCAAGAGTTCCTGGGGTGTGGAGGTGAGACACGTGCAAGCGGCCAGCCACCCTCCCTCGCCCACCCAACCGTTTTTATGCAAAACAACCAGTTACGGGTCCGTATCAAGAATTCGAGGTCACCAGGCACGGGAATGACTTTAAGAGGTTGGGAAGTGAAAAAGGTAAGGAGCGCTCGAAGACGAATTCGTTCGGGCCAGATAATCTACGTTTGAAGCTTCATGTTAATTTTGTCCTTTCCGCCCGGGTCTGAAAACCGCTTCGCGGGTTTCCAACCATCATACTGTCATAGATTTATAACAATGGGTAATTTGCTTAGACGAGACGCCTTACTAGACGAGACGCCATTTTGATAGAAAGGGAATTTTTTCAATCAAATTTTTAGGTGTGCCGAAGAAAATTCATAAACGCTATTTTTACCTATATCAGAACGAACGGAAACTCCCGGAAACAGATCGCAAAACGGGGGGGGGGGGTGGTGGTTGTGAGGCCAGAGGTGGCACGAGTCGCCCAGTGGAGACAGTAAAAACGGAATGGGGACACATTTCTTAAGCCTCTCCGGCAAACTGAAAGCAGATGTGGGCCGAAATCGCGTTGGTGGGGGACCGATGACGGCGGGACTCGGTTAACACGCATGATCGAAACTACGACAAGTGGAAAAGTGGCTTAAGGGGTCAGGAAGGTCTCTGTGAATTAGCATAAAACTGGTTTTGACCTTGAAATTTGCATAGATCGGCTATGCTCTCTCTCTCTCTCGCTCTCTCCCTCCCTCTCTCTCTCTCTCTTTCTCACTCGCTCCTTGAACGTTTCCGGTTAGCGCTATGCCAACTATAGATGAGTCCTAATATACATTGACCTTCCTTATCTACTTATAAGCAAAAAAAATCGATACTAGTAAAATTTCAGACTCACGAAGAACTCATCTTCTCGTCATACGGTAGCAGAAACACAACTAGATGCGAGTCATTATATCGCCATAAACTGCACCCCCAGCCAGCGAGCGTCCCACCGCGGCCGGCCTCCCATTAAACGCCATTTTTTGAGCTTCTCCCCCCTAAGCCCTCAATGGCAATTTCGTGAACTTTAAATGGCGCCTCCGGCCCGCGAGATAATGGCATATCTGACAGAAAATTGAGGACACGTTTGGAGAAGCTCCCGCCAAGGTCCAAATGGATTAGGGATCAAAGAAGAATCAGACACGGCTTGCAAGACAACCGGCTGACTCGAGTGTTCAAAGCCAAAAACGATAGATTTGATTCAAAATCGATTCCGGGCCAATTGTAGCCGAAGGGACGGGAGCGCACGCGGGGGCGAACTAGGGGGTTCTTGAACTGGGCAAACAACTCCTTTCACAGATCCCCTCCTTTTTGCACACCGTTTCCGCTTCGCCTGGAACTATAAGCTACCATAATCCTGAGGTCGTTAGGAGGTACTCTGCAGAGACTTTGTTCACACTTTACGGAGCAAGGGAAGTTACCGTAACGCTAAACTCGGCTTCCGATGTGGGATTGTGTAGCAAATCAGATACCTTTAAATCTTATGATTTTTGCGAAGCATTTTAAATTCATGAAATTAATTACTCAGTGACCTCTAAAGCTGATCTGGTTTTATAAATAAAATTTTCACATCTCCTACCTTCACCGTATGACAAGCGGCTGATGCTGTGCTATTTACCTGCTTGAAACCCAAATTCTGATTACCAAGTTTAAATTTACTTTTTTAGCCATTTTTTAGACAAAACCTTTGTTCGGATTCGTTATGCAAATTACCGCTCGCATTTTTGACTCGACATCTTAGGGCTACGACACCTCCAAATGACGCAGTGAGCCAACCGATGACGCCATGTATATCTCTCTTTGACCCTCTTTGACTTTCCGCTGATTTTCCGCTTTCCGGAAATCACCACCAAAAATAGTTCTAGGAACCCCTTCAATGGACAATGAATCGTAATAGAATCAACCAGGTTGTTTCACCAGGTGGGAAAGTATATTCATGTTTGGTATTTAATAGAAAATAGGGAAGAAGAGGTTTATATACATCTAATGTATAATATAATGCCATTTCAGAAGCAAAAAACGATGTTTTCCCACCTGCGAATGGGAAATACCGATGGGGATTGTTGGAGTTTGCTTTGTGTGACGGTGCCTATCGATGGTATAATTATCAAAACACGGTTTGTACCTGCCTCCGCCCAGAAAATCATATTTGCAGAAAAACCTTTTCGCTCAAGAACATGTGAAAGGGACCTGGTACATTAGGGATCCGAGAACCGGTGATTTTGCGGATTTTGATTGGAATAGACGAACAGCTTTGGAGCCGGATGAGGTGGCCTTTAGAGATTTTTGGAAAATAAGAGTCTTCAGGAAGTTCCTGTTGCTGAACTGAACTTGGTTGAGTATGTTTCACGTAAGTAGCCGGTTTCACGAGAAAATTCTTGTATAGTGGATCCCCAAATCCCGAAAAGTCTCGACAAATTTGGGCAATTGGTCACCGGCTTCAATTGTTATGGGCAGCCATTGGCTCCGAGGAATGAAGCTGGCGAATTGGTATGAGAAATAAAGAGAAATATGGTTTTTTAAAGGTGTTTCCATGTTCGACAGACTTGGTTCCATTGTTTCCGATGAATCTTCATTCGAAGGATCAGGATTTTCTGTATGACGAATATGGGGTAAGTTGCAAATCGAGTAAGCAGAAATACTTAAAAAATTTTAGGTTCCAGTGACTCCTGTTAGCGCTAATGGTCAAGCAATACTGCCCTCCGATAAGCATGGTTTGTTTTAGAAAAACCAAAGCGAGTACAGAATTCAGGGATGCCAATATTTCCTACTGACGATGCTGGAAATATCGTCTGGCCTGTAGATGACCAGCAGCTACCCTATCCGCCCTTAAACTATCGTGGGGTGCCATTTGTTAAATTTGACGTGAACGGTTAGATACATAATATGATATTCCTACAACCTATTTCAGGTTTCCCGATTGTACCGTATGACGACAAGGGGCTTCAGCTGGTGATGTTCGACGCCCAAGGGGTCCCCATTCGGCTATCTGAATTTCAAACAAAATATACAAAATCGGAGGCCTATCGGTAGGCCCCAAATCTTTTTTCTTAACTTTTCTTTGCTTCCAGCTGGGGCGGCGGGGAATGCCCACCTCATATTGCCATGCCTCTAAACGATCTTAAGGCCGCCGGCTTAATTCCTGATCCCAAGAATCCAATTTCATCATATTTGCCAGAGTATTTGGAAGCCTTAAAGTTACCAGTAAGTTGGCAATTTTATTGTTAAATGCGTTCAATAATAAATCTAGACGCCCCCAAAATTGGGTGGAGATCAGATCAACCAAGGTAGCGCCCCGGACAGATTCCATCTCCAATATCACTTCATTAGCAACCAATGGCAGTTGGAGATCGAACGAAAGAAAGCAGAGCGTGTAGGGAGAATCAAGTTAGCTTACAGGTGTTTTTAGGAACGGTTAAGACGGGAAGAGTACGAAGAACAAGTGGCAGGACAGTTGGAAGAAGAGGAAAGAAAGAAACGACTTGCGCATCTATTAAAGGTTGGTTAAGGAACATACTTTGTTAAAGTTATGTTTTTCAGGGAACTCCGTCAACTTTCTCTACTGCAACAGGGGACTCAGCACCCGCATCTATTCATGTATTTATTTAAACGTTAGAATTTATCAATCTTACTTTAGCTATCCGCCGCCGACAAGCAAGCGCTGGCCGTCAAGCTTCACGAGGAACGACTGAAAGCTGAAAAACTGAAGTTCCTGCAGAGCTTAGAAGCAAAAGCCGAAGCAGCCAAGCCTAAGGAGCAGGAAGTCAAAGACCAACAAGAATCTGCTGGGCACGTTGGAATCAAAAAACTCGTTGAAGAACAGATGAAAGCTGAAACTGGCAATTCCGAAGAATCACTTCAACTTGATAAGAAGAAGCAGCTTCAAGAAGCCTTAAAGGCGAAGGCTCAGGCTGAGCCTCGTAACGTGCGCAGATATTTAAGCGGAACAGGCGAGGAAACGTATGAAAGCAGGTTGGAAATGTTAATTAAAAATCACCCAAATTTTATAGCGATGACGAAGCCCGGCCAAAAAAGATGATGCCTAAGAGCTACAAAATGTTATTACAAGCCGAACTGCTTGCTCCTGGTGCGAGGAAAAGCAGCAGCAAAACGAATAAAGAAGAAAAGGAGCATCAGAAGAAGCATCGGCGTGAGAAGAAGCATCGTGCGAAGAAGGATAGGCGGCGGAGGGTTCGTGTGTTTTTGGCTCCAGATCAGTCATTTTCCAGAGCCGCTCCCATTCACGACGGCGGCGTGACTCCAGTTGTTCATCTTCAACTTCATCTTCATCGGAAACGCGCTCTTCAAGACGGAGACGGAAAGCCTCACCAGAGGAGCATCGAGCACGGCCTAGTACTTCTAAGGTAACGAGAATTTTAATAGCGGCAATGATGTTTTTCTCAGAAGCTTATACGTTGTCAAATAGCTCCTACCCATTAAATCCCACATGCCCATATAGCCCACGCCTAATAATTTTTTTATCCCAGAAAGGTTTTCCTTTGTGGCTTTAGACGCAGCGTAGGGTTTCTAACTTGTACATGTGTTCTACATTCTACATCCATTCGTATTTAGGAGGCTGCAGATGCTGTGGGGCACGACAAAAGGGAGAGCTACGCGAGACGGCAAAAAACGCCTGATTACGCCAGTAAAAGAGGCGGGTCAAAACTACGAATCCGAAAAACCGATTTTTTTTTAGACGAAACTTCGATGATAGGTATGCCCGGCGTCGATAAGACAGAGAAGAAAGAAGCGGAATTTATGGATGAGGAGGTAGATTGAGACTTTCTTGGGTTAATGACTTATTATCGAAAATATTTTAGGAACGAGTCCGTCAGAAACTACTAGCTAAAGTAGCTGAGCAGAAAGCTGCCGCTGAAAAGAAGGTAGGTAATACCCTGAAGATGTAAAAATTTCTGCAGAAGTTAGATGATTTGCCGAACATCCCGGTAGCCGCAGTTCATCCACAGCTGCCGGATCACGCAGAACCCACTTTTCACTTGACGACAGATGGAACCGGTGATGATGATGACGATGTGCAGATAATTAACAGTGGTGGTGGTGAGGAAGAACCTGTCGCAATGCTGAAGCGGGTCGGCGATAGGTAATGTCACTTTTTAATCTAGTTAATTAAAATGTTCATTTCAAGATATTTGAACCAGATGAGCACCTTCTTAGCGGAGATGCGTAGGGAGCGCCAATTGATGGAAGGAGAGCGTCGGAAATTTGAGAAATGTAGGTTCCAAAACTGCCGCACAGATGTTTCGTATTTGCAGTGCTAGAGAGCTCGAAAAAGCGATCTGGGTCTGACTCCGAGCCTGAGCCGACATCTAGAAGGGTGGTAGATGAAAGCAGGCGTCGTTCTAATGGTAAGATTTAAGGCAGGTTTCTAATAGAAGGTATTTGTAGACAATGCAACAACAATCCATGTCAACCCTCTCGTTTTGCAGCGACAAAATCTGTCAAGGCAAGTTGACCTTAATCGAAATTTTAATTTTATTCAATTTGGGGAAACGGATTCGCTTCAGCCGTGATCAATGATCCCAAAGAGCAGCATAATTCTCTTACGTTCCAGCTTTAAACTCTTGCCATTTTTTTCTTTAAATGAAATTTTTGTATTTGTTTGTTATTTGGATTTCGTTGCGGGACCGTGTTGTGATATCTTTCGTCGTTCTTCTTAATAAATACGTGCTAAAGATCGGTAGAAAATGGTATACCGCGCTCTAGAATCAGACATGGAACCATTGGCAGCATTTTAGCTCGATTGCTCTGTGGTCGGGAGGTCTTTTTAAGATTTTATTGTAAATACATAATACCAGTGAGTTGGGTCCGTACATTGAAAGATGGAAAAGCCTAGATATCCGTAAAAAATGGCATTAATCATTCAAAAACCTAGTGATCAGATGTGAATACTGTTAAAAGGGAAAATTACATTTGGCAGCGGTGTGTATATAATTATAGGAATGTCTTCAAAGCTTCTTGGACCCCATTAGGAACATGACCCCCTCGTCTTCAAGTACATATTTCCGTACGGTGTTCATATCAATGTCCGCTTCAGCGATAGCATTCATGATCATTTCTTCGGTTAGGTAGAGCAGAGAGAAGATTTTCTGCAATATAGAATTATAAATTTTATAAGTTTTTCTACTTGGCGACCCGAGTTGTAAGCATCATCCTCCAAAACCGATCCGAGAATGAATTTCCCTCCATCGCGCAGCGGGGCCGTCTAAAAAAATGATAAAACGTTTTTCTAAGGATAAATACTTACAATATTCTTCATGCAGCTCAAATACTGATCATAGTTATGGCAAGCGCTCTCCAGGCAGAAAACCGATAGCACGACATCGACCTAAAAAATCTCGTCCTAAAAATTTCCGTCTGGACACTAACTTTTTTGAGAGGTAGTTCCGGCACAACACGCTCGAGATGGACGTTGCCCCACAGAATACCTCCATCAGCCACGAGATCACGCGTTTTTTCTTCAATCTTTTTCAGTTCATTATCCGATGGCGGGCTGCTACCTTCAGACCTTAAAAAAATATCGTTATTATGGACCATCTTTAGATTCCTACCTTAGAATGACCTTGATTGTTGGTTGCCAATCATAGGGGTTCGTCTTGTGCAGCCATTCCTGTAACCAAAACTATACTCCCCGGCCCAGACTAGACGTTTTCTTCATTGTCTATCTTTTTCTCTTACAGCGTGCTCCTCAAACATTGGCTGAATTGCTTCCTCGATTGCCCCTCAACCCTTCAGACTTCTCAATTTCATTTTTCGGAACTGACGCATGGGCGTCGGGGCCATCGGTGGGGGTGGGGGGGGGAGATGGGGCGAGAAGGACTCTGGACTTTTTGTCAAGACTCGCTTGTTTGTTGGCCGTTCGGGGGTCTCGATGACAGTCTTTTGAGAGGAGCTCTTCCCTTACCGCACCTTGAGAATGTCGAGGTTCTTGTTGACGTAGTCCGTCAAGTAGACGCGTTTCACGACGTTGCTAAAATTCCGAAAATGAATTCGAAAGTTTTAGTGATGTTGTGGCTTGATTTTTGGGCGAAGATATTGAAGCAAACGTGGTGAGAGAAACAAAATAAATGGTGGTTGCTGTTTTCATAGTTTGGATCTCTGTCTTTGAACCGAAGGGGAGGGGCAGACAGACAGCTTACCGGAAGCAGAGGGCTGAGTAGACCGTGGGACCCGCACCGATGTCGAGGAGTGTTTGCCTTTCTCGCTCCGGCACTGTCTGAAGTCTGATTATCACAAAAATACCCTTTCTCTTTAAGGATCCTGACTAGCGTCAAAATTTCAACATAGAACTGATTCATTTTGATACTAACAAAGGTACCAACCTGCAAAATCACTTGGGCGAAGACGGGCAAGGCGAAAAGCGAGATCCGGGTACCATCCTCGATGGCTTCCCTAGATTTCAGTTTAGAATTCGATAAACACAGTTACTTGCTAAAGTAATACTGTAGATACGCGTCGGGGTCGAACTCCCGATCGTAGTCCTCCGGGCGATGCATGAATTCTACAGGCATTGTGTCACCACGGAAAACTGAGATCTCACCCTGAAGATGGGAGGTTAGTTTGTTTGTTTCTTTAAACGTTAACTATCAGTTCATGAGAACCATCATTAATGTACAACCTTGGAATGTATATTGTGTAGGTAGTAAAAGCTAAGCTAAATAAAACTAAGCAAAAGGCCAGTTGCTGCGTGACCAGGCGACCTAGATACCGTACATCTCTGTGATCCCCAGGATTGGTGGGTTAGACAAAAATTTAACGGGGGTAAGGAAGTGGGTCCGGGGTGGAAATGTGGCTTTGACGCGAAATGGGGGACCCCGAGAGCCGGGGCTGAGAGACGTGAAGGAGGACAAATAGCTGTCTCGAAGGCCCAGGTGTCCATGGCATGTTGCAAAAAACCCTCCCATTGGTTGGGGAAGATGGGTCGAGCTCCTGAGTTTTGAGGTACAGGCTAACGTCATTGCATCCGGTTGAGAGGGGTGTTGGTTTTAGTGTCCTGTCGTTTTCGATGGGGGTATAGCGATTATTAAAGCTCATTGGGGAAGTGTTTTTATCGAATATCGGCGATTTTCCAAATTCTTAGCTTTTAGATTAGACAGCTGATGAGAGTTAAACAGCTCATACAACAGCAAAAAAGCTTCAAAATTATTAGAGAAAATATTCAGAAATCCTCTTTTAACGATTCGAAATCATTTAAAAAAAGCAGCATCGAGCATATCTGAACGGAGGAAGTATGCAAAATCCCAAACCTCATAGCCCTCCCCAAACCTTACAGCGCGGTGTCAAGTAATGCAGGTTCAGAGCTTTGCGCTCTGCTCCGGGGCTGTGGCGTCAAAGTGAACGAGGATGAACGGAGTCGGCTCAAATGTCTAGGGAACAGCTGCGTCTGTTCTACTTCCTTGGCCTCGAGCAGCATGTGCCGCCAAACCACCGCTCCTCCGCCAATCGTCATTTCGTCTCGGCGTTTTTCCTTGGTCGGGGTCCTGATGGGCTTTTGATGACCCTGATGGGTCCGTTTCACAGCTGGACGAAGGGGATCGAGGAAACGGGAGGGATGGGTATCCACGTCAGAGTATCCTAACTGGCTATAGTCTGGCTTGTAGGGGAAGGTTATGTAGTCCAGATGTAGTGACAGATAGCCCTCCTCTATCACTTACCGGGTCGTAGCGTAATACAGGCCCCGGGGCCGGGCCCCGAAACGGCCGGGGCCAGAAATTTCATACGGGGGCCCTTATGATTTTATTTCCAAAATTTTGTGCCTGCGGCATTTTTCACGTTTTTACGGCTATTTGTAGAGCTATGTAACCTTTTTTCAAAAATTTTTGCCTGCGGCGCTGTTTTCTCGTTAAAGTTTTGGGTATTTTTGGAAAATTTTTGCCCCGAATTTTTGTGTACCCCTGATCACTTACCTATCGGAATCTCGATGATATGATTCTTTTATACACCTAATTCCGCGCTGCGAATTACACCTAGTCTACCATCTTTCATGCTTTTGAAATGTTACGATTACACAGAAAAAGTTTCATTTGAAATCCTGGTCCAACAAGAAGCAACCTAAAACCACGAACTACGAACCAGACGCAATAATTTCGTTTTCGTGCGTACCGTTTCGAGAGTCGGATATGAGTGGCTCTGTGCGTCGAAGCGGGAGGGCGCACTCCACACTACGACTGGTATTTGTCCCCACGTCGTCTATACCTTACCAACAAGCTATTTATTTTGGGAAAGTCGGGTGGTTTCGAGGAAAAGGTAAGGAAATGACTAACGAAGTTTTAAAGGTGGTCGATAGGTTTTAGATGGTGAGTGTGAAGGGTTTGTTCTCTTGACCGGAACTTCCGTGCGTGATCTGAAAATTCGGGGTTGGAACACACGACGTGGAGTGAAAAACTTGAGTTATCAAGAGACTTACTTCCACGCTCCATTTCAAGGCTTGATCTTCCGGAACAATCGATATAATCGCCGCATCGTTCGTCAGACCGGCAAAGTCCGGCACGGAAAGCAAAGTGACCGTTTTCATCGTATCGTCGTAGAAGTAGCCAAGCGGAGTGCACTAATGACATCCCAGTGACTCGAAAATCGGCTTACCTGATGTCCACGCACCACCAATTCCAAGTTGTTTTGAGCTAGGAAATTCCTGCATTGCTCTGGGCCATAATGGTATCCGAAACCACGCGGGCTTCTTCGCCAAGTATCGCAGTCCTGATTTGGGGTCCGACCTTAAGCGAGTGTGGCATGGTTTTCTTAAATTAAAATGACGTCATCAAGTAGCATCTTGTAGCTAAAGATACTTACCAAAGCAGATCCGTATAGAGGCCCTTGGCCGGTACTGACATTGGCTCGCCAAGGTGCATGATGTCGGCGAGTTGCTGAAATTATATAAATTTCTAGCATACTTAATTTTACTTAACATTTAGACACGTATGATAACCTACCCTCAAATTTGGGGAAAGACCCCCGTGACAGCAGAAAATTTTCCGGTTGACAACTGCGGCCACCGGCATTTTGGAAAAGGCTCGACAGTACGTAAGCCACGTACCGTAGGAGTACTTGGTCATACCTGTAATTTCCATTAAAAATCTTGTAAAATTCGAAATACATTCATGCAAGAATCCATAATTCATGCTGATGCTCGGGCACTCGTGATTTCCACGCAGTAGCGTCACCTGGCCTGGGTATTTTAGCATCAGGGCAAACAGGAGGCCGACTGTTTCGCATGAATTTGGGCCTGGAATGGTTACTCAAATATTGAAATCAACTTAAAGCGTTACCTTTATCGACGTAGTCACCAAGAAAGACATATTTTGTCTTCTCCGGCCATCCGTAGGTATCAAATATTTTGATTAGAGCATCCAGATGTCCATGGATGTCACCTTAAACTTAATTTTGAAACTAGAAACCTTATACCAATAATTCGGCATGGACCAGTGATGTCAACCAACTTTCCTTGCGCGTAGAAGACCTTGCTGGCGCACCGAGCCAATTCTTTATGCAAATCCTTGCCGATACGCTGTTCTTTCGGGACTTCATCGGCTCCATCTAACCAGCTTTTCATCGAAATGGTAACTTACTCTTCCTGATAGTCTCAATGACGGGATCATAATCGATAAAAGGGCTCGAGAAACCGTGGCCCATCGCGAAAGCGGCTGACGATCAGATGTGCCGATGAAATGGAAGGAATGGAGCGGGGGGATGTTGGCTGTCTCCCGCCGGAGGTGATGGACCTCCTTCGTATCAAAGCTAACATATTTCCGGAACTGTGTAATGCATTTTGGCATCAGGAAAAAGTGGAAATGGAAAGGTCGAAAATGAGAGGCGTGCGGTATCCCGCGCTTTAAAGCTAGCCATGCTAGCCGCTCAAGTATTTTTTAATTAAAATCGGTAATTGAATGATAGCTTGTAAATACAAAAATTATAGTTTATGTAGATTTGAACATAATAATAATGTTTTTTACCGCTATTACATTTTTAATGCAGTTTCCCAATCGTACTAACAAAACCTGAGATTTGTCGTTTCCAAACCGTTTTTCGTGTTTCGATCCAATCTTTTTATTCAGCGACGATCAAAAAGTGTGGGCGAGAATTCGAATGTTTTTGTTCGGGGGCTTTTAAGAAGCTCGATGCTACGATTTTCGAGAAATTTTTTGCAGCTGTCTGAAAGGGGTCGACACAAAACTAGCAAAACGAATGAATGGATAAAATAGAGGGGTCGATATAAATGTCATGAACGAGTGAGAAAGAGGGCTGAAATATCGGTAGGGCATGGAATCAAGTCTCCGCTAGCTGAATATGCAATAAAGTCTTTGCCGAAGCACGTATGGGTCTTGTCGTGGGAATTTAGTTGGTAGACGGATTGTATCGGAATTTTTCCTTCGGAAGCGAGCTGTAGCGCCTAAAGTTAATTTTGTATATAAATAAAAAAGGTTATATACAAACCTCCAAGGCCATAGTATTACCAAAGCGGGGTATTATCGGCCAGTAGACCATGGAATTACCCCATCGAAAGGTATGCATTTCGGGATTTGATGACGAGTTTCTAAACAGGTATCATTTTGACGTGAAGTTATGTGCCAATTTGGGGCAAATTTAAGGAATAACTTACCGAAATGTGACCACAAAAAGTGTAGCGAGGCAAATAATCAAAAACAAAAGCCCTGAATAGTAGTAGAATCGTCTGCTTTCCTTTTGCTTTGCCAGTTCGCGCAAAATAATATTGACAGCATCGTGAGAAATTAGTATAGCCGTAGGATTTGCATCATTTCCCAAAACTCTGCTGCTTAGAACGTCAGCAATATCCACCACAGTTTCGAGCTTAATATTCGAAATGGCTGTCATTTTTCAAAATTGCTAGTGGCCAATGTTTCACCAGCTCGGTTGGCATTGACCTTATCAATGATTATGACCCCAGGCGGCCGCGCGATTGGCTAGTTCCCGCCCCTTTTGTGCTTAAAATTAGCATATTATTATTTTGTGAGCATAAAAATTATAGCTTGAACGTCTTTATTATTATCACAGTTTTTGCATGATCAATGGCCTTTCAATCGTCCTCGATTTTTGCCTAAAATTGAATATGCAAATTACATACTGGTTTACCTGCTTCTCATCTAATCTGCTCTCATCAACCACTTCCTGATCATATTCACGGGGAAGACATTCGCTAGGGGATATCCGCCGGAATTCAATCTAACACGAAATATTTTAATGTTGTTTCCGATTTACCATTTGTTCCGGGAATATCCAGGGTTTCCAATGCGGCCTATGCTCTTTTTTCCATGCCGGGTATGCTAATGCAGCTTTTTTGCACTTTTTCATAAGTTTCGGGGCAACGACCCTCGTTAATCGATTAATCAGCCAAGCAGGAAGTTTTCCTAGGCTTTTTTAAAGCTCACTTCGATTCAAATTTACCTTTCGGATCGGAATGCGTTACGTACGTAACTTCACATCCATTTCCATGCTTTGCAATCCGATACCCGGCCTTGAAAATGGTTGCTCGAATGTAGCCCTTTTGTGGGGGATATTCCTGAAATTTTATTGCTTAATACGATTAATAATTAAATTAATTCACTTAAAACTACCGTACTCACATCGTGACAAACCGAATGGCTACAAATTAGCTTCTCATCTCCGGTATCAAGCCATGAGCGCTGCATCACAAAATCTCGAGGCCGGATTGGAGGTACCGAAGAAACTAGAATGGATAAATCCTAAAGGTTCAGACTCACCAGCATAATAACAGAGATCATTGTTCGGGTTCAAAATGCCAATCTCTTTACTCGCACACATATGCTTATCCCAGTTGGACCGGTATTCCGGATCGTGTAGCACATCGTACATCGTGGCTGCACTAACATCGGGCATTACTGTTCTGGCCCTTATTACCTTAAAAATCCCTCATAAACCTATTTTAATAATTTACATGAAAATCTCCATCGTTGGGTTGTACCCAAACATGTGTCCCGTTTTTGTGATAAACCTAAATTTAAAAACGGAGGTGATAATATGAGCAGAAACCATACCTGCGTCCACCCCTCATTCCCCTCACATAGCGTCCTAATTTTCGCATAATCCGTGTCCTCAAAAATTCTGGCTACGTTGACCCGCATGGCAATCTGGAAAATCCAATCAAAAAGAATCAGAAAAACGTGGCGCAAAAACGATCATGTTGGAAGTAGGGGGCAGCGGGTGGGGGAAGGGAAAACGGCGGTCTTAGCGGCGGCTTTTTGCATATTCATGGCTAGAATTTTGATGAGATTGTGACGCCGAACGTTGTTTCGCGAATTCCAATTTCGATATGGGTGTTAGTAAGAATATAAAAATAACGTATGAAATAAATCAGGCTGTTCCCAATTTTTTTCACTAAACCTGTACTTAGAATGATTTTTAAACATCAGAAAAGCTTTTGAAGATGAAATGTTGAGCAGAGCTAATAAGACGGATAAAATGAGCTAGAAAATAAATAAAGAGGGATTCTAATTTTTCTCAATCCAGCTTCAAATCTAGAATGACTTTCTGAAATGCAGAATTTAATTTCTAAAGCTTAAAAATGGTTTGAGCAGCGTAGTATAATTAGTATAATTCTAACAGCTTAAAAATGATCCTAGCGTTCTTGAAACTTTACTACAAATCCAAAATTATCGAAAACTTTATCCAAAACTTTTATTTTGACTGCAAAAAAGAAAATGCTATTCATAGCGCGGTGCTAGTCAAAACAAACCCCCAAAAGCTAATGAAAGGCACGGGCAAAAGAGAGGGGGGGATGAGATGGAATGGCAATGGCATGGCCCGATGTCGGAATGAGAGACCGGCCCAAAAGGAGAATCTCCACCAACAGAACAGACCCTCCAGATTGGCCCATAAATTGTTGAAGGGCCCCGTCTCCTCACACCAATTATTCCTTCTTACCCATCTTTACATACGCCCAAAAACGGGCATGTCATTTTTAGGTACGGGCCAGGCTACAGGGCGTCTGTAAAAGTACCACCACTAGAAGCTGATCCTCTAGGTAATTTCTACACCATTTGAAAACTCTTTTGAAAATCCAAAAACGAGCTGCTCTGGTTTTTAACCTTGCCTTTTTTAAAGCTGAAAAAACTGAAAACTAAGACACCGGAGAAACGTAAAACCGCGCGTTTCTAACGACGAAACGGAAATTAACATGCGGATATCGCCAAAAGCAGCCTGTTCACACTTTGTGGTTTTAAAAACATTTAACTTCTAACAAGGTAAACGAAGAACCTTTGCTTTTGGCCTATTTCCAGCTTGGAAATCACACATTTAAGTCATCAAAATCCGATACTACGGACGACCGCTAAAATGGATTTTTTGGGCCACCCTGTACAACACGCCATGCACTTATTAGGCTTTTCCCCGGCCCGGGCGCGCTTCACCTAAAAACCAATTAGACAAAGCCTCGACTCCGGCTATCCCTGAGGAGGGCCCCGGCCACACAACCATAAATGAATGACGTCAAAGAGCTTTTCGCGGCGGCGAAAGATCCGAAGAAGTTGTCAGCAGAAAGCAGGCCAGGAAATGAACGGCGCTCCGCGCTAATTTGAATTTAAGGCCCCAAAAATAGGGGGATGTGGAAACAAATGGGGAGCGGAAACTGGGCATATAAGGTCAGAGCGGGCATCACATTTGTGGTATCGTATTTCCGGCCAAGTCAATATGGCGCCGGAGAAAACCACTCCACCGGAAAATCGGTTGGGTTTTTAGGGGATTCTGCGTCTATCATTTACCAAAATAATTCAAAAAAAAGATCCGATTTTTTTAAAATAGAGATTTTTGGTATTAAAATGAAATTTTTGTAAAAACCTGATTTTGACTGTTATAATGACGAAAAAATTAGCATGAACCGGAATTGAGCTTACTCTATAAAAAGGGAAGCAAAGTTTTTTTAAGATGTTTAGCATTAAAATTCAGAAAAACTATGCAAACTATGCAGACTGTTATCGGCCCCAGACAGGGTCAGGGTTCAACTGCCTCCAGTGGTCGGCCCCACCCTGATTATTCCTTAAAATTGACCATCCATTTTTTGAAACAAATGACATCAAATGACCCTCATAAACTCTATTAACCAACCCTGCCAAATTCGATAACAGAAAAATGAGCGGGTAGACTTTCGGGGGTCGTGGCTGGGCATACAAAGCCTCATCGATTCCCGATGATTCGGTCTGGTTGGAAGCGGCAAGGGGGTGGACTGTGGGCGTCGATGTGCGTCTATATATTCAGAGTTTATGGCTGCATCGAAGCCGGAAAAGAAAATTCCTCTTGCTCCCCAAAAAGCGTGGCCCGCACTTTGATTCCGTCATAATCCAAAATGGGCCATGGATACGGAACGGCACGTGAATCGGATTAGGCTGCAAGGGGTTGAAGATAAGTATTAGCAAATCAGCCCAAGAAAAAATGATAACTTTGTACTTCCGAATCGGACTTTTATTGAAGTGGGAAAAATTAGAATAAAAGCTGAAAAGCGTATCTCTGTCCAGAGGCTCATTAAGGAAATGCTGACCAGACCGTTGGTATCGCAATAATCGAAAACCTAGCGGTAGCCGCGAGCGTTTTTCGAAATTTCACCGTGCCAACTTGTTAGAAAATCAAGTATGCATTTCACATAAGCGAGAAAAACGTAAACAACCTAACCAAAAAGCCCAGACCACCCATATTCCGCCTTCGCTATTCGATTAGCCGGGCCGGCAAGTCGGTCGCCTCATACACCCACCCTCAAAAATGGGCGCACTTCGACGTGTCGGCCCGGGTTGACAAACAGAGCCACCACATTTTTGGGGGACCGCCACTTCCATTGCAAATAGAACCAAATCGTTCTGCATGCCCTCTAAAATCTATATTTTTCAAAGGAGATTTGTACGCCTTCAAAAAAGTGTCCTTAAAAGTGTGCTTGATTTTAAAGGTTTTTGTCGTTTTCTTTGGCTTAATAATTTAAAATACTAATAAATGACTTTATCTTTATTTTAATAATTTTGATTTTGAATACCATGTAAACCTACAATTCTCAGATAATGTCTGGTGCTTGAAAAACATCTTCGAAATGTAAATTCCCGTCTGTTTTTTTTCAAAAATTAAAATAACGCACAACTTTTTATTGTTTTCACTTTGATAAAGCTTTATACAATTTTCGCTAACACATCAAAAAGGCGGTGTATTCAGGGAACAGCCGGTGAAAGCCACGCGTAAATAGTAACAGGCTGCGAAGGGAATTTCGGAACCAAAAAAAGTCTTGAGACTGCTTTGGAAGCAACAATAATTTTTATAAATTAGAGATACATCAATTTTGTAAGCTGGGCAATTCAAGTGTCGGGGATTCGTCCTCGTTTCGCAAATAGACGAGGCGATAATATCTGAAAGTGGGGGCGTTGGCCTAGAAAAGAGGGCGATACCCCCCGAAAAACAGCTATAAACTGACTTCTGGCGTCATCTTTCTTTGTGTTCATCTTTTTGAATGGCGTTTTCAGCGGCAATAGCTTCTCTTTCATTTAGTTGAGTAATTACAGCTTTCATTGTCTAAAAATGGCAATTTGCAGAAGTGATGATCATTTTACCTCAGGCGTTTTATGATGGATGCAAACCTCTTGGAGGACAAGTTCAATACTTTCCTTTGAACGGTGCATTGATGATTCTGGAAGGAATGTTTTTGGTAGTAGAAGCATGATAATTTTGATATGCTAATTGCGAAGATGGAGCAATTTATATAGAATAAATTACAGTTAATTTGCATAAAAAAACCAACTGAAAACATTTGATAATCAAGGATTAAAGCCGGCGCGCCGAAGTCACATGATGCGGGTTTTTTTTGCAGGGTGGAGATTTGGGGGAATCGGACTCCCTTGAGGGTTGCATATAGAGCACATCAGGGGTCGAGGCGGCCCCTTTGGCATGTCGTATCACTTGGGGATTGAAACTTCATGTAGACAAGGCGCCCGATTTTCAAGGCTTTTCGTTGTTAAAGGGTGTACCATCTGTTTTCTTAGCTGCAAGAATTAAAGAAACTAAAAAAATACAATCAAAAGGACCTAAATTAAATGCACAATCCCGGAAAAATAAAATTAGTTTTTATAGAACTCAATAAAACTTACTTCGATTCAACGTGCCATACGCATCTTCCGGCTTACTCCGCATCATATTTATTGCATTCTAAAACAAATGGAGCTGTAGCTTTTCGACAATCCAAAAACAACCAAGAAACCATAAAAGTAACACGAACAAAGTACAAGTCCGCCCGGGGCAAATGTGAGAAGCCGACTGAAATGTTTTAGCGCCGGGAGCTGTGATGCTCACGCGTCAGACAAGGTCAAAAAGCTGGGGAGGGCCCAACGTTCCCAGGAAGTCGAATAGGTCCCTTGAGGGCCTTTCAGACGCTCCTTCAAAATAAAATCTCTAAATCTTCGTGGCCCAGGAAGCTGAGCATCCGGGGTCTTGGTTTTGGAGTGTAAATGATGGGAGCAAAGATGGGGCTTGCTGGCTGATGATGTACAACCAGGTGGAGCTGCACGTCTTAGAAGCGTTGGCAACTTTACTGGCCAAAGCCGGGAATTATGGCAATGCAAAACTCGCGAAGTTTGGCTAAGAAAAACGGGAACTGCCGAGAATGACGCGGGTCATTGTTGGGGGGAAGAAGCGTCCCAGCTCCCGGCCGATCGAAGGGAATCTTGTAAAACCAGATGACCGCTATGCCCAGGCTCGCGCAAAGTCAGGCGCTATTCCGCAGGAGTTCAAAAAGAGAATGGAAAAAAACCTGAAAACAAATTATCTGCATGTCACGGGGATGGGGGGCGCAGTTGCAAAGCGAGAATGAAAAAAAATTAAAGTAAATTTTTGTAGAGCATAATAGAAGTTTTTTTTGAAAAACTACGCAGGAATTCTGAGCGGTTTCAGCCGGTTTTGGAACTTTATCATTTTTTAATTTGTCGTGAACCAAGTGCTTAGAGATCCAAATCAATTTCTTTGTATACACAATTATTTTGGTTTTAGCACGATCTACTGATTGTTTTCTGCTCTAGTAAGATCTTAAAATTCATGATTTCCTCCAATTAATTAATTATTTGAAAATTCGCTATCTTTTCAAAAAGTAAGGGAATTTTTAATGACCATTTGAATAGTAAATAAACTCGTCTAATAGCAGACCTACTGGACCGATCTGCCGAGACCACCCTGACGACCGCATGGGTGGTCCCCGAAAAGGGCGGTCAAGCACCTCTTTTCACTGCAATCCACACACAGGCCCAACCCCATAAAGGGTCGAAATTAACAAACAAAATCTTTTTGTGAGGCTTGTATTGATAAATAAAAATTTTTTTTATGGAAATAAAGAGGAAAAAGAGATAAAAAGCGTCAGAACAGCTTGAAGTTAAAATTCGGTTTTGTTTTAGTTTCGACGTTGGGTTTGGGCGTGACTTAAGCTCTCTCTTCACATTAGGCCTAGGATTAGACTTCAGTTTTCAAATTAGACAGTCGACTTTTCCATTAAAAAATGACGCATTTTGTTTAAAACAAATCATCTTGCACACTACCCCCGGAAGTAAAATACCTAAATGTAATGACCACCATCCCACTCTTTACATCCCTCCTTTTAGCATTCGGCGGCGTTTTTGGCGGACATTCCATTAACAACGGGTTAAGAATGGAGCCGAACCTAATTACGACGTCGCTTACGGAATTTGCAGGCGCCACCCATGTCGTCAACAAAAATGACATTGGGAGCCGAATGGCTTACATCGCGACAGTTTAAGGCCTTTAAGCTGCTCCCTCTCCCTGAAAGTTTCCTAAAATAAGTACGACCTTTAGCTAGTCACTTTGCTTGTGGGTTTTCATGCTAGACGGACTATGTTGAATGAAGTAGACACGGAAAGGGCCGAACCTCCGCACCGGAAGTATGGCGGCGAGCCCATTCTTGACTTCTCACTTCTGGCTTTTTCATAATTTCGTTCGAGACCGAATGATGTTTGTGTGGCCCTGGGAAAGTGGAGCATTCTGATCTACTCGACCATGAACGATGAAGATACTCTGACTACTTACTTTCTAAAGATCACGTCAGATATGAATTTCCCCTCGCCGCTGCATTAGCTTCTTTAGTCAGCCAAAGTTCTACAGGAAAGCCTGACGCATTTTTACTTCAGGTATTTTTTTTGGAATCAAAGAATTATTATTCAACGGTGTGCTTCGGTGCTGTTAGCCGCCTACATTTTCGGGCTTACGACCAGAATAACAAGCTTATTAGGCAGTCTGCTCCTCCCCGTGGGCACTGACTCACACATTAAGGAGCCCAATCAAGACAGCGCGAGGTACATTTAAAAATTGGCCGCCACTTTGTTATCCTTTTTGCCTATTTTTGTCGAACACTCTGAATGGGACACTCTAACGGGGAGTCGCCCTATTATTCTCAATGGTTGGGCTCGGGGGAATTAAAAAAGCTAATCCCAATAAGAGGTCGTGGGCCTTTACTAACGTGTTCGCGAGGGCGGGAACTTTTCGGGTATTACTCATTTTCGGGATTTTCGTGGCACGCGACCGAGTAGACCACCTGCGTGTTCGGGCTGCTGACTTTGCAGAGTAATCCCGTATATAAGGAGCGGGGAAAATGCAGACTAGCATTGCAATGTTCGGGGTGAAGATTGGCTACTTTCTAGTTTTCTCATTTTGCGGGGATGAGGTTAGGCGGTTGGGGTTGGGGTTGGCTTAGGTGGTAGGTTGGGCTTGGCGGTTGGGCTTGGCTTAGGCCTAGACGCTTTGGCTTTGGCTTGACAAATACAACCGGCCTCTTTTCTTACCTACGTTTGAATAAATTCAAAGCTCAGAAACCTAACCTTTAAAAATCCTACGCCTTCGGTGGCAACCATCACCAAGTTCCCAATTTCCGCAAATTAACGCAACGAATAGCACCCCAAAAAACCTTCCATTTCCTCTACGCCAATTCCTCCCTATTTAATGAGCATGATACTTGATCCTCATACTCGTCACCATCATTTCCAGCAAATAGGCCTCACCGACATTATTTCCGGAACGCCCTCCCTTGGTGAAGAGTTGCGTTCGCTCTGAGCCCCTCAAAACCACCTCCTACTCATCCTCCTTTTTTTTTTTTTTTTTTTTTTTTTTTTTTTTTTTTTTTTTTTTTTTTTTTTTTTTTTTTTTGGGTGGAGCTAAGACCCATTTTGGGGCGAGGGATACAATTTGGCATTCCTTGTTTTGTGGCAGGGGTCTTCCCTAAATAATTATTCTCGTTATCCCCTACATATGTGAGGGGGATCGGGAAATTTTTGGTAGCTTCAATTCGAACCGGGATTTTATGGAAAATAATTTTGGCTCTGTGCTGTGTACGCTTCAACTTAAAAATGGGAGCTTGATGTAGTCGTGGTGTGAGTGACAGCTTGGGGGAAAGAACGGGACGTATTAGTCATGTTTCTTTGTGCAGATTATGGAGATTCTGGGGTCTCCATTTTACGTAGAACATGTAATTCAAGCTTATTTATTTTGATTTTTTATTTAATGCAAGTTTTCTGCAGAGAAACCAAAAATCTTTAGTACCGAGCTCACAACTTCCCCATCCAACCCCGCCAATGTCGCCCGTCGTTCAGAGATGCTTGATATTCTTGATCATCGCACAAACGGTACGTTTACCATTTTTTGTATCGAAAGAAAACAGAGATAAACTTTTTCTTATAATCCATTCAATTTTAGGTAATGTCGTGCTTGGTACCGCCCTGCCCATGGCGACCATACCGCAACAGACATCGTCTCACCAAAAAAGAGGTAAATCAAAAACCTCTCTTTATTGTAAAATTTTTCCTTCCTCTGAGAAAAATACACAAACTTAGGCTCTAGACTTCTTTCACTTTCCTATCCTTTATTGGATATAATCGGCCATGAAAACGACCGCGTGGGCCTCCGAAAACCCAATAAAACCTTCATCACCGGCGGATTAACGAAACTATCGCGTGGTTACCCAATTTGTGACTTATTGCATTTTCAGATCGTCTTCACCCCCTATAGCACACGTCAAATGACTTCATTGGGTGAGCCGATGGCCCCGGTATGCCCACGGGAGACCCAGGTGAGAACATGGTTCATTAGTAGACGCGTATACCGTGTCGTGGCAGGATCAGCTGGCAAAAAATACATAAAAAAGTGTTGCCCTTGACAACTGCTAAAGAGTAAAGCACACTGTATCCTTGGACTTCCGGTCCGGGCTGAAAAAGCGTACATTGGACACAGGGTTGATGTTGCCTTTCCAGATCTGGTGCGAGGAGCGGTGCTGTGATACGGAGACGAGTATGTGCCTGTCGGGCTTCTGCTTGGAGAAGGGGAGAATCTTCAACGTCTACAACTACTAGCCGACCTATAGATACCTTTAAAAGACGCAAAATGGGTGTTGCAAACAATTAGAGCAATTATAGCACGGAACCAGGCTCGCTGTTCTGATTGGATGATAAACGTTGTGTGATATGAATGAGAGAAACGCAAGGAATGTATATGAAAAAATCACAGCGGTACCATCGGGTTACTGTACGGTGGCTACTGTTTTTACAAAAACGTTGAATATCAAGAAAATATTGATTACTTAAAAACAAAACCCGCTTGGTCTTGCGTATTTTCAAAAGTTTTTAACGGGTAAAAATCATCCGGATCCAAGATCCCTCCGGAAAGTCAGATGATAAATTTTGTGTGGTATATCAAAGGGAGAACCGCCTGGAATCCGTCTCAAGAGTACTCAGCAAAACAATAACACCTTTCCGTCTATCAACACGGCCTTTGCTTGATAGTTTCCCGCCGTATCCCTCAAGTTCCCTCAAAAATACGGGCCAAGATCTTTGGACCGATGACTCGACGCCTCAAAGTGATTTCACCCAAGGTTATAGATCTCCCCCAAATCTCGGTGACTCAAAAATAAGCCCTCACCCCCATCACCTCACCTACTCCACCATTCAGATGATGCCAAACAAAAAACTGAGGAAGGTGGGAGGTCTCTCAAATGGTCAACAGTGAGAAGGAGAGGAGGAGGATGAGGAGAGGTCAGCCTGTAAACAGAGCCACCCATGGAATTGTGAAATGTTAGCAAACAACCCTCGCACCTCGCGCACTATTTAGCCCCGCACAGCCCTGACTCGCGATTGGATGATAGGCGCTGGTTGTATTTTTGTGTGGGGTAGTTGGCTAGGGCGTGGCGTTGTACTTTAGGGGACTATGTTTATGATATAAATAGGTGGATATGTGGGTGTCTGTCAGTACCGTTTATCTATTTTCTGGGTTTAGCCCTTCACTCATTTTTGAATTCCTTATCACTGACTCCTCTGATGAAGCTTTCAATTCCAAAAATCTTGCTGTTTTGCGTGTTTCCGATGAATTAAAAAGCATAAAAATCTTAGATATACAAGTCATACTGTTTTTATTCAGCTTTCTTATGATCCTTATCACAAGCTTCATCTTATTCAGCTTTCACTTCCAAAAGTCTCGCAATGTTGCGTGCTTCCGGTGCACCAAAAAGCATTGACATCTTATATCGTTAACTCGTGATATCCTGCATCTTTTCATATGTTTGCAATTCCCTTGAACCCTTATGAAATGCGACGCCTTTCAATAATTCATCTAGAATGCACGCCGTTTCGATCGTTGCTCTTTTCGCCGTGTTGGGGAGCAGTACCGCGCTTTTTGGCATTGGCTCCAAGCAGAGCGTGGCTGTTCGGGGAAGGTATAAAATTTTAAATTGAAATTCTAAGACCCCCAATGTTCTAGATTAACATGCCAAGGACAACCCGCCAGCAATGTCTACGTGAAAATGTACGATGATGATGTCTGTAAGTGACTTTAAAATGTTTCTAATTTTTATGTTTTTAGTATGGGATTCTAAGATGGGTGAGACGCACAGCGACACCAACGGATTTTTCCAAATGACCGGAACTGGACGTGAAATTAGTGATGTAAGAATTTAATTAACTTTTTTTAAAGTGAATTTTTAGATCGACCCGAAAGTCAACTTCTACCATGATTGCCAGAATGGAGATTTCCGAGTAAGTTATATTGAAACAAAAATAGGAATTATCGAGCTTTAGTGTCCCCGCAAATTCTCGGTGAAAATCCCAGACCAATTCATCAGCAAGGGATCCACAGCTACCAACATCTACGATTTTGGCCAGTTGGAGCTGTCAGGTAATTTTTTAAGCCCTATTCAGTTTATGCAATTTAGGAAAAATGCCCGGAGAATCGCACGACTGTATTCACCGACGACGATAGATATCATATCCGAAACGCTGTACAAAGTTTTAAATAAACCTTCTAACCTCACCTGGTCTTGTGAATCACACACAATTTGGTCACCGGAAACGGTTTTCGAAAAGTTGACAAACTTTTTTAAGATGTTGGTAAATAGAAAATGCGCGTGTTAAGGTGGTGGGCAAGCGTCGAGGTCAAAATTTCTCTGCTCCATAGGTGAAGGGAAAATCGGAGAAAGCACTGATTTCTCAAAAATCAAAGCCACAAGTTAGTAAAATTGACAGAATATCGATCATAGATCTATTTAATCATGAAAAATGAAGAAAAAATGTTCAAAAATGGGAAATGAGCGTGATCGGGGGATAACCGAGCTCAAAAAATCCAGCTTTATTAATGGCAGCCGACAGGGTGCGCATTGTTTTCTCGGATTCCGGTTTTCGGGGAGCAATGGATGGATTTTACTCTCCCCAACCCCGATCCCATCCCTATCACTGTCGAAAGCCACATCCAGCCTGCTGTTATAACAACTATGCCTCTTAGGGAATCTTGCTGTCTATTTTTATTCGTAGCCACGGCTTCCGGATTTTTGGCTTCAGCATTTTCAAGCGTGTCACAGGTATGCCGTACAAAATGGCTTTATGTTTAAAGTAGCTAAAAATTAATTTAAAAAACCCACTTGCCATATAAATCATTATTTTTTTTATAAAAACAGGCCGGAAGAACGTCGAATTGCGAGGATTGGTCAGAGTTTGGCCCTTGTTTCTCCACAGCTGATAGATCATTTTGGAGGACCCTGCCCAGACAGTGTTATTCCAATCGATATATGTCGGTGGGAGCCCTAGTCTTTCTGCTAACTTTTTCCTATAGCTGATCACCGGTATCGGGAACCCGATCGTTCAGAAGGTGATGGACTACGCTGAAATGTTTAATAAGGTATCTGCAACCACCCTATCGTAGTGTAGCGCTTTTTTGTCTGTAACCTTTTTGTCGCTTCTGTAACCCACTTTTTTAAGTCAGCCAACGCCTGCGGGATGTGCAACGTGCAAGTATCGTGTAGTCCGAGGTGTGATTATCAAGCCGGGTAGGTCATGCTTATCTGAATTTTGCATAATTGATTATTTTAGGGGAAACTCGTTCGGAGTTGTCGACCGGATTTGTGACCTGCCAACGGAACGTCAGGCTTGCGCAATGGGGGATAGGGCATATGATGCATATTCTGGTAGATGTCATGTGTGGCCACCAAGGTAAGCAAAAACCAGTAAGATTTTACTTTTTATAACATTATTATTGTTAACCTGCTTTTCAGAGGGGTCACATCTGCCGACTTCCTAGGTATTCTCGTCCCCGAACCGATTAGGAACCAAGTTTGGGCTCTAAAACCGTTGAACTGTATCAGGTAACTACAGCTTCAGTTAGTAGTGATTTTTTAATTATATGATTTTATTTATTAGCCCTTACTACAATATTTTACAGTATCGACGGAAAATGCTTTTGTTGTTGTTCTCCTTACACTCCAAACCCATGTGATGCTCAATGCACGCTCCACCCCTGCTCACGACGAGCCAGTTTTTCTTCCACCCAAATAAAAATTCTGAGGTTTGGATTCTTTCCTATTTTAATGCTAATTTTTTTCAATTCAGGAGAAAGTGGCTAGAAGCGAAAAAGGATGCTGAAGACGAAGAAAATTAATAGAATCTCTCAGCTAATAAAGAATTTGATGAAACCTGCAATGTTGATATGCAAATACAATACCAATTTTGTTACAGTCAAGCTTTATTAATCGAAAAAATACAAAAATTATACGCGATTGAGTAAAAACATGGAATGTCTCGTATGCGCAGGTGGGAGGGAACCAATAAAACATGTTCTAGGCAAATCACAGAGAACGTTTGCGTGAGAAATTCGTCGGTTCGCAATTCGAAATACCGATTGCACAAGTAATCTCTCGGGGAAATGGTGTCCCAAAAATTGAATACTGTCTAAAGCCACAAAATTAAAGCGAATGAATGAGAAAAAATAGGCACATTTGGTCTTTGGGGAAGCACAAAATGGTGATGATGACATTTGAGAAAATAGCAACAAATGCTGGAACATTAAAAATAAGAAAAGTGCAATATTATGGACAGACAAGACTAGGAATACTCAGGCGAAAAAATTGGAATTCCAAAAAGAAAGTAAATAGATTTAAAATAGATTTCGAAAGTTACTCAAGACGCTCTAAAAAGCTGGGATCTTTGAAGCGCTCTGGGATTTGGTCGTCGAGGGGTTGGATGATCTAGAGAAAAAATGAATGAATGTCAATTAAAGTTTTGGGATACCTTATAAATTGTCTTTTTCCATGACGGCTCCGCATCCTTTCCAAGCTGAATTGCCGAAAAGAATTCTCGTAGGGTTTCTTGGACGACAAAAACGAGTCGCTCTGGTGGCTAAAATAAATAAATAGACTTTGAAAACAAACGGGTCCTACCTCAATATGATTATTGCGATTGTAGTGGGTGTTGAGCTGTTTGAAGATCTCGCTGTCGCGGCTGACCGTAATCTCATCACGGCATCGTACACCTTCAGCTAGGGCCTGCCGAGCGAACTTCTCCATTTGAATGTAGAAGAACTCCCTGTAAAAATCGGGCATGTAGATTGAAGCATCCTGTATATTGAAATTACCTGAAGTTCGAGAACCACTTCACAAGCTGCGCTGTATTGTTCTTGTTGAAACGAATATCCGGGAAAAACGTCTTGAGAAGCGCCGAGTTTGGGTAGCGAGTGAAGAAAAACATGAGCTTCGCTTTGCGGAGATGCATTGGGGTGAGCATACTGCTAAGAGAGAGTAAATTGGTACTGTACTCAAATGCTACCTTTGTGCGCCGCCCTCATAACCACAGTCGCTGAACTCGTCGGAGTTGGCGGGGCTTTGGTCACGATCATCGCATTGGCCATACATTGGGTGACCAACCATGGTGGGTGGGAAATAGGAAGGGGTTGAGGTTAGCTGAAGGATTTGGTTTATAGAAGCGACAAGTTTCAACACTAACCTGTGGACTCCCACGAGCACTTGATGGTGATGAGTGATCGATTTTTCGTACGGAATCGGTGACCTTGTTCCGTTTCTTCTTTGGCATATCTTCATCAAAAGCCGCAGACCGTCGCAGGTTTGCATTAAGAGCAGCCAAGGGATTGAATCCGGGGAATGCATTCGGGAAGATGCCACCTCCTAAATCAAAAATTATGATAAATTTATATTTTCGACCGTACCTGGCGGCATTCCGAAAGGATTTCCAAGTTGAGCTTGAGCTGCTTGAGCAAAGGGAGGGAAAAATTGTTAGGGAAGAGCAGGTTGCGTGGCATTTGTTGTTGTTGTTGTTGTTGCTGTTGTTGTTGTTGCTGCTAAAAAAACAGTTATTTTAATCAACTTTGAAGTTGTACCTGTTGAACTTGTGCAAGAGCATCAGCTTGAATCCTTTGCAATAGAGCTCCAGTCCAAGTGTTAATGATCTATTGAAATTCATATACCAAGTCAGGAGGCACAAATACTACCTTGTCAATCGAAACTTGCAACGAGTCATTCAACACCTGTTTCAGGGAGTGCGTCAACTTGCTCACGTCATTTTGCAGCTTTCCCTTTTCCTCAACAGCTCCGAATTTCTTCTGGTTTTCCATGAGGAATCTAAAAGACTAAGTTTGTATATTTAGATATTAAAATACCTCCTCTGGACCTCGATCATCTCCGCCAGCTTGTTGGGACCGTTCAGCTGATTTTGTAGGGCACTGACAGTTTCCGGAGTGATGCCAGGAAGCTTTGAAGCAGGCTTATCACTCTCCGCTTCTCCATCCAAAGAATCAGAGGGGTCATCAGTATCTAAAGACCATTGTTAGTTTCGGAAATGTGAGCGAGTCTCACTCTCGTTCTCAAGAGCATCCCATTCTTTTGGTGGTTCATCGTGGAAGACTTCCTTCTTGGGTTGAGCACATTTCCTGCGCGACGACGATGAGTTGGAGCCGCCGCTTCCGCTTCGCTCGATTGGGAGTTCCTCCTGAAATAAATTTTGGTTACACTTGTTAGGCGTATTTTTCAGTATCAGAATAGGGGTGAGCACAAGAAACTCACCAGCTTCTCGATGCTGGTGCTATCCTCAAGCTTCTCTAGCGCAATCGGACTTGGCACTCCAGTATCAGTCATGTTCTGCAAAAAATCTAGATTTTAAAAAATTGCAGAAAAGTTTTTAGTCTCAAAAACTGGCGCCCAGCCATTGCGCAACTCGTGCCACCTCAGAATGTTTTGAGCAATGAGCCACATGTTGAGAGCTACCCCCTCCATCACTTGCAAATTTGCATAATCCACAACCCCTTCGAACGGAAGCACCCCCACCTCCGCCTCACCCCATCTCTTGCTCACCCTCAAACCCCTTACGGTCTGGTCCATTTCTCAACTATTGTAAGCGATCCCCCTACCAACCCCCTCCTCCTCCTCCCAACCACCCCCACGAACACATGATAATCCCGTCCTTGAATGGGCTCAGCCCGGAAATCCCCTTTTCGACGTGAGGGGCTAGGAATTGAATGAGGACAGGGGAAGCAGCTCACCTCGAGCAGCTCAGGCTCCTCCGTCTTCTCAACGTCGCTTTCAGCGTCTTCCTTCTCATCCGAGTGCGTGTCCTCTTTTCGGGACATCCACGGGAAAAGGTTGGATAGCTGTTCCATGGCTGAGTTTCCGGTAGTGTTGAGGTCACAGGGACGTTGATTCTGAAAATCAGAAAATGCTGGATTTCACGAGAATTTGCTTAAAAGAGAGAAAAAGATGAAGCTTCGACCTACCGGATAAGAGTTCCTCGGCTCACCGGCGTCGACTCGTTGACGGACACGTCTGAGCTTCAGGTTTTGCTGAGCAAGAGCTGCAGGGGAGATTGAGGATGCTTGAAAGAAGGGGCCAAGGAAGGGGAGTTGGAGCGGAGAGGTTAAGAATGACTGGTTCACTGGTACAGTCGTTGGGAGGCCGGAGGACATCGACCTGAAGAAGGACAGGGTTAGATCATCTACAGTTTTCAGGAGAACTTGGTACAAAACAAAAACAAAGGTGGGGAGCGAGTGATGAGGAGGGATTTTACTTTATCAGATCTTGAGAAAGTTAAGAAAGGTATCAGATCTTCCCCGGATTAAGATCACCAAAAGACCAAGTTCAAAACATGACTACCCTCATTCTCACAAGCCGCCAGAAACAAAAACCCCCTCTATAATTGGGGGTAGCCGGGTTGAGGTTGTGGGTATAGAAAGCGGGCAGAGCATGACTGTACAATAGGGGGGATCGGAAGCGGGCGGCCCGCTAGGGCAATTTACTGTTTCCGTGGGGGGAGGTGAGGCAGAGGTGTGTTGAGGGTCGAAGTGAGGCTCGGGTTGAGAGGAACCAGTCCTTATCCTTTTCTGTCGCCCCACTGCCCCCCACCCAACTATCACGGGCGGATTAGGAGCACAACCTCGAAGGGGGGAGGGGAGTGGGAGGTACCGGAAAACAATACGGTATACCCGGGATTGGTACGGTAGATGAGGGTAGTGTCTTTGACCTGGTTATTAGCGGGGGTATATGCTGGGTGGATGAGGTGGGGGGTTGCCCTAATTGGTGACAGCGGCCATCCATTCTCGATCGCTGCTTTCGAATCCCTGCCACATCCATCTGGATTCCGGCCATGAGATTTTTGCGCGACGAGCCGGGGGAGGGGGGTTGATTTGCATATCTTGAGTCGAGATCGTGGGGGCATATGTGTGGGCTAAGTAGGGAGGCTTGATGAATCGCCAATTGGGCCACATTTTTCTTCGTTTAGCGGGGAATGGGTTGTCACACGTCTCGAAGGATTGGCACTTCCAGATTTTGATCTAAGGAATGAAAGTAAGGAATTTTCAGTAACCAAAATTCAGATGTGAACGCATAAACGCGTAAGTTTCTAGGTTGAAGAACGGGTTTGCTTAAAATTTAACTTTTCAAGCTCCTGAATATTAGAACGACCTTTAAAAGAAAAACCAGGAGCGTCACCTTGTCACCCAAGAAATTTTGAGTAAGAAAATGTTAGCTTTTGTCCTTACCAAGTAGTCAATTAAGTTGTCTCAAAAATTTTCATCCGTAGTTCCCACCCCAGGATCTTAGTTTTCAAAGTCTTTTCCGTCCCTTAAGACCGGGACCCCTTAAACCCAAATTTTCGCGCGTCACCTTATCCCCTCGATAAAGACCTCCAAACGACAATCCCAAATTTATGAAATCCCCCCGGTGCCAGGAGGTGTATTATTATTCATAAGCGAGCGCCGCGAAGAGGCTGTTTGTGCAGGAGCGCGGGGGCTCCTCAGGAGCCCCATTCGCGCAGACGAAGTCACGGCCAATGTTTGCGCACCTGAGGCTCCCCGGCCGGATGGCTCGTGTCACGCTTCTGGCCATTTCTTATTGCTTGAAATGGGAGGAGTGAATTTAAGAATTCGGTGATACTGTATATGCCAAATTCGTTCGAAAACTTGTTTATTCGGTCAAGCCAGACGGCAAGAATCTCGCAGAGGCTTCCCGCCGTGTCGTACCGCCAGTCTTGAGCCAATATATTTCGGGGGCCCATCCAGGGGGTGGCCATATTGAAATGCGCGATGGGCGCAAAATGGCAAGCCCCATTCAGCGCGCACAATACGCCGGATACTGGACATCGACTAGCACGCCTTACACCCAACGATTTTGATCATCCCCTTTCCGTAAGGATCTCAGCTATGGCTATCGTGAAAAGGGCAGTTGGGTTCAGGCCATAGCCTATTAAATTACCTACATCTAGTCTGTAAGCCAAGAAAAATCAGAGACCGTAACGTGCGTCACATGATTTCAATCTGTTCTTCCCCCGCAACTCGCCTGCGACACCCCCGGACAAGAAATCGGCAGGGCAAAACTGAGAATGTGGGGGGATTATGCAAAAGAGTCTCCCTCCGCCACTCACTCACACCTTATCGTCACACCCACACTGGCAAGGGGACGAGTAGCGCGAGAAAAACACCGGTTTTCATCAACATGTTGGCAAGTGTTGGAGGAAGTATGTGAAGAATTTGGAAAATAAGGTATCGAGTGGGAAGACGTGGGTTTCAGGGACTTGCACGGTTCGAGGTTGGGCTTTCTAGAAAATCGGTAATTCAAGTAGATTTATAAAAGCATACGGTTGATATCAAGCTATTGAAATAAATTTAAATAGCAAACTAACATATTTAACTTTTAGGATTTACGTTTCCGACCTGGGTTTGAGGGATTTTAGAATCAATGTGTTGGATTGTCTTGAAAGAACTAAAAACATCAACTCAGGATAATTAAAAACGCTTAGAAAATAGTATCTATTCATTAAAGCAAAGTTTGAAAAATATTATATGAAAGGGGCAGTAAAAAATCTCAGGCAAAGTCTAACTGACTGAGAAGATCCAGAGCGCCCGGGCCATTTCTCAAACTTAAAAGATTCAACTTAATAAAACCAAAATAATAAGATTTGAGATCATCTACCTGCCAGGCCCCTTGGAATAGAAGGTAGTATCTGAGTGTATGGGGGGAGAAGCAGCTACAGTAGCCGGAGAGAGAAGGGGATCCTCCTTCGAATTGAAACTGCTGCTGCGTCTACCCCGAAGGAGCCACGCCCCCTTTGAATGCGACGACCGGCCATAGCCATCCCCCACCTCCTCCCCCTCCATTGACATCCATGATCAATGTCCTTTCCGATATAGTATGTGGATTATAATATGTTCAACGGGGATTGTACAGTCTAGGAAAGGAGGTGGAGGAGCGAGGTTTTCCGGTGACTTCTTACGACAAACTAGTGAGTTAAGGAATAGAATAGGAATCATTAACTTTAACAACATGTGCTTAAGAATATACTATGTAAAGTAAGGTATCTGAGTCATTTTATATAAATTGGTACATGTACATATTAATTAAAAATACTACTAGCTGCTAGCGAAAAAATAGCTAATAGTGAAAGCTCGGCATTAAGTCAAGGTATCGAAAACTTATGGGCTAAGTTAAGATTTACTAATACTAGTCCTCATGAACAAGGAAAAATTAAAGAATATCATCCTCTGTGAGGCAGGCAGATTAGAATGTGAGATAGAAATGTAGCGCCCGGTACCTGGGGGAGGAGGAGGAGATTGTGGGCGGGGCGAGCGCCTTCCAATGAGCGCCCTTTCTTGAGGCGGCCATCCTCCGATTCTACCCCCCAGAACAACAACAAAATTATTTTTCCCCGATAGAAAGTAAATTAAGGGTTCTTTGACATGGAAGTATAAGAAAATACATCTTATGACCCCGATTGACAAGACCTTGAGGGTACGGACGCTCGACAAGACCCTCCGTCTGTCCTGGAGCAGCATTTGAATACCTTCCACCTCTCTCCTAACAAAGAAATGATCCGCTTCAAGTTCGCCTTCACGCTCCCTTTTTTGGAAAGTCGTCGACCCCGAAAAGGGCAGTGAATCGATGCGGGGGCTGCGCTGTTATGAGAGGACACGTCGATCGAGTGGTGCCAAATGCCAACCCTGCAGATACGCCGTAAAAATGGTTTATTCCTGAACTGCCTAAAAGTCAGCTACTAAATAGTTTATCCCCTACATTACCGGCCTAAAGCCAGGAGGGCCATCTAAAATTCGGCCTCCTTTATTCCTGCCCGTTCCCGAATGCCAATCCCGTTTGTCCGCCAACGGGCGGGCACATTTCTCAAAATGGGCCTCGGGACTGTCGTATTCCTTCGCGACCCCAGACAGGAGGTCCACACGAACAAAGGCGGTCCGAAAATTACACGAGGGTGCACAGGTGAAGCGCCTGGGCCGATTTGTGCCCCTATTTGGGCCCGGGCGGTGGCCTTGATGCCCGGGCGGGCCGATTTATTGGGGGCCACCCGAATAAGGACAGAATAAGGACCCGCTATAGGGGGGCCACCTGGCAACCTAGAGTCCCAATGGATGGATGGGGGGTGAGGATAGTTATTTTTCTTTCCAGAAATCGGGGTGGGGGAGTGGGAAGCCGGTTTAGACGGTTTAACGTTGTATCTATAGATAGCTACGTCTCAGCCTATACTTAAGTCTAAGCCTAAGCCTAAGCTTCAACCTAAGCCTAAGCCCAAGCTCAAGCAATGTATGTATGTCTAGTAAACTTCTGTGTCTTCCTCCTCCTTAAAGTATACCCTTAGAGTTTGACTACGAAAAACGAAAAGCCATGCCCGTGTGGGCGGAAGGGAGGTGGGATTGATTTTGTTTACATTTTGGAGCGCGCAGAGGCGGATACCTGAGACGGAGATGGGCATGGCAATCCGAGTGTGTAAACGGAGCGAAAGCAGTCGGGGGGAGACGCATCCTCGGCCACCGTATCCATACCTTGGGCCAACCTCCACTTGTCCTTATGGCCTTCTATGCGGACAGGTGCTCAAATCGGGGGCGAGAAGGGGATGGACAAATCGAGATAGATATCATGTTTCGCCATGCCCTCGGGGGGGCATCTCACCCCGGAGCTGTCAATTGTGGTAAATACAGTCTTCGCAATCGGGGGGGGATGGGTATTGTTTGGCTAGCTGCTACTTAGGGCAGGTGTCTTTTGGGGGTGGTTGAGAAGCAATTGTCAAGAGGTTGTTGAGTGAGTGTTTTTATTGAGTAGGGTTTCAAATCGGTGACTACCAAAAAATCTCGAAAAACAAAAAACCGCTTCGCGGCGGTTCAACCTTGGTCCATTACGCACCTAATGACTTAGCATCTAACTAGCAGGCCCCGATCTAGCTTGAATATAAAGACAAAAGTTGGAGGCTAATGCACTTACACACAGCAAATATTTTTGTATATTACATTACATCTTTCTTCATGTAGTTTTCTAGCTATAGCAAGTAGCACCATTCAGCTTTGTCTTCCTTTCTGCCCATCCCTTAGGGACCCATCCCTTCAGAAGCTTTGAAGTGCCAGATAATTGGCTGGAACATGGGGGGATCGGTGGCCCAAGTTGGATTGTTGGGGGGTAATCCGGGTCA